GGTCAGCGAGTAGAATATTGGCGATTTGAGCATATAATGAGGTCTAGGGGCAGATCCATAGTCATCTGAAGAGAAAATCCATTTTCGTAGAGTTCTTTTTTCAGATTCAGTTAATGTATGACCATTTGCGTGCTTCTCAACGCGATATTTAACACCACATAGGCGATCGTGGAGAGTTGAGCTGGGTACATTAAAGGTAGATGCAGCTTAGGCTATATTCGTAATTTCACCATTATTTATAGTTTTGATAGCTAATAAGATCCCCTCCTTTTCAACCCGTTTCTGGGCTATTTGAGCACTCTTAGGTGGCATGGTGGGTGGTTGAAAAAGTAGACACGTAAATGACGCGTAAAAAAAAATGAAATTCACGGGTCGTATGTGTTTTACTTTAGCAGATATTCTGAGGGCGTTACTAGTCTAAAGAACATGATATCTTATGAAATAGAATGATTCCAAGAACTAATATTTTTAGTCCATTATCAATTGATTGAAATGATAATTTAAATGATTTTCACCATAAATCCTTTCCATAGTATGATTTTCTGTAAATCTACTAACTGGTGATATAACCCTCTTCAAAATATATGTAGGACTGACTAGTCAGTCATATCTTAGAAATAAAAACTATTAGAACTAATCTTTAGTCTAATTTAATTTAGCTAATGAGTAAGTATTCCTAAAGCAAAATCTATCCAGGGAAGCTCATCTTAAAAATATATTATTTACGTTTTCAGACTTTTTATTTAGCGCTTGGTCAATATTTAATCATAAATTCCATCCTAAAATCCACTGTAACATGTATTAATTTACAAAAGTATAACAATGATTTTTACATCTGTTAATTTATGAAGTATCATCATCAAATGAACTATATTTCTTATCTGAAACCTACATCATATATTTTAATCCTATAGATTTAATATATTTAAAAAAGCACGGGACTTTCTATATTGGAAATATAGTATTTAAGAATAATCATGTTTGTACCATCTGAAAGAGCATAATTGATTTCTCTAGACGATCTCACTCAAATGATATCTTCATCACCGATAACATCAATATCCTCCGGTTATCCTACGTGGGCTAGGTCTTCATTATCAATATAAAGCCTATCTATGATTCTTCTCTATATATTCCATTATTTTACTTTATTTAGTTTAGTTATATGATAGTTCTTCCCTACAAGAAGGTATATAGGATTTAGAGTTATTTAGCGTCTTGTAATTCCTGATTCTCTTTTTCTTCTTTTTCGCCCATACTGTCCTAATTATTAAATTAAATATTTTATTAGCCAGGCTATCTATTATGCGTAGATTCGATGTAATCAATGACGTTGGTCTTGCTCTTCCAATGACAAAAACTACTATATTTTCCGCCATGATTCCTATCCATGGATCCGAAGCTCGAACACACAAAGCACTGAGTTTGGGGACGCCTCGCGTCCCCAGATCCGTTTGGTATACTTCCTTGAAATTTGTGTTCATGAAGATAGCGTGAACGCCATTAATGGCTGGCTCTAGCGAGGTGGAATCTGGTAGGTCAACCTACATGGTCTCCGCACCTAGAGTTTTGAGAGATTGAGCCTTCTTAGACCAGGGAAAACCATGGCAGGCACAGGGAGACTTAGAAAGGTCTTGACGACTGATTAAGCTTGAAGGTCCGTGGCACTAACAATGGCAATAATTCTGGTGAGTGCTCATATATGTAGCTCTGTTGAATAAGGCAACTCTACTTTTGAGAAATGCTCATTCACACAAAGTATGAGGACTTGAAGACCTGCAGTTGAACAGGTGAAAGGAAAGAAAAATAAGCTAATCGTTGGAGACGAGTTACACTAGTTTATTGCCCTAGTAATAAAGTATGATTAACTCTGAAACATTTCAGCGCACCCAGATTACACACTCAATATTCAATTCAATTCAATTCAATTCAAAGTTCTATTAACCCGATGGAGCTATACCGATCGCGTATATGCTATGCAGGCGCTTCAGTCTTTCGAAGCAGGAACTTGTGCTCAACGCCATTTAGAAATCAAATGAAAAAGAAACTAGGGCTGTTGCCCAACAGGTAAATTCCCCCTCGCTCCCCACATTCTCCCTCTTTCGCAGTGCCATCTCACTGCTCCTGTAGATCCCACATATATCCTCTCTCTAGTTGGCGTCTTCTTCCCTTCAAAAGCAGACGCCTCGCTGCGTCCAACGCGAATAACGATGTTGTGGTCTGGGTGCTCGGTGCCCAGGCTTTTCACGGTGTCGTTACCCATAGTCTTCCCCTCCTATGCCTATGGCCGCTGTAGGTCCAGATCCGGCTCAATTTCAAAATGTTGGAACTGGCCCAGAAGGCCTGTTTGGTGCGATATAGCGGATCGCCTGTGTGGGACAATAGCGCATCCTAGTCTGAATACTCAACATCAAGATCAGTCGCACTGATCTTCTCCTGAGGCATATCTTCTGATTGGCGAATAGCAGGCACTGGAGAAGGATATGCATCGGAGTCTGCGACGCTTCGTCGCAGCTGCACCGATCAGAGTCAATCTCATTGATCTTATAGAGCCAATGGCGGAAACCGATACTCAACGATCGCATCTAAATGATGATCGACGCATATGGTCTCGATATTCTCTCGTAGAGTCGTAGCACCTTCTTCGTCGGTGCCTTTACACTCAATATATAGTTTTAAAAGCGCCCTTATTATGACTACTACTAGAAGGTTAGATATACCTACCGAACGGTCGATATCATTCATGTCTTTCATGACGACCTAAAAAGAACCGCTGGAACCAACCTATTACAAGCGCACCAACGTGATGGACCAGTCAAGACATCAGATGGACCACAGAGCAGAAGGGAAGAAGGGGATATATATCGCTGGGTTAAAGCTCAGCGATGGGTTAAGGTGCCTATATCCAGATTTCGTCTTGAGCATAATAAACCTGATACCCTAAATCCGCTAAGTGAACTGAGAACTATTCATCCTCAACCCCTCTTAGATTCCCTTACGTTTCCCCAATGAACTTTGCCTAGTTAGTACCAAATATAAGTTTAGTTGAAGCCCTTCTTCCTTGTCGGAAGATTATACCAAATGCCAAGTTAGGAACCTGGTGGGTCATGCAAGTCGTTAGAATTTTTTTTATCTGTATTAGCATCTCTACAGTAATTATTTAAAATAAAAAATTGTAGGAAAATATTCTACTTATACATTTGTTGAGATTACTGGTATGATCAGTGAAAGTCCCTCAGGGCACTTTTAAACAGGGTGACTAACCTACAGGTTATCTTCGCGATCGTCAGGGGATCAATCGTTGATCTGTCACCGATTGCTAGGTTTGTCTTCGGTGAAGACCAGTAGCCGACCTATACCTGTCACGGTGCAGAACCGTAACTGTGTTTGTTGCGACAGCCGAGAAACAAGGCCATCAACAGACGGAAAGTATTTCGGCCGAAAAAGCTTCTGCCAAGACAGTGACTCTGGAACTAGATTGGTGTATCACGGCATCCTTGAACGATATGCATTCATCGCAAACGACACCCTTGAGCGATGTGCATTCGCGACAGTAATGTCCCGTCTTCACCGTCTCTTCTATCTCGGACGAATGTTGACATTCGTCCAGGGCAGAGGGGCACCCATATACTATAAGTAGCTAGTTCTTTCATCAATGAAAAAGCACTTCACAACAATCGCAGTATTCAGTATCTTAGCATCCACTACACCCGGTGGATTTTCTACGGTGTTGAGTAGCGGTTTGTTGGAGCTCACAACGTTTACTATTCTCAGTACAATATTCGAATATCGCCCTTTCGAGCGACAGTGTTGATTGGTTCTCTAGTGAACATTAGCTGGCTCGTCACCAATTCAGCTGAGATTCAACCGTGTAAATATGTAGCTTGATGCCAAACTCTCACTGGCATTTTCCCCACGCCGTTACACATTTTTTTACTCTAATTACCGGAAGCAGCTTCCTGCTGATCAGTATGATCTTAATAAGCAAGGGAAGGAGAAGATAGTTAGCTGGCCAGCGTCATATAGAGAAGCGTTCTTTTCAGCACGATAATTGAGAGAATTTACTACACCTCTTTCTAATTGGAATCGACAGATAAATCAACCTCTTAACCAGCACGCTAAGTTTGATCTCGATACTATACCTGTTAAGCTTGGCTCTAGTATTGAACAAAGGCAGATCACTATGGCTATACATGATCTTTTAAATCTGATCTAGCATGTAGGGATATTCCGGTTCTGACATGTATCAAATGCTCCACAACACCATCAATATGAATATCGTTGCTCTCAAGATAAAGCGCATATCCAAAACTAGTATATATGACACTATACCAATGGTTGATGACCTGAGGGAAAATTTTACGAGGAAGTAGCTTCAGCATACCAGAGGCCAAAGAGCTCAAACCCAGAAGCTAATCGATGAAGATACGGCTATTTGCAATATGTGGACAATCTCTAAAATCTAGCATAAACACAATCATCCACCAGGAGTATACTTAAAATAGTTGGACTGGATAAATCGAACATGATAAGGAGGGAAAGTCAGGATCTCCAGAGCGGTCTTAACAACAATACCCCATGCGTATGCACTATGCCAAGTAGCAATTATCGGGTACAGCCCATCAAAAAAAAGTGACAGAGGGATCGTTACTACTGTATAAACATTTGTCCTTCGAAGTCATATTTATTTATAATTTGGTTAACTATGCGATCGAACCATGATTGGTGGGATTGCGTTTGATAAGTCGGGTTTCGCCGTTTAGGGCTGAGGCAATTTGATTGGCTAAAATTAGTATCTTGAACAGCCCATGCAGATAAAGGAAGATAAGATAGAAGCTAGTCATGAGATACGCGAGAAAAAAAATTGAAAAAAGGAATTTATATGGACCTGCCATCTGCCACTGCATATGATTCGTAATGGCACTTTATCTCTAATCTATTTCTTTTCTTAATTTTCCGCTCTGCATTTCTAACGGTCGAAAAGGGTCCTCAAAATCAAAATGGCCTACGATGAGGAAAAACATCTGGGTCAGTCTGTCGGGGAGGATCTAAGAAAAGTTGCAAGTCAATCGGCCTTCGACGTTGGCTCTTCCAATAAAGCGACTCTCGAGTATGATAATGCCACCAATGACAGCATTCTTGGCAAATTACGCGCCTTTGAGACGTCTCTGGACAAGAAATTTGGCATCGAAAGCCAGGCCATCAACCGCGTCCTCCCAGAGGAAAAGGTACCACAGCTATGGCACCACCAGGCTATGATGGCTCTTTTATGGGCAGGATGCACAATGAACATTTCGTGCTTCTCTACTGGGTTGCTGGGCTGGGAGTTTGGTCTAGACTTCACACAATCCATTACTATCACCATTTTTGGAACTCTGTTAGGATCTATGGTATCTGGATGGTGCGCCATTCTTGGACCTGGTACTGGATTGAGACAAATCTCAATATCGCGTTACTCGTTTGGCTGGTGGCCATCAAAACTTGTCGCAGCTTTGAACGTCATTTCTCAGATTGGCTGGAGTTCTGTTGGTTGTATCACTGGAGGATCGGCCTTGTCTGCTGCGTCGAGTGGTAGAATTGGTCCTATTCCAGGAATAATCATCATTGCTGTCATCTCTTCGGTGATTAACCTTTGCGGGTTGAAGATGATCTTGTCTTACGAGAAAGGCGCCTGGTTTGTTTTCTTTGTTGTCTTCATGGTCATGTACGGAGAAATGGCCCCTAAAGCGGACATCAAGACGAAAAGCACACTTGCTGGTGCCGATCTGCATGGACAGGTCCTGTCGCTTCTTGCGGTTGTGTATGGCTCCAGCGTCTCATGGGCCTCGGTTGCTGCCGACTACTATGTTCAGTATCCCATCACAACGTCCAAGACCAAGGTTTTTATTCTAACCACTATGGGAATCACAATCTCCACCTGCATTGGCATGGTCCTAGGATGCTGCGTCGGGTCAACATTGGCTGTCAACGAGGATCTCGCAAACACTTATAATAATGAAGGTGTTGGCTTTCTCATCCAAGCCATGATGTATCCCCGTGGTTTTGCCAAATTCATTCTCGTCATCCTGGTTCTAGCAGGCATAGGAATGAATTGCATTAACTTGCAAGTTTTGCCCCGAACTTTTATATATCCATGCCCATACTAACACTCATCTTGACTTCAGGTACTCATGCGCGCTGTCCGTCCAACAGTTCGCTCGCCCATTTGCCCGCGTTCCTCGCTTTCTCTGGACAATCCTGCTATTTGGCATCATTATAGGAATTGCGATTGGTGGTCGAGAGCACCTGAACGCATATCTGCAGAATTTCCTGTCCTTGCTGGGTTACTGGGCTACTTCCTTTTTTGTCATTATATATATCGAGCACTACCTCTTCCGCAAGGGCAGGTTTGAAAACTACGACTTGGATGGCTGGAATGACCCCAAGCGCTTGCCTATGGGTATCGCAGGATTGATTGCTTTTTTGATAGGAGTGGTGGGGTGGGTTCTTGGTATGGTGGAAACTTGGTTTTCTGGCCCTCTAGGTCTTTTGATTGGGAGTGATGGCGGTGATATTGCCAACGAGCTTTGCCTTGTTTTCACTGTCGTCACGTATATCCCTTTGAGATATCTAGAGTTGAGGTATATTGGACGATAAAGCCTATATGGCTGAGACCTCGGGTAGTAATGGTGTTCCTGAAGTCAGGTATATATTGTACATTTTTCGTTGGAAAAAGACAAATATACGTCATGACCGAAAATATACTTCATGATTCTAGAATTACAAAAGCTGTTGTTATATTCTCATACAAACAAATATGAGTTATTCTTGGCGCCAAGACCTCTGGAGGGCGACATTAACAATCCCGACCAGACCTCCTGAGACTCCGCCAGCACAACAGAAACAGAAGATCCCTTATTTCAGCCTCCAAAAATTCTGGACCCGTCTCTTATATCTATATCTGATTGAAAACTTGGAAGGCCAAATCTTTCATACTTTCTTTCCACTCCAATTCCTCCAATACTATATACGTATTCATAATGGACAAAATCAAGAAGTTTTTCAAGCATGATTCGAAGTCTGAATTGTCTTCAACCCAGACCCAGCCGTCTTCAACTGGATCTGCGTCACAGTCATCATCTGCTCGACCATCTGGTGTTTTATTAACCACAAACTATGGCGACATCACAATTAAATTGTACTCTAAGCAGACACCAAAGGTACATTTAACTCTATTTTCTGCGTGGTTCACCCCGCTGATATTTGAGATAGACATGCAAGAACTTTGCTGGCCTCGCCGATGCGGGTAAATACAATGGTGTCATTTTTCACCGTATCATCCCAGGCTTTATGATTCAAGGCGGTGATCCCACTGGCACCGGCCGTGGCGGCCAGTCTTTCTACGGCGGTAAATTCGAGGACGAATTCAACAGCAAACTTGTTCACTCTGCAAAGGGTATCCTCTCCATGGCCAACAGTGGACCAGACACCAACGGCAGTCAGTTCTTCATCACTCTGGCCCCTACTCCTCATTTGGACGGAAAACACACCGTCTTTGGACATGTTGTTGCCGGTATGGATGTCGTTGATAAAATTGGTAGCGCGAGAACAGGATCGGGCGACAGGCCTCTTGAGGAGATCAAGATTATCAGCGCAAAGTCCTTCACAAAAGCGAGAAAGGTGTTGGATTCATCAATTGAATGATAGCCAATGAAAAATGAATAGCAGATTCTCCATTACTCTGTAGAATGCAACCTCCTACACCTACTTACACACACCTACCTTCAAGTATAAACGTAATTTTTTACCCTATATCGTCAGGGCTTCAATTTCGCAGTAAATTGAAGCTTTGGATTTGTTTGAAAGACTTTGACCCGTTCACTTATTTGAGATTCTTTGTTACTGATCTATATGGGGAAACGCCATGTAGTTGGTGAAGGAGCCGAGGTTCATAAAAATAAAATGAACAGATTTTGGTATGGAAATGTGATATGGACAGCAAAAAATGGATCACTACTGCCACTTTATTAAATATAACCTCTGGAAGGTGAATTCTGGAGGGAAATGTATATTTGAGGTTATGTATAGTTTTAGTAAAACTGAATGTCCATCGGTAGATTTAGCACGGTACCTATAAATATTTATAGATCGAATGGATTTTGATTTTTTTTTAAAAAAAAGCGAACAAAATATATATTTGACATTACGCGTGGACCACGAGGCAACCTTGGAAGATGTACGTTAGAATATATTTTCAGAGACAGGTAATCAATTGTTCAGGAAGAGCCTTGGAAGACATGACGGCCCTTTCAAATGCCTAGGTTTGCTTCACTATCGCAATTATTAGCCTACCTACATATGTATATATATATAATTTTGACCTTGAAAGTTACGTTACCTGTAAGATTCCATCTACAGAATTTGTCGAGTAAGTACAGTGGAAAACGTGGGCACTATCATCAGGTTTTCCAAAACTGCTGCTATATAGAAACATAATAGGAAGCCCAAAGTGAGCTAACCATGTACATACTAGTATTGATTCCTGTAGATTTTGCGCTTACTGTGATGCGATGCACCCTTAAGATATGGCCATGTTATTTTTGTATTTTCAAAGCATTGCGATATTCTAGTCAATCAAGTCAAAGGCGGTTGAGGTACTACCAAAACCGACTTATTAAAGCTTGAACTTGCTTAGGTATTCCGAAGCAAGCGAGATGGCCTCCTCAACCTTGTCTGGATTGATACCATTGCCAATAGAGGTCGATCCTTTCCCTCCAGCCTTGCCTCCAACGGCACTGGAGACGACAGCAGCCCAGTCATTTGCCGAGGCACCTTGGTTAGCTAGGTCCTAATCATTCCCCAAATATTAGCTTGGCTTTTGACACTCTGCCCACCTCACAGTGGATGGATAAATTGTTGAACTTACCCTTGACACGTAGCAGCCATGTGAAACACGACTCTGTTCCGAGTCAACAGCCAGTACGTAGACGTTCTTATCCTGCAACTTCGACTTGACGTGGTTAATGGATTCACTGACAGCCTTTGCACTTGTCGGTAAAGGAAGCTTCACGACAAGCCATGCCGAATTTTTATTTTCTGGCGACTCGAAGTGGGTAGTGATGGCATCTACAGCCTTCTTGACCTCCAGCTTCTGTTGAGCCTTTTGGCCATCAAGTACCTGTTTGTTGATCGCAGCAAAGCGCAATCGGAAGCGTGCCTTTTGCACAGCTGAGATGGTGAGCTGGTTGAGATCTACCTGTACTTGTTTGGCTTCCCGTTCCTTCTGGGGACCAAGAGCCATCACGTCCAACCGATCAAGACGCTTGCTGAATTCCTCCGCAACACGTTGAACTTCATGCGCTTCTTCTCCGGTCACCGCGATGATTCGACGAATTCCCTTAGCAATGCCACTTTCCTCTAGGATAATCAAATCTTTAATGTCGCCGGTCTTCTGGACATGGGTTCCACCACAAAACTCGATGCTGACCTCCTTCCAGCGTGGATCGCTGACATCACGCAAAATCTCCTCCAATTCAACACCGACGGAGACAACACGAACAGGGTCCGGGTATGTCTCACCAAAGACAGCTCGAACACCGGAAATTTCCTGGGCAGTGGCCAAGGACACCTCCTGAGAATAGACAGTACAATTTTGGCGAATGTATTCAGTGGACTTTGCCTCGACTTTCTCTAAGTCTGCATCTGACACTGCAGCCTTGTGGGAGAAATCGAAACGAAGCTTTTCGGCAGCCACCAGAGAACCTCGTTGCTCCACTCCATCACCGAGGACTTCCCTCAGTGCGAAGTTCAGGATATGGGTACCTGTATGGTTGTTCCTAATGGGCCATCGACGGAGTTCGTCGTATTCACAAATCACGCTATCTCCCACAGAAAAGGCCCCGTACTTCATGAAGCCCGTGTGAAGGACGTATCCGGCATACAGCTGAACGTCACTGACATCAAGTTCAGCCTGACCATCAATGACAATCTTACCAGTATCGTTTTCCTGACCACCCTGTTCGGCGTAGAAGTTAGTACAGTCAAGGATCACACCGAGCTGCTCTCCTTCAGGAACTGCTTGAGAGCTCTCGTAGAATGTCTTTCCATGGTAAATAGCCTTGACGTGAGCCGTGATATTGCCACGGCCATACTTGGATGAATCGTCTGTTTTTTGGATATGATCCATCTTCTGGAGTTTTCCAAGATCGTGGACATCAAGCTTGAGGGTATCGGAGGCGGCCTTCTTCTGACCTTTACTTGCTTCCTTTGCCTTCAGGCGGGCCTCCTCGAACTCGGCATCGTCAATGCGAAGACTGCGTTCCTCGGCCATGATTTGAGTCAGGTCAACCGGGAAACCGAATGTATCGTATAGGCGCCAAACATCGGCACCGTGGAGCTTATCCAAGCCCTTGGCTTTAGCTTGCTGGGCATATTGCTCAAATTGCCGTTCACCTCTATCAAGTGTCTTGGCGAAGGAAAGCTCTTCCTCATCGAGGATCTCCATGACATCTTGCTGCTTCCTCTTAAGCTCGGGGAACATATCACCCAGCTGGTCCACCACTGTCGGTACAAGTTTCGAGAAGAAGTTTCCGATATCAACCTGAAAGTACTTGCGAGCATAGCGAGCACCTCGGCGGAGTACTCGACGGATAACATAGCCACGTCCCTCGTTGTTGGGAATGACGCCGTCAGAAATGGAGAACATGAGGGTTCGTACATGGTCTGCGACGACACGGTAAGCGGTATCGACACCATCATGATCCTCGGCTCCGAAAAGTCCACGATACTCACGGGCCCCGGTGACATTTTGGATGGCCTGAAAGATGGGAGTGAAGACATCGGTATCATAGTTCGAGGGTTTGTCCTGGAGGACAGATACCAGTCGCTCAAAACCTAGACCAGTGTCAACGTGCTTATTCGGGAGCGATCGCAACGATCGGTCCGCCTCGCGGTTGTACTGGATGAACACATTGTTCCAGATTTCAAGCACATTTGGGTCATCCTGGTTGACCAAGTGGGCAGCATTACGTCCACCAATACGATCATAATGCAATTCACTGCAAGGTCCACATGGACCTTGATCACCCATCTCCCAGAAGTTGTCCTTCATATTTCCAGGAAGGATGTGGGATTCTGCGACACCAACAGACTTCCAAAGTTCCTTTGCCTCGAGATCTGGTTCCAGGCCACCTGCCTCATTTCCCTCAAAGTAGGTGACGTAGATTCGATCGGGATCCAGTCCATAGACCTCTGTCAGGAGGGTCCATGAAAACGAGATGGCATCCTTTTTGAAGTAGTCGCCAAAACTCCAGTTTCCGAGCATTTCGAAAAAGGTCTAATGAGCGGATATCAATAATCAGCTCCGGTCTTTGTATTTTACAAGAAGAAGAGAGGAAAAACTCACATGGTGGTAACTGTCTTTGCCCACATCATCGAGATCCTGCGCAATGCTAGTCAGAGGACTGATAACGATTCAAATAAATCCAAGAACCTACATTGTGTTTTCCACCTGCACGAATACACTGTAAAACAGGTCAGTCTGATCCCAATTCATGTTTCCAATCTCAAATTTGCGAGGAATATTATTATACCTTTTGTGAATTTGCCGCACGGCGCAGTTTTGCAAAGTCTGACTCCGGGTCAACAGTTCCAAGAAAGATGGACTTGAACTGGTTCATTCCAGCATTGGTGAAAAGCAGAGTCGGATCTGACAGAGGAACGACAGGAGATGAAGGGACTATAGGAATAAAAGATGGTCAATGGCAATTTCTTGTAGGAGGGGTAGCGGGGGGAAATATGAACTCGAAACTTACCAAATGTATGTCCATTTTTCTTGAAAAAGTCAAGAAAAGTATCTCTAACTTTCTGAGCAGTCCATTCAGACTTGGAAGTATCGGAAGCCATCCTGGCGTGGGTAAAGAAAGGAAGAGAAGTTGAAGGGTGGAAGAGAAGAGGAGAGAAGGTTCTAGGAAGTCGGGGATGAGTCAAATACTTTCTTCCCCTCAGATTCAATCCCGCATTGAATGACCGCAGCGAAGAACTTCCCATTGATATATAACAACTATCTTTCTTTTTCTTTACTTCTTTACTTCTTTCAATACCTTGAACTTAAAGTTACCCCTGACCTTGATCTTGAGCTTGAGCTTGAGCTTAAACCTGACCAAGCTTCTGGTCGGTAAATCGTTGTTATGGATGGCGAACGATCAGAATCCCCACGGCAAGAAGCGCCCCGCGGAATGTGATCCGGATGGCGAGCAACCACTAACAAAGAAATTTGGATTTCTCCAGATCGGTAGGTGGTTGAGAAATGAAAGAGTTGTGGCGGATGAACGAGACTGGGAGGGTTTGAAGTTGACACATTCCATTCCAGGTAATGAAGCTCCCCTTTCCGCTTCGGTCAAATACGATGATGCCATTTCATCTTCGATCCCATTTTCACAGCCTCAGTCTGATATCATGCTATTGGATGATACTGAACATACAACTTATATTTATGATCTGGATAAGGAATTGGCAGAGCCCGAGTCTCCCCGTGATCAGCTAGTTATACTGCCACTTGCAGCCAGAATTATATCTGCACCAGTTCGTGAATCTGTGCTTTCCAATCCAGTACAAGGCAAGGAACTGGTTCTCTACTCAGAACCAGCATCTCTGACTGTCCCTAAGGAGCATGATAGCGTGCGGAGAGCGATCATTGAATCCAGGGCAAGAGCAAGGGCTGAAAGAAAGCAGGCCGATCTCTCTGACAACATTTCACTTGAAACTCCTCCCACCCTGAGTACTGAAATGGCATACGTTGACGATCCAATGGACATTGAATAAATATTCCGAAGACATAGCACAGAGCGAAGAATGGATATTAGATGGGAGACCATCTCATTCAGGATAAGGAGCATATAAGATCACCAAGATCAAGATCAGGAATTTACAATAAATAATCAGTCATTCATATTGTCATAGTATTCATAAGGTCAATACCAAACTTCTTAGTTCTAGTTGTCCTTGTTTTTGTCTCCCCGCATTTCCCTACATTTCTCCGCACTGCACAATTGTGATATCCTGAACAGGCTTCTCTCGGTTGGTACGAGTCTGTTCAATCATGTGAACAACATCCATGCCATCAACAACTTTTCCGAACACAACATGTACGTTGTCCAGAGTTGGGGCTGCTTCAGTTATGATGAAGAATTGAGAACCATTGCTATCTGGCCCATGGTTCTACAGAAAGTCAGTCTTGGATTTTGAGGAGAGGTGTCAAGCACATACGGCCATGCTAAGAAGACCTGCACAATCATGTTTCAGGGTGAAGTTTTCGTCCGCAAAAGTTGTAGTACCGTAGATGCTGCAAGAGCCAGTTCCATCTCCATGCAGAAAGTCACCGCTTTGAATCATGAAGTTTTTGATCTATTTGATGAGTAAGTTGGAAGTTCAGAGTCCATGGAGCAAAAAAAAACCTACAACTCTGTGAAATTTGCACCCTTTGTAACCTTGGGGTTGTCCCTTGGAATTTTTGCTCTCGCCAGTGCAAAATTGTCGGAAGTTCTCAGATGTTCGAGGAACAACATTTGCAAAGAGTTCCATTTTGATTCGACCAAGAGTCTCACCTGTCATCTAATTAATAAGGGAACTCCCAATCAGAGTGGAAGACCTACCTGACAGGGCAACATCAAAGAAAACCACCGGGTTGACGGCGGCGTTAGGTTCAGCCATTTGTAGAGAGTTGTAAGAAAGTGGAAAGGTTGAGGTTTGAGGTTTGTAGAATATATAGCATAACAACAAACACCCTCATTTTTAAAATTTTTTTTTTTTAAAATTTCAAAATTTGATTACCGTTACTCTTATTATTTCTTATTCAATAGTAAAGTAATTGAAATCAAGTCTTTGTATATAAAAAGGAAGCAAATATATAAATATTTTTCTGTTCTCTCTGTTCTTGGTGGTTGGGTTCCCGTGACTTACAAGTGTCTGATCCCCTTCCGTTTTCATCTTTCCCTTTCATCTTTACTCCCTTCGTCTACTTTTTGGGAAGTACCACCAAGAAGATGTTATGAGACCTGGAATTCAAAAGATAACCCTGCTACTAATGGTCCTTTGTGGTCAAACCCCCTACTTAATGCATTTCATTGGACCGTCCTAAGCGGCGGTTCATCATCACTTCAACCCTCGAATCGCCCGAATCGCCCGACCTTTCAGGTGCTTTACCGACACTTTTCTTTTATCTGATAATCATTGGATTGAGGAATGCCTTGATTCAGAAATTAGACCGAGCTTCCAATATAAAGTGGGCAACCTGAACTCAATTTTCTACAATATTCTTTCCATCACCACCTCACTCGCAACTACAACTACACCTCGTACGCTGCCATCGAAATGTCGCCGTCAACAACTACAGCTGCTAGTAGTGCCGCAACTACAACTGGCTCTAGCTCTAACAGCTCAAGCTCTTCAAACTCACCTCTTTTATTTTTTGTCGCACTTGGATTCGGCGTTGTCTTCACCAATCTATGGTATGCCTTTCATTTTATAACCAAGAACATTGAAGAAAGCTCACAACTGCGCAGGATTATTGTCGGTGTAAAGTATTGCTTCCGATATAATCAACGGAATCGGCAATTACGCAACGAGGAAACAGGCGAGCCAATAGATCTTGTGCCCGTACATCGACCCCATCGCAGACGACGAGAGAAGAAGCTGATGACGATGGATGAAGTCAATGAGCGATTCCTCTTGGTAAAATACAAAGTATGGAGGTCATCTCGTGCCACTCAAGGTCTGCCGACAGAAGGAGGCATCGCCACAACCCCCAATAGTAGGCCACAGGACTTGAAGGACGAAGATGAGGTCCTTCCTGCACCAGTAACGGTCTCAGCAACTGCATTAGTTTCTACGAAACAGATTGAGCAGAAGGAAATAGATGCGACTGTCCTCCATGATGCTTCTTCTGGTCAAGATGGGAAAGCGACAGTGACACAAGCTGACGATAATCCCTCAATAGAACCCGGGCTCCCCTTGTTGCGACAGGAGACGGATGCAAGTCTTTTGGGAGAAAGATGGAAGCAATCCTCGGTTAATGAAAATATCGAGGAAGAGGAAGAAGAAGACGAGGGTGATTACATCCGCAAGGCAGTTCCCGCTGAGTTGCTTCCTAATCCTGGTGATTCCTGCGCCATATGCTTGGATACTATTGAAGATGATGATGACATACGTGGACTTACCTGCGGACATGCTTTCCATGCTTCATGTATTGACCCTTGGCTGACCAGTAGAAGGGCCTGCTGCCCTCTGTGTAAAGCCGATTACTACGTACCAAAACCTCGGTCACAGGTAACAGAGGGCACATCTTCAGATCGCCAAGGACGCCGTGTTGGCTCAAATCGTGGTGGTGTCACTAGACCTTCTCGAGCAGTTCGTCGGGGCCGATCGAGTCGATCTCGAAGCCAAATGACCTTCCATGATCTTTTTTTTCACCAACGCCTTTGAGGTTAAGGGCCACGCCCCCACAAGTCAGGGAAAGTCCTGCGCACATGCGCATGAATGCTTCATTTCGCCGGCTGAGTTGGTCACGATTCTTACCAGCTCGTTTACGTGGGTCTTCTCAAGTCCCTACTGCTACAGAAAATGAAGCACCAACTGAGACCAGGTCTTCACCCGAGCAACAAAACCTCACACCAGGCCAGCTTGAAGCTGGCGCCTGATATTCGATTATTATTATATTATTATTATTATTATCCGCCTTTCATGACTAACTCTGAACCCTACCTGCAGACTGCATCAACGTCTGGAATGCCTGATCAGTACAGCCCTATCCAATGTCGATCAATGTCGATGACTTGATTATTGTATTATTTATGAATCCCCATCTGATATCCCCTCGGAAAACTCGAGACAATCCTGTTGTCCAGTTTGCCGCACGAATTCCATTGTACGCAAGTTTTGATTTTAGCATTGATTGGACACCAGTTTCAATTCATTGCGCCTTTGATTAGTTTAACCCAATTTTGAATCGCACTGAGTCTACCTATTCTCATTCCTCTGAGCCTTTGTTCTTGGTAATAGCAACACTTCGCACGCAATATTCCGATACGGTAATCAAGCAAGCATACTTTGCTGATCTGTGAGTATAGTAATAATTTATATTTCCCTGTGTGCTATGGCTAGAATTCTATTAAGTGTTACCTACATAGTATGTCATTATAACACATAGCCTGATACTGAGTAGTCTTTGCCTAAACATACACTTACATTGCAGAATCCCCAGTGTCTTTGAAATAGCATTTCCTGAAGAAAGCATGTTCAAAGACCAGAAAGAAGTAGAAACAAATAATGAAAGTTGACTATTCCTGATAGGAGGACGTGTAATAGAAATGTCATGTGCATATAGCCAAGAGATAATCGAGGGGAAAAAACGAAAACCGAAATTGCCTATATAGTCTGTCAGGTCGTCTTCGACCCGCCTACGCCAGCACCAATGACACTGGGAAGTTCTTGCTGGCCCATGCTGAAAAGCATTCCAATGGCACTGCCGACCATGACAATGGCCAAGATGCTGACGCTAGCGATCAAGAAGAATGGAGAGCTAATGTCTTTTTTCTCGCACGATGGACCGCCCCAAAAGTCCTTTTGGATGGTGCCATCGCTCATTCGCTTGATAGTTGGCTTGCATCGACATGCATAACAATCGCCCGCACTCCCTTCTTTGCTAGATCCATACTTCAAAAAGCAAGATCCATGTCCCGAGCAATTGTTGGTGGCATCTGTACAGGAGGAATTGGTTGAATGACAGACAGGTGCGAGGTTCGAGTGCAGAGGCAATGCCGAAGACCTTTGCAAATCGCTCTGGGATCCAGAAGCGGTTGTCGATGACTGTGCCCAGTATTTTGTGTCTCGCCGAGAAGGGCGTGGGGGAATTATAGCCTGATCACCGAGCATTGGCAGCAAAATAGCTGTAATTTCTCGATCAGAAGATAACTTGGTCAGATCATTGAGAGTAGACATGAGAGATTCAGTGACGATCAGGTCGGAATTCGAGGTTGTCTGTATATAAAATTAGTCAAGCCATAGATTTGTCAACAAGGGCAAGTAGATTATAGATACCTTTAGCGATAACTTCGAAGCGCTTGTCATTCCATCTTTACTCAACCATGTTTCTGCAGAGTTGATTAGGTCAAGAAGACTAGGTTCAAACAGGTTCTCTGCTTGAGATAGGACAGGATCCTTGGATAGACACTCTTTGACGGACTAGAATCAAATGGTCAGCAGGTTATTATGTGCTATCAACACGAGTAGTTCAACATACCTGAGCGGCGTTTGAGTCACCATTGAAATTCCCATCGTAGAGGCAATATTTGCCACTGCCCTCTTCCATCAAAGACTCCAGATAGTCGCTGACAAGATCCGACGAAGCGCGAGGAACAAAAAGACTTTGTGGCTCTCTCTTTCGCAAGACTGAGCCTATTTAGTAGTTAGCAAAGTTTATCCTTGCTGCTTCATACAGGTCGTTAGTTGAATACGTACTAATGTCCGTACCCAGACCCTCAATGATGATAACACTCTTCTTCGCGTTTTTAGAATCCTGGCCGCTACCGAAGAGGGTGAACTCAGTTTCAGTGAACTGATTTAGACGGTCCACCATGTCTGTGTCCATTTTCCCGAGGACAGATGCCAGAGAGGGTTTTGTGCGAAGCTCCAAGATCAGCCGAGCAACATCTTCTGACACTACCTCTTGCTTGATGTAGTTCTTTCCTTGCTCTCCCGGGAATGTGAGGATTGAAGCTTCCAAGGCATTCGTTCCTAAAGCACCCGCCGCCACCAAGGCCAGGAGCTGCGAGGCCCAGCGCATTGCGTATAAAATTGGACAGATACGTCCCCGAGAACGAATTGAGGGGAAGGCAATATGTAGGGTAGATTACTGCGTTAGTCACCTTTTTCTGGAAAGGGTCTGGGGGAAAGATGATGTCCGCTTTAGCATGTGTAGCTAGCGTTAAACCACATGACCCCGATACTAGACCGCCCTGGACACCGCCGTGAAATAAAGTCTTCCAACCTGAAATGATTCTTGAATGTTACCTGATGGGAAATGAAATGCGGAATTCATTTATTCATTCAAAAGTTAAAAATTCATATTTAAAATTTGAAATTGCCAAATTGCCAAATTCCAATCCAAGGCCTAGTTCACATTAATGACTTTTCTGCCATGCAAACAGCTCCACGATTTGCGATAAGATATCACGTGGTTACCGGCCCATTCTCATCGCCTTCATCCTTTCGTTTACGAGAAAGTTTTCCGACTGGATTTGTCTCAATGATCCGGCTCAGGCAGATATTTCGAAGCCAAGCAAGTCCTTCTCGCTTCCATACCGGCGCTCGCGGAGCCAACACTGCACCTGTGACGATTCGGCATGTGAGATTCAGACGGCATCGGCTGCGGTGAGTTTCTCTCGATCTCTTTAATCTGGAGTGTATTAGTATATTAGTACGAGGCTGATGTACATATGACCAGGTCATTCTTGGGCAAATGTCTTCTCTATGGTGTTGCGTTCCACCTATGGACTTCCTTTGTTCTGGTTCGATTCGACGACGATACCCACGATACAGATGCTCCCCCGAAGCCAAGCCCAGAAACAACTGCACATCCAAGCCACCGCCGAGTTGATGAGTTAGTGGAGGAAGAGGAAGAAACAGAATCCAATTTATTTGTCCCTCTCACTTGGTCCCGGTTACAAGAGGGCGAGCTTTATGCCGCATCAGACCCCGAATGGAAGGAGTTTGTCCAAATATCAAAAGATCAAAAGAAGCTGAAGCAGTTGAGAAGTAAGCAAACAATTCGGTATATTAGCTCCAGTTTTTGGACAAAGTTAACGACCTTAGATGACCTTGCCACGATTGTTTTAAAAACTGTTTCCAGTCAGATTTCTCCACAACTTGGAGGACCGCTTTCTCTGACCGGATTTTGGCTTGTTCATCAGTTCCCACATCGTGCCCCTCCAGCGTATCTGCGATCAGGGTATGCCCACTTTAACCTACGGCTATATTACTTAACTGACTGAAACATAGTATTGCAATCACCGATGACGGCGTCTCTTGGGTAACCAAGCCCATGGATACAGAAGACGGCGATCGGCTGCAAACCTTTATGAAACCAGTCCACGTGGCTCTTGCTATAAAAGATGCTTACTTGGTGCTTATAAAGAGGCAACTGGCTCGCCTTAGAGGAGAGACGCCACATCCTCTGGAGTTGCTACGTCAGGTACATACTTTGACAAATGCTACCAGAATTGACACGTTGAAACAGCAGCCATCATCGACTGAGGAACTTTCATCAGAAAGTGTCTCTTCTACAAAGGACACAAAGCTTCATCCGTCAACTATTATATCATCATTGGGACGGCTCCCTTTGCCTGATTTGGGTCCGGGATCGGATCTACATCTCGCATCACTAGTATTCCGATTATCCCTGGCTAAACATCGCGCAAGCGCTCCTCGAACCCCTCTACGGGGTAACTTTTTCATTTCTGGTCCGGTAGGTGTGAAGGGCTCTAATGGGTTCTGCAGATATGAAGTACGCGGTGAATACGATCCAGTCAAGTCCAGTTGGCGGACAATCGATATTCAACTTCGAGATGTGAATTTTCGGCGTCAGCGGGCACTCGGTCAGACAAATTCCAATGTGGAAAAGCCGCAAGCTTAAAGTTTCTCAATTCTCTGAAATATTCCATTTTCCCTCCTATTTGCCTCTTATTTGACGATGTATTTGGGAGTTTCGATGTCTTCCATGGCACATCGAGAAGCACCTGCATCACTTAGCGACAGCGATTTATTGATTTGTGAGCAATAAACAATGAGATCCAATGTAAACTCGATAACCAAGCTGCTTTTTACATAGTTACGTTGGACTATTACAATTAACTAAATACTACCACTGTGCCCTAAGATGATGCAATCGTTAAACCGATGCAGAAGCGGGGCTGTAAATAGTACAGACCCCGCCAAATACCTTGCAACTTACTCTCCTCTCTCAAATTGTCATGTCGGTCCCTCCTAAGTTTGCAGGGCTGAAGCTTTCCACTGGCTCTGAGCCAGAGAGCCAGCATACATTGGAGATATGTAAGCCTACTTGTTCCCTCCGCACAATTGCAAACTAACTGTAACCAGACCTTGACTATGTTTGCCCAGTTGGTAACATGCTACCCCTAGTTCCAAGGTTTACTTTAACTAAAGATGCCGCCTAGTTCTCTGCCAAGATGTTTAATACAATCTGGTCATTGAAACCTTTACTTGCGCAGTATGGGTCCCATTTACAGGTGATACTTCGACAACAAATCCAGCCGTGGCATCCATCATCCACACTCACCCATGAAGCCGGTGTTGCAGTCCTTCAGCTCTCCCCCGAAAAGTTCTGGGACTTCAGTTGGGCCTTATTCCAGCATCAGACCGAGTTCTTCGATGTGAACGTGGTGAACGAAACGCGTAACAAAACATATGAGCGGCTGGCCAAGATTGCGGGATCCGTTGGTGTAGATGAACACAATGTCTTCAACTTGTTGAAGATTCCCGAAAAACCTGATGCCAATGGACAGTTGAATGTGGGTAATCAGGTCACCAATGACCTCAAATGGGCAGTGAAGGTAAGAAGTCATAAACGAAAATGAAATTCAAGAGCTTATGTAAAACCAGACCAACCGAGTCATTGGAGTTCATGTTACGCCCACTGTATTCTTCAATGTGAGCAAGCTCGACCAGTCACTTATTACACGACATACGCTAATATCTAGTCTAGGGTGTGGAAGAGCGTGGAATCAGTAGCAGTTTCACTCATGACCAATGGAAAGAATGGTTGGCTCAGAACGTGGTTTAATGGCCCCTGGTGCTCAATGCGGAATCCCGTTCATTCCGTTTTTGTTGAGTATTTTGAGAGATAAGCCGAGTCATAACATAGACACGGAAAATTGAATCATATCTCATTCCAAAAACTCCATTGTGAAGCTGTGGTGAACCAAAGTGAAACATACTGGCGTGATGTATGTCCCTGCGATAGAAAAAAAAAGAACCCCTTCCACCGAATCGCACGCGTGTGTCCCTCAAGGCATGGAAACAAAACTCCCAAACGCAAAAACTAAGTCGGAAGTTTCAATTACACTTGCGGAGGTTGGTAGTTCAGGGGTCGTCTGAATTGAGAAGGGTATCAGCAGGGAAAAGGAAGATTAGAGCTGGGGGAATAAAAGCTCTACTTACTTGAACAGAAGGATATGGGGCTCCGGTTCATGCACTTCGTAGTGTTCCCATCCCAAACTCTGGAGGAATAATCTGATTAGCTGCTGCCTGGTAATCCGAAGGTAGGACACACCTGTGTAATTCCCAATGCGCGCCATTCTTCTTCCCAAAGCAATTTCAATGTGCCCTTCGAGCTGTCAAAGTAGTCGCTGGGGATCTTCTTGAGCATGTTCTTGGGAAGTTGCACGTGACGGTATTCATACTTGTCATCTGAGTACCTGTATCGAAGTCAATGGAATGTTCAAAAGGAGGGGCAATCCATCCTACCGAGCAGAGTAGTGAATGGAGTCGATAAATTCATCTAGGCGTTCGCGCTCCGACTCCAATAGGAGGCGTGGCTTTTTGTTTCTTCTGATAGGATCGATATCCATTGCTAAAGAGAATGGGAAGAGGAAGAGTCTTTCAAAAAAAAAAAGATCGAGTGAATCTGGTTATCGCACGTGGTCAACAACTGAAACCTTTGGGATGATTGCTCGCTTCTGAAAAGGGATAAGAATGCTGCTCACTCAAGAAATTGTCGGAGTAGAGTTGACAAGGGAAGAATTCCACTTGGAAGAGCTCGAATTGGGAGAATGAAAGCGCGTGTTATGGTGTTTTTTTTTTTGGAGATTGGGGGAGGGGACTTGTTCTGCGGGACGCGGAGGGGAAGATGTGAATCCGTAAAATTTGATGCCTGAGGTGTTGGTTAATATCGATAAAAACGCCGGTTGCTTATCATTGATTATATAATAATAACAGTTACATAAGACGAGTCCCCACTCGGACGATTGCAGCGCGTACTGCACACGTCCATTGAGCTATAAAGAAGTCAACCTACTTTTTACTCGCGACTTGAGAACCTGATTCATTCAGAATGACTACAAAACGGCGCGTGGCTGCAGCTGCAGCTGCATCTTCTCCCGAAGTCAAGATGCGCAGCCAGAAACGTCGGAAAGTGTCTGTACGTTACCTTGCAACCTGTTTGGCCATATACAAATCTTGTCAAGATTATGCATATCGTACCTGAATTCAAACTATTCGCGCTCAAACAAACTTGATGAGTCGCGTCACCAATGAGGCTTAATGATTGGCATATTTTTCTGCGGCGTCTTATCTGGAACAACGCCGCGCATCGTGTCGAAAGCTACTAACTATTCTTACCCAATAGGATGATGAAGTGGATTCAGAAGACTACAACCGCGCATTTTCAGCTCCTGTGGGCGAGATAGAAGAGGAGGGAACCCCAGTATCGCAGTTCACCGAAGAACCTGAGGTGAATTTCGAAGATGATGATATGCAAACAGCGCAGGACAAGATCATGTCGGAGTTGACCCGACTCAAGGATGACGAGTAAGCTTTACTGCACAACCTATTTATCATAGCATCACTGCTAACTCCTTCCCCTCTAGCGGTGAATTGGTTGCATATCCCTTCATTGGAAAGCCCGACCGTAACCTTTACCGGGATTACTATGAGATAATTCAGTATCCCGTTTCGTTGCGAAGTATTCAAAAGAGAGTTCGCGGCACGGACAGCAGAAAGAATGTCTCGAAAACCACCGCATATCCCACTTGGCAATCCTTCGAGGAGGAAGTTGCTTTTATTTGGCGAAATGCACGGGAGTATAATGAGGATGGCAGTGAAATTTCTAATCTTGCAGGTGTACTAGAAGTAAGACCTCTTTCGATAGACTGCTCTAGTGTGGCGCGCTAACAAATATCTCAGAAGTACTTTAAACGAAGAGTGGCGGAGGCCAAGAAACACGTTCCCGATCCTGTTCAGGTAGATGGCCACCCCGAAATGCCTCGCATCAAGTTGAAACTCGGCATGAGGAATCCGGAGCCGGTGGTACAAAAGTTGACGCTGAAAATGGCTGGACATATCTCTGAGACTTCCAAAGAGGACACACTATCATCTGGATTCTCTGTCGATAACGAATCCTTGAAAAGACAACAAGAGCTGGTTCGTGCTGGATCAGGAAGCCAAGAGGTTGATGCACATATGTCCCCTAGAACACGGTCCCTTCGAAGACATATCGGAAGCCCTCAATCAAGCGCTGCCACAACTCCACTTGGTCGAGAGCAGTCTCATGGTGTGGGGCGTGACATGCTTGAAACAATCAAGGACGAGGGCCCTATTGCATCGTCCCAACAATCTGAGATGTTTTCTAATTCCCACGGCCTTCATGGAGGCTTCCTCGACCTCTCCAGGGGTCTTCCTCCACATGACGGTGAGTATACCTATACTCTGTACAGGTCTCTCAAGTTTCCCTGATATAATCGCGTGTACTGATTTCTTTCGTCTCAAATATAGTGTCAACTCAGCAAGTCTATGAGGCATCACCTATGGATTCTCTCTTAAGACGACCAGGATTTGGTAAGAAATCCTGTTAACTTTTCACACGACGCAATAATGTTGAAGGGGAGACAAGCTAATAATTTTATAGATGCCAGTTCTGCTTTGATCCGCAACGTTCAAATAATGACACATTCCTCGCTGTCTTTGCCACAAGACTTTTGCTTGGATGTTGCTGCATCATCTACATTTTCTCAGCAAACCATCACTATTAATCTTCCTCCATCACACCACATGCTGACTGTTAGGCCCACGCTCACTGATAGTACGGACCAACGGCAGATCAAGATTGTGGCTCTGGTAGGTATGCAACGGCTTCATCCATCTAGGGATTCAAGCACACTGTCATATGACATACAGCTTCATTCAGGCATAACCAAGATCGACTTGGAAGCCATATCTGGACCAGCCAGAGGAGTAGCAAAGTCTGGACCTCCAGGATCTGAGGTTGATTATGAGCGAATCACGGTTTTGTTTAATTTGCTGCGATGATCAAGGCTCGGCTCGGCTTATTCAGATGAAAAGACATAACAGCGGTCTTTAGTTTATGGGGTTTTGATAATATCCATTTATTTGTTTAGGAATGGTAGATGATATGAATTCTCTTGGAAGATGTTATGCTGTACCTATTACCTTCTCCACAGCTATTTAAATATCAGCTTTCAATCCAACCCAGAAAGTCATCCGTGCAAATAATACTTTTGGCCACATTGAAACACCCTAAAGACAAGAAAAAATACGATATCTGTCTTAACTATTGGCTAGCTATGATAAACGTTGTATGGTGAGTGTATTGTGAGGTGGCGAGACTTAAATAATTAACTAACCAAGTAACGGAAGTGATGACAAAGATTAAGATTAAAACTCGCCAAAAAAAACTCTCGGTTCCATTCACGTGACTCACCGCTCCCGCAAAGTTTTCTGCCTTTCCATGTGTGGCATTGCATTTATAAAAAAAATTCGACCCGTCCAAACCCCTCTTTCCCACCCTATTCCACCTTTCTCAATTTTACCACTCACATTCACAATGGCGGATCTTCCGGTGTACGATGGAGCGATCGGTATCGATCTTGGTATGATTATCGCCATCAAACCTTTTCAATGACCCTACTAACTCAAAACGCACAGGCACCACCTACTCTTGCGTTGCCAACTACGAGGGCACCAATGTCGAGATCAGTGCGTTCCCACCATTCGGATTTTGGACTTGAAATATCTTTATACTGACTGAATGACTTCAGTTGCCAACGACCAGGGTAGCTACACCACCCCCTCTTTCGTCTCCTTCACTGAGAAGGAGCGTTTGATCGGTGAGGCCGCCAAGAACCAGGCTGCCATGAACCCGAAGAACACCATCTTCGACATCAAGTGAGTTTTCACATCTTTCTATTCTTTGCCATTGATATATAGCACAATGGTTCTGACTCGAAATCTAGGCGTCTGATTGGTCGTCGTTTTGATGACCCCATTGTAAAGAAGGATGTTGAGTCCTGGCCCTTCAAGGTCGTCGAGCAGGGTAACAGCCAGCCTGCCGTCGAGGTTGAGTACCTCGGTGAGACCAAGACCTTCACTCCCCAGGAGATCTCCTCCATGGTCCTCATGAAGGTAAGTAATTTTAAACCAAAACGAATTCTTCCTAGATTTGAAATATGAATTTGCTCACAATTGAGAATAGATGAAGGAAATTGCTGAGACCAAGCTCGGCAAGACCGTTGAGAAGGCTGTCATTACTGTGCCTGCTTACTTCAATGACAACCAGCGTCAGTCTACCAAGGATGCCGGTGCCATCGCTGGCCTGAACGTCCTCCGTATCATTAACGAGCCTACTGCCGCTGCTATTGCTTACGGTCTTGGCGCTGGTAAGTCCGAGAAGGAGCGTAACGTTCTTATCTACGATTTGGGTGGTGGTACCTTCGATGTTTCCCTGCTGAACATCCAGGGTGGTGTTTTCACCGTCAAGGCCACTGCTGGTGACACTCACCTTGGTGGTCAGGACTTCGACACCAACCTGCTTGACCACTTCAAGAAGGAGTTCCAGCGTAAGAGCGGCAAGGACCTCTCCGGTGATGCCCGCGCTCTCCGCCGTCTGCGCACTGCTTGCGAGCGTGCTAAGCGTACTCTGTCCAACGCCACTCAGACAACCGTTGAGATTGATTCTCTCTTCGATGGTGAGGACTTCAACTCCTCCATCACCCGTGCTCGTTTCGAGGACCTGAATGCTAAGTCCTTCAACGGTACTCTGGACCCCGTCCAGCAGGTCATTAAGGACTCTGGTGTTGAGAAGAGCAAGGTCGATGAGATCGTCCTTGTTGGTGGATCCACCCGTATTCCCCGTATCCAGAAGCTCCTGAGCGACTTCTTTGACGGCAAGAAGCTTGAGAAGAGCATCAACCCCGATGAGGCTGTTGCCTACGGTGCCGCCGTCCAGGCTGGTATCCTCTCCGGCAAGGCTACCTCTGCCGAGACCGCTGATCTCCTGCTCCTTGACGTTGTCCCTCTCTCCCTGGGTGTCGCCATGGAGGGTAAGAACTCTCACTCCATTTAATTTACCCAACTATCAAGCTAACTTGTTCACAGGCAACATCTTTGCCCAGGTTGTTCCCCGCGGTACCACTGTCCCCACCATCAAGAAGGTCCGTTTTTACTCCGTTTTCTCACATTCTCAACTGTATCATGATTCTGACTCTCGATACAGCGCACTTTCACTACTGTCCAGGACCAGCAAAGCCAAGTGCAGTTCCCCGTTTACCAGGGTGAGCGTACCAACTGTGCTGACAACACCTCTCTGGGCGAGTTCACCCTTGCTCCTATCCCTCCCATGCGCGCCGGTGAGGCCGCTTTGGAGTGTGTTTTCGAGGTCGATGTCAACGGTATCTTGAAGGTTACCGCCACTGAGAAGACTTCCGGCCGCAGCGCCAACATCACTATCTCCAACGCTGTCGGCAAGCTTTCCAGCGCCGATATTGAGCAGATGATTGATGGTATGTTCTTTGTTCTATTTCGCTGGTATAACTTACTAACTGTTAATCCCCGCAGACGCCGCCAAGTTCAAGACCAGCGACGAGGCCTTCACCAAGAAGTTCGAGTCCCGCCAGCAGCTCGAGTCCTACATTTCCCGTGTTGAGGAGATCGTTTCCGATCCCGGCATGTCCCTTAAACTCAAGCGCGGCAACAAGGAGAAGATCGAATCTGCTCTCAGCGACGCCATGGCCCAGCTCGAGATCGAGGACTCCACTCCCGAGGACCTCAAGAAGAAGGAGCTTGCTCTCAAGCGCCTGATCACCAAGGCCATGTCCACCCGCTAAATATCAGCGATGTAGGATGACCAACTCATGCCTTTTAAAAATCCGATATCCAAGAATTCTAACCGGATAGATATACTGGATCAGCATGCGGGTTGGTCTATGCTTTTGTGTTTGAAGCCGGATAGCTTGGGCGCAGTATTTCCTTTTTTTCCCCCATTTTTCTTTTGCAAAAAGTACGCTTGAGTAGACGATGTTCGACGTTGCAAATTTAATGTGTAACGACCAGTTTTCTATCTAAAATGTATTGATTAATTCGTAGTTCTCCTAGTCATAAGCAGTATTGAGATGCAACGTACCACTTGATATATCCGCAATTTTTATCGCCCGGCTTCCGCGTCTTGTGAATTCCTCTTTTCCACTACCATACCCTCTCACCATGCACCGCACCGTCACTCGTCTATCATTCCACGCCATTTCGCAGTGCCGCCTAGCGTCCTGCAGTGTGCGACGCTCATGTCTGCCATTGCATACGCCGACTCTGCAAAGTCGTACCTTTGCCATTTCTCCCGCGCTGTACAAGAAGAAAGATAAAGTCAAGCACAGTTCAGCTTCTGAGCCAGGGGCCAGCCTCGCTGCAGCTTCCGAAGACCCCTTCAACTTATCCCTTCTTCATAATGGAATTTCCACGGCCGTTTCTTGTCTGAAAGATGACCTGTCGAACCTCCACGCAGATGGACAATTCAACACTGCATCTCTTGAAGCTCTAAATGTTGAATTGAGCAAGGACAGTCATGAATCAGTCGAGCTGAGGGACCTCGCTCAGGTCGTGCCCAAGGGAGGGCGGATGGTTACCATCTTAGCCGCTGAACAAGATGTGTGAATCATGGACACTGGTTTAGTTTGCCATCCTTGATGAATTCTTGCTAATTTCTTCCGTATCCTCATAGTACATCAAACCAATTACATCGGCGATTGTTACAAAAGTGTTCTTAAATCCGCAACCGGATCCTCACAACGCCCTTCAGCTCAACATCCCGATTCCTCCACCGACCAAGGAATCCCGCGACCAGAGCGTCAAAGTGGCCAAGCGAGCCTTTGAGAAGGCAGCTGGCACGGTCCGTGACTCTAGAGGGGCTATGCACAAGCGACTCCAAGACATGCAGAAGAAAAAATTAGCACGTCCGGACGACGTAAGAAAAGCTCATGAGCAGATGGAGAAGGCAACAGAAAAGGGCCAGAAAGAGGTCAAAGATCTGTTTGACACGGCCAAAAAGGCACTTGAACGGACACACAAGCCCTAGTCTTGTAGTATACAAGTCACAATTGTATTTTTAGTTACTTGAAGGAGCAGATTATCCAGCTGGAGCCTATCCTGGCAAATATTATCCTGTACGTTGTATCTAGGCGCATCTTTCCATCGATTTTTCATATCTGCACCGACTGCTTTCCATGTACTTCAACTCCGACCCGAATGTATGTTCCACCTATTAAGATGACATACGTATTCATGAAGAATGGATTGAAAACTTCGATCGGAATAATGGGACCAATGAAGGACTGCTGTAGTACATGTATGAAATGAGACTCAAAGTTGCAAATAAAGATGTAAATACAACCTTGTAACGAAAGGTAAAAAGCGCCCAGAAAATATGAAAAAAGTCGCAACCAGGGAACCCATATTGTACATTACATTTTCAAATATCTCAAGCCTCCGACCTAGTTGCGCTTGATACGACTGGACGCGATTAGGGACTCGACTTTTGCCAGAAACTGGGGTCTTTTGCCCGTAGTCTCATATGTACCATTGTTGCGAAGATTCTTGATCACATTTTCGAAAACAGAAGGCTGGGTTTTGCCTCCTTCCAGACCGGGGTATTTCCCCTGGGCGAGTGTTTCCAGCAATATCTTAGTATCCTTCGCATTGACCGCATTAAACGTGATCTCGCTCGGCTCCACAAGATCACCCGTCCGCTGGGAAATCTTGTCAGCACGGGCCTGAGACAGTCGCTTGACCTCTTCCAGAGCCTCTGCCTTTTCAGTCTCACTCTCGAACAGTACATTCTGGCCATTCCAGAGTCTTCTGCCCAACTCGTAAGGGGGAACGTATCCGTTGGGGAAGCGCCCGCTCAACGAGGTAAGCTTCTCTAGAACGGCAGCGGATCGAGCATTCACACTTGTGGGAAGTGAGGGCCATGTTTCCTTGAGCGTAGAGAAATCGATATCTTTAGGCTCGTAGCGGATAGGAGTGGGGCGAGCCTTCATAATTTGATCCTTTTCAACTTGTTCAATGGAAGCCGCAGTCAGCTCTTCTCCATCTTCTGACTCGAAAGTTCTGGGGCCTCGAGACCGAGGCTTTCGAGCCTTCTTTGCTGCGGGTTTAGGCTTGCCCTTGGTCTGGACTCCGCCTCGAGCGTTTCGCAGCCAAGGCTTGCGGATGACCTTGGGTTGCTCACCACTAGCACTTGTTGCTGCGAAAGACCTAGCATCAAGTACGCGAGCAGGGCGAGGTCGGTTCTGGGCGGGAGATCCCGGTGGCTTGTTCGCTGGGCGAGATTTGCGAGGGGTTGTTGCAGTCTGGCGCGTTTTTGAATCACTGGGGCCTTATGGGGGAGATTAGTGTAAGAACAATACAATAAATTGGCATGATTAGATCAATTGAGTGTGGTTAAAGTGTCAACGGCTCGAAATAAACGTACCAGATGGTTGGTTCTGACCTTCGGCAGATATCGCACGACTGTTGGAGAATTGGCGCAAAGATGGGGATAAGCTCAATCTTACCCGATCGCCCTGACGAGCAATCTGCCTAAGCTGGAACATTGTGCTGGGGTTGGGGATGAGGGTGTGGTGGAATCCGCCGAAATGAAGTGACGGGAATTCGAACTTGTGAGATCACGTGACAAATATCACGTACACACCTTACCCTGATCGTCCTTCTTTCTTCATATACTAATGCAATCTCCTTAAACCCACTCAAAATGCTCCGTCAGAAACCCACGGCCATTGCAGTAACGACTGAAGATATTTCTGCCTTTGAAGAAGCAAGAATTCGAAAGCTAAATGAGGACAAGAACAAGCATCCCGAGCAAAACAGAGGCAGCTCTAATGTCAACTTCGACCCGAACGATGAGCTAAAGCCTCTTCCTGGTGACAAAGCGAGAATTGTTCGATCTCGTGAGGAGCGAATTGGAATTGGCCGTCGTAATTGATCAATCCGAGGGCTATCACCATCGATATGTCTTCTATCTGAACGACTTTATTCACGCTTTTTCTTCTATCTACCATCACAAGTATGATCTGCAAATAAACACAAATCGTATTTCGAGCTGACATGGAATCATGCCAGATTAAATGAATTTCTTTAATCAAGAGAAAAGTTGAATTGAAATTACGCATAATGTGAGCCATTGACTATTCAATTCAAGATCAATATCAGAAACTTGGAAAATGAGTTCACATCCCAAGTAAGCGAACCATGCAAGAGGGTAGAATACACTTCCTTTGATTCCTATGGTGACAATAGTGAATGATCAGATCACGTATGCCCAGGTTTGCGCCCATACTATTAGAGTAATGGTACATATGTTCATGGTAGTTTTCTACCAATCACTTTATAGTTATTCAGTAGGACAAAATCTACAACTTATAACTTCGTAGATGTTAGATTGAGATTCAAAATGTTATTAACTTACCATCGAACTGCCTTGGAAGGACTCTTCGTTTGTTTGCACTGACTACCCAGGTGGTGTATTTTGGTCTAGGTCTGAGGAGAGAATATGAACTAGGTATGTGATTTATTCTAGACCCCATTTATTCAATTGGCAAGCCACTTAAAGCCAAGACTTTGTACAACAGAATCCGTGAATTTGATTCATTTTTAAATCGACGAGCGATCTTTTTGCGGACGCTTTATTTACCGAAAATCCTTCCCAATTCAAAACTTTAGTTGAAACGAGCACCGTCATGGGGCGCCGGACATCGAAAATATAACAAAGAAATACCTCCGAAGAGGTGTACGCTCGGGGGAATCAAGATAAGACGATAACAAAGTTTTGAGATACGATGGCCGTTGGCAAATAAAGAGCCGTACTCAAGAGGAAAGTGAAATGGAGGCTTAGGCGAGCTATCCTCGTCTCTTTTTCATGCCGTCGGTGGCTAAGTCTGTTGCGTAATTCCATCGTCGCTTCAAACCTTGCGGATCGTACACGCTTGCCACACTTTGTTGCCAGTCCCGTGCGCTAAATATAGCTGGAAGATTCTGGAACTGTGGCGGTGAAACAGGCTGGGTAGGTGGGATGGCGACCTTAGAGTCGTACTGTATTGGGTATTGATGATTGACCATGTTTGACATGGGCTGTGCTGGGTTGCTCATGGGCATCGGAGGAGAGTTAGAGACGGTGGAGGGATTGGCGGAAAATGCCATGTCCCATTGACTATTGAGAGAGAAAAGCAAGAGTCAGTAATAGTACCAGGATCAGAATTCAGGCAAAAGTTTTCGGCTAACGTACTTCATGATACGTGTAGGATCCCAGCTATTTTCATCAACCAACGGTGCATCTAGAGTATGGGCAGACGACGGTGGATGGGAAATCATTCCAAGGGACTGTAACTGAGAGGATGTGTCGGACTTCGAGTCTTCAGCACCAGTGGAAATCGGAGGGGTGATGGGATGTGCGCTGAAACCCACTCTGGATTGAACACTGCTGGTCACCTGATTAAGGTGTGGATGATAATGCGCATCCATAGGCGGACTGGGGTGGTAGCCGCCATCCGAGGGACTGCCATATGGAAAGCTTTGCTTCAGCTCAAACGGACGAGTGGTATCAGCAGAGAAAGCCAGCCTCAAAGAATCTATTTGGGCCTGGATTTCCGCCATGGGCCATGCAGTAGAGCATCGCTCCAGAATACGCATGTGGCGAACGAAGTATTCCCGGGCGTCGGAGTGAAATTCGGGGTCTGGAGAGGTTATTGCGATCTAATTGAGTTAGTAGTCATGCTTGAGAAGATCTGAAATAACCTACCAAGTGTAGCATGGTGCAAGTGAGGATACAGTAAATGGCAAAATTGATACCGCGTTGCATATAGAGTAGTCCTGGTAATCCAAACCTTTCAAGGATAGCCTCCTGTAATCGACAGAGGCTCTTGGCAGAGGAATAACATAGTGAGAAATGTATTTTCCAGTCCCCATCTGCTGCAAAGGACTGAGATGCCAAGAGTTGTGGGCGGTGCAGTAATATGATGCCAAGATGACAGTGAGAATGCATGTTGCCAATAAAATGAGAAGGCAGCCACGGGGGAGAACCATCGGATGGGTAATTGACTTGTAGATCTGGAGGAAGACTGCGGAGCCAATCTGCGAATAATGGGTTCTTCTGCACGAATCGGGGATCAGCGCCCCAGTCCTTTTGTTTCTTGATCTTGTGGTAAGTATCTGTCATAATGCGGATATGATGCGCGTTGCGAACAAAGTATGCATATTGCCGAGAGCGATCAGTCTCAAACGCATCTAAACCTCTTATATCTAGAGTTGGGCGCATTTCCACCGTTTCCGGATCGACACCATAGTCAGAGCGGCCTTGAATTTTGTTAGCATTCGAGAGCATAAAACAAAGTGGCTATATTTACCTTGTGGAGCTCCAATCATCACCTCGATGAGCAAGAGCGCCTGCCATACTCTGGTATGTACCAGACATTCAATTGGGCTCAGATCACATGGTCTTCCTTCGGCATGGGTACTATAGTGTTCGTGAATGTCCAAGTCTTTAGCCATTGCGACAATTGTCTTGACTGTTTGCCAAGACCGATAATAATAGCCCTTCTTGGGCAAAGACTCCCTGGCTTTGAGAAGAAGGAGCATAGCTTGTATAGTACTCAAGCGAGGAACGTCCATAAAGCTTGATTCGTGTCCTATAAAGAATGCGGTGGTCAGCAGACATGGAACCGTTGACAACGTAGTAAATCTTTGGACATACTATTTGCCAAAGCAAGCCACTGGGCGCCCTCGGACGGTTCGTCGGATAAACGTCCTGAACATGCAAAGAGAGCTTCGAGGAGAAGAGGGGAAATGGAGCGACGGTCATTTTGCCACTGATAATATAGATGGGCGCGAGATATAATAGGCAGGTAGGGGTGAATTTCATCAAAGTAGATTCTGAAATATTCCATGACGCTCTCGTCGGAGGGCATCAATTCAGGTGGAATTCGGATTGTAGCTCCTGCGCCAGTGCTGAGAGGTGGTAATCTATCCTCCACTTCATCTTGCACCGGAGCATCCGGCTCCACACGATCTGTCCGCTGTCGTCTTATATAGGGGGCTATTTGAGTGTTAGTGATTGTTATTTCTGTTCGACAGAGGCGGAAAGCAGATCGTACCGATGCCCGTCTCGTCAATTTTCAGTTCTCCAAGCACCTCGCTCAAATTCTCCGCATGGGACGAGTCATTGTCGACATATACCGCCCGATCAGCTGAAGCCAATGATGAAGACTGCGGCTCACTATACACTGAGGGCTGCGAGTAAGATTGATGTGGCATCACCATCGGTGATGATCGTATCTCGTTATATATTCCTGGTTGATTCTGAGGGGTCTGAACATATTGAGAGTACATGTTCATTCCATCGTAATGAGACACACCCCCCATGGGGTGTTGGTTGCCGTCCCTAAAGGAAGGAGGAGCCGGAAACGACTGATGGGACGACTCCGGGCCACCCGAGAGGTTCCCAGCCTCACTTGGATCTACCCCATCTGGGCCAAAATCACCATCTTGGCCGATGGTAGGAGGAACACAAACCAGTTTTAGGCGTGTACAAGCCGAACAAGGCCATGTATTTGTCGTAGCTGCATCACATTTGATCTTTCTTTTCCGACAACCATTACATGCTCGCATTACTATTTATCATGTTAGAAACCCAGTGTAAAGTATTTGTAGCCCAGGTGTTTACAACATACCTTTTAATCTTTTATGCCGATTATGTTCATCCACAAACACATAATCTATCTTCCATCAGCATCAATTCAAAAATCGCGTCATGTGCTAAGAGTATCGGGGGAGGGGGAAAGGAGGGGATGTACTTTTCTGGCCTTCTCGGGGAGGCCCCGACGGGGGCGCAAATGAATAGCCTTGCATTTCTGTGTATTTTTTATATTCAGAAGGAAGTAGAGGTCCCCAACGGGGGGATTCCCGGATTTGGGGAAAAGAGATCAAGGACAAGATTCCCCTCAAGGACCGGCCCCGAGATAGAAGTCGATATGGATGAGTAACGCGGACGAACTAGTGCGAAATGGCAATGGGAATGCGGAGGAAGCCGAGTCGCGTATGTCCCGAAACACCAGATCAAAAAAGGACAAAAAAAAGATGTACAGTCGAATGGGCCCCGCTGGCGATGTTAGAGCGTTGCAAGATCAAGGGAAATGCGACTAACTCTCCACATAAGCAGGGAGTCCCCTGGAGAGATAATTTGGGCGTAGAATTAGGACAATTGACTCTTCAAAACCGGGGTGTGAATGCTAATGCGCATAAGAGGTTAGTTTTCCCGCGTCATGCGATCAAGCGCGTCAAGGGCGTCCAGGGCGAAAAGACACAGATGCGTACCGTGCAGAACGAACAATTGGTTGGGAGAGCCCACAAAGATCGAAACGGGGAGCATCATGAAGCATTAAGAAAAGGTGGAGACGAGGGGAGGGGAACAGCCATTCATGGAGGGGAGGTTTAGTTCAGGAAAAGGGAAGGAAGCTGAGAGAGGGGTGCCAAGAGCTGGTAAGATTAGCACCCAATGACACCCATGTGGATTCGGTGAAAGCGGTGGAAGTACCTTAGGCAGAGAGAGAGGCTATCCGAAATAACCTTACAAATCAATGCCATTTAACGTTCTCGGGTCCTCGGTATTCTCCGGATAGCGTAAATCCTACTCTCTATTTGTCTTTTTACTCTTCACTATTATAATTCTATTATATATCTTCGAATATAACTATCATTCTTACTCCACATTATATGATGAGAAATATGGATGGGTAAACAGAATAGTATCCACCGATTTATGGATCAATTGTTTAGTTTACAGGTTTAGCGTGTCTTATTTTTTACCAGGAAATCAATTATTACCCTGGCGTTCGATAGTCCTCGTTAGTATGGATGTCTTGACCCGCGTTTTAAGATGAAACCGCCATCTTTCTTATTGCTCCTCTTATTTCCCCTATTTTATTTTGTGAAAGGGGGAATTTTTTATTTTAATTATTATTATTATTTTTTTTTAAAAAAAAAAAATAATAATAATTAAATAAAATGAGAGATGAGGCGGAGGCAGGTATTCTGGAAAATTAACATATATGGAATGAAAGAGTAAGAGCTGGAACCGCCATAGTTACAAAATATCCCGAGTGGAGATGTCTCGGCCGTGAAGACCTCAAGTAATTTGTCCATACATCCCATGTGCCTGGGACCAGATTCAAGCGTATCCAAGTTTGAGATCTTATAAATGGTCGAATAAAGTACACATGAGAATGACGAGTAAATAATGGATGTGAATATGTGAAATTAAAGAAAAACAAGAAAAATAAGAAAAATAAATAAAATAAATAAAAAAATAAAGAGTCGAGGGTTAGGCCGAAAATACCCAGGTGATCTGGTAAGCACGTGAATTGATAAGTCTTATCTTTACCACAATATCTTCTTCATACCTACTCGGATGTAGTCATTGCATTCATCATGGCGGAAATCCAAAACTCCAACCCCACAATCCTTAATGTGGCAGATCTGCCAACAAGATCTCGATCCATCGAGAAATCAAATGATCATGCTGGTATCTTTGCCGCCATTGCCAACCCCGCTGATTTTCTCTCGGACCCGGAAAGTGATGACGACCTATTGGAGGAGCCCATTGACGAACAAGAAATATATGGTACTTTTACTTCCTTAATTATATCTGCACTTGATCTAACCTGGCTCTAGATTTGATCAAGTCCATCTCTGATCCAGAACATCCAATCTCACTTGGCGAACTGGCCGTCGTCTCTCTTCCAGACATCTCAATCAAACGCACTTTGCCCAACATTCCTGATTCACCTCTTCAGACTGTCACTGTCCTTGTCACACCAACTATCACTCATTGTAGTCTAGCTACTGTCATCGGTCTTGGAGTTCGGGTGCGATTGGAACAATCTCTTCCATCCCGCTTTCGGGTTGACGTGCGCATCAAAGAGGGAACCCATAGTACCGGTGATGAGGTCAACAAGCAGTTAGGTGACAAGGAGAGAGTGGCAGCTGCTCTGGAGAATGGAGCCTTGATGCAAGTCATTGCCAAAATGATGGAAACGTGCCAATGAAATATGAATTATGAAACATTACGAACTTAGTCATCCTCTGATAACTTGTTAACTACGAAGCTACTCATGTGATAGAATGTCAATCTGACATTATTTCATTTGGATTAAAGTAGAGCCACAAACGTATTGAGTTACACTCTCAATACAGACTCCTCAAGATAAAACCCTTCCCGCAATGGGTTGAGTTAAACTCCGACTCCTCAAGAAAAAAACCCATCCCATCATTTTTGTTATCAGTTTTTTGGGAGCCTAGTAAGCCCGCCAACTATATTTCTGGCATTGACTCCAAAAACTTATTGATGGACACATCCTCCGCCAAACCCTTGCGTCTTCTGGTCTTGAGCATGAAGTCACGCGCAGTGGCCATAGCAGTAGCGATCTCCAGGGGCCGCAACTCGATTGTCTGGTCGAGAGGGTCACCAGGAACCACACTCCATTTATCAAACTCTAGACTGACCATGGAATGACCTCGAGTAAAGATACGCACATCTGTCTCAAATCCGAATGAGTCAATGACCGGGATCAAACCACGAACAGTGTAAAGAGGAGTGCCAGCAATAGGACCGTCGGATAAGACGTGGCCTCGTCGGCGAGACAGAGTAGTGTATACCGCGGCAACTGTATCGGAAGGGCCTGTAACGGTGCAGGCGTAAATCGGTTCCATCAGGCGGGGAGCGGCCGTCAAGAAAGAAGAGTAAACGGCACGTCGAGCCGTGGGAATGATCTGACCGCCACCACGGTAGATGGCTTGTTCGGCAAGTGTCACGTCAGTAAGTTTGAACCTGGTGTTACGAATAGCTAAAGTAAGATAGCGTATTAGTTACTGTGACTGCTGTCCTTAAAACAAAATGTATAAACCCACGTTCTTCACACAAGGGGCCTTCACGGGTGCCCCAGCAGAAACCTTGAGTGATTGAGTCTCGGACGGAACCAAGTACTTTCTTGTCCACTTGCGACGGCAATGTATCATCTTGAAGGATGTTGGGGCTCATTTCGTCGGGACCAAAGGCCCAAATACTACGGGCAGCGAGCTTGTCCCAGTCATGGGTCTCTTCGAAGTAGCGAGCTACCTTGCGGATAGGATCCTTGATGTTGACTTTGCCACTTTCAATATCTTGAGCAATCGCATCATCCAAAGATTCCGCTCGCATAGTAATCATGTTCTTTTTGTTAGGGGTGGTAGAAATGCACACCTGCGACGAGGTTTCGACCACTGTCTCACAAAAACGAGTAACTGGGTCTGAGACCTTGATTTGCATGTCGGCGTACAGTCGTCGAAGATCATGTAGCACACAGTCCATGTAAAGCTCACCTGTGCCAAGGATGATATGCTCACCTGACTCTTCAACCTTGGTAGTGATCAAAGGATAGCTCTTGCCAATCTTGCGCAGACCATCTAACATCTTGGGCAATTCGGATGGATTGACTGGCTCCACCGCAACCTTGAACACAGATTCAGTCATGTGCATAATAGGGCGGAAGATGAAAGCGTCTTCATCATCCTCCAACTTGAGAGGCACCAGAGTTGCTGTCTTCACAATGGAATTGTCCACACCACCGAGAAGTATCAAATTGCCCGCTGGGACACCATCAGTTGGGACGTTGTAGGCGGTTTCCGCAATATATGTGTCGGAGATAGTCGCAATGACCATATCTTCCTCATCGTCAGGGGAGTATCCCTCACCCAAGACGCGAACTTGTTGACCAGGCCGAGCAGTACCACTCAGCACTCTTCCGAACGCATTGAATGTCTGTGCGTCTTGGCTGCTAAAAAGCTTGGTGATGTGAATCACGAGGGGGCCGTCCTGGTCACATGCGACCATCGAAGCGGCAATCTTGGAATCCAGAGGGCCAGTGTAATAATGCTCCGAAAATCTCTGAGCCCCTTCGACTGGAGATGGGATATGCTGGATAATCATATCGACAAATCCGGTAGGAGCACCAAAGAACTCACTGCAAACCATGCTCAACAGTTCCTTTGCGCCCGATTTCAGCTGCGAGGGCTTCAGGTGGATACCTACGCTGGCCAGTGTGATTTCAAGATCGTTGGGGCTTTCACTAATGGCGTGAGAGTAGAGCTTGTAGATTGGCTCCAACACAAATTTGACAAATCCTCGCTTGGAGTTCTCTTCCATGGCTTTGCGAGTGAACTTCCGACTCCGGGGATTGTAGAAGATGTCGCCCCACAGCCGATCAGCGAATTCACACGAGTCGAGTTTAGGATAGGTTTCACTGTACTTGAGTGCCCAGGACTGTAATGTGAAGCACCAATTCATCGAGCTTGAAGCAAACGCGACATTTCCCTTCTCGGGGCTCAATCTTCGCTGCTCTCCCTGACCAGGCAAGGCGTTTTCAATCACCGTATTGACCTCCTCAATCACATGTTTAAGTTTAAAATATGCGTCATTCGGCGGCAATTTGAGGTCCAAAATGAGGCGATCCACCTTATTCAAAATCAATGTTAAGGGGATATCTTCAATGACTGCATGTTTGATGATGTTTTCCGTATTGGGCTGTACACCTTCCACTACATCCACAACAAGGACAACACCATCGACCAAACGAAGTGAAGCAGCCACTTCGTCGACGAAGTTCACGTGTCCGGGTGTGTCAATGACGTTGATTAAATGGGATTTGCGGTTAGAGGCTGGGAGAACTAGGGTCATCGGTGCCGCCTTAATTGAAAGACCCCGCTCTCGCTCCAATAAGCTGACATCTGTGTAGCGCAACTGTTGGTCCCTTCGTTTGCCTGTCTGACGTTCGAGTCGTTCCGAAAGGTCGTGTGTTTGTTGGACCAGCATATCCATAAACGCAGTCTTTCCATGATGTAGATGGCCCATCAACGCAACATTTCGGGTCTGGTCTGGATGGTTAAGCATATCTGACATGAATTGTCGGGAGAAGTAGACTTCTGGAAGCTCGGTCTCTTGGATGGTAAATTTCTTCTGCTGGACGGGGGCGATGATCGGTTCCGAGAGCGGCTGCGCATCTTCCTCTTCAACGAGGGTTTCGACATCGACACCGTAGACCTGCTGTGCGCTAGGATAGTACTGCTTGTCCTCGTGCAAGATGACGGCGTTTGAAGGTCCATCTGCGCAAAAACACAAATAAGCATCAGAATGCGCCCGAGGAACAGCTGAAAGCAACTAGAGACTTACCATCAATTTCCATTAATTGCTGGTCATTGACAGATTCTTCGTCCTCCTCATCTGACTCAAAGTTCACCTGCGGAACCTGAGTTGCTTCATGTTGCTCGTCTTCGGACTCGGCATCGCCGATGTAGTTACCGAACCTGACTGTGTTAATAATTGATCAAAAGAGAAGGATTATAAATTGGTGATGGAAGCCTACTCATCATAAAGATCTTCCATGGTGGCGTGTATTGGTTGAAATAACACAAAACTCGCGCGTGAATGGAAGGTTAAATGTTCATGTTCATGTTCTCAACTTTCACGTGGTCCAAGCATCCATCACCGGGCAAAAATATCACCGCCCTATACACCGCCTAATTAATGCCGCCAAAAACAGTCCACAAGCTGGCCCGAGCGTTGAGAAGTACTAGAGCCTACACCGTACAGCTCCTCACTCTCCACTGTATAACTAGGCCCCCCCGCTCTTTTACTCGATTCTTCCCCCCTTAATCTCTTCTACATTTTCTCAAACAATATACCCATTCAAATCCCCAAGATGTCTTCCCTTCCCCCCGTTTACATTGTCTCTACTGCCCGTACACCAGTGGGCTCGTTCCTTGGGTATGATATACAAAACTTCCCCGAGAAAGAAAGCAAACTAACATCTTTTGTTTTGTAGTTCTTTGTCAACCCTCACTGCTCCTCAGCTCGGTTCTCACGCTATCAAAGGTACAATCATAGCCCAATTTTCAGATTTTGACCATCAAAACTAATGATGAAACTATAGCTGCTGTCGAACGGGCCGAGGGTATCAATGCCTCTGATGTTCAAGAAGTCTTCTTTGGCAATGTTTTGTCCGCAGGGTAAGTAGCTGATGAACTCTCAATTGACTGTTTTGAAACTGACCTCAAAAATAGTGTTGGACAGAACCCTGCTCGTCAGTGTGCCATTGGTGCTGGTCTTGAGGAGTCCACCGTCTGCACCACTGTTAACAAAGTCTGTGCCTCGGCTTTGAAGGCCATCATTCTCGGAGCTCAGACTATCATCACTGGAAACGCCGATATCGTCGTTGCTGGTGGTGCCGAGTCTATGTCAAACACCCCCCACTATCTCCCCAACATGCGCACTGGTGCCAAGTACGGTCACCAGAGTCTAGTTGATGGCATCATGAAGGATGGTCTACAGGATGCCTATGGAAAGAAGGAACTAATGGGCTTGCAGGCTGAAGAGTGCGCTCAGGAACACGAGTTTACTCGTGAACAGCAGGATGAATATGCCATCCGCACATACCAGAAGGCCCAGGCTGCTCAGAAAGCCGGAGTCTTCGATTACGAGATTGCCCCTATTGAGATCCCCGGCTTCCGTGGCAAGCCCGGTGTGACTATCTCTCAAGATGATGAGCCCAAGAACCTCAACCCTGATAAGCTGCGTGCCATTAAGCCCGCTTTTATTCCCGTCACTGGCACTGTGACTGCTCCCAACTCCTCTCCCTTGAACGATGGTGCTGCCGCTGTTGTCCTTGTATCTGAGGCTAAGGTCAAGGAGCTTGGTTTGAAGCCCATTGCCAAGATCCTGGGCTGGGGTGATGCCGAGCAGACTCCTAGCAAGTTCACCACTGCCCCTGCCCTGGCCATCCCCAAGGCTCTTAAGCATGCTGGAGTGACTCAGGATGCCGTTGATGCGTTCGAGATCAATGAGGCCTTCAGCGTTGTGGCTCTTGCCAACATGAAGCTGCTTGGCCTATCTGAGGACAAGGTCAACATCCACGGTGGTGCTGTTGCCATTGGCCACCCTCTGGGTGCTAGTGGTGCCCGTATTGTGTCCACCCTGATCGGTGTCCTGAAGGCTAAGCAGACAAAGATCGGCTGTGTTGGCATTTGCAATGGTGGTGGTGGTGCCAGTGCTATGGTGATTGAATCCTTGTTCTAAATGGCTTTTATTTAATGATGTACGGATATCCATGACAATTATCTACTCTCTACATGTGAGATAGATACCAATCGCAAAATTTCGGAAATATAGATACTGCAGGCACAAAATACGCAATGCAATATAAATAATAAAACATTTCATACCCACATAGTGAACATATGTGCAACCGTGTGAACTGCCCAACTATCCAGGTAACTTCCAAGGTTCAGCTCTGGACCTCGGGAATTAGAGGGTGCCCAGGTGGCTGTCTAGGTATATTCCATCCATTTCAATGCCCAAGGTACCTACCTACTTACCTAGGTTCCCGGGTCTCTATTTTTACATAACTCAGAGGCTCAGGAACCGCTAATTACCCCCGTACGTTCATCCATGAATATTGAGTAGACACAATGTCTAATTGTTTGTTTTGTCTATTATGAGAACAAGATAGGTCTAAAGCCGGGGCCTTCATTTTCTCCCCCTTATGCAAAAGCTCCAACAAATGCCATTAAGAGAGCTCCACACGCGACAGATATACATGCCTCTACTCGTCGTCGGCCTTTGAGAGTCTCATAACTTGATTCACTCAGGAAATCCTCTGCCAGGAGTTCCACAAGACCCGCGAAGAGTAACAGGCCGCTACTGATGGCGTTGGTAATGCCAACCATGAGCAGGCCGGTTGCGCTTGCAGGATCATAGAAATTATGCAAGACCAGACCAATGGCTTGACCAAGAGGAGTTGTTGCACCATAGGCTAAACACATAAGCCAGGGTTTGGGAGATGACGGAGAAAAGAGATCAGGGATGAGGGATGCGATGCGTGAGCCCAGGGCGAAGCCCTCGAAAGTCTGGTGGAAACTAATGGCAACTAGGAGGACTACAAATGATGTCCCAGTTGCAACACTTAGTGCCATACCGATGAAAATACTGTGGAAAAGGATACCGGCTTCCAGAAGTAGGCACTGTAGCAGCTGGCGCTGTGGATTCTGCATCGGTAACTCCGACGCTCTTCTCGTGTGTCGATGATAATTATGATGATGGATAGAAGAACGGTCCTGCCCAGTAAGCAGATCATCGTCTGTATAAGATTCAGGCCCATCAAGATCGGTAGCATTCTCCTTACCGGATTCTGCATCAAACGATTGTCGCCGCTTAGAGCCGTTAGAAGAACCTGAAGCTAGATCCGTGCCTTCTGTTTGGGAACTTTGTGGTATGTCTTCAAGGCCAATGTTGCCCTGAGCCTCATTGGCATCCAGGCGTGAGTAATCTGTAGTTTCATGACCAAAGTCATCCGATCTACGACTAATATCACCCATTATAGCATCGTAATCACTACTATGCACATGGCCCGCACCTTTCATAGCGAAAAGCATCTCCACGACAACGACAGCAAATACAGATACCATGGCGACAAATCCGGGCATGGCGCGATACGTATGGCTCCAGAAGCGAGGCAGGCATGGGTCCGTCAAAGAAACGAATGCGGTCGGGAGCAAGTGGACAAATGCTGTCGCGATCAAGACCCCCGTTCCAAAATGCCTTGAAATGAAAAGGAACCGGCGTGGGATTGGAAGACCTGGGAATCGGCGTGCCATGACAGGGAAAGAACATGCTGATATATAAAATGTCTATTAGTCGTTTTCCTCAAGTCGCATGGAGAGAACCTACCGAGAGTGCTGAGTCCTAGAATGAGGAATAATGCCATGACATGCAAGGGTGTGTTATATGTTCCCCGACTCCCAGAACCACATGCCGGTGCATTCACCGGGTCTGAGGCTCGAATAACATGTCGTCGTTGGAGCTCTGCTCTTAAAAGTGATTCTGGTATATTAGAGATGGCGGAGAGTGTTCGATTGAGCGCTATACAAAGAGTTAGTTCGATTCTAACAATCTCGTACAAGGCAACTCACCTAGAGATTTTTCGCCTGTGTCAGGCCAGACTTGAGCACTCTGCATCTTTAACAAGGGTGGGTGCCAGCCACAACCCCCAATTCAGTAGAGGGCAATTCGAGATGGTAAAATTGTTGCTACCAAAAAGACTTGAATCTCAATATTCTCCTGCAACTTTGCAAGCACCGAACAGGAGATCCAATCTCGGGAGAATTTCCATTATGAACAAAAGACAAAAGACTGGGGCCAGAGTTACCTTTAGCAGCATATCTTTATCACGGCATCTTAGTAATGCCGCCCCGGATTTAGTAGTCACCATCAAACTAAATCTATGTATTTCAAATTTTAAAAATTATTACAAGATCCAGCGTAATATATATGTATATCAATTCATAATTACGTGTCTATCTACTGTTGAGTTTCGTCCAACCACTGGACCCTTTTCGACGAGTCTCATCTGTTGTTAGATTGTTGTCCCTGCCCACGTGCGCTCCAGGTGGAGTAGAAGAAAGCGGGCCAGGGACTATTGGTTGTTCATGTTCATCATCCCACTCCTTCTCTTCTAACAACTCCCATTCTGCACTTGTCATTTCTCCAAGGAGATTAAATTTCAGTTTGTCCACAATTCGAGTGGGCGTGGGTAGCTTCCAGGATCGAACAAAATCAGATCCCTCAGCCGCCCCAAGGAAAGAATGAACGGTGCCGTGCGAGTAGTGTCCCAACATAGGAAAGGATTTGGGGCGTTGAATAGTGGTCTGGGGGGAGTCCCTATTGGTTTTCATTTTGGCTTGCGTATCTCGACCGGCAAAGGCTCGCATTAGAGTCGACGGTTGAGCTGGTGGCCCAACAAGTAGTTGCCACATCCCTTTTCCAATGTTGCACACTTCCTCCCATGAGTCGGATGATAGGTTGATCCCCTGAGTTCGACAAAGCCAAGCAACATCCCAGGCGAGAAGCGCAGCTCCCTCAATAAAGTGAGCGTAAGTTCCAGGATCTTCCTTAGCCAAACGAGGTAAAGGTTTATCAATAAAGAGTGGCCGCGGCCGTGGTTGAGAGCGTACTTCCGCCATCCTCGACGTTGTGGGGCTGGATGTAGAGGTTTGTGGAATAGAAGAGCCATCAGGAGCCTCACGCGAGTGATATGATGCATTGGGGGCAAATATAGTCGGGGTAGGATAATTTCGGTGGGGTAAAGTGATCTCCGCGGGGAGTCGCAGGGAGAGATAGTGCGAAACAAGTATGAGGAGGTGTGCGATGTTGGATAGTGAAGTTGAGATCTGAGCTGGTGTAGCACCTAAATTTCTAACTTAGTATTTATCATATGAATATTGAAGGTTGGGATGGAAACATACCATTCATATCTCTCAGATCTACTATAGATATGCCTCCTAATACATAATTTGGGCGCGCATCCGCTTTCTTCGTGGTCTTCTGTCGTAGACCATAGAGATGGGCAGCTTCTCGACAGAGAAAGATTCTTGCTTCAGCTGTCTTGCTGTGTAATGAGTGCCAGAGGTGCTCAGTCCGCTTGGTTGTGTTCTGTATCCCTGTCAAGATGGCAGTCTCCCGCTCCCCGAGCTGGTATCGAGCAGATTCAGCATCAGAGCGCCTACGGGCCAATAATCCTTTGCGCTCAAAGATACTGTTCTTCTTAGCTTGAATATCTTCTTTTAAGGTCTTGATTTGCTGATCTAGAGTATCGCTCCGTGACACTGAGCCAGCTTGTTGACTCAAGATCGTCTGCAGGGCCCAGCACTTGAGGGTTTCAGGGTCTGCCCTCGATGAGCCGGCTTCGACTTGCGATTTATGAGAAAACTGATGGCAGACGGCGACTTCAATTTGTTTTTCTACCACACCCTTCTCCAAAAGGACCCGGGTATTCTCTAGGCGTAGGCGATAAAGACGATTGCGGACACACGTCGGGCAGAGGAACGACAAGCGGGGGTGAGCAGAGGCGCATATGTGACAGCTCATCGCAAATATTCGTATAGTTTAAACGGGGTATATTGAATTTCCATGGTGTGTCGTGGAAGCTACCAGCGCTACCATAACTATGAGGATGAGGCGGCGAAGCCTGAGGTGTCACTAAGTTCCTGGTGATGTCGTCACCTGACGTGATCGATTTGCGGAAAGCGCTCTTTAACAAACAAAGCAACCGCCATATTTTGATTTCTAGCACCACGGACTCTGGAGTCCGATGCACCGCTGTTTCTCTCCTGTCATTCTATAGCTCTAAATTTGGCCAAAATGGAGTCAACCGGTGCCACTTCAGGGGAAATTCAGCAGACTCAAAGCCCGGAACCAATTGAACCAGTGGTCAACGCTGGTTTTCCTCTCGTTGCTCAGCTGACTCAAGGAATCGAGCTCTGTAACTGGGATCAGTTGCAAAACAAATATGCCGATGCTATGGATGAGCACAGTCGTGTGGAAGAAGAACTTCGTGCTCAGACTAAACAGCTACTTGAAGTAAATAAATTCGAATTCTCGCTTGGTGCTGCTATCTCTGATTGTAACAACCGAACAGGCTTTCACTGCATGGTCCCAGACTACTGTGCTACAAGATGAAGACCGGGCCTTGAAACGGTGAGAACGCTCGAGGAAGTGAATTTCGCAAATTCGTTACCTAACATTGCGCAGATTCAAGACGCAGATGCAGCATGTGCAAAACTCCGAAATGAGCATGGAGAACAAGAAAAATCATTGTAAGGCTTGACAGGCCCATATGTTGTCCATGGTCCCAAAGCTAACACTCGACCAAGATATGGAAGTTGTCAAAGCATTCCAGAGCGCTCTGGCTCTGCTCAACGAGCAACAGCTCAAGATTTGATGAACAAATTGACATCAAAGTTCCTTTCAAAGCAACCGCAGGCTGGACCATGACAAGTTGCGAAAAACTTCATTCCTAAATTCCATTCCTAAATTTCATTTTTAATTAATTCACTTTGAGAATGAAAGACCTATCAATCACATGGCGTGATAACAAGGACAGATCCAAAACTAATATATGAATGACACGAGTTGTATTGATCGTCTGTCTCAGCCTTAGTTTTAGGTTTGAGAACGCCCACTGCGGCCTGTTCTGCCTGTTATGTCTTGCCAGGAGGCATTGAAGCGTCTGCCCGTGTTAGCCAGTAGGCCCTCTTCTTCTGCCTCTTCAGCATCTTCATCAAGTTGTCTCTCATCCAACTTCGGTGACCGGAAGAGTGAGGTCAAAAAGACGATAAGATAGAGCCCTATATAGTACGATAAGGTCAGTTAAATTGGTTTCTTGGGCAAAATAGTATCGGGGATGGACTGACCAAGAAAGAAGAATTGGGCCCAAAAGAAAACGACCCCAAAAAAAGGGAAATTGATAGTAGTCCGATTGAGGAAGGTGCTGACAATTGTGGGAGTGCACACTAGCTGAGCAACAGGATTATCGGAGAGTTCAGTACACGGCTTAACAAGTTCTGGAGTGTCTGAGCAATCTGGTTGTTCGAGAGGCGATGTTGTCAAACGATCACAGAAGCTCTGTGGTCCAAATGTGGCGTACTGCGGAGCCACCAACATGGAGATCGAATAGTTCAAAGCCAGTATCATCAGCATTAACATCGCTGTAGCTAGAAGTAGAGCCTGAGGAGAAGTATGGCCATTTCGAATTTTGAAAATCCTGATCCAAAGAAAGCGGATACCTATCACCGCAATGCCGACGACGGAACTGCAGAATAGTAGTAGGACAAGCAAAGTGAAGATCACATAGTCGACTGGAAAGACTTTGGCAGACTGGACAAGCGCCCAGTTGATTGGGTTAAACACATTAATGTGCCCGAGAATATATCCACAGCGCTGTTTGCAGATTGAATTCTTGGCTTTGTCAATGGCAGTTAAGAACATCGAGATCCATGTCACGAATGCGACCAAGAGCACGAGAATGCCGCCGAGGAGTCTGAAGGGGCGAAAGACTGCTTCGATTTGGTACCATACCCGTATAAACCAACTTCGACCCTCACCCTGTGCTTCCTCGACCAGGCGTTGCCGTCGGATCAGAGTCCTCTCATCCCGCGTCAGAGTATCGAGTTCTCTGCGGTCCTTTGATGAGAGTAGCTCCGGGTTTCCTGAACAACGACCTTCAAGTTGGCGCTGGCGCTCTCGGTTTATCTCCAACTGTTGTGCAGTTGTCACACGCAATTTGGAATTGGAGATTGAAGGTGCAGTTTTGATCAGTCTGATGGGGAATAGGGCAAGTCCTGACGAAGTGTACAAGACATAGAGGAAAGTACCAAGGGTGATCAGCAATCCCAGTGCAAATGTCAATGCGTGTTCACCATCTGTGTTTATCTTTAAGCTTCGAAATAATCAAGAACGGACCAGAGCAGAAAACTTACGGTTCTCAGTAAGCAGTTTCTTGAAGTAATCCAAGTCCAACCCAGTCTTATGTCCAGAGACAGGGACAAAGAAGCCGACTAGGAATAGGATAACTATAACTGCGACAAAAGCCAATGTGTACTTCAGAGCGCCCCAGAGTCGCTGTCCTACACTTTGTTCCCCAGCCTCGATCGCCACTTCGTCACATTCCTCATACCAAAAGTAGGTAAAGGGTATCACCAAGAGACATAACAAGGCATCTAGGGAGTAAAGCACATAGTAGACAATAGTCAGTGAGTATGTAATTTTGTCAACAGCATCTTGAGTAGCCCAATCTTTTCGGCAACCCAACTTGGACGAGGTGGTTGATGACACTAGAGCAACATCAACTGGAAGTAACAACACAGTTGCCAAGAGACTAGTGATGGAAATGATGCATGTCAGTGTCACTGAAGGTGATCTATCCCTTGGAGTTTGATATATGTAAATAAAGACCGAGGCCACTGCTAGCAGAATACCTATGGTGACGGCATAGATTATCCAGATCAGAGATGTTTGGAGAAGTGCCATCTTCAAACAAGCAAGTCCTTCATGAGAATGATCAGTAAAGCAGGGAGAGATTTCTCGATAGAATTTCCTAGATCCCTCGGTTTTAATTCAAATTCCAATAAAAGATGACCCATGGGAGAAGAGATGAAAGGTTTCAGATACAGGTCAGAGCTTCTACAAGTGGTTCTTTTGTCCGACTATCCGATTGGTACTGTCGTCATGAATACTAACCACGTGATATATCTTATCATCTTATCGCCATGTGACATCGAGCTTTCCTTCATGACCGCCCTGATTTAGAATTTGGAAGTATCTTGCTCTACTGTGCTAGGGAGTTATAATTTCTGGGGTTTAAGGTCTATGTGACTTCAATGTGCACCTAGTACAGTAGTACCCACACCTATTGCTAGGACCTCAATTCATCTGGAGAATTTCGAATATCCCCAGTATTGTTCTTGCAATGCAGTGCTATACGGAGCTCCTCCCCCCAACGGGTGTAAGCCATGCATTGGCGATCCCATTTCTTTCAGCATCAGCCGACAATCTGATTGTGGTTCGATCATCTCTCCTGCAGGTGTTCTCCTTGCGAAAGTCCTCACCTCGGCGGCTTACTGAAAGCACCGAGACCCACTCGACACACCCATCAGACACCAAGCTGGTCCTAGAAAAAGAGTACTCTTTGCCTGGCTCAGTTACTGGTTTGAGCCGGGTCAAGCTACTGAACACTAAAAGTGGCGGAGAAGCCATTCTATTGGCTGTTCGCAATGCAAGGCTCAGCTTGATTGAGTGGGATCCTGAGCGTCACAATATTTCAACCATATCAATCCATTATTACGAACGAGATGACTTAACTCGAAGCCCATGGCTACCAGACCTGAGCCGCTGTCCAAGTATCCTTAGCGTGGACCCCAGCAGTCGATGTGCAGTGTTCAATTTTGGAGTCCGCAACCTGGCCATTTTACCATTCCACCAGGCAGGAGATGATTTGGTCATGGATGACTACGACCCTGAGCTTGACGAAGAACGCTCAGGTCTGGGTACTGGCAATGGAGCAGATCAAGAGAACAGCAAGCATGACTCAACATATCAAACTCCTTATGCTGCCTCGTTTGTTCTACCATTAACAGCCCTGGATCCCTCGTTGTTGCACCCAGTTAGCCTTGCATTTCTTTACGAGTATCGAGAACCGACTTTCGGCATTCTCTATTCCCAAGTCACAACATCCACCGCACTAGTTAACGAGCGAAAAGACGTCATGTTTTACACCGTCTTCACACTAGATCTGGAACAACGAGCATCAACGACTCTCCTTTCTGTTTCGCGGCTTCCAACTGACTTGTTCAAGATTGTGGCACTCCCACCTCCCGTGGGAGGTGCTCTACTAATCGGTACGAATGAGATTGTGCACGTGGATCAAGCCGGTAAGACCAATGCCGTGGGAGTAAATGACTTCTCCCGCCAGGTCTCCTCATTTTCCATGAGCGACCAGTCAAATTTAGCCTTCCGTTTGGAGGGTTGTATGGTGGAGCGCCTCGGAGGCGAGAGCGGTGACGTTCTGCTGGCACTAGCTTCTGGCGATATGGCATTGATCAAATTCAAGCTCGATGGGCGATCGGTATCGGGTATAACAGTCCATTCTCTACCAGCTCAAGCGGGCGGAAATCTATTGAATTCGTCTGCCTCATGCTCTACTTGTTTTGATGATGGTAATATCTTCCTCGGTAGTGAGGATGCAGACTCTGTGCTCCTGGGGTGGTCGAATTCGTCCATTTCTTCCAAAAAGTCACGGCAGATATCAAAGCAGGGCAATGATGAAGTTGAAGTTTTTTCCGAAGAAGATCAAATGGAAGATGATGTCTATGAAGATGACCTCTACTCTTCAGCTCCTGATACCACCCAGGCTGACTCGAGCATCAGTTTAGGGAACTCAACACCTGGATTTTATAACTTCCGATTGAACGATCGGCTCACCAACATCGGGCCCTTGCGAGACATTACACTGGGTAAAAGCTCAAGCGATCCGACTGGGGAGGGGGTTTCATCTGAGCTGGAGTTGGTGGCATCACAGGGCTCTGATAGAGCTGGCGGGCTTGTTGTCATCAAACGAGAAGTTGACCCTCTTACAAAGATATTCCTTCAAATCGACGACGTCGATGCAGTTTGGTCGGCTACCATTACTGAGGGCAAAAAGGGACTTTTAAATGTTAATGACTCTTCTCGACATTTTGTTATCTTCTCACGTCCAACGGATGTGGACAAGGAAGTATCTGAGATTATGATTGTCAATGGACAGGAACTAGAGCCGTTCAAAGCCCCAGAATTCAACCCGAATGAAGACTCCACTGTTGAGATCGGATCGCTGGCAAACAGTACCCGTCTTGTCCAAGTATTGCAGAACGAGGTTCGAAGCTATGATAAAGGTCAGTATCAATTGATAAATTTCTAAGTGATGGAATGCTAATATCTTAATATAGACCTCGGATTGGCACAGATATATCCCGTATGGGATGAAGAGACAGATGAAGAATGCGTGGCTGTGAGCGCGCGTTTCGCTGATCCATACCTGGCCATTTTGCGAGATGATGCTTCTATTTTGCTTCTCCATGCAGATGGAAGTGGCGACCTCGATGAGATATCTCTTCCAGATGAGTTATCTACATTGAAGTGGCGTTCATGCTGTCTTTATCGCGACAAAGATGAGATATTCAAAGTACTCGGACTGAGAACATCTAATTCTAATGAAAGCGTGCTTCTGTTTTCACTCAGCTCTGAGTACAAACTTTCGGTAAGTTTTTGTCAGGTGGCCATAACGTGTTGTGTGCTCACCATTTCTATGCAGATATTTAGTGTGCCGGACATGAAGCTTTTGTCAGTCCTCGACGGTGTCGACTGCTTGCAACCTCTGCTATCGACGGATCCGCCCCGACGAGCAAACACACGAGAATCCTTGAAAGAGATTCTCGTGGCTGATCTCGGTGATCGGTCATTTACTTCGCCATATTTGATTGTATGATACCCGTTACCTTCATTGAAACCTCATCGCTAATTCTATCAAATACAGCTTCGTACCGACAATGATGACTTGATTGTTTACAAGCCTGTGATCACATCGTCAGATCAAGATCCCGAGACATCGAATCTGCGATTCTTCAGGGAATCCAATCATACCTTGTCGAGGCTTTCTTCGGGATCGTCATTCACAGAGCTTTATAACCAACAACGTGCCCAACCACTACGGGTCCTATCGGATATGTCAGGGCTCAGCACTGTTTTCATGCCTGGAGAATCGGCTAGATTTATTGTGAGAACCGCCGCTAGCTCACCGCACTCAGTCCGTCTTCGTGGAGACTACATACGTTGGCTGACTTCCTTCAACTCGAGTACGACTGGGTGTGACAATGGATTTATCTACATCGACGCCGAGGTAAGCTTCCCCGAACACTCCTGTGAAGATCCACCCTAACATATATTCTCTAGCACAATATTCGAGGCTGTCAAATACACCCAGATACGCAGCTTGACTACTCTTGGACACTACGCAAGGTGCTATTGGAAGAGCAAGTCGATTTCTTGACCTACTCGACAGCTTCTGACACCTATGTCCTTGGTACAAGCGTTAATGTGGACTTTAAGTTGCCAGAAAATGACGAGCTCCATCCCGAATGGCGCAATGAATGTATGGCTTAACTCGAATCTTGAATCTATAAAAGTATGCTGATATGGCCTTTTAGCAACCTCATTTCTCCCAAAGGTCCCCCAGACTTCTGTCAATGTCATTAGCCCGAAGACCTGGACCATTATAGACAGGTAAGCAAAATTTGTGGGCGATCATCGATCTGCCTGTTCTTGACTTCCATTTTCAATGCTAATATTTATTTAGCTATCCCCTTGAACTAGCCGAACACATCACTGCAGTGAAGAATGTCAACCTCGAAATTTCCGAGAATACGCACGAGCGTAAGGACCTAATTGTTGTCGGAACGGCAATGGCCAAGGGCGAAGATATCCCAGCTCGAGGGTGCATCTACGTCTTCGAGGTGATTGAGGTCGTGCCCGACCCAGAGAAGCCAGAGACAGGCCGCAAATTGAAACTGATTGGCAAGGAAAGTGTGAAGGGTGCTGTGACAGCACTGTCAGGCATTGGGGGACAGGGATTTATCATCGTGGCCCAGGGGCAAAAGTGCATGGTCCGGGGTCTGAAAGAGGACGGGAGCCTTCTCCCTGTGGCGTTTATGGACATGCAATGCTACGTCAATGTCGCCAAGGAACTCAAGGGAACTGGACTGGTTCTTCTAGGCGACGCAGTGAAGGGCCTCTGGTTTGCAGGATACTCGGTTAGTAATTCTTCTGCCTTCACGAGCCTGGTCTCCTTTTTTTTCTCTTTTTTTTTTTATTGTGGCATCTACTAATCTGTGTCTGCAGGAGGATCCTTACAAAATGACACTCTTCGGCAAGGACCCGGAGTACCTCGAAGTGGTGGCAGCAGATTTCCTCCCAGACAGCAACAAGCTCTACATGCTAGTTGCCGACAGCGATTGCAACCTGCATGTAATGCAGTACGACCCAGAAGGTGCGTAACGAGTGACGAACATTCCCTTGCCTTCCCAAGCTAACAGAATTTAAATCTAGACCCTAAATCATCCAATGGTGATAGGCTACTCAACCGAAGCAAGTTCTACACAGGCAATTTCGCCTCAACAGTCACTCTCCTTCCTCGCACGAAGGTTTCCTCAGAACAGGTCGAGCCTACAGAAGATGAAATGGACGTGGATGGAAGCATCCCGGCACACAACGTGTTGATCACTTCTCAGAACGGATCGTTAGCGCTCGTCACGTCGGTGGTAGAGGAGAGCTACCGCCGACTATCAGCTATGCAGTCTCAATTGGCTAGTACACTCGAGCATCCTGGTGGATTGAACCCACGGGCTTTCCGTGCAGTTGAGAGCGATGGTACTGGTGGACGAGGAATGGTTGATGGCAATCTGGTACGGCAATGGCTAAATCTGGGCAAACAGCGCCAAACGGAGATCGCGGGTCGGATCGGCGCAACAGAGTGGGAGATTCGGGCCGATCTTGAGGCCATCAGTGGAGACGGGCTAGGATACCTATAGACCCATACATAGTTATCCTATCTAAGTATCGATAGAAGAACGTTAGGCCTCGGAAGAGAGCCAATTGAATGAAACGTACGGAAAATAGCAATTTCATGAAATTTTTTCTCAGATTGTTGTGCCAGAATATAGTGGCAGTCGGCCAATGCCGGACAGCAGTAAATAGTTAGCAGCGTAGCATCATAACATGGTGGGATATAACCATAACTAAAAAATGAGATAGGAAACACAAATCAAATCCAAAAAAGCCCATATTCCATGCCAGGAAAAAAAAGCCCCAAAAAGAAACCCCCAGATTCAATCCCAGCCTTAGAAGGTAAAGCAAGGAAAGAAAGATACCCAGTAAATCCAAGCAAAATATCAAAAGAGACTCCACATCACGCCAACATCGCCGATTTTGCACTATAAACTGCAAGACCAAAAGAACAATAACCCACAGATCATCAAAAATCCAGGCAGCCTCGGAAAGAGAAGATATTCTTCTGTCGGCGCAAAATAGATCAATCAAACAAAAACTCTAAGAGAAGGAAGGAAAAAAATATAAAAAATAAAAAAAAATCAACAGATGAAACCCTTGGCCTCCCCCCGTTCAAATGCAGATGCAACCTAGTAAATAAAAAGAAATATTAAAACGCCTCCCAAGCGCAAGAGAGCCTGGAAACTTAAAAGACATCTTCAGCAGCAAAATACCGTTTGCCGCGACCCCTTGACGTCACAAACTTCATCTCCGGCATGTTGGTATGATGGACCACATGCGGCCGGTAGACGGCATCAACAGGTGCTTGCCAGTCATCCATACCGAGAGGAAAATACTCATAGAGGAAATCTGTGGTCTCATTAGGGAATGGCAGGGAGGACACAAATTGTTGATGTAGATTGGCAGTCTCCAACAAGGGAATAGATGAAGCCACACTTCGAGCTGGGTTGTGAGCAACATTATGAGACATCTTGCGCATTTTAGCCGGTGGGGCCGAGTGATCCATGTTCACATTTTGTTGCGGCATCATCTCATTGTAGGATGCCATGATCTTCTGATCCATCTGGAGACCTCCATTAGTCTCTTCCTCATCCAACAGAGATAAATTTATAGGCGCCGCTGCTGCTGCTAATGAATTACCGATGCGCCGTTGATCAGAGGCATGAGATAATTGCTCTGGGCTGGACTGGGGGAAGAGGGACTGGTGGGTATGAGTATGGGACATTACAGAAGCGGATTGCGGGATTGGGGTCCAATCCGGCGTTGGTTGAGGTTGCTGCATGAGAGTTGGAGGCGGGACAGAGGTGGTCTCAGGAGAACTGCTATGTAGAGTTTTGCTCTTGGCTGGGGTCACACTAGCACGACGTAGGGAAGAATCGTTGGTAGGGGTGCGGTTGAGCGCAGCCGAGTTGGCCTGGTTCTTGCGTGATGCGGCAGCACTGCCACTCAGAGGAAGATCCTTGCGAGATTGGAAATTACGCGGACTCCGGCCACGGACAATGACAGGGCCCGACTGCACTTCGGAAATTGAGATTTTATCCCCAGTCGACAAAGTTGCGATCACCTTTAGCCGAACGACAAAATGTTGCTGTAACTCCTTGCGACGGCCGTTGTTGGCTGTTGCCACACGGAACTGTAGTCGCTTCCAGGCGATGGGAAAGGTGGCATAGTCCGTATCTAGATCCTGGCCAGCCATTATATCAAGTGGGATTGGAGGGGGTTCCTTTTCGACTTTGGCAGCGGTGCCGGTATTGTTGTCCTCGAGGGCCGTTCCAGAGTTGGCCGCTGCGGCCGACGGTGTCTTCCATGGAACAGATATAATCTTCACCGGATTCCCTTCTACCGATTCGGTGGCTGAGACGGTCAACTCTTGAGCCAGAATGGGGATGCGATTACCCTGATCTGTCATGATGTAGCGCATGCCTCGCGGCAATGTGACTGAGCCTGTGATTTGAAAGAGATTGCGACGGTAACAGGTCAACTCGGCACCCTGTTGTGGTGGGGCATTCTCAGAAGGCGATGTTGTATAAGGCGACTCTGCAAGGAAGAACATGCCATGCAGCTGAGCGGAGACAGACAAGGAGGTGCGGCGCATTGAGTAGTCCAGCAAAGTGAAGTGGTATATCGGTAGGGAAAAGCTCAGTAACTTGTTATTGTGATCGATAGAGGAGTCCTGAGGTTGCTCTGGAAGCACGGGGTCAAATGTAGGCGCGACCAGATCGGTAAACGGATCATCATAGCCAGAGGGGAAGCGCTTCAATGAGTGCGGTAGACTATTTTGGGTGAAAGCAATATCATCACTGTTTCAAAGATTAAGATTAGATCAAGTCCCTTGCAGGTAGATTATCACAAGAACGTACCTGGCAAAGGTTTCGGAGTCAAAGTTGGAACGATGATCGGGAAGATCCAGACCGGACATAGCATTGAGATAGTCTGTCCCCTGAAGATTACCTAGAGACAAAGGACTCGCCAAATAAGGAGGCATAGCCATAGTATCAAATCCCTCCATGATATAAGGAAAGAGAAGGAAAAGACAAGAGAAGTGAAGTGAAATGGCTAAGGGCTAAGGAGGGGGAACATGGGAATGCGGTTTGAAGTTTCCCGGATTCGGGGAAAAGTGGAGCCGTGGTTTTTGCGGAGTATGAGATGAAGACGGTCTTTCTTCCCTATCTCAATGGGGTAAAGAAGAACGGGAAGTCGGTTCTCGGCAATTCTTTATTACTCCGTTGTAGATTCTGAAAAAGTAAAAAAAGTAAAAAAAGAAAAGAAAATAATTAAAAATAGAGGAAAAAGAGGTAAAGTTGGGGGTGGATTCGGACTAAGATAGGTGAAAACCCTGAAGACGCCACAAGTGTAGGACAGTTAAGTTATAAACGGTTTATAGGATATAAGAGAATCGAGAATAGTAGGAGGAGAGATCGAGAATAACCTGAAATTGATAGTTCATATGGGGTACCTATGTACAGTAAGTATATAGACCCTGGACATGATCAACGTCTGACATACGAGAACAAGTTAAGTTCATTGAAAAAGGGTACGTCCGTGACCGTCAAAGTTAGGAAATGATTGGCTATTATACGATCCACCGAGGACGGGCAAATCCACTGCAGGGGAAGATGACTTGCAGAGCAGGTTTTTAGCGAGTTTCTACGGTTTCTACGGTTTCTACTTACGGACTTGGTAGGTGATTCTATACTCAGTCATGATAGTGAATGTATAACCCTGGAACAGTGATATATGAACCATGGTACCTCTCATAACCTCCATAAAAAGGGGGGGGGTTTACTGAAGATAAAGTGGGACCGGTGATGTCCGGCATGATCGCATTAAGGTCATACTGTGTGGAACGTCTAGACTTTGAGCTGAATCCGGAGTAGTGGGCATTTACCCGATTTGGCCTGGAATTATAAATGTGATATGTGATATAGATTATATTGCCCCTGATGACTACCGCCTGTAGGTGGAAAAGGTATCCTCTACACTTCCGACGTCTATAAAATATGACTAGTATAGAATGTAGTCATAACTAAGATCAAAAGATAAGGAATAATTGTGGGGGCAAAAGTGAAGCTTGGACTGAGGCAATTTCCACAAACTCTACTTAATTAAAGGATTTGGTAGGAGTAACTATAGTACCAAATATATACCTAATACCTAGTAGTAGGTACGTATATCTAGTATACTAATTAACAGGGCGCGAATTGGCGCATATTAAAGAGGTCTATATAATGGCTTCTTACTCCTAGCTATATGAGGATCAAACTTACCACGCTACTCCTACGGAAATCCGGTCCAATAGTTATCGTGGCTCTGCTCCACTTCAGCTTCATCCATATTCCGATTCCTTCGCCCTTGACACGTTTAATATCCTTTAATATCCATTTCATTCCATATGTATTTTCAAAAGCTGATCTCCCGTGATCGGCAGGTGACTAGAAAAAAAAAAACATGTCAAATTTCGTCCAACAGACCCTTGTCCTACCCCAAAAATGCCAAATGCCCAATTTGCCTTGTTAATATGCAGGAGGCAAAATCAGATGCCAAAAGTACAAAACGCCCGGAGTTCGGAGTAACGTTCATTTCCCCGTCTCTTTCCCCTCCTTCCCTAAATGCGGATATCAAAATAATAAATATAAACCCCTCCATAGACACAAGGGAAAAATGTTAATCAACATGAATATAAGTAAAAAACAAAAAGGAACCAACCTCAATCTTGGATCTATGATGGGTGCATCATCCAAGTCGCTGCATCGCAATTCACTTCTTCAAAGTTATGCAACATGCTGAAACCCATAGATGAGAGACATTCAAAGTTGCCATCACTATCAACCTATATATTTCATCAGCTGCGGTACGTGGGAATCGCAAGGATAAAAGACTTACGCAATCCATCACCACCGCATGCGCATTCAGCTTACGGATCTGCTTGATAGCCAGCAGGATCAAACCTTGCATGATAGTGGAGTAGTCATCCACACATGGGGCGATGACGGGGGATGAGATACCTCCGACCGGATTCTGGGTGGCGCGTAAGGCGGGCATGTGTTCGGCCAATGCCGATCTTTCATTGTATATCACAATGCTTCCGAGAATCATATCATCCAAAGCTCTTTTCGCCCGGATAATGCCGCAATTCGGCGCTCCGCCCAGCGCAATGCGATATATGTCGGTTACTCCTTGACGAGCATTGGTTTTGATGTGGTCGAGGATCGTCCGAGAGAAGTCCCACCCGTAAACCAGATCGTAGATCACATCGGCATTCTGCAATGTGGCTGTGAGACCATCCGGTGGTGTCCAGGTGGCCAAATTGTGCAGCACCACACTGGAAACGGGGCGCGAGAGAGCCGTGTTCCAGCCCAAATTTGCGAACCATTGCCGTAATTGCTTGCACTCCACGGGATTCGCAGTCGGAATGCCGAGGTATATGCCGGGAAGACGTGATCCAAGTTGGAATCGTTTCATGTTGTTTCGTTGAAGCAAGGTGCGAATGCCACGATCGTGAAGCGAATGTCCAATAGAAAGTTTTCTTCGAGCAGGGTCCACGATCAGACAGCCAATAACACCCGTACCAGTGGATCGGAAGAAATAGGTTGCGCAAAATCCGTAGAGAGCGTGGGTGCTGCTGTTACGAACAACAAAGTGCGCTTCATCAATATCCTCATTTCGCAAGAGGAAGCTGTTTGAGGTGGCACCCGTGAGTTCAGAATGCCGACCTTGAACACAGTCCTCACGCACGGCGTTCAGCAATACATCTAAAGCATGGGAGTCGCGATCTGTATTCCAATTCTCCACAAGCCAATGCTGCCGTGATAGATGATGAATTTTCTGACTGCGATTGACCGATCCAGGCAAGGACCCTGTGGGGGTGAATTCACCATATAGTACCTTGACCAACGCCTGGAGTGCCGTTTCTGTAAAATCATATGTGCATATATATGTACCAATTGAGGGATCCATCGCGAAGTCATATGGAGAGCTGACAGCGACTACTGCCATGGGCTTCCCACGGCATTCACCAGATGAAGAGTATTGCGATTGACAGATCAACGAGACATGCTTCGAGAATGCTTGTTGATATAGATTGCGATATCCATCCGCTGTGACCACAATCACCGCACTTGCCCGTTTGATCAGGTCTTCGTGGATCGGGCGCACTCCATTAGATGTGTATGAAGTATGTAGGACTCGTCCATTTCTTTGTCGTGAAAGTGATCTTCCCAATTCCTTGAAAACGACCTCCCCGCTCATCACCGAGGCAGATCTATCCACTTCTGATTCAGAGTCGAAGGAGTCATGCATGGACTCATGCAGGGATTCAGCATTCCGGGTGAAAGCAGAAGCTGCAAGTGGTCTGACCAGAGGAGTCAGGAGCAAAAGCTCATCGCCAGCATTCACCACATTTGATAGGGGAAGAATGTTGTATTTGTCTCGCATTACTGTAATTGAGTTGTTATATGCGCGGGTAGAGAGGTTGGTGTGAGATGGCTGCATCTGAGCCAAGGAGGGGACGCCAGGAGGGTTGAGGGCCTGTTCCCAAGAAGTACACCGTGCTTTCAGATTCAAGACACGGCGCAAAGACTGTTCAATCCGAGGACGACCGATGATGCCATTTTCCACACCCAATTCCAGCCCATTGATTGCCTCTTGCTGTACTGGGAACGACCGACATAATAGAATTACATCACAGCCTGCACTTTTTGCCATTACCGTTCCACCTCCGACTCCAATATTGTGTGTCAGAGCTTCCATCTCCAAGCACTCTGACACAACGACCCCCTGGAACTTGAGGTCTTTTCGAAGGAGGTCATCCACCACTTGTTCACTCAGACAAGCATGCATGACATTCATACCTGCGGAAGACATGGAAACCCCGCCAACCATCATAGCATCAAGGCCATGTGCTATGGCATTACGGAAAGGTACCAAAGCGGTTAGACTGAGTTGCTCCAGAGAATCTGTAATGATGGGGACATCGCTATGCGAACCCAAAAATTCCAAGTTGCCGTAAGATGGAAAGTGTTTGCCGCAAGTGACGAGTCCTGCTTCTTGATACCCTTTCATGAATTGCACACCGTACTGTGATGCTTCTTGAGGGTCATCACCCGAGGTGCGAACGCCGAGGGGTTGATTGCGTATATTAGTCAATACATCTAGGACCGGGCCAAGAATCCAATTGATTCCAACGGCCTTCAGCTCCTGTGCTGTTGCCACTGCGACCTCATGGATCAATGACTTGGATCCAGTAGCCGCCATTCCCATGGCACTAGGGAACTGTCGGATGTATATCTCATCATATAAACTGTTGACACCACCATTCTCTTGATCTAAGGCGATGAGTAATGGCACTGGATGTCCAGCATTGTGGGCAATAGTTTGCAATTCAAGGACCAACCTTGTGGTCTCCTCAGCGGCTGTAAAAAAAAAAAAAAAAAAAAAAAAAAGCAACTCATTTGAAAAGAAAGAAGGGAAGAATAGATAGAATTTACATTTAAGATTCTTGGCTGATAGGAGGATGGAACCTAAGTGATAATCTTCAATCAAAGATCGAATCTCTTGGCTAACTGAGGTTCCATCAAAGCCCATCATAAAGAGCTGGCCCATTTGCCTGTCAAGTAGGATGTTAGCATGGCACATTCCATATTCAGGTAATAAATCATTCCCAAAAGAGAAATAGTCTAAATAGTCTAAAAAGGCCGACCACGGCCAAGGGGGGCGTAGTATGGAGAGATTGAAGAGTTGGGGTTCCACAATGGAAGATGGATGCCAGATGGAGGGTCGGGGTAGGATAGGGTGTCTAGAAGCGTAAGATCAACATACCTGTTTGGATCCTCCCAGCCCGGGGGCAACATGTCCTCTTTCGGGGCCATGGCCCTTGGGCAATGAAAGGGGCGGGGGAGCCCTAGAAAGTTGAGTAAGAGGGAATCGGGGGGGATGGGGGAAGGGTAACTGCAACCGGAGGATGTGTGGATCAGCCTTATTCAGTTGAGGGATGAGAGACTCCGTAGCTCGCAGTCAGGTGACAAAAGAGGGTGAGATTAAGCAGTGACAGCTTTAGAGCCGCATTCGGCAGATAAGATGATAAGGGGAGTCATCATTAGATTATTAGTCCGCTAACAATTGAATCGAATTTAGGGACAGTACTAATGATCAGTTAATTAGGTAGAATAAGTTTGTTAGCTAGTTAATACGAATATTGTTACGTAAAAGATATCCGATATTCAATCCCCAGCTTATTTTCTCCACAAAATCCAAAACCAAAATGACGTGGGAATTGGATTCAGGTCACGTGGTGTATTGTACAGATACAATACAAGAGATGCAACGTTGTAGTTTCAATACCGGTAACATAAAACCGAATGCAACTCCTACTTTGACATTTGGATCCACTTGTATTTCTACCCAATCATATGTATTCTATGTATTCCACCTTCGTCAACATTCTTTACATCCTTACTATCAAGCTATTGTTGGTTACCACATGGAAGTATTGTTTCCGAAAATACTGGAGTTATGTACTAGGAAGATCTTATTTGATTGATTTAAATAAGTATCATAAAGTATCATGTATTAAATCATAACGAATGAAGTGGTAGCTTGTAATCTTGGTCCCATTGCGACGATACCCCCATAGTAGAGTCCCATCCTATGGTTCCTGTCACTGTCATACAATTTGAACGTAACCCGTTGATCTATTCTATTTTTCTACCTTCTATATTCTCTATCTTCCCTTAACTTCCTTCTCTTCTCTTCTCCTCAATCTCAACTTTCTTTATCACTGTACATCTGACATAAAACTACAATGTATGTTCATTCCCCTATCACTTCAGTATCTCTAGCTAATCAAATCCTTCAGGCGTGTCATCATCAGAGAAGATCCAAAGGAGGTTTCGGTGTACATCGCCGACTACATTATCAGTCGCATCAAGACGTTTAATGCTACCGAGGACCAGCCGTTTGTGCTCGGCCTGCCCACAGGAAGTAGTCCTGAGATTATCTACAAGATCCTGGTACAACGCTATCGCGCTGGTGAGATTTCATTTAGGAATGTCGTGACCTTCAACATGGTATGTATCTTCCCAGTTCTCCAGTGAGACTAGTAACTAATAGATATTAAGGATGAATACGTTGGCCTGCCTCGTGATCACCCCGAGTCCTACCACAGCTTCATGTACAAACACTTCTTCTCCCATGTTGATATTCCACCGCAGAACATCAACATCCTCGACGGAAATGCGCCGGATCCTACAGCCGAGTGTGCTTCCTTCGAGGCTCGTATCGCTCGCTACGGCGGTATTGAGCTATTCCTGGGAGGTGTTGGACCTGATGGTCACATCGCGTTCAACGAACCCGGATCTTCGCTGAACAGCCGCACCCGAGTCAAGACACTTGCTTATGACACAATGCTGGCCAACTCGCGATTCTTCGATAACGACGTGAACAAAGTACCGCGAATGGCTATGACTGTTGGTATCCAGACCATTATGGAGGCACGGGAGGTCGTTATTGTGGCTACCGGTGCCCACAAGGCCTTTGCCGTGCAAAAGGGTCTCGAGGATGGAGTGAATCACATGTGGACCCTGTCTGCTCTTCAGCTGCACCCGCACCCGCTGGTTGTTTGTGACCGTGACGCCACCCTGGAATTGAAGGTGAAGACGGTGCGCTATTTTGAGTCAATCGAGCAGGCAGGTACAGATGCCCGTACCCAGGGACCTGCGCTGGTCTACCGCCCTCGTACCTATGTTCCAGCTCCTCTGCCCACGAAGAAGTTATCACACCAGGTTCTTACCCCTACTCACACTCCCGAGAAGGTCCCCAAGGACCTGCGCATCAACACCGAGCTCCACCGGTCGATGGATGATGATGAGTTGACACCTGATTGCATGTCCTCACGTATGGTCGATTCCGCAATTGCAGGTTTGGACTCTGCTCTGAAGAATGAAATGATATTTGACCGTATGGGTACTCGTGTGACCTCTCTCTAAGCACTTGAGTACATCGAATCTTTCGGTTTTTCTTTTCCGGATATGATATTTTCTCCCTTTACTGCTGCATCTTTTATCTGGGGTTCAATATCGGAGTTACAGGGTTCAATCGCTTCGAGCTAGATAGGTTATGGTTGATCAGATATCCTCATTAAACTGCATTGTACCACATTTAGCCAGGAATAAACTATTAGATCTATTTTTCAAATATAAACTAAGGTCCACGTATTGTAGCTGATGAGGTGTGGTAATTTTAGGCGTTGAAGTGGTAAAAGAGGAAATTATCTGATTATGGAACTCCTAATGTCCTTGTTCTAGGAAGATTATTTTGTTTATGTACCTAGCTAAGTAGAACGTTAATTTATCATAGAAATTCCTCTTTCAAGGTACACACCGTCATAGATATTGAGAAAACAAAGGCCCAAGACCAATTTTGTACACTATATACCAATTATTCAGTCAATATACATTTATAGTTTGGCAAAAGCAGTTGCTACGCAACCACTCATATCAACAAGGGTGCTCTTGTTCTGCAGCCAAGCCTCAATACCGCGATGGCCGTTCTCCACACCCAAGCCGCTCTTCTTCCAGCCACCGACAGCCATCTCAGCCGGGCTCTCACCCCAGGCATTGATCCAGGTGATGCCCGCCTGGAGCTGGTCAATGATCCGATGGGCCTGGTTCAGGTCCCTGGTAAAGACACCGGCCGCGAGACCCAGCTCAGTGGCATTGGCGCGCTTGACAGCCTCCTCAATCGTGTCATAGTACAGAACAGACATCACAGGGCCAAAAATCTCCTCCTTTACGATGCGCATGTCATCTGTACAGTCCGTGAAGACAGTAGGCTTAACCCAGTAGCCTGCCTGCAGTTCCTGGGGTACGGCAGGCTTCTCAAGACCACCACATAATAGGGTGGCACGGTCTGACTCAACACCACAGCGAATATATTCAAGGACCTTTTCATAGTGAGGGCGCGAACTGAGAGGGCCAAAGTTGGTCTGCTCGTCGAAGAGGGGACCGGCCCGCACGAAAGGAATCTTTTCAAGCAGGCGCTTCTCAAATGAAGACTTTATTGACCGTGGAACGAACACACGAGTACCGTTTGTACAGACCTGACCCGTGCTGTAAAAGTTGGCCATCATGGCGCCATCAACTGCGTTCTCCAGGTCTGCATCCGGGCAGATGATCAAGGGGCTCTTGCCACCCAGCTCCATTGTTACATACTTCATATTACCAGCGGCAGAGCCGGCCACCTTCATACCGGTAGATACCTGGCCCGTAAATGAGATCTTGGCAATGGTTGGGTGGGTGGTCAAGTAAGCACCAACCTCACCGCCACCATTGACCACATTGAAAACACCAGCAGGCAGACCCGCCTCGGTATAAATCTCGGCGAGAGTCAGACCGTGAAGTGGAGTGAATTCACTTGGCTTGTAAACCATGGTATTTCCGGCAGCCAGGCAGGCAGCAGATTTCCAAAGAGCACTGTATGACCAAAAATATAAGAATATGTTCAACGAGTTACAAGTTAGGTTAGTAAACGTACATCTGAATCGGGTAGTTCCAAGCGCCAATACCGGCACACACACCCAAGGGCGTTTTCTTGGTGTATACCCATGCGCCCTCACGCAGCTGAATGGTGTCACCATTGAGACCACCACCTCCAATATAATTGGCATAATACTCTAGTACATCAGCACCTGTCACAACGTCCACAGTGCTGGTCTCGGTAAAGGCCTTTCCGGAGTCCAATGTCTCCACTCGGGCGATCTCATCATTCTTCTCACGTAAAAGATTAGCGGCCCTTTGAAGGATACGTGCACGAACAATTGCTGGAGTCTGAGACCAAATAGGGAAAGCGTGTTCGGCGGCAGTAATAGCGGCGTCGATATCGGAGTTGGAAGCAATTTGAACGTCAGCTAGCGGGGTAGCAGTGGCAGGATTGATAGTCTGAAATGTCTTTCCGGACGAAGCGGCCTGCACCTGACCCTTATAATAGAGTTGACGAGGAGGGAAGGAGGCCATATTGAGTAAGAGTAACTCAGTTATAATTGAGGGAAGATAGAAGGAAAGACGCAGGATATAATTAGCTGACAAAAGACTCACCGCCTTAAATTGCCCTTATGATGACAATCTCTCGGTGGGTCTAACTAGTTAATCTTTCCAGGATCAATTACCTTATTACCAGACGTCCGCTAACTACTTACGGGTATTATGAGGTGTATTAGTGGGGTTTTAGGGGTGGATTGACTAAAAGCGCAATTGTGGCTTGGGGGAATATCGAACTAAGAAAGGGAATTCCCAAGCGGCGTTTTTTGCCCCTCTTGCCCTATGGACCGCTATATCCATGACGTTGAGAATTGATTTTCTTATCTTCTAGAGCTTATAGCTTATAGCTTAATGCTTTTAATGCTTAATTTATCCTCCCCTGGATGTTAATTCCCCTATATACCTACAGATACTATTTACCTGCTTATCTTAAATATGATTATCTCGTTCTGGTGAAACAAGCCCTTATGAATCAAGTGGAGATTGTCTCTATCTATTGACCCGTTTTAATTCCTTAATTAGCCATTAGGATAGGTTAATTGAGCAATCAGACCACATTTTATAATTTCTTATTTTTCTATCTTTTTTTTATCCCTCCTCACTCAACCTTGGCTTCCCCAATCTTAAATATCTCCAATTCTTCTGTCCTTCTTCCCTCTCATCTATATACTTACAATATGGCCACCACCAACGACCTCTCACCTCTTGACGTTAACAGCTACGACTATATTGTCGTAGGTGGTGGTACTGCAGGTTGTGTCATTGCCGCGCGTCTGGCCGAGTACCTGCCAAATAAGCGCACTTTGGTCATTGAAGGAGGTCCTAGTGATTTCACTGATGATCGTGTGCTCAAGTTGAGTGAATGGCTCAGCCTTCTTGGGGGAGAGTTGGACTATGATTATCCTACTACCGAACAGCCTAACGGTATGCGCCTCCAGTTCACTCTTCTTCTTCTTCTGCTGACTCTCAATTGCAGGTAACAGCCACATCCGCCACTCCCGCGCAAAGGTGCTGGGAGGCTGCTCCAGCCACAACACTCTCATCTCTTTCCGCCCCTTCGAGTATGACTGTCGTTTATGGGTTTCTAAGGGTTGCCATGGATGGGACTTTGAGACGTTCACTCGCCTCATTGACAATCTGCGCAATACCTTCCAGCCAGTGCATGCCCGTCACCGTAACCAGCTCTGCAAGGACTGGGTTCAGTCCTGCTCAACTGCCATGAATATCCCCATCATTCCTAACTTTAACGCTGATATTCGTAAGAATGGTGAGCTAACCGAGGGTGTTGGATTTTTCAACATCTCCTATAACCCTGATAATGGCCACCGAAGCAGTGCCAGTGTCGCTTACATCCACCCAATCTTGCGCGGCGATGAAAAGCGCCCCAACCTGACAATTTTGACCAACGCTTGGGTGTCTAAGATCAACGTAGACGGAGATACCGTTACTGGTGTGGATGTGACCCTGCAGTCCGGTGTCAAGCACACTCTACGCGCTCGCAAGGAGACCGTCCTCTGCGCTGGTGCTGTGGACACCCCCCGCTTGATGATGCTGTCCGGTCTGGGCCCTCGTGAGCAGCTCTCTGCTCTGGGTATTCCTGTTGTCAAGGATCTCCCCGGTGTAGGCGAGAACTTGTTGGACCACCCGGAGAGCATTATCATCTGGGAATTGAACCAGCCCGTTCCCCCGAACCAGACTACCATGGACTCCGACGCCGGTATCTTCCTACGCCGCGAGATCCGCGATGCTGCTGGCTTTGATGGACGTGCCGCCGATATCATGATGCACTGCTACCAGATTCCCTTTACTCTCAATACTACTCGTCTGGGATACGACGAGCCCGTCAATGCCTTCTGCATGACCCCCAACATCCCCCGCCCCCGCTCCCGTGGTCGTCTGTACCTAACCTCCGCCGACCCCTCCGTGAAGCCTGCCCTGGACTTCCGCTACTTCACCGACCCCGAGGGTTACGATGACGCCACCATTGTGGCCGGTCTCAAGGCGGCTCGTGAGATTGCCCAGCAGTCTCCCTTCAAAGAATGGATCAAGCGTGAGGTCGCCCCCGGCCCCAAGATCCAGACTGACGAGGAATTGTCCGAATACGGCCGCCGTGTTGCGCACACCGTGTACCACCCAGCTGGCACTACCAAGATGGGTGACACCGTGCGCGACCCTATGGCCGTTGTCGACCCCAAGCTGAAGATTCGTGGTCTCAAGGGCATCCGTATCGCAGACGCAGGTGTCTTCCCTGATATGCCCACTGTGAACCCTATGCTCACTGTCTTGGCTATTGGTGAGCGTGCCGCCGAGCTCATCGCCGAGGAAGCTGGCTGGAAGAGCTCGCAGCCCCGTTTGTAAGGAGTGAGCTGTGAATGATGAGTAATGTCTGAGCCAGACTTGACATGCCCTGTGAAAAGTTCTTTCTTGAATTTAGCATATAAGCGAACGGCGAACAAAAGCCGAGTTGGAGATACAAGTGTAGGACTGCAAAGTTGATCTGTGATCACATCTAGAGATCTGATAAATGAATATGTACGAAACTATTGAATATAGGTACAGACGAGACGCGAATTGAAAATTTTTTCTATTTTTGCTAAAGTGATGAATCTTAAGTATATCCTATGCTCAAACCGTTTCTCTATGCTTTGAATAACACCATAGCTCCCAAGTACCGAGTTCGCAGAAAGAAAAAAAAATGCCACCTGGGCAGACAGGAAAAGAAAAAAAAAAGTAAGAAAATTAGAAAGAGACTGCCTATCTAGATAGCAATCTTGTCAGTATCGTGGATTTTGATGCCGAACTTCCACACTTGATCAACAGTCAGAGTAGCACCGGAGTAAGCGTCGTCCACCTCTCCCAACACAACCAAGTCCGCATCCGCACCTGCCTCCAAAGAGCCCTTGACGCCCTCCAAACCCAACAAGCGAGCAGGCGCGACAGTGACGGCGTTAATCGCATCAGCAGTCGAAGCACCCGACCAACGACGGAAATTGTTGACGCACTCGATAAGAGTAGCTGAGCTACCAGCAATCTTGTCAGAGCCTTCCAAGATCAACCGGGCACCGGTCTTGACTATACGCTCGCCATTTGTCCAATCATAAACACCATCTGGCAGACCACACAGACGCATCGCATCTGTCACCAGAATAAGGCCATCCGGGTAGGCATTATATGCGATCTTGATAGATGTGGGATGCAAGTGGATACCATCCGCAATGACACCGTAGTATGGACGCAGACGCTCACTTTGGCCCAACAGACCAAAGACACCAGGATTGCGGTGGTAAAAGGGACGCATAGCATTGAATAAGTGAGTGATCATGCGCGCACCCTGGTGAGTCGCGGAGACTGCCTGCTCATACGTAGCGTCCGAGTGACCGATGGAGTAGATGATGTTGCGTCTAACGATCTCTGGGATCTGGGCCATCATATTACCAACCTCTGGGGCAGCGGTCATCATCTTAATAGGAGTATCAGCTGTCAGGTTTTCAGCACCGTAGCAGTGGATGATATCATTAAAGCTCTCGGCTGCGCGGAGCACCTCAATCTTGTGAATACCGTTGCGGCCAGGGCTAATGAACGGACCCTCAACATGGGCGCCGAGAGATTCAGCGCCGTCATGGGGAAGATGAGTGGCAATAGTGGGCCCAAGAGAGGGAAGAACCTTTGGAGATATTAATATCTGCTGATCGATGGGAGTAAAAGAAGTTGATGGAACGTACCTTCCAGTATACCTCGGGTGTTGAGCTAACAACAGTAGGCAGATAAGAAGTGACACCAGTGCGGGCTAGACCCCGGTTCACCATCTTCAAACCCTCGTCATACTCCTCTTTGGTATCACAGGGAACGGAGAAATCAAAGCCATGGGCACCGTTGAGTTGAACATCCATCAGACCAGGAGCCAAGATCCGGCCTCCAAGGTCAATGGTCTCATCTGGAGAGAGGTGCAACTCATAGAAGGCCTCTTGATCCTTAAGAATTTTCCCGGTCAAGGCATCAATCCAAAGATCTTGTTCAACCAGACTCGAGCCGCGGACAAGGCGACAGTTGGTGAACTTGGTGATGCGCGGAACAGAGGTAGATTTACCTGGCATGATGGGCCACTAGGTGAGAAGTTAGGAGGTTGAGGTGAAAAGGAAGGATCAGGAACTCAGGATCTCAGGATCTCAGGAACTAGAAGTAGAAAAGCAATTAAACTATGATGTAACGCTCACAAACGGATTGTGAGTGACATTCGGCATGCCGATGTGGTACTTGATAAGGATGAGAGGCGGATATAGTAAGAACTGGTAATAGATGACAGTAATGTAACAAATACACACACACAAATACACAATACCGCTCAAATACCGCAACCATCAAGTCTTGTTGCATGCGGCAAATGTGACTCTCTTACTGTCGCATTCGATTATCGCTTCTTCAATCTTCAAGTAAATTATTATTCTTCAAACTCTTGACTCCATTATTTCTCCATATTTCCTCCCCTTCTCCACCTTGCATTTGCATAATTCGGTATTTCCATAAAGTTTCCCCCGCTTGAAGTTTATCAACGTGTCATTCGCCGTGCATTTTCTTGAAAACATCCTACTTGGCTTTAGTAATAGAAATTATAGATAACTTATTACTCCTTTTCTAATCTCTTAAACCTGCTACTTTCCTACATTCTTCTATCGTATATTCACGTGGTTCACATTCCACAGCCCTTTCTCATTTGCTTTTTTTTGGTGATCTTTCACGATCCCTAGATCTATCCCTTCTGCCCCCGATCTGACTCCTTTTCTTCCTTTCTCTGTGCTCTGCTTTTACTCACTCCAATCATGTCTGAGTCGGAGCAGCAGCAGCAGGCTTTGGAGACAAATCCATCCCCGCGGGCACCTGAGAAAATTGCACCTTTCGATGTGCAGGATCCTCCAATTGACGACGACGTGGTAGGAAAATCATGGATGTACAAACCGCTCTTGAAGATTGGACGATGGGAAGCTCCCTGGTTTGCTTCACCAGAGGTACAATTGATACTCGTGTCGTTTGTGTGCTTCCTCTGTCCGGGAATGTTCAATGCCGTGAGCGGGTTGGGAGGTGGTGGACAGATCAATGCCACCGACGTGAACAATTCCAACACGGCGCTGTATAGTACGTTCGCCGTGGTGGGCTTCTTCGCCGGTTCCATTGCTAATCGGATTGGCCTGCGACTCACGCTGTCGCTGGGTGGCTTCGGTTACTTCCTCTACGTGGCCGCGCTACTCTCGTATAATATCAACCAGAATGCGGGCTTCCTGATCTTCGCCGGTGCTTTGCTCGGTGTTTGTGCTGGTTTGTTATGGTGTGCCCAGGGTGCAGTCATGATGAGCTATCCTCATGAGCACGAAAAGGGCAAGTATATTGCTGTCTTCTGGGTCATTTTCAACCTGGGTGGTGTCATTGGCAGTTTAGTGCCGCTCGGCCAGAACATGCACAGCAAGGCCGGCAACGTGAATAATGGTACATACATTGCCTTCCTCGTCATGATGGCTGTTGGTTTCGGGCTGTGCTGGACCATTGCCGATTCCAAGTATGTGAAACGCAAGGATGGCTCGCGAGTCATTGTGATCAAAAATCCTACCTGGAAGTCTGAGTTCCTCGGCCTGTGGGAGACTTTGCGTAGTGACTCTTATATTGTTCTTATGTTCCCCATGTTTTTGGCGAGTAATTGGTTTTACGGATATCACTTCAACGCCGTCAACCTGGCCTACTTCACCGTGCGAACCCGTGCTTTGAACAGTCTTCTCTACTGGCTGATGCAGATGGTGGGCGCCTTCGTCTTTGGCCAGCTCCTGGACCTCAAGTGGTTTTCTCGTCCGACTCGTGCCAAGATCAACTTTGGAGTCCTCTTGGCCATTACCATGGGCATATGGGGCGGTGGCTATGCCTTTCAGAAGCAGTATACCCGAGAGACCGTCACGGCCGACATGGATTTCATGGACAGTGGCTATGTCGGACCAATGTTTTTGTATATGTTCTACGGTTTCTACGACGCAGCCTTCCAGACCTGCACCTACTGGTAAGTTCTTGTCTCTTTTTCAAGGATGATTTCTTCTCATTCGATTTTAGGTATATGGGTTCCCTCTCCAACAACGCCCGCAAGTTGGCCAACTTTGCTGGTTTCTACAAGGGCATTCAGTCCGCCGGCGCAGCTGGAATGTGGCGGTATGAAACTCCCCCATCCTGTTTTTCCTTGGTCTTTCTAATAAGTCTTTTAGTCTGGATGCTCAGAAAACTTCATATATGACCGAGTTCGCCTCGTGTTGGGGCCTGCTAGTTGGTAGCATGCTGATTGCCTCACCTGTCATATTCTTCAAAGTGAAGGACAGTACGGCCGTCGAGGAAGATCTACGCTTCTCCGATGAGACTGTAGCCGACGTACTGGGTGACACAGTCGATGGCGATAGTGACGAGTCCGAGAAACCCCAAATCCACCAGAATTCAACCAGCAAGGTGTAGATGAGATTTCGCCAACAGAAATATACCGACATTTTATAACACTACTTTTATTTCTATTTGTTTCATGTTCGACCTTTGCATCCTGAAAATGGCACGATGAGCTGCTATGTGCATTTACGAGGCGTGCCTTATTTTGGTTCCTTATGAGCCATAGGCTTCTCTGCATGGTATTGTAAATCTTTTTGGAAACATCTTGGTATGATTTTGAGCTATCGGAAATCAATCCCCAAACTTATATATTCAACCTTGATGTTATTCCGAAGTATGGTACCTAAATATCTTACGCAACAAATCGCCGATTTCGGCTTGGTATTCTATATCAAATACTTTATAGGAGCAGATAGTTCCTTAGGCCCCTGCAGCGCGACTTTGAAGAGTAGATTATCTAGGTACACGAAGCCCTGACCAAACCTACAGCCCTGCTGGTGGAACTATTCCAAGGCTGAACAAGTATAACTACTTACCAAGGCCAGCTCAACTCTATCAGAATCCGTGTACCGAAGTAAACCTGAGGTAGGGTTCAAGACTGATGTTTACTTAGGTAGGTGAATTATTTAAGTCTGGCTCTTACCTAGTTACTATATCCCTCCAAAGGCTCCCAAAGCCCCCAAAGTCCCTTTCAAGAGATCTAACTACACCTAGAAACCGCCATTCTTGTGTAGTCATCATCTTTAATAATTAGGTCCTCCAATTTCAATAGTAACTAGTGAGGTCTGAGACTTGGAAGTTTCTCTATCTTCCACCTTGAAACCATTCACTTTCAAGCAATGCTCGGCGGTCAGAATGCTCATGTGAATTGACTTAGCTGTACACGGAAAATCCTGGGAAGAGGGGATTCTTTCCCTTAAAAGAATTCGTCCTTTCATAACTACCGGTTTCATGAAAAGCACGAATGACAAGGAATCTCGAACGCAACTTCGTCTATTATTTAACTGAGACTAGTCCCACTAAGGAGCCAAAGACATCAATAAGGCTTTCAAATGTAGATTTCAAATATAAATACAAAGACATGCCAATCCACAGTACTCCCTACTCCGTACTCATTATATCCACTTCAATTCTGCATGAATCGTCAAAAACAAGATTGGAAGTTGAAAGGGTATTTGTGTCGTTGCGTTTGCAAATCCCGATAGAAAAAAGTACACATCATCATCACCCAATCCCAAGATCCTAAATATAATATGTGCGCCATATCCAATAATAAAATAAACACTGTTCACCAATATGTACTCCATAAAATCACAGGGCAAATCCCAATATGTGCAAGGCCCACAGTAGATATAGAAATAAATGCCGCTAAAGAAACCAGGATCATGGAAAAAAAAAATAGGTAGGGAAGAGGAAAAGTAGAAAAGGAGAAGGATGCTCAATAATCCAGGTTCATTCCTAGATCTGTGTCCAAATCAGCTGCTAGAACAGCTGACTCTGGGCGCGAGGTATGAGGCCGATGCTCGACCAAGCTGGAAAAGTCCATATTGGACTCAGTGTCGAAGCCCATGACGTTCAAATCCATGTCATCGACACCGAAATCGTAGTCCTTTGCCTCGGAAGCATCGGACTGGGTGGGATCATCAGGAAAGAACTCATTTCCCGCATCTTCAAAGTTGATCAAGGCGTCGAAGTCGTTCTGGGTCACCTCGGCATTTTCAGCCAGATCCATCAACTCCGTCAGGCTCATTTGAGAATCCAGGTCAGGGATGGCAAAGGCGCCGTGGTTCTGGTATTTTTGATTGATATTGTTTGTGCTGCCATTTTCACTGCCATCGGAGTGTGGCGGAGTAGTAGCAAAGATGTCAGCCATGGATTGACTAGTTGTAGTTGTCTTGGGGTAGGTGAGATCTGGGATCTCTTGAGCTAGAGATTCTAGGGAGTCGAGTGAATCTAGGGAATCTGGTGGAGGAGTCGGGGCTTGAGCCCGGGAGAAGGCGTCGAAGGCATCATGAGTGCTAGGGGCGGCGGGACGGGGCCTGGAGGGGTGAACATCTTGCGGTGCGACCGTAAGCTGGATACCCGCTTTGCGAATGGCTGCTTCGAGGAAAGAGGTGGCGAAGTCGGCAGAAGCGTAGATCTCACGCAGGCGCTGTAGGATGCGCATACACTGATAGAAGCGCTGCAGGCTAGTTATGCGGACAGTGGGGTCGGCGGACTTGATATCCAGCAAGTGAATAATGACGGCAGGCAGAAGCACAGTCACACCGGTGGTAGGGTAGTATCGAGTCAGATTGTTGACGTGCAGATCTTGAGCAATGTTGGTGATTTCTATCGCGGCATAGCGCACCTTGTTGCGAGATATATCTTGTAGATCTGCATCCATGGAAGGGTAGGGGGCGGCGGGAAGAACCTGTGGGCGATGAAGGGCGCTCGAAGTGGTCAGGTAGACCATCTTCAGCAGTGCCCGGTGCGAATGAAGCACCTCCTGGGCCTCTGACAGCTTGGAGCCTGCGGAGGGCGAATACTGTGTTTCCACGGGAAGACTGGCCAGCCAGTCTTCCAGATCCTGATCACAGCGTCGTACCTCGAAGGTCTCTGCAGTGGATTTTTTGGGGACCAACATCATGGTGGTCTCCATGGTGCCGCCAAATTTATGGCTGAGCACTGAATACTGGGCCGAGAGCACATGGCTCACGCACAGACAAAGCCTTGTCTTCTCAATAAACATGAGGGCCAGCTCTCGCTGGTGCCTGACATTTTGGAGAATTTCCGAGTTCCCAATCATCTTCACGATCTCAGGGGAGAAAGCATGGAATTCAAAGTCATCCAGAGTAAGCATGGGAACATCACAGTCATCATCTTTGACACGCATCGGTCGTCGCATGCCCAATGCAATCAATCGGTCGCGGGTATATGTGCTCCACCAGATTTTCTTCCACATGCGCTGGCGGCGAGCGTCCATGCGCGAGTTTCCAGGGTCACGATGCAGGCCAATGGTGTGAGCCAGTGATAAACTCACTCCCATCCAGTGCCACGTATCTTTCTGATCATCGGGGGTTTCATACCAGTATGTCATGAGAAGAAGGGACTGTACAAGGGAAATGCGGTCTACTTCATAATCGAAATCGTACAATAGTCGGGCGCGCTGGAAGAAGATCTTGCGCGCCGATTTCCGAGTCGTGTAGCCTGCAGCTAGCAGATACTTCATATCGACAAAGGCCATACCGGCGAACATGACGGCCTGGAATAGCAGCAGACTGATGCGGTGAATTCCATCGTTCTGGACAATGGTCTGCAAAAACTCCTCGAGATCGAGCAATGGCATGTAAGTATGGACATAGTGGATGTAGGCCTTGATCAATTCATTTCGAAGTTGAGCATCGGGAATGGTCAAGGCACCCTTGGCTGCGAGGTAGTCGACATCTTCTTTCTGCATTCGTGCAGGTAATCCTCGGATATAATCCGGTAAGAAGCCACTTGTGGCTCGAGGGCTTCCATACGATGGGTCAAGTAGTTGTCGGATTTGCAGACTAGGGCTGACCAACGGCATCGTCGTCGGGACAGCCGGGTGAGGGGCCATGCGACGGTAATGGTCCTGCGGGTTAATGCGATTTGCCTGTGTTTGATCTGCAGTGGCAAACGTCAGTGGCATATTTTTTTTTTTGCTTTTTTGGGATCTGCTACACAATATTACGCACATAGTAAGTGTGGCATATGCTGGCCATGATCGACGTCGACTGACGCCTGTGAAGGCGACGTAGCATCTACATCTAGACCGCATGCAATAGGAAGTGGAGTTTCTTCTGACACTTCGGGCGATCCGGAGTGATTGTTTTCCACTCCAACCCGTGACTTTCTGCAATGTCGATCTATGTTAGCAATGGGGAAATTGCATAATTATATGTATGAGATTGGACTGACTTTCTCCGTTTGCTCTCTGTAACGACACATTCGACTTGGTCTAGTCGACAATTTGTACAGGGAGATCCATTTTCGACAACGTCACAACGGACTTTTCTGGCTCGGCAGCAGCAACATGCTTTAGATGCCCGACGTTTGACAGGACGGTTATGGGCGGATAGACCGGCAACAGAGGCCTTTCGTTTTCCAGATTCAGATTCAGACATTGTAGGAGCAAGATTCAAGAATTGAACACATTCGATCAGATTAGAAGAAAAAAAAAAAAAAAAAAGAGAGAAGAAGCTAGACAATAGTGGAGATGGTTTCTAATTTCAAAGGTCGCGGGATGGGGGACATGGATAGCTTAAGTAGAGATGTCCCCAAATGAGGGCAGATCCGTGGCAATTGGAAGTACAGTCATTCGCTCAATGAAAATCCACACACGAGAGGTATTTCCACTTTTGATACGCCCCATTGGGATCCTGCGTCATCTTGCCTTAATGGGACATAATTGAACCTAGTTGTCACAAAGCTCCGGAGTATTCGGATTACACATATAATGCATAGATATAGATCTTCTCTTACTTATTACCTCAATCTATAAGTCGACTCTGGAATCAAGTGAAAGAATGTGTAGAGAATAGAATACTCTGTATGGTGGAGCATAGTAACGTGTATTGGCCAATACATAAAATACACAAGACCCGCCCAGATTCCCGGAAGTACAGAATGAAAAACGAATAATTATTACTTTAGTAAAAGTCAGTTGATGGAATCTGTGGAGTATTAGCTTTACTCCTCCAAATTCTAGAGTTGTAGTATACTAAATGGTGGGAGTTCGATTATATAGGATAAGAATCCGAGCCACCTTTGATCTCCACTCCTATTCCCGGAATGGGGAAGATGGAAGGCGCTAGTAAGCGGAACTGGGGCAGTGGGGAATGTAGTTTTTCGAGTGGGGAATTGAGAGGGAAAAAAAAAGGACCAAGTTTGGGCTGTGATATAGAGTATATGGATATTATGAAGCAAAAGTTAATCAGGTCATGTGCCATCATCATACATTGGACCCCTATTGCTTTACGCCCCTCCGCGAACGTCAACGATTAGAATGAAACGTAGGACTCTGGAACTTTGGAAATCTGGAACTCTAGAGAAGAAAGTATCCCCACAATATTCCAGCCTTGAAACTGAACCAGAAAGTGCCGAGAAACGGAACTCCAATTGTATCATCTCCGCACCCCAATACTGTTTCCCCGGTTTTTCTACCATGACCTAAACGAAAAAAAAAAGTATATTGGTTGATAATAGGGGTACGTACATATCGGAACTGCTGAATCACGGGAATCATTGGTTCAAGGGGGGTTCGAGAAGCCGATTTGCGGATATACATCCTTTTATACCCTATATAGATACGCTTATACTTCGTACCCTAGTATTTAACTCCTGCCCAAACAGAAGCCTCATGAAAATCAATGACGCCAAGCTTGAGAAAAAGCAAAATCAGGGAATAACGGCTTCCTCCTGAATCCTAAACACTTAAATAAAAAGGAGATACTCACATCAATACTCCTTACTGTGGGGAAACCAAAGAATCGGGGACTTGTGGGGCCGTAAGTTCTCACGAGACCATAAGTGGATACAGCCTTGGAAAGATTGGACTTCCAATCAATTCAAAGAGTTCTCGACTTTTCATCCCGTGTACTCCGTATTGAATCACGATACATTGAGAATCCGGGGAATGGAAGTGGCTAACTTCTTTCTAACCCTGCAGAACCGTCAATCTTGGCTCGGGGGGCCGATCACAGACCATATACTCCGTACACTTGCCGAGTTTTTTTCCCGAAATACACCGTGCACGCACTATACACATACACATACACACAGCAGTACTCTGTCCTGTGCACCCCCTGACAAAAACACGGAGAGTGGGGAGAGTACCAGATAATACATCTCCATCGTTCTGCCATGGTACTTCATGCATCCACTCAATACTAGTCCAGTTTCACAGTTTCACAACGGAGCTTAGTACCTTAGTACACTCTAGCAAATCTGACATCTTACTCCAGGTCTTTCAACCCCGGACTGTGCCACGAATCCTTTCATAAGTGTCCGAGCTCAAAATACAAGAACCATTCAACCCCGCTTGGATCAAGACTTAGCCACTTCCACGTTTTATATTAATAATCGATGACTATCCAGACCCACTTACTGTCGGTGTCAGTGCTGTCATAAGCTACTAAGTAGTTAGTTATGCAAGTAGCATGCAGCATGCAACTACTAGTAAGTGCTTTGTACGTGGATGAAATACTAGTCCAACCCTCTAAGGGAAGTCAAGTTGATGATAAGAGAGGGGCTAGAAGGTCTGTGCCGTCATTACGCATTAAGTCCCTCATTTCCAAGAACCTTGGAAATCAACAGCCAAAATATGGAACAACCAAATGGTCCGTGTCTAGCCGGACGAAGGGGGGCTGTCCGCATTTGGCAAAGGCCGGAACTCGGCACCCCCCGCGTTTATTAAAGGAAATCTGGGGGCGGGAGATATTCAATTAAAGGGAGGGGGCTATCAATTAAGTATTTAGATTCAATGATCGAGTACAATGCTATTCCAAAGTTGGACCTTCAACATTAAAGATCTAGTATGACTTGCAGCCCTAGTATATATATATATGATTAGGAAAGAATCTTGATCGTGATTGGTCTAAATTTTCATCAGCTGATCTTGTAGAACTTCAATTGAGAGTGTTAATGTCATCAATATCATCATTGATTCATCAATGACATGTCGTTCCTCTTGTAGATGTAGATCAACCCTAGTACTTAAAAAGATGAAGATAGTCATTGTTGGAGCCGGTGTCAGTGGCTGCTCCATCTACCTCTCTCTCCAAAAGCATCTCCCCAATCAAGATGAACACAACTATACAATCTATGAAGCTTACGACACAGCACGAGACACAACATTCCGTGAAAGGCCAGCCTCAACAGAAGATACAGGTTCCGCAACACTAGTAGTCGGCGGCGGCCTCGGTCTCGGCCCAAATGGATTAAACGTGCTAAAACGACTAGACTCATCGCTCTATCAAGATGTCATGCGCAGCGGGTATCCATACTCAAATTTCCAAATCAAGGGTGCAAATGGCTGGACGTTGATGAAAGTCCAAGCAACAGCGAACGTAAAAGGGCAGGAGATGGACTCACTGGCTATGAGTCGGCATTCAATCTGGCAATGTCTGCGGGATCGGATTCCCAACAGTGCGATCATCAACAAGAAGATCCAGCAGGTCATTCCGCATGGAGGTGCTCTTGGGAGACATCTCATTACATTCGTCGATGGGAGTTCACCTGTGGAAGCAGATTTGGTTATTGGCTCTGATGGACTGAAGTCCACAGTGAAACGGGCACTCTTCGATGCTGAAACAACAGAGAAAGATCCCTATCCACCACATTTTGAATAAATGACCATAGATCGATCAATCAGATCAGCCCTTTCACGCATGGACTAACGACATTCACAGAGGTTTAGTCGGTGTAGGCGGCTTCCACCCCACCACAGAAAGCCTGCAACGAAACATCCAGCCAGGCACAATGACAATAACATTCGGAGGCAATGGCTTCTTCGGCTACGTGTACTCACCCAGCCCCTCAAGCCCAGAGTCAATAATCACCTGGTGGTCAACCTTCGGCATGGAGGAATGCCCAGATCCGAAGACAGCCGATAAAGCCGCAATAACACAAGATCTGCGTGACAGACACGCGAACTGGCAGGATCCTGTAATTCAAGAGATAATCAAGTCCGTAAATGTGGAAACGATGTGGCCAACATGGACGACGCCCGAGCTGCCAATCTGGGATAAAGATGGTATCGTGTTGCTGGGTGATGCAGCGCATGCTTTACCGCCGACTTCGGGACAAGGGTCTGCGCAGGCACTTGAGGATTCAGAGTCTTTTTCGCTGTTCTTGGCTCACTATCTTAAGAAGGCGCATCGCAATGATGGGGATTTCTCGGAGAGGGACGCTGTTCAACTTGCGGCGAAGAAGCATATGGCTCTGCGATATCCTCGGGTCAAAGTGCTTCTGGAAAAGGCGCAGCAGCGACAGCAGAGTAAGAAAAAGATGAACTTGTTGCAGGAGTATACGATGTACATCATTCTGTGGTTAGTTGGTTAGTTTCTTCCCTCGTCGGGAAAAGCCCACATCTACTAATGAGTCTTTAGGTAAATTATCGCCAGCTAACCCTGCAAAAGCTGTTCTGGAATATGATATGTCGGAAGAGGTGCAGACGGTGCTAGCAGATGAAAATTGATAAAAAAGAATACCTGGGTAACCCATGTTACCATCAGGAGTTGTACACTACAAGGAGTTTTATCATTGTAGATAAAGTCAATTTAGACTATCATTTCCATAACACGTACAGACATAAACATCATAACCCAAGGATGTGACACATCAATGAGAGCGGAATCATGACCGAAGACAGAGAAACTAACCGACCTTCCAGAATAGCAAAATATAAACATCATAACTGCCTCAATTTAGGCGCCACCACGACCCATGCGCTCAATAGAGCTCATGATTCCACCACGGCCAGGCGTGAAAACTGCAATCCCAGACTTGCTACCACTGTTACCACGAGAGTGACCACGACCAGCAGGAGCTCCGTACCGTGGCTTTCTCTTCTCAACTGTGCTAGGGGGTCGAATACCAGATCCGCGGCTAATGCTGCGATGGAAGTTCTCCGCAGGAGGCTCGCTAGCTGACTGATTTTCCTCGTCAGGTTGTCCAGCAGAGGAAACTGACGGCTCACGCTCGTTTTCTGGGTTCTGTTCCGGGGCTGGCTGAGTTTGCTGAATGGCCAACCACTCATCAACGGCAGCAACAAGCTCGCCCTTCTCTGTACGTTCCGCCTTGAGATCAGCGCGAAGTTTTTCGCTGTCTTCCTTCAGGGCAGCCATCTCGTGTTGGAGACCCTTAATCTGGGCTTCGAGGACGTGCTTTTCAGCTTCTTGCTCATCGTGATCGAGGGCCATCATACTGGCATTAGCTGTAGCCATCGCATTGGAACCGGCAGAGTCACACTTGACTCTAAGACGCTCATTCTCCTCATTAGAAGTAGAGAGCTTTTTCTCAACCTCTCGGAGGCGCTTCTCCCAGCGAGACTCGTAGCTCTTTTTGAGCGCCGCCACCTTGGTCTCGTGTTTGCTCTTATACAGAGTGTGAAGCTCGCGGGCTACTCTTTCAACTGCCTCCTGAACTTCCCGGGTAGTGTCCTCGGCCGACTGCGAGGTCTGCTGGGATCCGGAAGCGGAGGTGTTCTCCGATGCGGTACGTGCAGTAGATAGCTGAGTCTCCAGCTCAACAACTCTGCCTTCCAGGTTCTCCTTACTCTTCTCGAGATCTTCCGCTTTACGGGTCAGACGATCCCGCTCACTTTCACCTTCCTCCAATTCATCGCGGACAGACTTCAGAACTCTCTCCATATCCTGACCACGGCGGTCCCACGTAGCCTGCTCAATTTCCAAGGCCTGTTTTAGAGCAGCCTCATTGCGAAGCTCTTCCAGTGCTTCTCCGACACGTCTCTCCGCATCGCCAACAGCTTTCTTCAAACTGGCAACCTCGGCCTCCTTGCCGCTGAGGGTGGCTTTGAGAGAGGAAACCTCGGACATGAAGCTAGACTTCAGAGATTCCAGTTCTCGGGGTGTAATAGAGGGAAGAGAGCGGGGGCTCGGCTGAGGTGGAATATCAAAGTCCAATAGAGATAGCTTTGTAGGCGATCGAGAGTTCCGCATGTGTCTCATGGGAGATTGACGCGAAGGAGAATATTGAGATCCCTGCTGCATGGAGTGGCGCGGATAGAAGTTCATTTCATCGGTAAAGTCAAGGAGGTTGGGTGTCTGGTTAGGTTTGCCCTTTTGTGAAGAGGCTTGGTGTCGGGGCGTGGGAGACCCGACAGGTGATCCAGCATCAAGCAGGGTAGGTCTGTGCGAGTTGCGGGAAGTGTTTGGGGTAGATATGTGCACACTACTACGCATAGGCTTTAAGGGTGAATCCGCTCGGAGCTTTGCAAACGAAGTCATATCCGGCAAGACAGAGAAGTTGCTAAAACCCGTGTCATCCATAGAGTCATTGCCATCATCATCATCCTGCAGAACCGTGCTCATACCCTCGTTTCTCTTGTCATCAATCATGCTTGAGATAGTTGACTGGTCGTAAGTGGCTTTACTTGATACGAAACTTTGGTCATGCAGAATGGATTCTTCATCAAGATCGATATGGATCTCGGGTGCTCCAGCACTACTCTTCAGGCCCTTTTTGGAACGCTCATGTTCGTGCATATCGTCTAGATCTTGGGGTGTCTGCTCGAAGGATCGCTTGCGCGGAGTAGCAATTGAACGACCCTCATTCAAACCAAGAGACGAGCGCTGCATCGAGCGCCGCTTATGAACTTCAATATTGTCTTTATGAAAATCCTGACAAATAGGCGAATTTCGAGCTACCGAAGAAGATTGCTCGCCACTCCCAGTTGATCGTTGAGAGCCACGCAGTTTTGGGAATTCGATGGGCTCCTCCTTTTCCTCAGGCGCCTGTTCAAAGGATCGCTTGTGCGGTGTAGTGATAGAAAGACCCTCAGTCAAACTTAAAGACGAGCGCCGCTTCTTAATTTCAATGCTTTTTTCACTGAAATCCTGACGAATAGGCGAATTTCGAGCTACCGGAGAAGATTGCTCGGTACTTCCAGTTGACCGTTGAGAGACATGCAGTCCTGGAAATTCAACGGGTTCCTCTTCTTCCGTAGGACGAAAGGGAGAGCTTTCCTCGGGGCGAAAGGGGGAGCTCTCAGCCTCCAGCTGCTGTTCAAAGTCAGGCGATTCGGCCTGCATCTCTCGTAGCATCGCAAGATCAACAGTCTCGTCCTTCGCATCGGGGCGAAATGGCGAACTATCCGGGTTCTCAACTGCAAGACGCTTACTCAGTCCCGGAGACAGCGGTTGTAACTCGCGCAGTTTCTGAAGATCAATTGTCTCATCTCTAGCATCAGGTCGGAAAGGCGAGCTCATCGGATCTTCCGCTTGTCGCATTCCAAAAATTGATCGCTTCGGTGTTAACTCTTGATATTCTTGAAGTTTCTGAAAATCAACGGTATTATCGCGCGCGTTCTCTTGGAAGGGAGAACTGGCAGCTTCGTGAAAGTCGTCGTCATTCTCAAAGTCCTCGGGTGGATTGTTCTCCTCGTCCTCGTAAATATAGGGGGCTTGCGTATCATCTTCAGTCCATGCTCGCTTCAAAGGACTTGACAAGCCGCGGTCTGAAGTATCGTCGATTGTTTTTGGCAGGAACGGTGATGAAGCGGTTTTTGGAGAGAGAGCTCGTGTGTTTTGAAATGAAGTCGAGAGGGGAGATAAAGGATTTGACATTTTGAACGTCACAGAGGTTGTATTGGACAACCTTAGAATTAAAGCCTCTTGTGTGAGAAAGAGGTCAAAATTACTGTTTGGTCGCATCGTGGGTCGGTTGCTGTGTAAATAAAGCTAAGCCGCTTTAGGCTTAGTCACAATAGCAGAATGTATTGCACGTGGACGAATTTAGGTTAGTTCAGCCAATTCTATTACAATATATGGAGTATTCTTTATACCCACTAGAATCTTTTCAAAGAAATATCAAAGTACTTAAGGTATAGTGTCAAAAAGTCGAACTTTTCAGCGCATTTCGCAAACATCGATCTGGTCATGTGAAGCCCAGATTCAATGCGACTAGAGGTTAATATGATAAATTAGAGCGTTCGCTTGACTCTTCAAATGATATAAAATCGCAACTTCCATCGGCAATCTCCTCATAATACAACACATAGAGCAAAAGTAATTCATGGTGAACAAAGGAATCGGAATCTTAAGACCGAAAATTGATACCTTAATTATAAGGCAGAGTAGATTTGGTGCGGCGCCTAAAATAGTCTGCTTAAAATAAATCAGCAAATAAATCAGCGTAGCCGGAACATCATCCAGTGCACCTAAAAGCTTTAAACCAGAAGCAAGTCATCCACTCGCCGAGCAATGTCTCCCGGCATAACGACAATCATAGGAACCTCTATACTAGGAATAAGCATTCTAGGTGGTTTTCTCTTCTACAACTTCTATCGGCGTGAGGTATCCTCAGCCCAGTCCCTCAATTTGTCAAGCGACATCACAGACCGATACAGCAAATTAGCAAGCGTATTCGATGAAAAAGTCGATTTTGAGGAGAAACTTCTATGCCTCGGGAAGAAGCGCGCAGATCTTATCCGTCTAGCGCGTGGTAACGTGCTAGAAGTTAGTTGCGGCACAGGTCGTAATCTTGAGTACTACGAGCTCGGGCAGCAACATGATGCAAATAGTGCTAGTGTTCGATCTTTGACACTTGTCGATATTGTTCCACAAATGCTTGATGTCGCAAAGGAGAAATTGAACACTCTGTATCCTGAATATAAGGATGCGGTTACTTTCCGGGTTGAAGATGCGGGATCCGTTTCTGTCGAGCTGCCCTCAAACAGGGAATCATCCTCGGCTACTTGTTATGATACTATAGTGCAGACGATGGGTTTATGCTCTATCCCTGATCCTCTTGGTACTTTGAAGCATCTTGCGACAATTATTGAGCCACATCACGGGCGAATCTTGCTTTTAGAGCATGGTCGCTCGTGTCATGGTTGGATTAATAATGTCATGGACAATCTTGCACCTGGTCATGCGAATCGAAATGGATGTTGGTGGAACCGAGATATTGGAGCGATTGTTCGCGACAGCGGATTGGAGATTGTGGAAGAGAAACGGTGGCTTTTTGGAATAATTTCGAGATATATTTTGCGGCCAAAGCAAGTTCCATCATAAATATGACCCATATGTACGTTCAATGCCTTCGGATATGAAGAAAATCAAGCTCTAGTTGCCATTAACTTCAAAAGAAAGAGAAAAAGTGGCCATAGCGGCTCATGGTGTTAGCAGATGAATAAGATGGAGGAGTAAAGAAGGGAATTTGTAACTCAAAGAGGTCTGTACTGGGTCAACCAGTTCTCGTCAGACGAAAGATGGAAGTTATGCCGCTACATAGTCGATGTCGTCGTGACTACTTCTGATTTCACTACTAAACTCTTTCCAGCAACGTTTTATCGCGATCTGTTAACAGTAGTCTACTAAGGAGATGCGAGTAGTAATAAAGTAAATCCAAATAGTTTAAAACTGGACAAACTACTACCAAACATCACTTAATCTATCTGCTTTCAAATTGTATAAGAATACTACATATTGTTTGTTGGATCTACCGCCCACTATTACCAACTTGCGAGCATAGGTCTTTATAAAGGTAGATAGTAAAAACATGATTTTATAGTAATACCATATAATCACTTGTTGACCTTGATTGTCTGATTCCAAATCACACATTTGAGAAAAATTCTTGCAGATGTTCAAAATTCTCACTCAACACCAAGATTTGTGAATGAAGTTGTATCTCCAATATAGCATCTTGAACATTATTAGTATACATATGAAACTGCAGTTACGGGATCTTATAGCTCCAAACACTACGTTCCTTATAGGGTAGTGTTAATGCGTAAGATGTGTGTCCTTCTAAAATGTCGTAGAACGCAGATATATACTCCATCTGTAGTCACATGACTGTAGCAATCTGCCTATCCTTTGAGAAGGTGGCCTAAAAATGAAAGTATTGATTAATGGAAAGTGCTTAAGGCATCAATCCGGCAGTAAAGTATTATGTAGGAGGGACACATGCCAAGAGACTAAATCTAATCTAGACCAGTCGTAAAATACAAACTGAGAATTGCAGTTAGATAGATCAGGTTCTTAGAGAGTATGATTACTAGCTTCGGCCTGGTATTGGCTTCGGTCGTGTGTTATTGCTCATATGATCTTAGGAGCTACAGAATACAGTAAGTATAGCTTTGAAAGATTCAACATTGAATCACGAAAGATTTACCGTTGATATTAACATAGGTACTAATCAGAAAGATTGCCTTCATAGAGATATCTAAATTGGAGATAAAAATGCCGTGATTTCGATGAGTTTATGATACTGAAAAGATGCCAAAAATCGGCTAAAGAGACAGTATCTGGTTGTATCTTGATATTGAATATTGTATCTTTTATCTCATCTTGAAGTATAAATGGTATTGCTCTATATATTATACTTACTGCGATACTTTGATTTGACGATTTGTATGGGGATTTGGCTAGTGATTTGGACTTCAGATTTAGAGATATACTAGGATTTCCTACACTAGCGGTTATAGTATTCACCTCTTCCTACAAACCCATATTTAAACTCATTAGATCGGTTGGGAGGATAAATCTCTTGCTAAGGGAAGGACTTTCTTAAGAAAGAGAAGAAAAAGAGTATCATGATGGTTACCATGCCTGTTTACCTATCCCACGACGTGGAGGTAAGTGGCATCGATGCTATTTGTGAAGGGCTAAAGCTAATCTTGAATTCAGAACTAGCTAGGCACATGCTGTTTACAAAATCCTTGAAGAACGTGAACAATTCGGGGTGGAATCGTGAGGTATGCGGTTGGTGGGTCACGTGGTACAACCACGTGATAGTTCACCAGGATTCAACCTGTTACACTATTGACCAGATAGTGTCTGGCCCTGGAGATATATGATGCTTTTCAGATTATCACAACGGTATATGCATTTGCTGCCTTGCCTCCCTGCGCGTCATTGCTCGATAGATTTTCATCCTTTACAATTCCACCACTTGTTACCTGTGCAGAGATGAGAATGTCATATCTTCTAATGTCGCGTAAAATCTTCAAAAATATGGACTGCTCATAATACTTTTAATAGAGAACCATGAAGGCAATGCACTTCTTGAACCCTCCCTAGGTTGTTTAGACTAGTATTATGCTGAATTAGATGGATTGAGGCATCTGTATTTGAATATTGTCAGTCACTCCGACTCGAGGACCTGTACCCAGATTTTATGTCATCTTGGATCATACACTAAAATATCTAGGTTTAGGAGCAAGAACGTAAATCAATCTTAATTGCTGCTTCCAGTTCTATCAGCGCATGGGCAAGGATGCTATGAAATGAGACCGCCAACCTATATAGTGAAAAAAATCTGCGAAATAACAGAAAGAAGAATTGCCATAGCCACTGCAACCTTACGCCAGCTAATCTCATGCTGTGAATACAACCCAAGAGGATCAAACGATCAAAGCGAACTAACAAGAAAAGATGGTCACGAGGCTGTTTCTGTGTTGACTGTGTTCTGGATCTCCGCCGAACGAGTTTCCGGCTCTTTTGGGAGTACCTCAGATTCAGCACCAGCCTGACTCACAACCGTTGTGGATTCAGCTTGGGTAATTTCAGCAGTGGGCTGATGGACGGATGGAGTAGCACTTGAGCCCTCTGCATGAGGGTCTTCAATATGCTCGGACTCTTGAGGTTTTTCCTCGTTATCGATGACTTCGGCAAGACTGCGGAAGTTAAACATTGGCTCAAGCGAAGTATTGCTACCATCAGAGCCAATTTGACCCGTACGCTCGTCTGGGGTAGTCTCCATGATAGAGGAGAATGACGACGACGCGCTGGGCAAATTTCGTAGATGTGACGGACGCGATAGATCCATGCCAAGATAGTCTATGGTAGGTTGATCCTCCTGGCTTGGAGAAGAACCTGGCTGAGTTGGCTCCAGTGAAGAAATTGGGGATGGACGGTCCACAGCTTTCCCCTTGCCTTCGGTCACAGAGTTCTCTTCGCAGTTGACATTCAAGTTGGATGAGGATGGCTCGACCGGGAAGCTCAGAGCAGAAGTGTTGTCATTGTTACTGCGTATGTCGGTCTTGGCCACCACTTTGTCCACCTTCTTGGCATCTTTCTCTCTCTTCTTGGCTTCCTTCTTAACCTCCTTAATTTCACGCTTCTGACGTTCCTCTTCACTGGCCAAACTGAGGCGAATGGCTTCCATCATCATCATTTCTTCCAACTCATCAATTCGTGTGCGCCTGGAGCTCTCCCGCGGAGGGGCAAGACCCGATTCTTCAGCCGAATCGGCTTCTCCACCTCGAGTTCGCTCTGCGACAAAGGCGAGGGCATTGTGTGCAGGGGATCCGGTCCGGCCGGCGTCCCCATGGGTGGCTCTTCGTAATCCTCTCCGAACGCGCGAATCATTCGAAGAACCTGTATTCATCAAATAAGCGGCAGTGTGAAGCGCCGTAGCAGCTGCCGATCGACGGGCGGCGTGGGAACGGGCATTCGCCAATTTCTGGGCCCAATCTGGACGAACTCTATCGGTTGTGACCACGGTTGGATCGCTGGCAGACAAGGATGTCGCACGGCGACGGCCTCGGCTAGGAGCGAGATTTGCAGAGGACAGGGAGGATGTGGAGGAAACTGGAGAAGTGATAGAAGGACGAATAGAAGGGTCTGTTGCGTAGGTCAGGCCACGGCGGAAATTGGGAGGGGCATAGGTAACTCCAAACTCAGGCTGAACACAGAAGGGACATGACGAAGGCTCGGAAACGAACTGAGCCTCAGAAGAGTCGAGTCCAACCTGCTGCTCAGCCTCGGGCGCGGGTGTATTGGAATTGGAGTCTCCGTGCTCCGGAGGGTGCGGGTCAGGACGCTTAATCTGCACAAAGCACTCAGAGCAAATTGGCTGATCACAACATCGAGTACGGTTCAGGTAAGGGGGATAGTAGAGGAAACAGATAGGGCATTCGGTTGAATCCTTGTATAGGTGGACTTCAATCGGTTGACCGTTGACAAACGGATCCTTCCGAAGTTGTATCTCTCGGGGACCCACATCGGCTGGCGCGCCTTGCTTGGAAGAGGACAGAGCTGCTAGGGTTTTGGCTCGCGTTCGAAAGAGTGGCGAGATAGATGTTGATGCAATCGGGGATGCTGAGGGCAAGGACTTGCCAGGATTTGACGATTGGGATGCATTGGAAGTAAGTGACTGGGAGCGCGAGGTGATTGAAACGGTGAGATGTTGGATGTTGGTAGCCTCCACCGACTCTTTGATATCGGTCGCTTTTGGAGGTGTATACTCTAGCTCAGGTGGGATCTCATCTGGCGGGGGGATGGTCATACCCCGGGCTGCGGCCATGAGCTGATGCTCTGCCCACGACTCCGAGAAGTCATTCAATCCTCTCCAGAATGGAGCTATCCGGCGCTCAATCTAAGTGGGCTCCAGTCAGTTGATTCACTTATCAGTATGGAAAGATCCAGCGCGAAACCTACCATGAGTTGTCGAACAATTGGTTTGTTGAAGTCCTCCGTTCCCACATAAACACCTTGGGTCACTAGATATCCCCCATCGACGTGTTCCTCTTTCATACTGCGTTCCCGCTCTTTGATACGGGCTGAGCGTTCCTTCTCGGCGCGACGAGCCTCCCGTTCCTGCTTGCTCTCTCGCCGGTGCTCGAGTGCAGCCACATCACGCTCATGACTGCTGCCGATTCCAAGTATTGACAGGTCAGGCCGGCTGCTTCTGCCTGATCGTGAGGAACCCTGATAGAGAGTCCGGCCGGTGGAGTCGGAGGGACCCGAAGACCATTGACCGTCTCCCCGGCGTGGAGAACCATAGCGGGTTTCCTTGGTCTGGGAATTACCCATAGCGATGGGGGAAGGATAAAAGAGAGGGGTTGGAAAGCTGTAGTGAGGGCCGACGTCGGGTTCAACCAGACTAAGCGGCGTAACTCCGAGTGAATAAAGGGCCTAAGGCCCAAAGGGGAAAAGGGCAAGGCAACTAGAAATTAGGCTAACAGCCAGGGACACACGGTAGGGGGAAACATAGAAGATGTGAAATGAAAAAGGAAGTGGGGGAGATCCGCAGGGACTGGGGAGGTTCGGGGGATCGGTGTGAGGAGAGATGAACTAATCGGGTACGTAAGAAGAGAGCCAGACTTGTTTGACTCTGGTCGGATGTGGCGGAAGAGCCTCGACAAATTTAATCCTTGGTATTTTAAGGGAATGAGATAATAAGATGAGTTCATTTGGATACAGACATCTTTACTTTCACTTGCTAAATATTTCCAATTAGTAATAGTTCAAATAGTCGGGTTCGTCATGATATCGATTATATCAGCCAGTCCATACTTAGAAACTAGATATGATTTCAGTGAATCCGTGATGCAGATGCAGAATCATATGATTGGTATATATGGAAGTAGTAGTAGTTAGTAAGAACTAATACTCTCATTTCTAGACATGCCACATAAAGTATATTATTATTATAGGTGGTTATCTTCATTATGGATTCTGGGGGTGGAATTGTGTAAGCCGAGTATGAAGAGCTCGACTAGTAGTTGACCCTGAAAATTGATAAATAGATGTATTTGAGATGATTTCTAACACTATGATACATTTAAGTAATTACTAGCTATTTAACTATACAGTACAAAATAAGACATCTTCAAGTAAGTCCCGTGACATGCTATACTTCACTGATGACTCGGTGGATCCTTCTTAACTTAGAAGGCGGTGTGGCATAATACTTTTCCCTTCTTTTGCGGAGATTCAAAAAAAAAATCCAAATGATTTCTTCTCAGACTCACCACTAGTCAACAGCTTTATTCTGCAATGACGGAGGCTACAACAAGACTCCATATCTGTCCTTTCACTCCAGATCTACTCCCATCCATTATCCCAGCGTCAATTCGACCTTCAGCTACCGATATCTCATTTCACTCCATTCCCACCTTCCCCGAGAACAGCTACGGTTATATCACTCTGCCCATCATGGACGCAGATAAAATCAAGCGGAAGCTGAACGGGTCCATTCTCAAGGGAAAAAAGTTCAAAATCGAGGCCGCCCGCCCTTCAAAGCGACAGAGAAGTGAAGAAGATGCAGATACCGAAACACCGGTGAAGTTGAAGAAAAAGTCAAAGAAGATCAAGGCAGAGAGCAAGCCAGAAGAGGGTGTGATTGATGGCTACGAAATTACCTCGGACCGGAAAGTGAAGAGAGGCTGGACAGAGCCCAATTCCAAGAAGCATACGAAGAAGAGCAAAGAGGACAAGAAGGAGAAGCCACAACCCAAATCCAAATACACTGAGAAGTCAGAGTGCTTATTTCGAACGAATATCCCTCCTAATAGGTCCGACACCTCAGACCATAAAAAGAGTAAGAAAAACAAGAGCCCATCGGAGTCGGTCGTCCATGAGTTTGCGAAAACTGCCTCGTTTCCCAGTTTCTTGCGCGACAGTAGTGATAAGTCAGCGCCGACAGCGAATTTCGAAGAGGAATCAGGCTGGGTGGACACCACTGGAAACGTGAAGGAGGCCGTGAGCCAGAAAATTCGAAAGAAGGATTACCAGCCTGGCAAAGTTCCTGGTGTCAAAGAGAAAGCACCAAAACTGTCAAAGTTCTCAAAGTCGTCAAAGAAAGAGCCTACTCCGGAACCTGCAAGTGAATCGGAAGATTACACTTCATCAAGTGGCTCCTCCAGTGAAAGCTCAGACCCTGATTCGGACTCGGACTCTGAGACTCAGTTGAGCGACTCAGCTGAGCCGTCTCAGTCTGAAAAGGAAAAGGATGCGAAATTTGCAAAAGAAACCGAACCAGCTGTCGTGGCTTCAGCTTCAGAATCAGACGCAAAGTCGGCTGGTGAACCTACACAATATACCGACGATCAGGCAGCCAAAGAAATTCACCCATTGGAAGCCCTCTTCAAACGGTCTGCTCCAGCAGATTCCGAAAATCAACCAGCACCAGAAGAGAATGCCGGGTTCAGTTTCTTTGGTACAAACGACGACATCGAGTCTGAGGATGAAACGACCGAACCTCAAACTCCTTTCACTCCTTTCGGCAAAAAAGATCTCCAGGATCGTGGTATGCGAAGTGCGGCACCCACGCCCGATACGTCTGCGGCGACTCGACACATGAACTGGAACGAGAGTGATGAAGATATGGAGGACGAGGAAGAGGAAGAGGAAATTGGCGCTGACACTCCCGTTTCCAAGTCACGTGGAACAGATAATAATGAGGAGACTGGATTCACCAAATGGTTCTGGGAGAACCGTGGTGAAAACAACCGGTCCTGGAAGAGGAGGCGACGTGATGTAGGCAAGGAGCAGAGACAGCGTGAGAACCGGAAGAATCCTGGCCAAAAGGGCAGGTCTTAAATGATGAATCAATTGTGATCAAATCCCCAAAACCTATAAACAAATCACCGAATCTAATATTATTATGTGAAGTTCGATAACAATGCATTGCATGGTAGGCTAGTCCGAGAGATAAAGCTATCATAGATCAGATCTGATAAATAATCACGTGATTTTATAGCTTAACCACATCTCAGCCTCAGCTTCGGCTGCAAATTCTAGATTCCATCGCGACAGGATGTATTCGGGCAGGTCCCTCAAGAGCGGTGGGACATATACAGTCCTGATCCTTCTCGCACTGCTATCATTCACGTCTCTAACAGCCGCATCTAGTCAGTGAGAATTATGCTGCAGTGATGAGAACATGCTAATTCTCTACCTCGTTCCAGCGCCGACATCCTTTTGCAAATGTACCTGCTTCTCCAATAGTACGATTATCCCGCTCGCATCTGCCAAATCCGGCTCGACATCTTCCTACGACAATACCCTTAACCTATTTGGGCGTGCATTTGGCCTGGAATCGGATCCGAGCCCTGAGCTAGAGGACCGTGATAATGATAATCATGCTCGGACATCAGAATACCGTGGACTCAGCTGTACTGACTGCAATCGAAAGTTCTGCTTGAACTATGATCTGCCGATCTGCAAGGATGCGAAGGAGGAGGACGTGTTCACCACTTGCTTCCGTACGTACCGGAGTACTCCATACTCGAGACCACCATCTCCACGAACGTACTAGCTAACCCATCTTCCCCTTCATATAGAGCGAGATTCTCAAAAAGATGAAGCAGTTGTATTTATTTTCATTTTTGCCACTGGTGGACTGCTTGCATGGGCGGTATTAAAGCCATGGATTGAGAGATATCTCGAGGTAAGCTACCGGATTCAGCTCGAACAAGTAACGCTAATTATAAGCGCAGGCTGCACGAGAACGCCGGTCGTACATTCCTGTTGCTGAGCCCGATAGTTGAAGAAATTGCTTTTTATACAAGAATCGCGTAATTAAATCTATGAAAGGAATATATATATATAAAAGGAATAAACGAACTAGTGAAAACCGGAGATTAAGCACGACCTAATTCAGGGGGAAGCCAAAAAGGTGAAGCATTGGAGAGCTCTCAGTATGAATCTGATGGATCCAAATAGACCAAATCTCAAAAACAAAATATGAAACAACAGAATTCGATTGAGAAGAAGTTAGGGCTCCACTAGACAACTCCATTTGAGCCAATAAATAGTTAAGATCCCCAATATTCCGAATCATGAAATAAGGAAGAGTCCGGTCAAGTGGATTACATCAAAACCTGTTCCTAAATAGTCTAAGAGTCCTTTTAAGATTACGCGGTTTCATTTTTCAATTTTTTTTCTTTTCTCTTCTTGTCCTTTTGTTCTTTTCATTTCTGATTTCCCTCCCTATTCCTGATCGATCGCCCGATCTAACCTCCTGAGCGGAGTCCAAGATCGTCTACGTCTAAGCTCTTATTTCAAGTATCCATTCATTTCATTATTTATAACCTTCTTTTCACTTCATTATGGCGATCTTCGACTCCGAGAAACGCCCTCGTGGTCTACGAGTTCCCTCTCTTTCAAAAATCAAAGCCGGCGCTTCCCGCAAGAAATCCGAGCCGAAGAGTCCAGACACCGACGACGAGCCATCACCCCCGCTACCAGCTTTGGACTTTGATCTAGTCCCAGTTGTCAATTCTACCCTGAGGCTGCATCCTCCACCAACTAAAGAATTGCCTTCTCCTCCTAAGGATCAACTGCCTCCTCCAATCCAGATTTCAACTCAGGTCCCAGCTCGCCGAGAATTGAGCAGCAATACGCGTCCTGTTGTGAATCCTCAGACTCTGGCAAGAGGCATCAGACCAGCTGGTGCTTCACCAGTCTCACCATTGGACGCGCATCTGCAACATCCACCGCCGATTCAAACACAAACGACACCGGCTGTGGTTTCATCTACAGCTGCATACCCACAGGCTGCATACCCACAGGCTGCATACCAACAATCTGCCCCACAAGGTGCATATCAACAAGTTGCAGCCACACCTACTTATCAGCTGGCACCTCCACAACCTCTACAACCTCTATCTCCAGAATCACTTTATTCACCAACTACTATACAAGCAGCAAATAAAGATGAATCCATTTCTCCAACGGATACATCGGCACCAGAAGCAGACAATGTGACTCCATTGGAAGACTTCATTCCAACACCAGAGAGCGATACTTCGCCCGTCGAGCCCGTCGACAACCAACCATTCCTACCTTCAGATTACGAGCCCGTCGCTGCACCATTGAACCAGCTCCACTATAACTGTTTCCAGGAACACAAGTCCATGCCTGTTGCCCAGAACCAGTGGTACTCGCTCCCATGCATGACTTGCCAGAAATTCGACCGTGAGGTCCGTCACCGCTGTGTCTTTTGCTGCCTGCGCATTTGTGGCAGTTGCCACAAGTCATTACAGAAACTCCAGAATCATTCTTTAGGACAGTTGATGAAGAACCTCGAGAGCGTCGAGTGAGAAATCTTTGACTTTGCATTACATTTTCTTTGTCATATTATCATATATCATTTGTATTGCGTGATTTGGCGCTGTGCGCTTGGGTCAAGAACGCTGAATATTCCAGCATAATCTTATACCATGAAGGTCTTTCCTGTCATGATACCAATGGGGTTGGTTGGGTACTGCATATCGTTTCTCAAGTTTAAATATTTCGGTAACATCATTATTTATGTACAGTCTTGAGATTGAGAACCTGCATAAAATATAGGGTATCGTGCACTCACTTAATCATGATCCTCCTCTGTTAGCCCGGGGCAGTTTTCCAATTCCGACTCGGTCTCGTATCGGTGCTTGCACCAAAAGCAGTAACGATAAGTATCCCGTAGATAAAGAACCAGCTTATGGAGCTTTTTAGCAGGTTCTAGAGCATTGAATGCATCTAGTTCTGTATCCTCTTCATCTAACTCCGCTTCCACATTAGCAGTGTAACCAAGAGCCTGCTTATCATCTCGGTCTAGATCGCCATCATCGTAACCTGGGAGTGTGGAGCTCGGGAAAAATGTCGAAGGCAAGGAGGTTTGAAGGGCGTGACGGGCTTGCTTTTCTCGTTCGCGATTTTCGCGATCCCGAACAAGACCTCGATAGAGGATGTTGATGCTCGAGGTGAGCTTGACAGGCTTCGATTTCTTGGGAACTGAGCTTTCCAGGTCTTTGTCTTCGTCACCGTCCTGTGTAGGCTCCTGGTATTCTTCAAGGCCCTGGACTTGACCTTCCTCAGCCTCAGTATCCAAACGTTCAGCAGTTTTCTGCGCAGCGCGCACTTGCGCTTCAAAACGCTTGAGTTCGCGCTCTTCACGAATGCGATCACGATAGTCGCCTTGATCTTGTTTTATTTTCTTCGTGGCTTCCGCAGCCTCCTCCCGCATCTTGCGCTTCTTCTGACTGTCCAAACCAATACCACCTCGGTTCTCCTTGATCATGAGACCTAATGGTTCGGCGCGTGCATGTATCGAGCGATGTAACATTCTTTCTGCATCAGTTTGATCTTTCGGTACGGTGGCTTGTTTTCCTAGTGACTGCCCAACCTTGAAGCCTAGCTTCGCCATCATTTGGAAACCCTTATTGGACGGGTCTAAGGTACTTTTCGACAGGGCTTCATCTCGACGAGCGGCCTCCTGGGCTGCGCGTTCAGCTTTGTTGGGAACTCTTCCTCGGGCCTCGGCCTATACATAGCAAACAGAGATCGTCAGTTGTTTGTTTTGTACTGCTTTGTACCCATATCCGGATGCGAGATTAGGGATACGATACCTCTCTTCGTTCTCGGAGTTTCTTCTGTGTAAATGTTTCCTGCAGTTTAGGCTCCTCAATCACCATGGACATGTAGTCATCCTCCTCATCGGCCGACATAGTGCAGTTGATGATAATGGTAGAAAAGAGTTGAGATTGAAGAAACCTGTGTTTTTGCGGGGAAGAGATAAAAGTGGAGCCTTCAGGCTGTGATTGGCCAAGTGTTAGTATAATTCTAGGAATGTTAATTTCCTTTTCAAGGGAGTTGAAGGAGTTCTGTTTTCAGTCCAAACAATAACTCGAGTCTGGACCTTATGCTACTGTCACCCCCTCGGCTCTTTGCTTGAACCTTGATACGGTTTCAGGATTTATTTGAAGGGACTTTGTTTGCGGCTTGGGATTAGTCTTGGCCAAGTTTTCTTCTAATATGGGGTCCAGGGACGGTTTCCCTCTCAATTGTACACTTCTCAGTCATGGCTATTTTACAATACTTCTTGTTTCTGACCCTGGCTTGTGCGGACTCTCTGGTGGTCAACTTGGGCTATGCGAGTTACCAGGGTCACTCGACCGATAATGAAATATCCCAGTGGCTAGGATTGCGCTATGCAGCTCCGCCGGTGGGAAACTTGCGCTTTGCAGCGCCACAAGATCCCCCAGTTGTAACTGGTGTACAACAAGCTAATAATGTATGTTGACAGCTGAACACATTCAGATGAGCACTGCAGGCTAACTATGAATATTTAGTACGGCCCCCTCTGCATCCCAGTGGCTAAGAGCTTAAACTCACCTATACCAAGCGGTAATTCCGAAGATTGTCTATTCTTGGATGTCTTTGCTCCAACAGATGCATTTACTTCTGGCAAGAAACTTCCCGTGTTCTTCTGGATCCAGGGAGGGGGGTTTGCGGAGTTATCCAATCCTAACTATAGCGGAGCTGGCTTGGTTGAAGCCTCTGATAATAACATTGTTGTTGTGATGCTTAACTACCGTGTTGGTCCTTATGGATTCCTTGCTGGAGAAGAAGTTGAGCAGGGAGGTAGCCTGAACAATGGTCTGAAAGATCAGCTTAAGGCATTGAAATGGGTGCAGAAGCATATCAGCAAGGTACATTATACCACTACCCACGTAAGCTAAAATCTAACCAGGCCATTCTAGTTTGGTGGTGATCCCAACCACGTTGTTATAGGCGGTGACAGTGCAGGAGGAGCATCTGTGACTCTTCTGCTATCGGCATATGGAGGGCGCAATGATGGACTCTTCATCGGGGCAGCAGCAGAGTCACAGAGCTTCGGCACAGTCCTCAACGTCACAGAAAGCCAATTCGCATATAACAGGCTAGTACAACGTACTGGTTGCCAAGACAAGTCAGACACCTTAGCATGTCTGCGCAGTCTAGACATCAGCGCCCTCCAAGGACAGAACATTGTGACACCATTCCCAGGAGCAGCAGGTGACCCTCTATACCTTTACGGCCCAACAATCGATGATGACGTAGTCCACGATCACACATATTCACTTTTCGAACAAGGCAAATTCATAAAAGTGCCCGTGATATTCGGCGACGACACAAACGAAGGCACGATCTTCGTCTCCAGATCCACCGCCAGCGTCGAGGACGCCGACCAGTTCATCAAAGACCAGTACCCCATCATGACAGATGACCAGTTATACAAAATCAACGCCATGTATCTCACGCCAGACGATACAGAAACATACCCCGACGCTGGTCCATACTGGCCACCAGCCAGCACCGCCTACGGGGAACTGCGCTACATTTGCCCAGGAATACACATGTCATCAATATATGCAGCAGCCGGCGTGCCAAATTGGAACTACCATTACGCAGTAGTTGATCCAGACGCAGCAGCATCTGGAACGGGGACGTCTCATACCGTTGAAGTGAATGCCATCTGGGGACCAGACTATGTCAGCGGTGTCCCTCCTACTTCATATTACACTACCAATGCGGGAATTGTTCCCATCGTACAGGGTTACTGGACTAGTTTCATCCGATCTCTTAACCCTAATACGTATCGGGATGCTTCTAGTCCTGAGTGGAAAGCTTGGGGCGAGGGCGATGATGCGTATAAGCGGATATTTCTTCGGACTAATGAGACTCGTATGGAGAAGGTATCACAGGAGCAGAATGATCGTTGTAATTATTTGATTGGGATTGGGATTGAGTTGAGACAGTAGCGTACATATGCATAGTATTCGTCTTTGTTTAATTAATATGTTGAATCTGAGGATTGTTCTAATATATGTAGTTCTTTTTAGTACTTCTTACGCTAAAAAATGCATAGAATCAGAATGAATAATGAAATTTCAATAGGCATTGACTTTTACTTTCCAGCCATGCACCAGCCCTGAGAGGGCGAAAAAAAAGTAAGCAAGAATAATATGTACAGCCGAGCATGATGTGCAAAGAAAACAAGACACTGCCGTAGCAAAACGAATGTGAAAGACCGGGCAAAAAGAGATGATACTATTTCTTGCCACGACCCCTCTTCTCTCGCTCGTACTCGTTGGCTGCACGGCCCTCCTCGCTCTGAATTTCGGCAATAAGCTTTTTGTACTTCTGCTCGTACGCTGAATCGCGCTCCTTCTTCTCGCGCAGCTTCTCGCGGGCAACGAAGCTGGCATCCTTGCGCAATTCGCGCATAGCACCCTTGCGCTCGCGCTTGATCTCTGCCTTGAGACGGTTGGTCTCGGCACGCTCGCGATCCGGATCGTAGTGCTTGTCCGGGTTGAAGTTTTCCTCGAACTTGGGGATGGCGGATTTGATGGCCAAGGGGCGGTGGTCGTGGAGGAGGAGTGGGCGGCGGGTCAGGCGGGCCTTAGAAAGGTGGGAGTTGACCTTGTCCAAGGTCGATTGGATTGGGTCCCGGGCTGCTGAATAGAGCTTGTTCTTGAATGATTGGCGGAGGGTCTGCAGGACATCTCGGACTGGGGTGAAGATTTCTGTGAATGCAGACTTCTCGGCCCAAATATCGGAGGCAACGTCGAGAAGAGAGACAAAGGTGGTGATAAGGGAGATCTTTAGGTCTTCCACAGCTTGGGGATCTGAGGGGAGGGTGAGAACATTTTGGAACTGAAGTTTGTGTGGAGTAACCTTCTTGGAGGCTGCAAGACGGATGGATTTCTGAGTCTTGCGGAATGGGAAGAATCCAAGGTCGAATGGTATCTCAGTAGGTGCAAGATTACATATGGCGTTGAGAACATAGTTGATGAACTCAGGCATATATCTCTTCGCGACTGTCTGATATTGAAGACACAAGCTTGTGGCGAAAGCACCAGATGTGAATTCGGAAAGGGTGTTAGACGAGCACTGGCCCAAGAACCGAGCAAGACACAAGTGAGCAGGCGTAGTCACAGAATGGAAATGATCCGATGTCGGGAAGATGGTTGAGATACCCATTAAAATAACCAGGTCTCCGGGAAGGAAGCTGAGAGGGCGATCGTCCGACATCTCGCGTAGATGCGCACGGAAGGCAGTGGCCACATTGAGAGGGTGAATCTTGGCTAGTGAGTGAACATGGCGCAGGATATTCTCGATAAGGAAGAAGGAGGGCTGATCCGTCTCGTTGGCCAGATATGCGATATACTCAACGAGAATCTCGGAAAATCTGCCCAGCTTAGCTTTATTGCCAGGCTGGAGACGAGGGTGATGCAAGGCACGAATGCGCTGAATGACAGTCGGGATGTCCTGCTCAGGAACGTTCTCGACAATTCTGAGGAAGCTATCGTGGTTGTCGGGACATGGGTATGTGAATGCCAATTTACCATCAGCAGTTTGGTTAACTTCAACAGCTGTCGATGCGGCACCGGCAGCAGTTGCAGCAGGCAATGTCAATCCATTGATGAGCTCATCTTCATTTTCAGATTCCTCCTCCTCTTCTGAAATATCCTCTTCGTCATCATCACTGCCATCCATAGAGAGATTGGCATTTGACCTTGTCTCCACAAGGTCGTCGTCAATGACGAAATCATCCTCATCCTCTACAGCTAGCTGAGGGCGTGGTTCGAATGAAGGAAGGCCAAATACCGCTGCATCATCAATCTCTTCTTCTTCGTCATCGTCATTGAAAAATGAGTCCTCATCCTCTTCCTCTTCATCGTCGCTAACCTTCTCGCCGCGCATTCTCTTAAGACGGTCCTCTTCCAGCTTCTTCAGTCTTTCTGCCTCTTCTTCTACCTTCTCCTCCTCGGTCTTTGTACGATCTGTTGGTCTAGACCTGGCGTCAAATGTCAATTCTTTGAGTCTTTGATCGTACTGCTTCTCTGTATTCGTCTTCTCGGGAGCCTGCAACATGGCGGCTCGTTCAGGATTCATGGCGTCCAAATCGTTCTTGACAGGTTCGGGCTTAGCAGGTGCTTTGATGCCTCGCAGGGCTTCATAAAGATCAGGAAGTTCTTTGTCGAGTTCGTCTCGCAAATCATCATCATCATCCTTGGCCTGTTGCCGCTCGTGTTTGTAGAATTTAGACTTGGCAATGACTTCTTTCATGACCTCGGCCTTGGACTTCTTGCGATCAGGCTGGTCTTCCCCATCGTAGTCAATAAAGTCCTCAATATCCTCCTCATCTTCAGCGACAAATCGTTTGCGCTTGCGTGAAGCCTCGTCGTCGGAATCCTGGATATCCATGGCATCCAAGCCCTCCGCCTCTGCCTCGAAATCATCCACATTCGTTCCATCGAGGGGCAAAGATTGACCCATATGCGTGAGCTGGAACTCATCATCATCCTCCTCCAGGTTGAACATGGAATCCTTGCGCATTTTTCTCTGATTTTCTCGCGCAAATCGCTCTGCGGCTCGTTCCTCGGGTGTCATACTAGGGTCGTTTTCACCGAATCGACGATCGACAAGTCCACCGACTTTGTTCTTGGTGTTCATTTCCTTCAAAGGGGTGGCACGGCGCTAGAACAAAAAGTTAATTGTGAACATGTACTCGTAGAATAGCACCTAGCAATATTAACATACTCTTTCTTCGCCTAGGGATTTGGTGACACCTGGACGGGCCTGCCCGGTAGACTTCGAGTTTCCATCGCGAGTAGTGGCCTCGAACTTGCTTCGTGAGGGTTGTTTGATTTCAAAAGGGTTGAACCGGTCGCGAATGGCTTGCAAGGCGGCAGCGCGCTGGTTGCGATTCTGCGCAGTAACACCAGTCTTCGCATTCTGGCGCTTCTGTTTCTTGGACTGCTGGGGAGTAATAACCCCACTGTCCTTAAGGGACGCCTTCAGCTGCTTTAGCTGTGAAGGTGGCATTGTTACGTTGAGTGGAATGCGTGCGTTTCAATAGAATTACTTTTTTTTTTGCTCTGCAAAAACAGGGCGGTGAATCGAATTGTCACCGCCCCCGAATTTCATCATTCTGCCGCACCGTCTCTCCGCACTTACTCCAACATGCACGACCATGGCTCTTTTTTCAGGGGACGGAGTGCTATGGGCTTGTTTAGGTATGCTTCACCTGAAATATGCTATCGACCAGGAACTAACTTGTTCAGGCATATCTCTTTTCTTTGCCGTTCGCGGTATCACTACGGACTTGCGCCAAGTGGTCGATTTGACGGAGATTAAACATGTCGAAAAGGAAGATAGGATTATCAGTGATGGAACAGAAGAGGGTGTGTGGTAACCCGTTGCATCGCCAGTATATGCTCAGAATTGGCTAACAGAGTTCCAGCTCTTAAGCTAGACACTCTACTCAAGCTCTCCGAGAGCACAAGTCATGAACTCAGATCTGCGTATGACCAAGGGCTCGAGACACGCTGCAGTACACCTACTAACTCTACACAGATCCCTGAGAATCATTGCAGAGCGTTCGTCCAAGGGCGAATCCCGCGATCTGCTTTTAGAAGACTTATCATCAAAAAATAAAGTACGACAAAACAAAGCGCTGACTGCACTCCACTTTCTCGTCTCGAATCGAGCATGTATGCACATGCACACCACACTGGTCTTGAGAGACAAAAAGCTGACAAGCTTTAGTATCCCGAACATCTGTCTGCAATCGACTCCGAGATGTACCTACATACACCGCCATTGTCAATTGTCTCTGTAACTTCTTGGATGAGCATACGGAACAAACGTCCTCAACAAACTCGCCCATCTTACCCAAAACCAGACCGACTCGGGAAAAGAAGGCTCTCCAGATTTTGAATATCCTGCTACCTCAAAACATAGCCGCGGCTCTAGAAGCAGGAATAATCAGCCGGTGGCTCAATAAGTACCCATTCCCGTGTGCATTGGCCGAGCCATCTCGGCGACAGGATGTGGTGCTTCTGATGAAAACATGGTGGTCTGATGATGCCGTAATGAGTTCTATATTTAGTACTCTAGCCTCACATTCAGATTCAATCAAGCAACTACGAAAATATGGTCTTCTGGGAAGCATGGGAAGCATGATCGAAGAGCGACATGGCCATGATGATGATGACGATGACGATTATGATGATGCAGATAGTGATGCGTGGATGTTTGATGGAGACGAAACAGCTGGATCTATCCGGCAGTCTTCTAGACGGCCGGCAGAAGGCAACGCTGAAGAGCAAGCACTTCGCAGGCGTCGCAGAGAAGCCATTGTGATCAGTGAAGGTGGGCGGCCAATTGGGAGCGACGACATTTTCCAGCGGCCGATCCAGGATAGTTGAATTTCTATTTGCTATCAAAACGAAACTAGCATATTTATGATACCCCTCTGACTGGAAGAATAACGATTCCAAAAAATACGATGATGCAAGTGCAGTCAATAATGTGGTGAATAATATCTACTACAGCCCCATCCATGATGACTTCGCTAGGTGATCAGTCTTCTTTCGACTGTTTTTAATCATGCCAAACGACTTGAGTTCAGACAAAGCAGTATAGAATAAAGACATAACAACACGGTCGTTGAAATTATTGTGATCACTCTCAAAGACTCCGTGGAATGCTTGCCACAGGTCATGAACATTAACCAACGCTCCTGATTCAAGATAGAGCTGGTATAGTATGGCGGTAGCCGGCTGCTTAGAGGATATTCTAGTCTCCATGGTGGCCTCCGACGAAGAGATCAGATAGTCGAAGGGACTGGCAAGAGCACGCTCTAAGACAAAGCGCGGCCTTGGCGTAAATGTTTCTTTCAGAGGGCTGCGTAGATCAAATAGGAAAGCCTCATGCATGAAAAGATCCTGCGGAGGAATCAGCGTTTCGGCGAAATACTCATGTAGCGCACCGACCAAGCGGTCAATGATTTTGGTATATTCAGTGTCTTGTTTTGACAAGTTAACCTTGCCTTTGCTGAGAAGAATGCGTTGTTGAACGACGGTCGTCTTCGCCACAGAGCTGTTGATGTTGTATTCACTGCGCAGTGGTCCCGAGTCTGGGTGACTTTCCAGCATAGTTTTGAGATCTGCTTGAATGGTACTGAGAGCTGCATGATCGGACATATTCTCAGGTAGGGTGGCAAGCACTTCTTGCAATTTCTCAGAGTCCAGAGTGCGCACCGTGGCCAGCATATCCTCCAAAAGTGGCGAGTCATTCAGCTCTCCTGCTAGGGCGCGGACAGAGAGATCTGCTACACTTGCCTTCTTCACACCTTGTGTGTGTTGGAGACATTTGTAGATAAGGAGAACAGCGCGGAAGACCTCATGCATGGTTTGCTGGCCTGCTTCAACATGGCTGAGAGCTTGCTGCAGCAAATGTTCGTCATTTTCCAACAAACCTCGAGCTGCGTCAGGCGAGCCGGCCTCGATTAGATCTTCACAAAACCTGCCATAGTATTAGCTCAATCATACTTGGAACAACGATTATTAATGGATGCTTACATTCGGAAAGACGGAAGGTTTCTGATTGCCTCGCAAAAGAGACTTTGCGGTAGTGAGGACGGAATTGATCCTCCCAGAAGAATGGCCAAGGGATTGGCAAAGAAATGGGACATATATGCATACTGTGCAGGGGTTAGAAGTAGCACGACTCAAATGTATGCAGGTCGATTACCTTGACCATGCGACTGAATGCTTCCGGAGTCTGGAAATAGTCTGTAGTTTTTTCAATGAGTGTACCAGTGATATTGCGGCCGATCCATAGCTTCTCATTTGAATGGGTCTGCAGGGTCTCGTAAATACGATCTACACAATTACCCGCTTCATGGACCTCAAAATGCTTCCCTTGGAGCAAAGCAACGCATGAGCGAGGGAGTCGACCTTCGAATAGCTCGACTGAAGTTGAGATTCCCAAAAGTATAACAAAAGGTATGCGATCAAGCCAAGATCTACTCGCGCGTTAGTAGACCCAATGCATAGAACACAATGTATCTTACTTGAATAGGGAGATGAGATCTGTCAAAAGACCAGGATCGAAGGCTTCACTGTCTCGCAAAGCGATGACTAGCTTTCTAGTCCCTTTTCTCTGGACATAATCATTGAGTAGGTCCAGATCGTATCCCAACATGCGTGGTCCCTTGATTCATATTAGCATCGAACGGCGTCACACAGTTGAGGTAGATACATACGGTGCGATCTGTGAGGAACTTCTGGTACCCATCATTGCCTTCAGTATTCGTGACCGCTGCTCGAATAATATTCTTTAACGACGTTTTCATATTCGGTGCATCACCAGACTCTAACACAACGACACCACCCTCCCCGGTTGCCGTCAATTGATCATTAAGACGTGAGAGTAATCTAGTTAGTGACGAGACATTCGAGCCAACGGTGACCAAAGCAGTAGGCATGCATCCATTCGATCTGCAGTTAAGTAATTAGCATTGCAACTTTTGTACTCTTCCTGATGACTGAACCGTACGTTTCAGGTGATGTCTCCCTCACAAAAGATAGCACGTTCTTAAGAACACCAGCATCGACGTCTTCGAGGATAGCCTTTACTCTTCAAATCAGTGACTCTCTTTTTTAAATCGGCACAGAACGTCACCCACCTGTATCTTGCGTTCCTGTTCCGACCACAGCTGTTTATAGGTGTCATATCGCAGCTGCACACACTCTACGCTCTCCTCTCCATTCAGTAGAGAAACGAATGTCTTTGAGTCTGAATTCAGTTCTCTATTATTGGTAGACGAGACCTTTCGGCGTTTCGAGGGTCGTTCACTAGCTTTCTCAGGCTTCGCAGGTTGGTAGATATACACGCCCTAGACACGGTGAGTAACTGGAACACGCATCGCTGGAATAATTCCATACCTGATTCTGTGACCTGTCTTTAGACAAGTCCAGCGCATCTTCTAGACCATCTGGATCCATTGCTGATCATAATAGAAAGGTGAGTTTGAAGGAGATGGATGAACTTCCGCGGAGTGGGAGCGCGCTAAACCCGAATTGGGGAATAATGGTTTTCCGAACTGCAACTTTCTTCAACAACCCCACGATTTCTCTTTTTCCGCCCCACGCCAATGATAGTATAAATTCCCATATGCTCCGTCAGGCTGTTCGAGGGACACGATGGTACTCCGTGGTGCGCAACCAGTCTATTTCCCAGCGCGCCTTCAGTGCTGTAGCTGTCCGTCAGCTCAAGTATGGCGGACCGAACGATAAAGTCACTTTCTTTGAACAGGACTCTCTCGAAAGCAAGACGCGACGAGAATTTAACCCAGAAGCCGAGGATGTTGAGGAGAGAGAGGAGATTGAACAAGAGCTCTCGAAGATTCAGCAAGAGCTCAAGGTCTTGGAGAAGGGGCCATTCGATCCCAATAGTCCGTTCATTCAGAGTTTGCCAGAAGATGACCGAAAGATTGCCCTAGAGGCTTTGCGAAAATATGATGAAGAGCGAGAAACGGTGGAACCCCAGCTCACACTGGATGATGTGTTCGATGAGGAGATGGATGATATGATGCGAGAGGAATTCGAGGGACTCGCCATGGAACAAGAGAACTGGCAGGACGGCGCCAACAGGCGGCGGAAGTTGGCTGCGAGAAGATCGAAAGAAGCCAATATACAGAACCCGGAATCCCATCCATATGCTATAAGGTTTAAAAAGTCGCTTCGTCAGTTTGCGGAAAATACCACAGACGAACGAGCTAGACAAGAGGTGTGGAAGTCCTACCGCCGATGCAAGCAGGCAAATCCGACTTTTTTGGGAGCGCTACCCCTGGAGGCCGTAGATTTATTGTGGGAATCGCAAGCAACATCTCAATCAGGCCGGGCTACACGATTAAATCATTTACGGTCCCTCACTGAAGACGCCGCATCTGCCGGCATATCACTCGCCACTCCAAAAATTCTTCTATATATCGAGGCCCTACACGAGGGTGGTGCTACAAGTAGTGCACTGGAACAGTGGGAATCCTACCAGGCCAAGCTTTCTCGGAAAAAGGAAGATCTCGAAGAGTATTGGATGCTGGGCGTCCGACTCTTTGCAACTGATAACAACCCACAAAGAGCCCAAGATATTGCGCTAGCTTTTCTTGCAAACGATAAATCTCGCCAAGCCCGGGTGCTCATTCCAGTTATCAAGGCATGGGCGAGGTTACCTGGGAAAGAAGCGGAAGTGAAGGCATGGGCACTCTACCTCCAGCTGAAGACGCTTTTAAGTTCAAGTATGACCATGGAAGATTACGATGAGATCAGTATTGGTCTTCTCACAGCCGGTCGCCTGGAAACTGCGGTTGCTATATTCAAGGATATGATGGTAACAGGACATGATCCAGCCAACGACTCCACTGCTCTCTATAAAGCAGCACTGGGGTTGGCTGGTAACCTTCATGCATCTAGCATTGATGAAAAGGCTGTCAATAAAGTCTCTTTGTCGGTACTCACCATGCTCCCTCGAAAATTTCAAAATCGGTTCTTCTACGCCAGTTGGATGAAAAAACTCATTGGTATGGGTGATGTCGACTCGGCGGCGCTCGTGATTGAATTGATGTATGAAAGGGGGTACAGCCAGACAGCAAGCATATGAATGGAGTAGTAGCTGGTTGGCTTCGCGACGGCAGCGCAATTGCCCGAGACAAAGCAGAGCGACTCGCATGGTCTATGATTCAACATCGCATTGATACTGTCTGGAAACGATTCCAGCCCACTGAACCATCACCCAAACTACAGGTTGAACATGCGGAGATCGATCCTAGCCGCATACCTTTTTTCCTCAAGCGAGATGTCCCGCCCGCAACTATCGAGACCTTCTCTATTCTCCTTCTACATTATACCCGCCGCGGAGACGACGACATGATCAAATATCTCGTCAAGTGTCTGAATGACGCACACATTCAGCCAAACTCATACCTCATGAACCACCTTCTTTACGCTGACTTGCGCAAACAAGATATTCGGTCTCTCTGGACAAAATTCGAGAGAATGAGCAGGACAGTTTCACCCGATTTGGAAACCTACGCCTGTCTTTGGGACTGTGCAAAAGTGCAATATGACCGCGGGCGAACTGCCTTTGACGCCGGATTTCCATCTGCGCGCCAACTATTCGCTAGTATGATGCAGTGGTACTCTCAACTATCTCCGCGTGGTCAAAGAGCCGCTCGAGATCAGTTCTCCAAGGACTTGTATGACCAGGTCGTGCGTTGCTTCTGCCTGTCAAAGGACGTTTCTGGGACACTTGTCGTGCTACACTCGATGCAAGCTACGTTTAGTTTTACGCCCGATGACAACACAGCCCGCCTGATCGTCCTCCAAGTTGCGCGCCTGGCAGGCGTACCAGTTGATACACCCAAGCACCGATTACGACGTTTGTCTTCAACCCCTCGAAGCAAAGAGAACATCAGCCAAGTAAACCGGTTGGTAGATGTACTGAGCGAGCGGAAATCCATGACCCTCCAAGCGCAGGGCGTGAATCCAGACCAGCTTGATCTTGATGAGAAGCAGCAGTACCAGCTTGAGATCATGGCTAGTTTGTTGCGCATTGTGCTGAGTCGGAGTGATGGATTAGATACAGTACAAGTTGAGCAGAAGTTATCTCGGACTGCAGCCGAGATGAAGGCCGATGAGATCTATCTAGGCTCACCTCTGGGTGTTGAGGATAGCCAGCTGCTGTAATTTGTTATGGGTACTGCATTTGCATCGCATGGAGTGGCGTTTCTGGTAATATTAAAGACTTACATAGTACTTTTTTTCGATTGCGAATTGTACAATATTCTTCTCCTCTTCAATCTTCAAATAAATAAAAAATAATAAATAAAAAAGGCATTGACCGTGGTATGCAGCCTATGAACCCGAAACAAGGCTAAACTCCAGGTAAAAAGAAAAGTAAATAAAAGTTAAAAGTAATAATCCAACTTCGAAGAATAGTTTTACAAAGATATCCCTTCTTCTATTTCTTTCCCTTGCTCTTCTTCTTTTTGCTACCAGGTGGGGAACCAGGCGCTGACGCCTCTGCTTCAACCAATACTGGCTCATCATCACTAGCCTGTGCGATCGATGTAGGTGCAGCTGGAGAGATAGATTCCGGGGCCTTAGAAGCTGCACTAGAGCCAGTCTTCTCATCGTTCAATTCCTTCATGAAGCTCTCTTGAACACTGGCCTTCTTATTATCCCACCACTTGCGCTCTTCGGAAACTTTGTCCTGGTGCTCAGACATTCTTTGGCGGTAGAGGTCATTGTTCATCATCTCGTTGGCTGATTGGAATATGATTTGGCCCCAGTTGGGAACGTAGGCATTTGCCTATGAAACATAAGTTAGGAAGGCACAGTTTCTAACAAAGAAGGTATCGCCTACCTCAGCAACAACATCCTTCACCTCTTCTTCCATCTCTTTCTCGGCGCGCAAGAATCGTTGCCAAAGGTCATCGCCAACACTGCCGCGCTGAAGCAGTACAGATAGTGCCTGTTTCTGGCTGCGTAGGGCGAGAACACGCTTGATATCTTCGACAGCGCGGCGTAGAAGGGCGGCCTTGAGAACAGAGTCTGGAATAGCGGGTACCCTTTTCTCTTTCTCTTTTTGGGGTGGAGGGTCGATGTGAAGGAGGGAAAAGTAGATATCACGTTGGAGATGAGCAGGGAACCATGGCTCCAAAGAGTTAGATTTGCCTATGCAGAAGGGTATGTTAGTTCATGAATCCCTTGAGAAGTTTCCCAGTATTGAGATAAACAAAGAAACGATGGTCATTTGGCGTAACTGCAAATGGATGGATAGATAACCTACGGGCCTTGCGCTTGCGGTATAGAGAAGAAAATGTAGCGAGAGAGCCTATCAAGATGCCTAGATAGGCTAGAGGAACGGCAAGACTTAGCCAGTCCACCATTGTTGCGTGGTAATGTAGAGAACGGATGAGTGTGGGAGTTGAAAGAACTAAGCTTCGGTCATGATCCAAGTCCAAGAATTAAAGACCGCAAAGCATTCAGTTCAAAGGGGAAGAAAGAATGGAAGGTTGACAAGGATGTTGAATATGAAACTGCAGGGCCGCAAAGGCCAGGTGTTGTGTGGGTCAACGTCAGTGGTCACATGGTCTCGAAGTATATCACCTCCCTTAGATACCTCATTACAATCTTATAAACTTCTTGTCGCTGTTTGTCGTTATAGCTTTCTTAAGTAATGTATTATTTCAGACTTTCGGTTTCTATAGCAGCCCTTGAGAGGAGAAATGGATAGAACTTCCAGGTTTTATATGCAGGCTTCTATGTACCGTATTTTCATGGCGGGCTTAACTTTTTGAGGAATAAGTTCTGTACCCATCTGAGCTTCAATATGTTTAGATTTTACCTAAGTTTCAACAAAATGGGCCAGGAAGTGAACTGAAATATCAAGGGAATAGATTAGAATAGGAATTAGAACGGTCAACAGAGAGAAACAAAGAGGATAGACTCTTGTAAATATCAACTTCCTCTCTATGATCTTCCCATACTTCCAAGGTGTTCTCGCAAACTTGAAAACATTTGACCATTCAATCCACGACCATCAACGCTTCCTAACTACAGGACACCTCGCTCCCTCCGTGCCAAATACTTGTCTAGACCTTCAAAATGCCATTTTCCCACTCCATTGAAACTGATACAGCGCTTCAGACATTCCAAAAGTAGGAAGAGCGCTAGGCGCCAGCACTCCACAGGGATCAGAAGTTGTTCAGCATACCCAAGTCCGTAGGACTCAGAAGAAGAGTTGAAAAATGAGCACAAGCGGGATGAGATACGGAATAAGGAATGTGTAGCTCGTCGCCGGGAAAAAGATGTCACACCATCATTCAGCACATAGCCATCAATAGTTAGATATTTCAAGCGAAAGCGCGGAGTTGCCACGCGCTTGGAATTTGAGAGACGGGATGGGGCCGGCAATCCTTATATAACGATCCCTCCGGAGAACGCCAAGTTTTTCCCATTCCTCCCCTCCCATACACGCAACCTCCGATCTTTTTTACCCGCGAGGGGCTGTTTGGAACAGCCCTCGTATTTCCAGGCCAACCCCCGGCAGATCAGTTTGTGCTCGACCTCAACGAGCTGCGGCGCATTGCCGCGACAGGCTTACTCACGCCGGCCTTATGCCATGCCCTTGATTCGTTGCATACTCGCTATACAATTATCCATCATATGATTATCTGTTGTATAATCATGACCCCTCCGGTTGCATCGGCCAGTAGATTTAGTGTCAAGACTCAATAGCACGTAATCTGCACCTCCATACTCCGTCGTAAATTCGCAAACTTATCCGTCCGGCCACCTTCAATATCTGAAAGGGAGAATGTAGAGTAGCCTGCTTGTAATCCTTGGCCGATACCGTGTTAAGGATAAGAGAGATGAACAGGAAAAGAACCTTACCCTTTTATCCTTTGTAGTGACACTAACGTCAATTGAGCAAGGATTAATTATGTGTTTATTCCAAGGTTGCTTTAGTGTCACAGAAGGGACCGAAACAGAACTCATCCAATACGCCGCAGAAGCTCCTGCTCGTATCAGGCTTCCCAAGGTTCCAAGGTTCTGAAATTGGACCTACCTCGCGCTTATCGGTCTATAATTAGGCAGTCTGGTCATGCAATATACTCCAGAATCCTGTAATATAAATGGGTAGCCCTCGACTCTACGCTACACCATACAGAGCGCCCTCTTGCAGCCCAGTAATTAATGCTGTATAGACTCTCTCGATGTTGATCTGGTATACACTGATATCAGTTGGAGTGAGTTCAATATGTACTCATGTAGTGTTTTAGCATCTGTCTTCGACGCAATCCCCATTTGGCATTGGCTATGCTAGAAGTTTAGTCCCAGGTCCGGTTGATTCCTGACCATGCATTTTTTGACCATCTAGGACCTAGGTAAGATGAGCGTTTCTATATATCAAATATTTCCAGAAAATAGATTATCTAGTTACAACGAGTTTTTGTAGTTAACTGGATTAGTTAGATAGGGTTATTTAGTTAACTATTTAGTTAATGATTACATAAGCCATAGCAGTCAGCAATCACATGATATCAGGTCTTGAATTCCGGTGGGCAGCAATGAACAGGAGCCACAGCCAAAAAAAATATAAAGACTTTCGGTAGCGATTTCATGTCTCTGACTGCACTCTGACACCTCTCTTCATCTTCCACTTTTTACTCCAATGACCCTCCCCCAAATACCTCTCTAAGAGCTTAAAATTAGGCCTTAGTGACAGAAGTTATGCTTAATAAACATAATTATTTCATTTTCATGGCCTTCCAAAACTTATCAATGGGTAATTTTTGGATGAGCTTAACACTGGGCGTCATGGGAGGCCACCTCCCATCGACAACGGTGATGGTGGTACGTGCGGATGACTAATAATAACGCGCCACACCGTGGCTCGTGGGGTATTGACTGCGACTCGCGACCCTCCGCCTTTGGTCTTGCACTTTCACTTCTTGCGCGTCAACACAAAAACGCCCTCGATTTTTCTTTTCTCTATTCTCTTCTTAGCCCTAGTCAAACATCTTGATACTCACCACTTTTCACGCTTCCAACGCTTTTTCAAACACCGTTTCAAATCCTTGCTCGATTTTCTAAACACTGAACAACTTCATCTACTATTGAATCAATTTAAACCTTACCCACTGCGCAATGGCTCCCGCCATGGGCGTTAATCCTTATGGAACAGATTCCGAGGATGAAGACTACGAAGACGATGCCCCCATCCCCCCTCGACGCAACGGTAGTAAGTCGAAATCCACCTCACGCAACAAGAACTACTACGCAAAGAAGTCTCGCCGCATCACCGATGAAGACGAAATAACGGATGACGATGTCATTTCTTCTCTTGATGACGAGCCCGAGGAACCAGTCCATCCCGATCAACTCAACGCTCGCGGTAGTCAACGACGCAGAACTGTCCCGACCAATGGCTACAAAGAGAAAGATGCTTCTGATGAGGAAGCTTATGATGAAGCCTCTTCCGGCGAGGATGAAGTTAACCAAAATGATGAGGTAGTTGCGACCATTGAAGAGGCTTCTGTAATCGATGATTCAGTTCCTACGGACGATTCGCCTCTCGAGCAATTCGAGCCCGCTCAACCGTCGAAGGTGGTCAAACTCCCCTTCAATTCTCGTCGCGTTACAAGAAACACGTGCGCTGTTGATGATGGACTCTTTGCTTTGTCGGAATCCGGCCGCCACGCGAATGTTGTTGACAAGGGATCAAAACGACCTGCCTCTCGGCAGCCCGCAGGCAAGAAACCCCCAGGAAAGAAGCTCAAGGGGGATGACAGCGACGACTTCAAACCTGATGAAGAAGATGAAGAGAGCTCCAATGACGATGCAAGTTCTTCACCTCCGTCTCGGTCTCGTAAGGGAACTCAGACACAGGATGACAGCCCGTCTGCCCGCCCGAGAACTCGGGCGTTTTCTGAACAGGAAGAAATGGCCGAAGAGCTGCACGAGTTGGGAGTCCGCTCTAAGAAGCGCGTCCGATCGCCGCAGCCTGCCCATAATCGGGTTAAGCGCAACAAGCCAATTCACAATTACGCCATTCCACATCCGGACGAGGCCGAGCAGCAAGAGTCCGAGAAAGAGTCTCCCTTTCGTCGTGGCCCTACTGGTCCCTGGAAGCGCACGTTGTTCCCAACCGCTGGCCCCTTTGGTGGTGCCCGACCCTCTATTCTTGGTCCCGTCGAAGGTAACAATGCCCTCGTAGATTTTGATGCCGATAGTAGCGACGAGGAATCCAGTCAACCGGATATCACCCCTTCCGGCCAGGCCGTCCCTACCTCTACCGACAAGGTATCAGGAAAGGTTGTGAATCTTGGAAAATTGAAGGACAAGAAAATCTTGTCAGATGCGGACCCCTTGGGCGTGGATTTAAATGTCGATTTCGACAGCGTCGGTGGTTTGCAAGGCCACATACTACAACTTAAGGAGATGTTGGCGTTGCCGCTGCTTTACCCCGAAATTTTTGCCAAATTCGGCATTGTTCCGCCCCGTGGGGCCTTATTCCACGGTCCTCCTGGTACTGGTAAGACCCTAGTGGCTCGGGCCCTCTCCAATAGCCTTAGCTCCGAAGGTCATAAAGTGACTTTCTACATGAGAAAGGGTGCAGATCTTCTGAGCAAATGGGTAGGAGAAGGTGAGCGGCAGCTTGTTCTGCTGTTCGAGGAAGCGAAGAAGACTGCGCCGTCCATTATTTTCTTCGATGAAATCGATGGTAAGAAGTCACGATCTCATAGTTTTCATCCGAAAAGCAATTTGCTAACATTTTTCTCTGTACAGGGTTGGCGCCACCCCGATCAGGGAAGAGTGAGCAATCTCACACAACTTCTTTAGTCTCAACACTTCTGTCATTGATGGACGGCTTGGATGGTCGTGGTCAAGTGATTGTTCTCGGCGCAACCAACCGACCGGACGCTGTCGACCCTGCCCTTCGACGTCCTGGTCGTTTCGACCGTGAATTTTACTTCCCCCTTCCAGATACCGAGGGTCGTCGGGCGATCCTTGACATCCATACGAAGGGTTGGAACCCGGCCCTCTCAGAAGTGGTCAAAGACGAGATTGCGCAGTTAACAAAAGGATATGGGGGCGCCGATCTGCGAGCCTTGTGCATGGAGGCCGCATTGATAGCGGTCCAAAGACGGTACCCTCAGATTTACAAATCTGCCCAGAAACTCCTTATCGACCCAACAACGATCACTGTTCTGCCCACCGACTTTATGGCTGCCGCCAAAAAGATCCTCCCGTCATCAGAACGTTCGACGTCATCAGGAGCATCTCGGCTGCCCGAGAGTATTGAGCCTCTGCTGCGCTGTTCTCTCAAAAGAATAGAGATCATCCTTAAAGACGTTCTCCCGCAGTACAAACCTCTTACTACGTTGGAGGCGGCCGAATACGAAGAGGATAGCCGGCGCGAGAAAAACCTTGAAGAATTCGATCGCTCCCGTGTCTATAGACCACGACTATTGATCAGAGGCAATAAAGGAATGGGCCAGCAGTATCTTGCAGCCGCGCTTTTGAACGGATTTGACGGCTTGCACGTCCAATCTTTCGATTTGCCCACCTTGATTAGCGACTCGACTCGTTCACTCGAAATGGCAGTTCTCAATTCGTTCACAGAGGTTCGAAAGCATAAGCAGGGGGTGATTTTCATCCCGGATCTGCAGGCATGGTGTGATACCGTGGGCCCTACTATAATCAAAACTTTCATGGCCATGATGCGGTCAATTCCACCGACTGACCCCATTCTGCTGCTCGGTGTGCTTGAGTCTACTGGAGACGGTTTAGACCATGAGACAATTTCCGACTTATTTGGTTCGAGCAAAAACAACGTCTTTGATCTCGATTCTCCCGATGATGCTGAACGCCATGCATTCTTCTCCAAGATCATAGCATACATCATGACTCCACCATCGGAGTTTCCCGAATCAACCCGGAAAAAGCGGCAGTTGGAGAAGCTGCCACTTGCACCTCCACCTCCCCCTAAGGCGGAAGTCCCCTTGACAAAGCAACAGCTGAAAGCGCAAAAGAAGCAGGATCGCACCGTCCTACATCTCCTAAAACTACGCATCCAGCCAACCATGACTCAAGCAAAGAAGGCCAGGAAATTCAGGACTGGCATCATCGACGAAACAAAAATCCGCTACCTTTATGATGAAGCCGATCCCGATATTGTGACGGGCGATGTTCACAATGCCGAGGACCGGCCTTATGAAAAGGCTTTGGACAAGAATGGTGTCATCGGACTTCGAGAAGTATCTACGGATAAATTCTATTATAACATGGATCTTTCCTTGATAGAGAAAAGACTCTCGAACGGGTTCTATACCCGATTCGGCGATTTTCTAGCGGATTTCAAAAAAATTGCCAAGGACGCTCGGGTCTTGGGCGATGAGGAGAGAATTATCCGTGCTAACGAACTTCTCGCCAACGTCGAAATGGATATCACCGCAATTGAACAGTCGGATCCCCTTTTGATATTCCAAACTGACCAGCTACACTCTCGGATGCTTGCTCGGAATGCTGTCGTTGCCGTTGCTACGGAAGAAGTTGAGGAGAATTCCTCCCGCCTCGTAAGGAATCCTATCAGCAACGGGTCCGGAAACACTGGCCCAGATCTCACCGTAGGTCAGCTACACTCTCAGATGCTTGCTCAGAATGCCGTCGTTACCGCTGCCACGGAGGAGGAAGTTGAGGGAACACCTTCCCGCCCAGCAGAGAATTCTGTCAGCAACGGGTCCGGAAACACTGGTCCAGATCTCACCGTAGGTCAGCTAAACTCTCAGATGCTTGCTCAGAATGCCGTCGTTACTGCTGCCACGGAGGAGGAAGTTGAGGGAACACCTTCCCGCCCATCAGGGAATTCTGTCAGCAACGGGTCCGGAAACACTGGGCCAGATCTCACCGTGTATCCGGACCGGGGTGATCAGGAAGATCACCTACCAGATACCCAACAAGGTACGCAGCAAGGCTCGGTGGTAGTAGATAGTGAAGTGGTCGAGGAGCTACACCAAGCTCTCACGGATAAGTCGCGAGGCTTATCCGTGGAGCAGCTCCAACACATCTCATCCACCATCACTGTTTACCTTTGGGAAAAGAGGGGGGAGTGGGACCGGACACAAGTGTGTAGAGGAGCAATTATTCTCCTTGACCAAGTATTGGGAGAGACCCTTTTGGGGTAAATGGTGGTGGATGGCGAAGAGCTGCAATAAGCCTTCATGGAGAAGTCTCGTGATGTCTCCGTGGTGCAGTTCAAATTTTGCATCAACCACCAGTCATCTATTGGTAAATCCACCGCATTAGCAAATTTCATCATGTACATAAAGGGGAAATGTCATTAGAAATACCATTATTAATATTATTACAATACTCCGCCTCACGTTCCAAGGTTGTCATTACCCACTAAATATCTATTTGAGTATGTTACAAATATGTTACAGAAGGTGAGCAGCAGCCCGTGATTATTCGATGGGGCTAAGGATAATACACCAAGATTTATCTTCTTGGATGAAATAAATGAAAAGAAGTCATCAGAGTTTTCATCTGAATACTGGGGGGTTGTCGCTCTTAGTCGGCTTAAGTCAATGAAAAATCATGTTCGCCTGCCATCATCATTACCATCAATAAGAGTAAAATTTGTGCCTTTGGAACTATTAATACAACTCAATAGACATGCTAGTCCTGCTGATTGTACACCAATCAATCATTCTTTACTGTGGTTTCGTAGGTGTGTAAGTGCTTTCAAAGCCTTTCATGTCATATACTAGGCTACCCTTCCCTTGAAACAAGGACTTGGAATCGAATAACTTGATTTCACAGTGTATAATATTTTTCGAGCGATATATTTATCTAGGTAATGTCATACATGCCAAGTATTGATGGTTTCTAATTAAAAACACAAGGCGAAGTATAGAAACAGATGCCAAGAATCTGAAAACACGCTAGACCGCATTCGTACATCACGGTCCGCGACCTAACGACGCATCAAAGCCTCACCCATTAAGTATCCAATACTCACAATGTTATTCCGACAATCCACAAGGCATATCTCTCTATCTGCCACTGCCCATCTGGGTACCTCCATTAATCGGCGGACATGGACATCTACTGCGACTAGATTCAAATCAGAGACGCAATCGAGTGCCTACCGGGAAGGCGTAAGTCCTCACTACTCTCTACGAACGAATGGCTTCCAGTAGTCTCGATACTCATGAGTTTGTAATTACAGATAGCTACTTATCGAGCCTTTGTTAGTCCTTTTGCCAAGGTCTTTCTGGGTGCCGTGTTCACATACCAGGTCATTTACTGGTGCTGGGTAAAACTGGAGACGGACGAAGAGAAACTAGCGAAGAATGGTATGAAGAGCTATATTATCTGATTTTTTCTACATAAATTGGTTTACTGATGGGATATACAGAAGAATTGGCCACTCTAGAAAAGAAGGCTAGAGAGCTGGCCGCTGCTAAGAAATGAAGATGAAGATGAAGAGTTCATTTTAAATGTACGATAATTGTGCTGATTTACGTCTTTCTCATTCAATTACGGATTTTTACTCGGAATTTGACTTGGGAATCATTCTCTCTAATCCATGGATCATTACCGACCCGAAATTTTCCAAAATCTTCCATGATGCCCCAAAACATGATATTACCATATTATACAAAATATTCATTGAAATCATTCCATCACTGAAAACATAAATCCAAGGTTCCTATATCAAATCACTGAGAATGCTTTCGCTTTCGGCTCTTCATCTTGGGAGCAGCCATTGGTCGATCTTCAACGCCCGGTCCAGCATAGGCCGATAGCTCCAATTCCGCCAATGAAGGGAATTGCCAATCCCGTCCACGTTTGCCCGTCTTAAAATGCTCAATATCAATGTGATTGAACCGTTCATCTAGGGCAGCAGACCCCCGATTCTGAAGTTGGATGTTTCGACTACAGAACCCGCACCAAAACTGCGACTGTTCAGCCAGGTCGAGTTTGGTGGCGTGAAGGGTAGAGTGGGTCCGTGACTTGGATACACGGTGGCTCTGAGCCAGGTGGTGCATATATGTCTGTTCGCGATAAAATATCCGACAGCACGACTCGTCCTTTTGGGCATCGTGCAGAGCACAGAGCCAGCTGGGCACCTGCAGATGCTGAGAACTTTCATGGCGTTTCCAATCAGCTTTGCTGCCGAAGGACTTGGCGCAGTGTGGAAATGTGCAGCCGTAGGGTCGTTCGTGACGTTTTTGGTGTTTCCTAATTTCTCATGTTAGACTGGGCGAATTTTGCTCGAGGGTTCCATCCAACTTACTTCATCTCGCAGCGGAGACGAGTACGCTTTGAGCAGGTGTCACATTGGAACCAGTCATGCTTCTCATCCACTGGCTCTGCAACTGCAGGGACTTCGGTCGATAGCCGGTCCAAGGCTGTTGATAAAAGTTTCTGCAGAATTTGGCGCTGTGGTTGGGAGAGCTGAAGGTTCTCAGGCTCCATCTCGATTCCCTCATCACTATGCTGACCAGTTTCTTGTCTATGGTTCAGCATCCTTGTCATAGTTTTGATCAAATTATCTGCCGCATCAAATACAGGTCCCTCAAACTTGATTCTCTTGGATTCTAATGGAGACTCGATAATCGATGAGGCCAACTCCGAGGACGAGGCTTGTGATGTCACAGGCACAGACTCCATAATAAAGTTCTCGGGGGATGTGTTGTAGAAGACCGGCTTGGGGGTTTCACTCCGTGACATCCAATCAATGCCTTCCCCAGCGTAATGCACTGACTCGGAATCGAGATCCATCTCAACGGACCCTTGGGGTGAGATCATATTCTGTTGTGTCTCGAAAAGAGCCTCATCCAGAGAGCTACCTACAAGCTTGTGTGTCTCATACCAGTCCATGGATCTCAAATTCGGTTAGTTATTAAAACCCACAATCGGAATCCGGGATCTGACTCACTTCTTTAATAGTCTGTCGGCATCCTCCTCGTGATGCATCCGGCTCAGATGTTGCTTGAAGTTGTCAAGTCGCGGCCACTTCTTGTTAGGACGAGGGCAATTTCTGCCAAAACACATGTACATCATCTTGGGTCCACGTTCAGGCTCCTTCTTATGAACACATTTCTTATGCCGAGCAAGATCATTGATAGTGCCAAATCCCTCCTTTCGAGAGCAGTTTGGCTCGTCGCATTTGAAGAGCTTCTGGTGTCGTGCCTCGTGCTTCCTCTTATCTGAAGGGCACTTTCCAACCCAGGTGCAGGTAGGGTGTTCACACTTGACTGTACTGTCGAGCGGGGAATCTCCAAATTCAGGCAAGAAGCCTACACACACCTGATCAGAGAGAGACATTGACTCGTCAAGAGCATGTTCATTTGCACCGACCTGCGGGCTTGATGTGGAGATTGAGTCTATGCCATACGAAGACATGACAACAGACTGTGCTGCACAGCTGGTTCCGTAGCCAGAGTCTACAGAATGACTACCCATGTACTGGCTCTCACTCTCAGACCCAGGACTGTCATATGGTTTCGAGAATGACGAATCAAATATCGGAGCCTGCATGGGAGGCATAGGAATACCTGGAACACCGGCTACTTGTACTGGGTTCCAGGCTTCACGACGATGAGACAAGCGGGCAGAGGGATAGCCATAATAGAGAGCTTGTGGATGGGCGGGCCACGAGGTGAGATATTGTTGGTTTTGGGGGTCCATAAAGGCCAAGTCGGCTTGGAGGTGTATATCGGACAGGGGATTCAAGGCTGGGTCGAGACTCAAATTGGTTCTGTATTCGGAACCGTCGAGGCTATTCACGTCCATGATGCCATGGAGGACGTCGCTATCATTCCAGTGACGGTGAGAGCCCTTTAAAAAAAAAAGAGATGAAAAGATTAGGAATATGAAAGCCTAGCTAAATTAAAAAAGAGCACTTACCTCCATTATGTGTGATTTGAGATGAGTGGTGAGGCTAATAATCTAACCCGGGTGAAAAAGTAGGGCTAGGATCTAGGTCGTTAACCCGGGTGATGGAAAAAGGTAAGAAGGGTTCCAGCCCAAACTTTATGAAAAAAGAAACAAGGAACAGGTACACAAATCAAATATATTTCTTACCCCCTCATCAGTGGGATAAGCAGGGTTAAATGTATAAGTCGGATCCGAAAAGGAAATGCAGAAAACACGAGGAAAAGTATTGAACCTCCACAATCTCGTGCCGAGCCGGACTTCAACCAGTCAACCACGCGACTGAAAATACATCAATCAAGGGCGAAGAATGTCTCGAAGCGAAAAAGGGAAAAGAGATAAAATTATCAGGAATGCAGTAAATGTTGTTCTCATCCCTTGATTTGCACTGCCCCGCTGTACTGCATGTTGGCTAGGACTCACCCGGGCTTGACGATCATTACTGGCGGATGAAAAAGATGTATAATCAATCATCACATCACGTCCTGGCACATGTACATGATGCCCAGGGCCCAGATGTCTGGGTGGATACGAGATATTAAGGCTTTAAGGCTGTCAGATTTAGATAGTATGATCGAGAACATGCATATCTATACTCTGAACCCTAAAAAGGATGAATACCTGGAGTAGAATGGTGGCCCATACCTATCCCGTATTCTATACGATAGATTGCGTATGACTATGGACAATAAATTCCTTAGGGCTATTCTAACCTTAGATAAATTAATCGAGGTATTTGAAAAAAAAAAAAGGGCTGCGCCTAAGCAAGGACGGATCTCGGAGTCGGAGACCAAGAGGCCGATCGGCAAACTCCGCCAATTCATATATGTGTATATGACTAGTATTCATCATTCAAGGGATAATAGTGTGGAAAGGTTAATTATTTTAGGAAAAGTAGTTGGTTGTTTAGAATGGAACTGCCATGTTGTACACCCCTTAAGGCTGCAGGTATTAGATACGTCGTACTCCATACGAAGTATAGACTCCCTTACTACACACTTCGGGGACCGGGAAAACAGTACATCCTCTAAATATGATCGCTCATATGCTAATGGTCCACGCCACTGGTTGAGGTTTAACAGAGCATTCTCAGGTATGCACGTACGCTGTGTTGTATACGTATGTAAGAAGGGATCCTCGTCATTCCGTGCAGTAAATGGTTCGTTGATTCGTTTATAAGCTTGAGAATATGCACTCAAAGTCATAAGATTCATAAAGGAAAATGATGATAATAATAATAGAAGCGAAAGGAAAAGAATATCATACCCAGGTGTGTGCATCCATTTGACGTGCTTGACATGAAATGGATGTAATTCACCTGCAATAGATGGATAGCGAAAATACTTGAAAAAATGGGGTATATACATGTAAACATTGGGTACACGCGCTGATTTGCTAGCCAGCAAAGCCAAAAACGGGGGTTGACATAAAAAAAAGCAAAGACATCACATTTGAGGGTAGTTCGACCCAGGTGGTGTGGGTATATAGGGTGGGTTTGGAGCCACGGCCTGGTATGGCGGGTAACTCGCCTGTACGGACGCAGGAGCAACAGGGACCGGAACAGGATAAAGTGAATTTCCTGCATAAAATTGATTATCATACTGCTCCGGTCTCGCATTCACGTTGAATGGGGGTGGATATGACACTGAGTTTTGATGGGGAAGTTGGGTTTGAGTCTGAGGCATAGTGGCTTGATCTAGAAGCAAGCCGTTGAATGTATATTGATTAGGCTGGAGTTGATCGGGTATCTGTTCCGGTTCCATCGACAGTTCAATGCCGGCGATGGTTGAATAGTTCCCCGGCTGCTGCAGATCATAGAAGTTGTGGTTGTGGCTTGATGTGCTCGCATCACTGGTGGCATACTGTGGCTGAGCTATATCATGCCTGCCAAGAGGTACGGTCAGGGAGGCAGGTGGGTATGTCTCTGCAGATCTGCTGCTGTTCTCCACTCCCAGTGGCTGAACCTGAATAGAGCATTGTCCAGACTGTCCTTGGCTAGGGGCACTGGTCTGTTTGGCCAGCTCCAGAACAGGGATGGCCAACTGCTCCATGTGTTTCCCCAGGTGGCGTGCCAACCCACCCCATGTGGAACAAATGTTCCCACAAAACCGACAGGGCTCCGAATTGGGAGTCTGCTGAGTTTCCTGCCGGCAATCCTCCACAACAGCCCACAGCCGAGCAACCAGCTTGTCTCGTTCGCTAGCCGAAAAACCATCGTCTGCAACTGCCCCTTTCTTCATCTTGGGGTCGGGGAACTTGTGCTCACGAACCAAGTGCTCTTTAAAATTATTTTTACGAGCACAGGTGTGAGTACATCCAGAATATGAGCAAGCCCACCATTCCAGTTTCCGGTGACACTCGTTCTCGTGTCTCACCCAGTCCGCCTTTCGCTTGAATGACTTGGGCTCGGTACATTGCGGAAAGCTGCAGGTAAACGGCTGAAGATCCTCGTGAATGTGTTTAGACCAATCAGAAGGTTTATGAAACTTCTTGACTCCAAAGCAGACAGAACACTCAAACTCGGCTGGTAGGCGGTGGGCTGGTGGCAGCGGAACTCCAGCTGGGAACTGCGCTGCAGCGAAAGACCCTTCGCCTACATAGTATGGATGCTCACGCGTGGAATTTGCGACTCGGAACTGAGTTTGTCCGCACGGTTCAGTGGGAGCTGAAGATTTACCCTGTTCTAACAAAATGGGGCTCCCGCCTTGTAACTTGCAGAACTCGCCAGATTTGCAAGTACCTTTGGCGACGGCAGCAGCATGCTTCTGTTGATGATCAACCAGCTTCTTGTACCGCCGCACCTGCTCTTGAGCAAAGCGGCGGGTTAGAGCTGGCACGAGCCGCGGGTTCATTTGCATAATTTGCGCCTGGAAACCTTCAAATGTTGGCACAGGTAATTCCGATATAGGAGGGAACTCCATTTTCATTGCCGAGTCCTCGGCATGGTCCAGATGATCATCATCCTCATCCTCTGCGCCTGTCTTATCAGGCTCCGGTGTCACACTGGCCATCTGCCGTCCCATATTCGACCCTGGTTTGAGATAACGCTGAATACTTGCAACAGGTGGGCCACCATGTGAGGTCATCAGCTCCATCAGTCCTGGTGTGTTGGGACGAGGAATCTCACTGATGCTTCGGCGTTGTCGCACTTTAGCTGGAGGGGACAGTGTGGCGTCCGTATTAGGTGCAGCAGCATGCACCACATTATTTGCTCCAATGGCTGTGATCGATCCTGTCAAGGACAAGAGACCGCTTGTCAAACTTGGTGAGCGCGAGTGTGAGAGTGAATGCACCTTTGACGACAGACTATATCTATGACGAATCGATTGGCTCTCCTTACGTTGGGGAGTATCGTGCTCAGTCCCTTGTTCACCGGATGTCTCAATACTGGCAGTCGTGAGTTCTGAGGCTTGACGCTTCAGATTGGATGACAGGCCAAAAGATGGGCGCTTGAAACTCAGGAGGCTTCTACTCCGATATTTAGTTTTCGGTCGATTGTCGGTCAGGCTCAGGCTCTCAAAATTGCGAATACTATCGGCATCAACAGTAGCGGTGAGAGATGCTGTCTCTATTTCCCGTGCCCGCATTTGATAGATCATCATGGCCGCACTAGAGCTGTACGGTTGCATCGGCTCCATTCTCGGTATAGAGTCGCGAATATCGTCATGCCAAGGATACACGCGGACGGAGTCCGCTGCCTCGCGGGAGGGAAAGATGCCAGGAGAGGTATAGTCATGTCGACCAGGATCAGCAGGCAGAGAGTCAGAAGCCGTTTCCTCACTTGCAAGGCTACCTTCATCCCCACTACCTTCACCCTCACTCTCACTCTCTTCCTGTAGCAAGACCCCAGGCCCAGGTGTTGGAGGACCTGTATGAAACTTGAGACTGAAATAATCTTCTTGTTTCAGCGGATTATCACCAGTACTTCTTGCTCTGGGTCTGTTAGGTTTCGGCGGGGACAGGGTCGTCCGAGATGGTCGCGGCTGATCATCGCCAGCTTCGCTTTTTGTCGCGCTCACCTGCGCGAACCAGTTGCTAATTCGCTGGTTCTTCTGCTCAAGCTCACGTATGCCCTTGAGCATGTTAGGGCTAGACACATATTCCGTGCCACGAGCAGAGGGATCAAGACCACCTTGACCCGTGGTCGAGTTACGGATCCATTGACCGTTATCCGCTCTACTTGCAAAGAGGGAAGGGACTGATCGAAGCTCTTCAATCTCATCACCAACCTCTTCTTCAAACTCATCAAAGCCGCCTGGGGAAAGATGGGTCGACGACCGGCTTGCATGGCGCTTGTGACTGGAATGAAAATCTGGGGAATCTCCGCGTGGCGGACCTGATACAGTGAGGATGATTGGGCTTCTACCCTGAGTAGAAGCCGATGCCAGTTCCGTCCCAGCCGTATGATTAGTCGAGACGACCAGACCAGATGATGCATATGCTTGATTGGTACCTGGACCCGGTTGAGCTGGCTCCTGCTGGGCTGGCAGAGAATCTGACCAGGTAGATAGAGCAGATATAGCAGATGTCGTACCCATAGTGTTGAGCGCCGCAGCCCCACGATCTGGCCAACCCGACCCATTTGCAAAGTCAATGTCTGACGGGTCCACATATCTCCCACTAAGGACAGATGGAGAAACACAAGTGCTGGGATTGTACCAGTCATTCTGCGGTGGAGAAAGATCATGAGATTCGATCGGAGAGGAAGCAATATTCGGACTGCCACCCAGTGGGGTCAAACGTATAGCATGCGCCTTGAAATCAAGTTCTTCAGGATCTGACGGCGCAGAGAGGTATGGATCCTGGTCTTGTAGGGCCGGTGAGTGTCGAGTGTAAGTACTGCTCGACATATTCACAGAATGAGATAGCTTGACCCATTCAGACACTGAGAGATTCGAGTTTTGTTCGCTTGTTTCCGGGGGAGGTGATAGCGGCGCAGACCTCATTGAGTGATAGAGTAAGTATGAAGGATCCGACTTAGGACATTTAAAATGCCAAAAGTAAAGATTACAATTTTTTAATCCTTCAGAAGATAGGGCTAAGCCACAGGATAAGATCAATAGTAGAAGGAGGGGTTGTAAGAATAAGAAGTGAATTGAGAAGAGTAAGAAATAAATGCATAAGCGCCGGGCGCAAAAGCCAAGTGGGTACGGGGAGAGTTCGGAGTACAACAATTAAGAATTAGAAAAAAAAAAAAAAAAAAAAAATCCAGGGGAAGAGGGGGAAATTGATCAGCCTCTTGTCAGAGAAACCAGCAAACTCCGCTTCTCCGTTGAGCCTCATTTAACGCAATCCTTAGCGCTTGTTATGGAGAGGACGGCGATAGATACTATAGTAGCAGTACCTCGGTAGTACTTTAGGGCTTCCTTCAGTTCTTATATAAGTGGATATCATCATTCAAAACGTCATTTATAATCTAATCAGGATCAAATAACTCATCAAGGCTCACTTCTCATTCCAGAAATAGCCCTAAATTTTGAGGCTGTGAGGCTATTGCTGCATTAACTGAGCCACACTTCGTTCCTGCGTGCTATTCTTATCCTATGTCCATAACTTGTTTATACTTTATACCTTATTCTTCTGTCGTTTACTCTAGCTCTTCGTATATGCAATCGATAAGGCGAAATGAGTGTGGGATGATAAGAAGACGAATGGAAGACGAATGGAAGGAAAAGACAGCAGAATATGAGAAATATTCGTTTCAGGTCAAAATTAAGGGTGTCAGAGGCACGTGATGTCATGTACGACACGCTATATCAACTATGAGCTAGATCAATTGAAGCGTACTTTTGAAACACATTTCAAATTTTGTACAGCTTAGTATGAATGCATCATGATAATGAAAAGCAGTGAGATATGTCTGATATGACATACTCAGCCTACCTGCAGTGGTCTATAAAACCTTGAAAGGTCCAAGCTTCAATATGTATATCTACATAGGGAGAATGAAGCAAAAATTGACCCACCTGGGCACCTACCCAGATGGGGACCTTGGGAGCTCTTGGAGATTTAGATAATTAAATGGATCTATATTTACCTAGGTATCTAGCTAGCATCCACATACATGAAAAGCCGTCGATTGATCTAATGGGTACCCGGGAACCTCAGAAATAGTTCTTGCGTAAATATTCATTACTCTACCTATACATGATGTCTCAATACATGCCCATTTAAATCCCTCGCTAAATGCCAATCAAATAAATGCCAGATACAAAATCAAACTAATGTGACAGCAGAAAACAAAAAAAGCTATATATAATGCAATCAGATCAGATCAGGAGTAAAGATAAAAGTGGCAACGCCCAAATCAACCCTTCCTGAACAGCCCCTTGACCCGGGAGTTCAGCGGCGCTGGATGAGGCCCCGTCAGCGGAACCGATGGCGGATGGTGAAAAGCAACCAACCTCTCATTAGGGCTCTGAACCTTTTCACCTTTGGGAGTTCTCGGCGGCGAAATCGGACCTCTAGCTTCGGTCAGAGTGTCGTTCGATTTCTTCGCTAATTCCTGCAATCTTGCCATGATGATTGAGGAATCAGAGAAGATCAAGACGCCCGGTGCGTAGATACACAGGTCTGTTCGTTCACCACTGTCAAAGTCCTCGTGTGCAGCTTCCCGTATGATACGCGGGAACGTACGAAGGACGACGTGGCGAGCTATGCTGCTAGAAGCCGGCTCTACGATTCCGTACTCCTCCCAGCCGTCGTTTGAGGCGAATTCATCACCCGAAGCTGGGAAGTCTGCTATGACGAGTTCTCGCTCGACACGGGCATGGCGCCATGTCTCGGCAGCAAGTTTGACGACTTTGCGGACGGCAATGAGAAGAGAGTCAAGGTGCTTGGGGTCGGTGAAGTGTTTGATGTGGTCGACGATCTCGTCCACGATCACAGCGGCGGCAACATTGATAGCTTGCTTTGCGTCAGAAGCAGTGTAGGCTGCTTTCAGAGTTTGTTGACGCCAGAAAGCTTCGCGGCGCACTGATTTGCGGCGAATGTCCATCGACAGCATCTGGAAGAAGGTGTCGGCTTTGTCATATCTCCGGCCGAGGGTAAAAAGGAATGGTTGGAAGACACGGTATGTTAAGGTCTTGGATATGATGTGCTGAACGTAGGCGCATCGTAGTTCGCGAGATGCTGGTGTGTTGTCGAGGAAGGGCGGAATTTCGGAGGGGATCTTGGCAAGGATGTCCTTTGGCGGGTCGATGGGGAGGTAGTCGAAGTGCTCTTTGGCGAGGTCGTAAATCATTGAAGTGAGCTGGTTGAAGCAGTCCAGACTAGAAGACGAGACGATTTATCAGAATCAAGTAAAATTTTATGGCGTTATCAACATGATTCTATTAGAAAGACAATATATAAGAAAGGAAAAAGAGTCGTAGGGACATGAATCGCCGGGAGAGGCATAAAAAGGTCGTAAAAATGGTAAGGAAATCATAAAGAGAGTAGAATCATGATGATGGCATGCTCAGGTGAGAAGACAAAAACGAAAACTTATATACTGTAGTAGGCTCACTTACAAGAATTGATCGCCCTTGGTAGATTTGAGATCTGTAGCTTCTCCAAGACTGTGCAGCGTCTTCCTCAGCCTGTCACAATCACGATCCAGATGATCGATGGTGTTTCGCATCTCGTCCACCGCGCGTTGCATTTGCTGTTCTTTGACGACGCCAGCTCCTTCCAGTTTCTCCTTCTCGCGCTCCGAGCTCGCCAGCTTCGCATCTTTCTCTGAGAGCATCCTCTCAAAGGCAGCACGGTCTGCATTCCAGTGCATCTCCTTTGCAGTGTATGTCGCTTCAAGGTGAGCGATTTTGTTGTCCAATTCTTTCGCCACTACCACAAGAGCACCCTCGTTATTGCCCCGTAATGACGTTAATTCGTCAGCGTGGCCTTTCAAAAGGGCATCGAGCTCCTCGGCATTCTTGGTGCGGGTTTCTTGGAGCTCTTTCTCTTTCGTCTCTAGCTCGGTAAGCTTCGACGCTACTTCTTCGTTAAGTTTGGCCAAGTGGCCTTCCACCTCTTTCTCTTTAGATTCTAGCTCCGTGATTTTGGAAGCCAGTTCAGTCTTGGTGGTCTCAAGGTCCTTAATTTGAGCCTCGAGAGATTCTTGCAAAGCTGTCTTTTCTTTTTCCCATTCACCTTTGTGGGAGTCGTGCTCCGCAAGCAGTTCCTTCTCGCGCGCTGCCAAGGCTTCACTTGCAGCTTTCTCATCTTCAGCCTTGATCTCTTCAAAGAGTTCAGTCAACTCTTGCTTCTGGGCTGCAAGAGCCTTCTCATGCTCCGCCTTCAGCTCCTCGAGCTCCTTGGCGTGCTTTTCCTCAGTTTCCTTGAGGGTGGTATTTAACTTTTCGACTTCCGCCTCAAGCTCGGTTTTGCTCTTGGAAAGCTCTTCGTTGGTTTTTTGGAGTTCCTCAATAGACTTCTGAAGCTCCTCGTTGGACTTCTGGTGAGTTGACAAGCCTGATTCGAGGTCGGAATGCTTCTCCTGGAGGTTTCCCAGCTCCAGTCGAAGTTCGTTGATGACGTTTTTCAGCTTGGCGCATTCCTCAGCACTTTCATTTGCAGTCTTCTTCATCTGGGATTGCAAAGCTTCGATATAGAAGTCCTTGTGCATGAGAGCCTGTTCATGTTGGTTACCGAAATGCTTCATTTCGGCCTCGCGGGCCGATAACTTGCTGTGTGTGTTTCGGTACCCATCCAAAAGGCGATTGATGTCGGGGAGGGTAGATTGAATTCTTTGGAGAAGCTCAATATGCTCGCTATCCTTCTCTGAAGGAGACATGACTCCATTCTCGTTTGGTAACCCACCGTTCGCCATGAGGGCTTGGTATGAAGCATATGCGGTTGGATCACCCAAAGTGAAGCTCCGACGCATATAATGTCCGTCGGGATAGGAGCCGTATGGAGGAACGACTCCACTAGAGCTCATGACAGGCGAGTGGAGGCCACTTGTATAGTTTTGTGATGTTGAGGGTGCAGGTGATTGCACTGGAGCTAATGGGACTGCGGGAGCTGGGGCAGCTGGTGGAGGAGGTGGTGGTGTTGGAGTCGCTGTGGGCGACATGACTGGTGATATATAAGGGTAATGAGAGTGAGCAAGTGGGCTGCTGACTTTGGGTATAGGTGAGGCGTATGGAGAGTAAGGAGAACCGTATTGTGGCCCGTATTGGGGCCCGTACTGTGACCCGTACGAACTGTATGGAACAGGTGCGACGTAAGGCACAACAGGCGAGGCGTAGGGCGAGTAGTAGGAGCCAGACGCAGATGGGGCGCAAGGTACAGGCGAGACGTATGAGCCCGTTGGGGCAGAGTAGTATGGATAGTATTGATCAGGTGAAGGGCCTGACCAATATTGAGCCTCAGTCTGAGAAGGAGAGGGAAGGGGTATCAGATCAGGTGCTGGCGAGAATGAAGCACGTGGATCAAGTGGAACAGGTGCAACAGGTGTCTTCTCTTCTGATAATGATTCCCATAGACGAGTATTCTCTTGTTCAGGTTGAAGAGGCTTATCTTCGGCCTTGGTGATTTGCTCAGATATGACTTCGTTGGACACGGGTGCTTCCTCAGGCTGTTTTTCATTCACAAGAAAATCATTCCAGGTTTCAATTCTGGATTGGGGTGAGGCACGGGACTTTTCACTGTCGGATGCTTCTGGCGATGGCTTGTCCAGCTCAGATGCTATGGCTTCTGATACGAGTGCAGGCTCTTGCACAATCAGATATGGACTGCCAGGCGTGAGTGATTCTGTTGTGGTCTGGTCTTCTGCCCCATCTGGACTCTTAGCCCTTTTAACCTTGTGCTTCAATACAGTCTTGCCATTTTTATCCTTGGCTTTGACCTTCTTGCCACCCGGAGCCATGGTGGGAGAGTGAGGCGTGCCCAATATTCTCATTAGAATAGAAGACGAGTGTCCAATGGGATCACGGTATGAAATATGAAGAGAGAAGAAGAGTAGAAGATTTCCGGTTTGAGTGGTTCATAGGGCTCTCTGTACAGTACTTTTCGCAGGATGCCTTGTGTCACAAAAATATAGCCCAAAAGGCAGATGGATTAGGGTCTTAAGCGCCCAGAATACGATCACCCGATGAGTCAAGAGAAGAAGGAACCCTTGAATCAGCGTGAAGAGCGATAATTAGGTCGCGAAACAGGTGCACTGAACTCGTGTTGGACGAGTGGGCACAAATGACTGAGAAACACGAAGCACAAGGCTGTGGTTCCAGCACACTACTGGTTTATTTAAGTCCAGATCTTAATTTCAGAGAGGGGAGAAGTGTGCGAAACAAGGAAAATGGAAATTAGGAGAGAAGAGAAGTATAGGGCTCAAGAGAGATATAGTGCGATTCCAACATGTTATCCACCGATCTAACCCTATTGGATACATGAAACCCATCTACAAGCCGACCGGGTCTCCAAAAAACATAGTTCATCGCTGATTCCATACGAAGTAGAGGAAAGATTCGATTTCGAACTGAAGCGAGACCAATTGCGGCGCGCCATGGGGGGTAATTGGGCATCAATGGTTGTTCGGGCGTAGTGGGGACTAACCCCTTCCCCCGAATTCTGAATTCTGACCTGTTGAATTACCACCTAGACCATGTTCTTCCGCGGTAGCTGCGCTCGTTTGTTAATCTGGGCATTAATGGGGTCCAAAGATGGTCCAAATGAAGTACGCCTCATGTTAGGGGGTAAAATGAGGCATCGTCCAGGTCAGTAAATTGCAAAATCTATACAAGTCCGGGGCCCGGGAGTACATATGTACAGGGTAACCCCCAGTCGTTTCTCCTATGGTTGGTACCCCGTCTGCATCTGCAAGGATGATCTCCGAAGAATCATGGAAGCCTTGGAGAAGTCGAGGATGGCATGATGCGATTGTCAATGTGAAGTGATATCATACATCTTCAGTAACCGAAAAGATAAACAATATGCAGAGGAATGCATATAGATGTTCATCAATAAAGATGGCGGAGCAAGTACCGGTACACGGATAGAATAGAGTGAGGCAACTGGCTGCGCTAGTCCCGATATAATAGTCACGTGACTATCTTCGCAACTTCCATCCTATCATCAGCATTCAAAGGGTCATCACCAATTCGAACATCTCAACTCCCTTCTCCACACAACCATGTTCGCCAGAAGTGCTGCGGCTTCAATGCGGCAGGTGCTACGCACCCAGCCTCCTCGTCGATTTGGCTCTTCCCACGCCCACGCCGAGCCTGTGAACGAAAGCTTCGGTGTAAGCTGCTTCCCCCGCCGGCGACATAGACCTTAGACACTGCACAGCACTTTCAATTGCTTCGGAATCACTACTAACTCATACATCCGAATCAACAGCGCAGCTTCTACGTCACCATCGGCAGCATCGCCTCCGCTTACGTCCTTTACCGCATCTCCAAGTCTACCGAGGAGTCCGGCTCAGAGTCGTGGATCTCTGGTCTCATTACCAAGTGGAGCCCCTCGCAAGAAGTTTTTGAGCAGCGCAATGCCATTCATACTGCCCTCCTGGACAAGGCTGCCGATGACCGCCAGTTGTTCGGCAGTCAGGGACCTGCACAGGCCTATGAGCTGAAGTCGCCCGAGTATGTGATTCGGTTCTGAAACAATGCGCAAGGGATATTGAATACTGACACTTTTTTTTAGCTTGATGAACTCTGGCTCACCTTACAACGTCTCCCCAGGCTCCCAGGCCGACCTGAGCGCCGTGGTTGCTCACTACGAGCGTCTTAACAAGGAGATTGATGCCTCTCGGGTTGCGCGGATGCAGGGAGGCAAGTCCGTTTACGAATAAATTGTTTCGTTTATTACTTTGTTTGGCTGTCGGTGTAGACATGTCCATGGAAGGGCAAAATATGTACATATAAATTAGGACGGCAAGCTTAACTCCGGCACCCGATCATTTGAATTTTCTTTTTTGTTTACAAGTATGCTGGCTGCGGAGTACTCAAAAGGGGTATATGTTTTGAGATTTAAACCTTCTAGATGACAGTAGCTGGCGTTATTTCCAAGACAACCCTGCCGACTCCTTCTGACTGAACATCCACCCTTTGCAGGACCTCTAACTCATGCTCGCATGAATTCTTCAAAACAGCAAGGAACTCATCCACGCCGCCTCCAACGCCGAAATAGACCTTCTTAGCTGCTACTAAAGCCCGGGCTTTTATAGAAGCGGTACTGGATCTGTACAGCAGTGTCGAAATGGTTTCTGAAAACGCCACCAATGATGAGGGGGAATAAATAGTCTCACTAGCGAGAAGCAATGTCTTATAATCACTGTCACGGGTTGAAAAGGCCAGGTCCACGAATTCAGGCGACCATGCCCCTGAGATGAGATCAATTGAGATTCCACGCTGAGCTATGTCACTTTGGAACTCATTCAGAAGCTCGGGTGTGATATCCAATTCTTCTTCTTCCTGCCGGACCTGCGGAGCCTGTTCATCTACTGCGGATGGTACAGGATACTGTCGGCTATTCCACCAAGTGAGCAGCAGATTTGGAAGGGTGACCAGACGCAGGACCGACGAGTTGTAATCGGCAAAAGTAAAATGGGTCTTGCATTGCGATGTACCTGTCGTTGTCTTCAAAAGATGGGCGAATATGGCCAGAGACGGTACTGCAGTGCCAGCACCAAGCTATTAAATTATTAGAACTTATGTTATAAGAGCAGATAGGAGAAGGCAAACCTCGATAATATGAACATTTGTCTGTGGATCATCCAGAGATTCAATAAATGTGCTCTCACCAGTAACAAGTTTAGCAAGATCCAAAGCACATTCCCAAGTCTTGAAGCCACCCTCATAGAAATTAGGCTTGAGGTCACCTTCTTCAATACCAGCAATCAGCTCGGCATTATCATGGTCCACACTATCTTCTGCCATCAACTGGGTACGGATATCATAGATTTCCCGACGCGCAATGACAACGGGAGCATCTTGATTGAGAACCAGCCGGTTGAAGAATATTTGTGAGGGCAGAACGGACAGCTTTTAGTTTATTAGATTTGGATCTCGATGTATACATTTTTTTTCCTTCTTGAGAGCGGAAACGGACTTACCCATTCGTTCATATCGTGTTTACTAGCTTGCACTAGCTCGGGGAGGGAGTCAGTGCCATGTTGTACAATAACTTCTGGGACTTCGTTGATGTCGACATCATCAATATCAATGTCATCGCCAGAGAAGCCAAAGCTGAACGCCATGGTCAAGTTCGTCAATTTTCAATTGACGGGGAATTGGATGGTGGATTTTGCGGTAGAATCCCTTGGAAATAGCTCAGATGAACACTAGTCCTTCTATATTCAATGTCAAGCAATATTTCAAGGGCAATCAGACTTAAATATAGCCGACAGACGATGAAGTACTGAATTTGTCCATACCAGAAAATTGCAGTGGGGCAGCATGACTAAGCCGGCCAGATATCTACTTACGACGACCATATTCTAACTGGATCAACACATCAAACAAAGATTTTGACCTAATTCAATAATTCATGTCGAACTTTGCTAGCGACTCATAGCATTGTAATAAAAACTGGAATATCTGATGAACCCAGCGATGGATACTTGTGCTGATACGCAAGACTGGTTGTAACCTTTCTTGCATATGCCATACATCCTTGAACTTTTGACAATATCAGGTCCATCAAATTTGTCAATATTCATTCTTGCAAACCTTGGAAACACCCGGACCAAACGACATTGGAGATAAATTGGTAACTGCCTAATCGATAGATCAACCCGTGGACCTAAGTCTCAAATATCCACTAGTAGATTCCAAGGTTACACAGCATAGCAAGTGCCAGAAGGTTGTAAGGCTATGTACACTCGAGGATAAAATCACTTTGACTGTACCAAGGCATTATGCAAGTCTAGTCACCACCTAACCTATCAGACAAGAAGTATCAACCGTCTAAGGAAATTCACTTGCCATGATTTAAGAGACGTGAGACGATGAAGGTATACACCACCTTCAGGGTTTCTAAAAACAAGAATAATCAGAGCCAATGATATGAGAAGCTGCACAACTACCTAGGCACTACTTAAAGATCCACTACCAAGTTATAGAGCTCCAAAGAAAATGTCTTTCAGAATCCTAGTAAAAATATCAGTTTTCGTGACCAATAACAAAGATACTATAATTTTTCTACGGAGTCGGAAGCTCAAAAAGGCTCGCAGCCTGGTCTATCATCCTTGAAAACGTTAAAATTCAAAATCAAATAGAGTGCCACGTTAAAAGGCTACTTTTATCTCTATTTCAACCAGATGTCAACATAAATTTTGACTAGGATTATTCCCCACTACCGTCCTCGGCAGTACCCTTGAACATGTATTTATTGTCTATGCACGGGCGGCTTCATGATCTTCGGTATGATTGCCACCTTAAGATGAACCCACATGGCATGAAAAGCGGCTGATATTCCCACTCTAATTTCCCAAGGTCCATCTCTGGAAAAATTCTCGGCAAGCCCTACACAAGATCGAAAAATCATCACTTATCATCACTTACATAGTGGTCGCAGGGTTTAATATTTGTATAATCGGAACACATTGATAAGATCGTAATTGTTATTTGTATATGCAGACAGCTGTACAGGGGTAATATAATTCATGAAAAATAAAAAAAAAGTAGAAAAAAAGCCTTTTGAGAGTGGTGCGAGGCAACATCCCAAATAAAAGGAGTTCGAAGAGAAGAAAAATTAGATCCAAAGGCCCCCTCCATATTTACCAACAAGTCTGGAACCAAAAAAGTCGAGAGGAAATGGTGATACACAGTTCGGAGATATCAAGAAGCCTCTAAGAGACGCCCAATTCCAGAAATATCACAGATTCAACAGTTTGCGATGCGCTCGCTATTTACAGGAAAGCTGCAACAGCGGCGACAACAGCCAGCATACCGACAGAGACACGGTTAACGACACCGGCGCCGGTGGAGGGCACGCTGGTGGAGGTAGAAGTGGCCGAGCTGGTGGCAGTAGCGGTGGAGTCGGAGTCAGTGGTGGTGCTGGAGCCAGTGCTAGTAGCAGTGGTCAAAGTGGTAGCAGTTGAACTGTCGGACTTGGTGCTGCTGCTGCTAGTGGTGGTGGCGCCAGTGGAGCTAGCAGTGGAAGAAGAAGCAGTGGTCGTGGTGGTAGAGTCGGTGGAAGAAGAGCTAGCACTGGTGGCAGTAGCAGTGGAGGTAGCAGACGCAGTGGTGGCGGAGGCAGTGGCAGTAGCGTCGAGGACCTCGAAGTAAGGCAAGAAGTTGTAATTGGAGGAGTCGGAGTCATCGATGATCTCGATGGTGTAGGCACGTCCAGCGATCAGATCATCGGGGACAGCCCAGGTGTAGGAACCGGTGTTTTCAATATCGGCTGTGATAATAGGTTAGTATGAATTCATGAGATCAGATGCCGCGAGTTGCGATAGGATGCGACACTTACAAGCAATTTCAGTGCCGGTAGTAGAGGTGGTAATAGCAGTCCACTGCAGACGCAGGGAAACGGTACCGGTGGTATCATTACTCCAGGTCAAGGTTGTAGATTTACCGGAAGTAAATGTGTAACCATCAGTAGGGATGGAGAAAGCATTCTCGGTGCTAGAGGCAGCAACCAGACTCGCGAAGAGAGCGACAGCGGAGATAGTGAAACGCATTGTGGGATAAAACGATTTGATTTTGGAGTGTGTGAAAAAACGAATGTACTACGAAGGTTCTGCTGAGATTTAAAAAGGAATGAACACGCAGAAGGCGTAGAGAGAGATGTTTAAAAGAGCGGATATGAGGAGAGGCAAAGGATGAAATGGCGAAAGGACGAAAAGGCAAAAAAAAGGATACTATTGAGCCAACATCGTAAAGCTAGGAAAGCACCGGGACTAAACGAATAGCTCAGGTGAGTAGCATATTGATTGGTTAAGGAGTAGTTATAAGTGGAGACAGAACCCTTTATAGATCCACTTGATACAGTATTATTGGTTGAATTGGCATCCTTTGGTAGTAAGTGGGTCAGGGTGGGTCATAAATGGAGACACTCATTTTAAGGTACCAGACAAACAAGTTCCTTGATTGGTGGATATACTCGGCGATTTGAACGGATTTGAACTCGTATTTTGTATTGTATTCTTTGTTTTGTTTTTGTTATTTACTTATTTCTTAGTCTTATTCTTAGTCCTTTTACGACGTACTTTGTAGTCGTTCACCCTTTTCATTTCATTTAATCCCTTAGCTTCTATTTCCCTCGATCTAGTCTACTTCTAGTTTACCAAGATTTTCGGTTCTCGGTACTCGGTACTCCGCACTCTGTACCCTGAACCCTTTGTGTTACTGTGTACTGGAGGACGGATTACCGTAATTATGCCCAGGTGGCTGAGTATTGGGTCTCCACGCGACTAGGTAAGCTTAGGTTCTAAACCCGACTGTTATTGATACATCGCGTGTTCATATTAAAAAAGCCGCTTAAGCAGGGGTTTGCGATTGCGGGGCTGTCTTGTCCAATAGGCCACTTTCCCCAAGCCTCATAATCACTTCCATTGCCCGTTGGTCGTATTCTTCCTTTTGTCGATCCAATAGCTGTTCAGTGTTAGTGTATATAATTTATTATTCAAATTAGGAATGGGACTTCTCACAGCTGCATATAGTCCCTTGCGACCCCTCTTCTCCTCTTTGCCTTTGCCTTTGGCTTTAGCTTTACGGGGCACGTCGTGGGAGAATTTACACTCGGATCCACGGTTGCATTTACCACTTGCAAAATTGCGACAAGCGATCTTCTTTCGAGCAGGAAGAATAATCTTCTCTGGTCCCCGCTGGCGTGAACTTATTTGCTCCGGCTCTTCATCGGAGCTCGCCTCCGAATCCGAATCCGAGTCAGACGGGTCACAGTCAGAGCCGCTAGATGATGTCCAATCGCTGACTGATCCATCGTTAGCTTCTGCTAAATGGTCCAATGAAAGAGTCGCGGAATCAGCATTGATATCCAGTAGTTCCGTGGGTTCAGTAACCACCGGCTCCACCACATCAGTGACATCAGGCGATGTCGACAATGTGGGCTGAGATTCGACAGAAGTACCAACACTAGCACCAGCACCAGCACCAGCACCATTGTGGAGAGGCGGATCTTGATCCAGTCCCAGCTTCTTTCGAAGCTTTTCCAATTTGAGTAGCGCGGCTTCCGCTTTCGCCTCTGCTTTCGCGAAGTGGTCCAGATCACGTCGCATTTTGTCAGCCTTCTTATCGGCTCTTTTCTGGGCTTTTACAGCCTCAACCGCTGGGTCTTCTCCCTCCGTCGCTGGTTCAATCTGTGTAGACTCCTCTAGCTTCTGCTTTTTCTTTGTCGCTAACCTCTCCACCTTCGCAAGCTCCTTAGCAACTCGAGCTTTTTCAATCTCCTCATTCTTCTCGTCGATTCGAGCTTGCGTAGGGTACCTCTTTTTGCGCTCCGCAATCCACGCAGCAATGTCGGATGAAGATTGAAGGGTCTGGACCCGCCCATGATGTCTGAACTGTAGTAGACCTGAATCGTTAGAGAAACCCACAGCTGCGGACTCATCATCCATCTCTTCCTCACTGGACTCATGCTCTTCGGCATTCGGCGTCAATCCCAGCTGATTGTACTTCCTCTGGCGCTTCTTAGGCTTGCTGACATCTTCTGCCGGTGGTGGTTTGCATGGAAGAGGATTGCCAAAGCTGGGGACAGCTGGCGCTGCCGGGGTTCGAGGGACGGTCGAGCGAGGTTTAAAAGCAGCGCCGTGGTCTCGTTTGTTGTTGCCTTTTTTCCCATGCTGATACTGCCCGGATCCTCGCTGTCCGTGTCCTCCTCGTCCGCGCATTCGTGGTGGTCCTCCTGTATATTGACCGGGTGCAGCAGGAACCTCAGCACCCCAATGAATGGGGCTCATCATGGCTGGGGGATTAGGCGCATGTTGATTTGTGGGTGGGTATATAGATGTGCCAGGCGTAGAGTAAGGAGCGGTGAACCCTTGTAGTTGCGGGAAAGGAGCCGAACCAGCGGACTGAAATGTCTGAGGAGGGTAGGGATTATGAGCTGGAGGATGTTGAAAGTTGGGTTGAGAGTATGGGGGGATGTACGACGTAGACACCGGTGCAGGATAGCCATAATTTGGCTGCGGATAGTTATAGTTTGGCGGTGTTGGAGTTGGAGCTTGATATGGTGCTTGTCCTCTATTCTGAGACTGGAATCCACCGCGACCTCGATTTCCATGTCCCCGACCACGTCCTCGAGCTCCAGAGCCACGATGGTTCCACTGTTGATGGGGTGGATGGGTGGGCTGCTGCTGTGTTCGAGGGGGAGGAGGAGGAGGAGGGAAAGAAAATCCTTGGGCACTCATCACTGCTTAGCCTCTTGAGAGGTCCCAACCAAAAGTATTTTTTACCTCATACTCCCGAAGCTCATCGAAATTTCAATTTCCGCAACCGCGATTTTCTGACGGCTTTTAGAGTCACGTGACCCAAGTTACCGCTCCCTCATGATTGGCGCAGGTTTTGCCCTTCTGATGTAGAAAAGTTGATGAGCGCTTCTGCTCTTCTCTCTCACTGAATTTGTCACTTTATCAATCTCCTCTGGCTTTTTGCCATTTGATGCCATGTTTATCATTGTATGTTCAGATTGTGGAGCTTCCAAATTTCAATTCACTGACTGCGGTAGTCAACCATCGCGGATCTCATCCCGATCTGTCCTGAGGACTTTGATAAGTCCAGTGCAGTGGCTATCGAGGATAATATTAATGCCAAATATGCCAATAAGGTCCGAATTATCTTACTATCTCTGATTCCATTCACTAACATATCGATAGGTTATCCAAGAATTGGGCCTTTGCATGAGCTTCTATTGTCTATTGGAGGCCTCTGATGGTCTAATTGGCCATGGAACTGGAATGGTCAATGCAAACGGTAGATCCCCTAGACATTAGAGTGGTCGTTTTATCTTCACTAACGTAAAGAAAGTAACATTTGACATGATTGTCTTTCGTCCGCACAAGGGCGAGATCATGATGGGCAAAATCTCCAGTGGAAGCGAGAAGGGAATCAAAAGTGTGTATTACCAGAATCATCAGAACTACCAGCACCGTTATGTACTGATATATTTCTAGTTACCATGGAATTCTTCAGTGATATTCTCATCCCTCCTAGCTTGCTCATGGAGGGCGCTAAGTTGTGAGTTCCTCTCTTTACCTCTATTGATATGGTCATGACTGCTAACTTAGGTACAGCGACCATGCGGAGCAAGTCTGGACCTTCCAACCTGAGGATGGACCCATCATGTACTTTGATGTTGGAGAGATTGTTCGCTTCCGTGTTGAGGCTGAGGAATGGAACGAGCAGAATCCAAATGCGCCAGATGTCTTTGAGGATACCTCAGAGATAAAGCCTGTTTCCTACTCCATCATCGTACGTCATCTTTCTGCTTGTATTGACTTTGACTGTACTGACTATCAAGCAGGGCTCAATGCAGTTGGATGGACTTGGTCCCGTTGCGTGGTGGTGATATTTCTTTTTTGATTCCCGTCTGATATCTGAAAACCCGCATATGGATGTGGTGTTGATTGATCTTCTTTCTTTTTACGTTTCCATTTCTATTTTACTCCTCATGAGATACCCAGACCAATTCTATCCCGAGGTCATGATACTTTCCAACAGTCCATTCTTGTATGTTCCGATGATTAGTGATCAATGTTGAATGTAGTTAGATGTAACGTTCACGGGCGATGACTGAGCAGTACCCAGATAGTCTACTGGTGAACACAATTGGCTGTTGATGAGACCATACGGCTCTAAAGCACGACACTATCCCGGATGGAATGGTCATTATATCAGATATGATCGGGTAAAGACGAGAGCGGTTAGAATCGGCCTGAAGAATGCATGGTGGAGCTTAATCCTATTCTCCACCACTTGGGTTGCATCAATCCATTTTAAGCCCCATAAAAGTATTAGATATTGATAAATTTAGATCTTGAATTCCTCTAATCCCCAGATCCTAGATGGTGTGATATGCAAGGTTCCATCTTTCTGCAAGGTTCTGCTTGCTAATCAGAATCGATGTGGATCCGCCCTCATCACATATCTATATCTACTTTGTACATCTCATCTCTTCTTTTCGCATCCCTTCGCATCACTTCGCATCACTTCGCATATCGATTCTTCATTTTAATTACACCTGCATAATGGGTTCCTTCGAAGACTCTCCTTCAGAGAAGCACCGGTTTGGAACATTAGCTGTTCATGCCGGCGCCCCTCACGACCCAGTCACTGGCGCTGTCATTGCTCCGGTAGATCTCTCTGCCTCCAGAACAAAGAACTAAGAACTGTCAGACTGACGCGCATAGATCTCACTATCAACTACATACGCGCAGACGAGTGTTGGCAATCCTGTCGGTCTCTATGAGTACACCCGCAGCGCAAACCCCAATCGGTTAGTAAGGACGATAAAGATAAGAGATGCCGAGGCTAATTACAACCCCAGCGATAACTTCGAGCAAGCCATTGCTGCTCTCGAGCATGCCAAATACGCTCTTGCATTCTCCTCCGGCTCTGCTAGCACCGCCGTCATCCTACAGTCCCTCGCTACCGGATCTCACGTTATTTCAGTCTCTGATGTGTATGGTGGCACCCACCGCTATTTCACCAAGGTCGCCTCAGCGCATGGTGTAGATGTCACATTCTCTCCGGCGATTGAACTCAATGTCGAGGGATTGATTCGCCCCGAGACGAAGATCATCTGGATTGAAACCCCTTCCAATCCCACTCTAGGTCTGGTAGATATTAGTGCTGTCGCCGAAATCGCCCACCGCCATGGCATCCTGGTGGTTGTGGATAACACCTTTATGAGCCCCTATGTACAAAACCCGCTAGATCACGGTGCGGATATTGTCACACACTCGGTGACTAAATACATTAATGGCCATTCAGTAAGTGGATCTACTTGCATTTCGGAAATCAAGCCTACTAACTTTGATCTCAGGACGTCTTGATGGGCGTTGCCGCATTCTCATCCGAGTCTCTGAAAGAGCGCTTGACTTTCCTACAAAACGCTATCGGTGCCGTTCCCTCTCCATTCGACTGCTGGCTTGCTCATCGCGGTCTCAAGACCCTGCACCTGCGTGCCCGCGAAGCAAACACAAATGCCATCACCGTGGCCGAAGCCCTTGATGCTTCTCCCCACGTCCTCTCGGTCAACTACCCCGGTCTAGACTCCCACCCACAGCGCAAAATTGCCATCAAGCAGCATCGCAACGGCATGGGCGGTGGCATGCTCAGTTTCCGTATCAAGGGCGGCCAGACCGCCGCTCACAATTTCTGCAGGTTCACCAAGATCTTCACGCTGGCCGAGAGCCTCGGTGGCGTCGAGAGTCTTTGTGAGGTTCCTTCTAGTATGACTCATGCTGGTATCCCTCAAGCCGAGCGTGAAGCCGCCGGTGTCTTTGACGATCTTGTGCGCATAAGCTGTGGTATTGAAGATTCCGAGGATCTAAAGAATGATGTGCTGCAGGCGCTGGATCTTACGGTGGCCGAGTCCAAAACTAATGGCCGGGCATGATTCAAGTTTACAATTTTTATTTCCCTTAGCGATGAAATTACATTAGATGATTTCCTGTGGATATCAAATTTCCTGGAATCGGGATTAAAGATTCTCAATCGAAATATGCCATTCTGTCTAGCAAGTAGTCTCTTTTTCAATTTGATAGATCTTAGGAGCATTCAGCAAAAAAGTCAACACTCAGGGCTTTTTTATCCCTTCAAAGAGTAACCAAGTACGTAACCTGCTGCACTGAATGACACAGTTCATTTCCTCTATTTTGCCACTTACTGCCATCAACGACCATAAGTGTCAAATTTCAATACGGTGTCCTTCGACCTGACTCGCTCGTCGCTACTTTTCAACACGGCATATACCCATCTTTTGACCGATTCCAAGAGCAGTTTGAGGTATTCCCGAATGTTGGAAGTCTGTATCTCGATCTTAGCGTCCTCGGCTTTGTCCTTAGTGTCGACTTTGGCATTCGAGCATTCAACAAACCAACGTTCATGACGCCGATGCCCATCACACCAACAATCACACTCTTCCACACCCTCTTCCGCTTCCGCAGCAGCTTCATACTTAGACTCTTTGAGTTCGACCTCGTAGATGTGGATGTCAACCATGTACACCACGATCTCGCTAATGGATTCACAGCCCTTGAGAACGGCATTCTCGATCGTATTCTCTGGGCTGGGGAATATCTCGAGTTTGGTCAACGTGAGGATAAGCAGATTAATCTCCTTGTTGATAGTTTCAAAGATCACGCGTACCTGTTCATCTTTCGGGAGGTGGTCTTTGGCGAACCAGAACATGATATCATCAAGCTCCTGCATGAAATCTGTAATTTTTTTGTTGAAAAGCAGCCCGTTACTGAGGTCTCTCCCAGGGAACTCCTTCAATTGGAAAGCGCAAGGTGGTTGGTTGATGTCGGTTGGGTCCGGCGCCGAGGCCTGGACCTGGGCTACCGAAATTACAACAGAAGAAGGGCGGCTGTCCTCTTCCGGGTAACTTTGGAGCGACTCCCCAAACCCAGGTTGTTGGTCTTTCTCCAACTCGACTTTCTTCGATTGCATATTTCCTTCATGTACCATGAAACGAACACCCCATTCATCAGCTTTACATGGCACTGTATCATCAACGACACGAACACCCCATTCATCAACTTTACATGGCACCATATCATCATCAATGACACGAACGTCCCATTCATCAGCTTTACATGGCACTATATCATCATGCTCATCAGCCCCAGAGTCGATATGGGAATTTAAGGACGCAGTGGTAACGGTGCTCGAATTACATTCTGTAGTATGACCGAAATCCCATCCGTAATTGTCAATAGGACAACTGCAACCCCACGAGGTGCGTGAGTTATAATTCTCACCTGGCACGTCGGGCTTAGCGAGAGAAGATTTCCCCAGCACCTGGAGCCTTTACAACCTCTTCTTCGGCAGGGACATCCACCTTGGAAATAGTCGTCATGGTGGCAGCTTGCTCCATGCGGGCAAGACAACCTCTCAACTCACCGATTTCAGCCATTATCGATCGCTTAATGTTTCCAGCCAAATGTGCAGGCTGTCTCTTCAGATCAAAGACCATAGCGGCCAGCTTATCACCAAACACTCTTTCTTGTCTAGACTGAGGTTAGAAGGCCATTCGTACCTTTTCTATATCTTTGATCTTCTTACCAAGCTCCTTGGAGATACAGTCATATTCTTTAAGATTGAATTCCTTCATGGCTAGAGTTGAGTCTGAGGGTTTAAGAGTGAGGAAAAGATGAATATATGAAGAGGGAGAAAGTGAAAGGTGAAGTGACTAGTAACATTATAATGATCTATGACAGTTAATGACATAACTATTTCTTGAGTCAAACTATTGCCGCACGTGATGAGGCTATTAACAAAATCAATATTTAAGTGATACATAAGTTGATATAACTATGAAGCTCTACTACCTAGTACAAAGAGACAAAGCGCTATCTAGAGCTCTGTTCCTCGGTCTTCTCTAATATGATAGAACCTATCAATTGGGAGAGATTGATAGTTATGTGAACCAAAAACCTGTATCACTTTATCATATGAAATTCAACAACACATGGATTTGATAATGATGCTTTGGCAGTTTTTCCAGCGAGAGTGGCTCACTGGGCAAGGTCGTTGCGGAACTTGGACGTTCAAGTTCCTCCAGCAGCGCTTAGTCTGAACTAAGCGCCTCAGAGCGGCTAATCCGATCAGTAAGCATTTTACATGAGCTTCTTGACTTTGCATAACCTATAGAGGTAATGATTTATTGTATTTTATTTTATTACAAGCTACTAAATAACATTTAGTCGTTTTTCTTTTTTAAAAAAAATGGGTCTTCAAGTGGGCAGTACCTTACTATAACACACTAGGCTAGTCCCATAACGTACCATAAACCGGCATTATCCTACTTCGTACTTACCTTTTGTAGCGACCCTATGCACTAGCTTCCGCAAAATCCTGAGCTAAGCCTAGAAAAGAGAGTCCGTTCGGCAAACCCCAACCAGGCGTGATAAATAACTCACGCCCTAAGTCCCCTAGGGCTGCGCCGGAAATTGGCGTGGACGGCGATTGGCCCTCTTTAGTACAGAGTAGATGATTCCACTACAAAGGCCCCACTGAAGAGATCCTGATCGGGATCATAATCGTTAGTAGAGAATTAGTACAGAGTTAGTATACAGCGCAAGTGTAGTATGGCAGAAATAATGTAAAAGGTTACCATCTCCCCTATTTCCTCTATCTCCTTTCTAGTCAATTGATGTGCTCAGACTTTGAAGATCTTCCTACCTTTTTTGCCCATCTGCGTGTTCCTGTCTATTTCTCGCCAATATCTGGATAAATTCACGATAGTCGATCGATCAGCGTTGATCATGTGGGGAACCGCGATCTTGCCGCTCGTTGTCTTGGCCGCTCTGCCAAGTGCCAATGCCATCATTTTACACAAGCGAGACGATCCCGCAGTGTTAGCACTCCCAATTGCCCGTAGTGAACGGTCTCAATCGCTGCAGAAACGCAGCTCCAAAATCGCCAGCACAGCTTTATATAATGTGGTACGACATTCCAGTTACGAAAGTCTCAATGTAGAGCACTCAGTGATACTGGGTAGGAGTACTAAATCTTCGGATAGGAAAATATGTATTATATGGTGAACATCACCATCGGCACGCCGGCTCAGAATCTCTCCCTCAGTCTCGACATCGGTAGCAGTGATATCTGGGTTAATGTCCCAAATTCCACATACTGTGCAGCAGATGATGATCCCTGCTCCTCGACCGGCTTGTTCAATCTTGAAGACTCCTCCACCTTTGAATTGTTAGATTATGAAATGAACGCCACCTATGTTAGTGGATTCTTGGCTGCAGGTCCCTACGCCACCGACACGCTGGTGATTGGAGGCGCCGAGGTAAAAAATATGGAGTTTGCGTTGGCCGAAGAAAGTCGCAATCCCCGTAAGTTTATGGATCAGAGAAAGAAAATACATCTGGCTAATGAGTGTATAGATGGTATTCTGGGAATTGGATATGCGGTAAATACTGATGCCGCCACCGCTGATGGCGAAGAATACGCCAACCTCCCCGAAGCGCTGGTCAAGAGTGGTGCCATCAAGTCGGCCGCCTATAGCCTGTGGTTAAATAAATTTGATGGCACTGGAAACCTTCTCTTCGGAGGTGTCAACAAAGCAAGATATGAAGGCGAGCTGCAAACTGTGCCTGTTTTGAAGGTAAATGACAATTACTATTCTCTTGAAATCGCCTTAACAGATATTTCTGTGAAGAGCACCAAGAGCACCAAGAGCTATGCGACTGGTCTTCCCTTGGCCGTCACCCTAGACAATGGCAGCCCTTATATCGTGCTGCCCAAAGAGTTAGTGGAACCCATCCACGAAGCAGTCGGCGCAGGATATTCCTCAACTGCCGGCGCCGCCTATATCCCCTGTAATATGTCCTCAGCCGACTATAATGTGACCTTTAGCTTTTCTGGCGCTAAGGTCACTGTCCCCATCAGCGAACTGGTGTTTGAAGATTACACAGAAGTCGGTTTCCCATCCGGTGACTGCATCTTCGGGCTTTCCTATAGTGAAGCCGGAGTGAATCTGATGGGTGACCCGTTCTTGCGCGGCGCATATGTGGTATACGATCTCGCCAACAACGAGATTTCCCTCGCAAATACCAACTACAACGGAGGAGATGATGATATTCTTGAGATCGGTACGGGCACAGCTGCCGTGCCTGGCGCGACGCTGATGCCCTCTGCAGTCACCTCGGCCACGGGTAATGGGAGCAGTGGAAGCACCGCCGCGCCGAGCAGTGAAACCGCAGTCTCAAACTCATCGGGGTCTGAATCGGGAGAAATCGCAGCATCTGTCACTGGTACTGCGACTGGAAATGCTAAGACTGGTGGCGCTTCTAGTACCCCCTCCAAGGGATTGGCATTGCCCACTAGCAAGCCGACCCATCTTCTGCCCGGTGTCTTGGGCGCTGGCTTGCTACTAGCATTGTAGAAACCTAAGTATTCCGGGTGTCATCACCTGGGCAGTAGTTCGTGTCCAGATATCATGTAAGTATAGGCTGTTTGATTAATTTATAAAGAACTTGGAATATGTTTTATTAGAGCTGAGAGAATTGGAAACCTTTTAATATTGCGAAAATTGCATGTGATTCCTCCGTCAATATCAAACGGAGTGTAGATTAACAATAGAGCTTGATTACAGAATATATTACTACCCACTAACATACGGAGGTAACCGCTATGGGTAATTTCCAACAGACCCTCGAACTGGTGTGGTTTGTGACCTTCTCTCCAGGGTTTTATGTAAACAACGACAGGATGCTCTTTGCTATTCAGTCTGATACTCAGTTAATTTACCGGTCTATGCCGGCATACTGCTAAGATATCAGTGGATTTGGATTGGATAACGCTCAATGACAAAGATACATTGTGGCTCATTTATACCGGCCCACGTCAAAAGTAGTGAAAAGTAATATAGTCGCCCTCAAGCATGCATCAGGACGCGTCTCACTCCTAGATTCTCTTCCTGAGCAGTCACACTGAGAATTCCTCTATCTTGCATTGCATTTTCCCATGTCTTTATGATGATTAGCACTGGGCCACACATACAGTTAGACCATTCCCACTTCCAACTTCTCTCCGTATAAATCTGTACGCATTAAGAACTTTATAAGTCCATCTGAGATGTTCCCAGATGTAGCAGTTATTACATCCATCACTCTATGATCGTAAACACAGTAACACCAAAGAGAGGTATGAAATTCTTGATCATGAGTCTTCTATACAGGACCAGGTTTCACCATGTAGCATTAAATTCTCTTGTGTTACCTAGCAGTGTGCATACCTGTGGATCTTCAATTGAATCTTGAAATTCCAGATCAACGAATTCAGAACTTCCAAGGCGTGGAGTCATGTTCTTCCTCGACTGAACAGAGCACATACCCTCGATCATCTAAGCCTCAAAACGCATCCATGATGTCGTCCACGATGCCACCGGCAACATCTAGGCTACGATCAGGTGATTACCGCCGCACTGGTCTCTACGCTGTGTCCCGTGGACCTATAAGTGCGAAGATTTTCCCACTTCCTTTTTTCTTTCTTTCTTCTTCATACATCCATATGCACGTGTCTTGATATACCAGTGAGGAGAAATCTGAGGTTATTATTGCTGACTGAAAGCTATCAGTTATACCTACCTGGCTGCCTTTGTGGGTGACCAAGTAATTTTTTCAAACCAGAATTGTGGTTTCATCACTCTCGTACTTTTTTCATTGCTTGATAGCCCTTGTTGGCTGCGGGTAGAGAAGGGAGGTTACTGAAGTTTGAAGTTGTTCTGACTCCTTTGAACCTTGGGTATGTCTCGACTTTCATAATAAAACTGAAATACCATTGAATATCTATTAGTTGTATTCTTCATTGAAAATTGAATTATGCAAGGTTTGTGTTATTTATCGAAAAGTCGTTTAGAACTGATGTTGCAAGGGCGCCTTGGCATCATGCATAAATCTCAAAGTATAGCAACCTTACTGAGCAAAGCCCCTTACCTAGTGAATATCGTCTCAATGTGAAAGGTGACTGTCTACTGTCACCTGTGTACCATGTACGGTATCTTTGCACAGTCCCATCGTTCAAGGGGCCTGGTGGTCATTACGCTTCCTGAATCGATGCGCATCGCCATTTCGATAATTCTGTTTCTGTTGCAGACATTCGCCCAGAGATGACACCTCCGTCTGTGTTGCATTGATCGTCTCGACCGGACATCACCATCGTGCATAAACTAGCGGCTTCTGAGAGACAAAAGAAGGTCAATTATGTAGCTTGGGAAGGACTTGTTGGGAGTTCAAGGCTATATAGTATAAGACACATGCCCAGCTGCCTTAGTACGTACTGAGCGGCTCTCAAAGAAGGTTGGAAGTGTTCTTTTGAAACAATCAAAGTCTGAAGACAACTCCAGTCTAAACTAAATCATTATGCCATCAATAATCCATATTGCCCTCACCACTACAGTTCTTACTGGACTCGTGCACGTCGCCCAAGCACAAACAAACATCACCTCGGCAGACTGCGCTGCCTCATCAGAATACTCAACCTGCAACAAGGATGTTGCAAGCAAGTGGAGTTCATGCTTAAGCAGGTGCAATGGGGATGCAGACTGTAGTGTAGACTGTGGCTGCAGTGCTCATCAGGAATATATCAATTGCATGGCACAATCTTGCTGGAATCAGGTACTTATGTCTCTCACCATTTCAAATCTATATCTAGGTACACGCTGACGGGGAATGACTAGGTATACTCATGCAACTACCAGCTTTTCGTACAGCAATACTTCGCCATCTGCCCCAGCGCCGCTGAACCGATCCCCTTCTGGCCAGCACCAGATCATGCGCCGAATCGCTGCTCATGTGATTTAGGCAAAGTGCTCCAGAATACACTGACAGCGCGTAGTGAGCAAGTCTCCTGCATCCTAAACGTGACCGATGAGACCATATCTTCCGTATCCGATCTGTCCGATCTGAACGATGTGGCTGATATATCAGAGACGGCAACCAACTGTGCATGTTGCGGAGCAAGCACCAGTATCTCAGCGTAAGTGATAAGAACAGAAACCAAGTAACCTACTCGAAGAACAGAACAGACTAACAGATATCAACAGCGCCTGGGAAGTATGTCCAGATACCGAACCAACCCTTGCAGGCGCAGACCTCTGGCCCATATTCTTCCCATCCGACTGGCCAAATCTATATACGTCAATCACAGACTTCACCTGGGACAGCTGCAACAACATGGACGTCACAGCATGCAAAAACACCGGCTTCAGCAACCCCTCAGGCAAGTTCTACAAGCCAGGCAGCTATCCTTCGAATGGAACTTCTTCTCTACGCAATGTCGGCGGTACGCTGAGTGCTCCGCCCAGTGGGACTGTCATCACCTGGTCGCAGTCATCCACTACTTGGACAGTCACTGCGACTGGGTATGATGAGAAAGCTGTTGCAAGCCAGAGTTCTTTCCAGGCTACTGCTACCGGGACTGCGGCTTTTGCGACACAGACGGGTAATGTTGCAGCTGGAGTGAGACCTGGCGCTCTTGTGGTTGGGGTTGTTGGGGTTTTGATGGTGATGTAGATGTGGGATTTTTTTCCTCGATAATGTTTGTTCATGTTCATGTGATGATAGATATGGACTTTTGGATGACGGAAAAGTAATTAGAGCGAGGGCGTGGACGTATGCTAATGTAATACTCGAGGTCCATGGGTTCGGAACAAGTTCAAGCGAGGTATATATTGAGCTTGATTAAAGTCGGAAGCTACTAGGATCCATGGTGTAACCATAGGGGTCGTCAATTTCACAGGTCCTCACATTCTAGTTGTAACCACGGGAAGTTTTCATATTGATTGATATCGATGTTGAATGTCAAGATCACTAGACTAAGCTAGGCCAATGTGATGCAAGAGTGGCTGATGAGAATTACACCACCTCAACGCCATGCGCCGGAGATGAAATTGAAAAAGAATACTATGACGATAAGAATATCAAAAAGGGAACCAGACCAGCTGAGAGCATCACTAAACCCAAGTAGGAATAACTTTCTTCAGGAACTTCATGAACTTGAAGAAACCCACAGCATACTCGGCATTACCCTGAGGATCGACTACACGCCCAGGGAAGGCAATACCGGCCCCATGTAAGCCAGGAATAACGGGGCCATTGCCGAGCTCATGGAAATGACCTGTTTCATGATCAAACTCCAAGGTGAGTAGAGATCCATTCTTAGTAAGCTTTGGCAATGGATCACGAGTATAGCCCACGGCCTGGACAATGTAACTGCATCCAGGAAGATGACACTGGTACTGAGATGATTCACGGATTACACCGCCAGAGGTATCGATCTTAGTTAAGAACTGACCAACCTCTGAGGTCGAGAGCTTATCATCTTCTAGTTGTGCGCGGGCAAAGTCGCCAGCATGGCCCTTGAGACCGGTGTTATCACGCAGAATCCAGCCGTCCATGACCTCGGCGTAGCGAAGCGGGTGGCGGGTGAACCATTTGATGCGTAATTGGGGGTGCGAGGAGCGGGCGAGCTGGAAGAGATTGAGAATAGCGAGGATGGCGCTATGTGACGCACCGACAACGGCAATGGTGGAAGGTGTTTGTGTAGGCAGGATTTCTGCGAGCTTGGAGGGCTTTAGAACGGTGTCCAAGTCCAGGGTCTGAGTATCGAGTCCGGGGACAGGGACTGGGAGGTTTGTTGGGTGGGAACCAGTGCATAGAATTAGGCGCGAAGTCTCAATTTCAAGCTCCTCGGAAGAATCATTCTGTTTAATGCGTACTGTCCATTGAGAAGGGCTAGAAGGCTGTATTCACGTCATCATTAGCCTTTATACGTGACTGGCGATCTTTGCAGAGGGATCAAGCACGAACCTTAGCTTCTAGATTAGCTGATGTGACAAAGCCATGGCAGGCGTAGACCTGCTTCATCTTCACGAGGCCGTCTGTGAGTCCGCGGACCATATCGGCCGCATAATGAAGGTGGCACGTCTTTTCCTGGTCTAGTTTGGCCATTGTAGAAAATGCATTCGGGAGGGGTGTATTATCGATTATAGTCCGGAATGGCTGGACAGCCGTTGCGAAGGACGTGAAGAAGGAGACCTTCGTATTGCTGATTTGGCTGTTAATGGGACGTCACCCGTAGTCTGGCAAGAGTCACCAACCTAGGAACCTCGCGGTATTTGCGATGAACTCTACCCGCTTCGAAACTGGGGTCGATCCAGGCTATTGTGCCCAGCTGGCGCTCCAGAAGATTTCCCATGACTGCCACACCGGCTGGACCGGCGCCCACAACCACAGCAGCGCATTTTCGAGAAGCCATCGTGAAAATTAGAATGAGTAGATCAGAGTCAGAAATTTGAGACAAAATATAGGAAAATGAGAAGATTTAGGATGGAGCGAAAGGGCAAAAAAAGATGAATTCATTCGGATCTAAAATACCAGGGCGTAAAACTGATCAGATGAGGGGGATTAAGCCAAAAGGGGGGGGGGTTTTTGGTTCTTCCGGTGTAAGCCAAGACTTCAGGAACGAAAAATAAAAATGGAATGTTGTCTCGGTTCACCACTGGGGCTGCAGATAACGCAACCAAATCCAGTCAGGAAGGTGGAACACTAAAAAGGGCCGAATTCTCCATTTTGGACCTTCTCAAACACTCTTTTCCATAGATCATGCCATATTCATTCTTGTCCTCGTAGTCCTCGCCCGAATCAAGTGTATCTGACACAGGCCTAGATTATTGACTTCCAATTGACCGCTTGTATTGAGGATCCTGATCGGCCGAGAAAACGTAGTACTGGGCGTACATGACTGACGCAGCTGCCCCACTGAAGGACTTTCCGTCTCGGCCTGTCGGCTACGTCGGTACCTAGATGAAGAGATGGGGAGGTGAGTCACTTCTCAAAAGGTAACAACCAGGTTGGTTCAAGAAGGCATGTCGGAGGGGGCTGGATGAGCTAACAGCAACATCATTGACAGCTTTCGGGTTAATTATGGGGGAAAAGGGGAAGAAAGTCTTCGAGGAAGCCATTTGCTCTTATACTCTGCTGTCTGCGTCGATTTAGTGGTCTTGGCGAAATTGCGTGATTGAGTTCTGCCTGATAATTTTGGCTCTAATACCACGTGTCATAGGCTAATGACTAAATGAGCACTATTTAAGTAAATATTTATTTTAAATAATAAATAAATTTAACTAACGTCGTATTTAAATATTTAATTAAATAACTACCGTAGTATCAGTAACTTCCGGGCAAAATGCTATTGTCCGCGACAATGTGGCCCAGTAGTAAAACAAAATGCCCCGTCTGTACAGGTCAGACCTACCAGTCATCGAATAAACTATTGAGCTTCTATACTTCGGGGTTGTGGTATGGAATATGCAACTACCTCCTGAGTCTAAGAATGTAACAGACTTAATAATCAAGTTTTATGGTAGTTAACTAGGGTTCCATAGCAGAACTTCCAGCTTTATTCTTGCTTCATGAAATATCGTTATGAACATTATTTACAGATGTTATTGAGTAGAAGATAAATTCCAAGTCAAGGAGAACAAATGGCGTATTAAATGCTACCTAAATACATCTATTGGATAGATTTCATTCAGCTCGAAATTTGACGGAGTTGGTGTGAATCATTACTGATCCTTGCGTGCTGCAAATGTTGGGCTGGGTAACATGGAATTCAAATGGCCCAAAACACTCGAACACTCGCACTATAAACATAATTCGACCATCCTGGGAACCTCGCCCGTGCCCACACGGCGATCGAGTCTCCAATCTTCATCTCCCGCACGCCATGTCCATCCAGTGTCAACCGACCACGGCCTTGGCTTCGCTCGATGCCAAATGCTTCATCGGAATCTGGGTGGACAGAGTCTAGATAACTCCAGGTGATGTTCACATTATGTGTTTCGTTGCTCCGAACACGATTCACCTGCAATTTATTGCCTCGTGGGAGAAGGAGTTCATCGTCTGGTGCATATGATTTCTCAATTTGGCCGCGTTCGTTATCTAGAATCTCATTCTCTGTATTCTCGGAATACATGCCCAAAGTATGGGCATTATGGATAACTTCTGTATCAAACCAAGTCCATGATTCATTATACATATCACCTCCTCGTGTCCCACCACCTCCTTGGTCGTGGGATGCGAGTTGAAAGACGATTTTGCGGCAAGGATGTTCGGATCGATGAGGAAGTGCTGAAGGAGACTCGGATTGTTGTAGAATCTATATCATGGAACTAGTAGTTAGTTGGCTTGATCTGTGAACAGATAGGACCTTGGATGAGAGACAAACAGCTCTATCGAAACAAAGAGGCACCGTCTTCATCAGAACTTGGTCCCGGTCTTTATGGATCACTCTACGTGTCTCGTCTTCCATGTGACACTCGGTCGAGGGCCAGTACTCGGCTTCATCAATGATGGCGTCAATCAATTCTACAGGAAGGCCTTCTTTGAGTTTCCATTGGAGAAGAAACCGAACTTTCAGCACATCAAATACACTAGGAAAGAACTCTGTAGCTTGGAATGATTTGTCGGAGGCGTCATCCGGGATGGAATCTCTGGGAGATCTTGGAAAAAGACGAGATAGAGAAAACATATTTTTCTTATTCTCTGCGTAGAAATTGAAGAATGGAAGGCTAGAAGTTTTGCAAGTAGGGAAAGGTGGAAGTCCGGGGGACCCCACTAAAGCGACCTAATCGATAAGCAGTTGACCGCTAACTAAGCAGCATAGTTATTTAGTTAATCAGAAGTCTATTGGAGAGCAAGTTCAAGTAACTGATTATTTAACTTTCCACAGATGATTTCTAAGAATATGAGTGGTCATATTGAAAGATTGTTACTCTGTAATTGCAATTCTATATCCTATCCTACCTGATGTCACAAATGACGACATCTAGCAAGTAATGACAGTCGTATACTTCCTAGTATTCGTACCAAGGTATTTTGAATGGCACCTAAGTAGTGGAGGCTTTAATCCCTACCTTCATAGGTATTTATTAGGCTGTCCAAGTACTAATGTACCCATGAATATCTAGGTATCCATAAATATCCTATACCTAGGTATTCTCCATTTGAGGCTGCTGCTCAACTTATTTCTTGTCTAAAAAGATAGTCCAAGGTTCGATAGAGAGAAAAGAGCAAACTTGATACAATGATAATCCTCCCTGAAGAAGTCAAATCTGGATACTCAGTAGTTTCTGAGATGGCAGATTCAACCAGTCTCAGGAAGTCCGAGAGTTCCCTGGAGTAGTTGTAAAGCTCGTTTGTTTTCTTATCGGCCTTGGCGTTCTAATCTTATCACATGACTCTCTTCAGGCATTCAACATCGTACAGAGTTTACTAAAAAAAAGAATTTAAATCATGCTTCTTTCAAGAAATATCAAGCTTAGCCTTATCGAAACTCATTACATAGGATTTCACGCCTATTTTGCTAGTCACTGGCTGAAACTATGATGTTTATCTATATCTTTTTCTATCAATCTTTACTCCATACTTGAGATGGTATCAAACAAAAGACACTGAATCTTCAAGAATCAAATCACAAAAATGAAGAATCAACAGCACATCATGATTAAATTATCGAGTCTTTCAATAAATCTTTCTCCAATACTCTTCATATCCGTCTTCGGCGACGTCAGTCCCACGTGATTGGGAGTTTTTTGCAGGCGGTAAGATTGCTCGCCGCGGCAGAATCCCAATCACTCGCTTCTGTTGCTTGACCCCATCATTGCGATTATTGTGTTTCTTTCTCTCTTGTGCTTGTTTACTACCCTCGATTTGCTTCCCCACAGTCCTTCCGAGGATTGTGTCAACACTTTCCAAGCCTATCTTACAACTCTCCATGCTGAATACCCTCCCGCGATCCTCTACTGTGGTATCCTGCCCGCTTCCCTAGTTGACCTCCCCTCGCCGTCCAGAGCCGGCGCATCAGTGGGCCGAACAAGTTCAAGTGGTGGAATAAACTGACAAGACGTGTGGATATTGTTCAATCAGAGGACTTTTTGTTCCAACAACGCGGTGGTCGTGAGATTAGTGCTCGGTCGCGAGCAGTTTTGCTCATTACCAGCGTTGCTCGGCGCATAGCTGAAACAGTACGTCGCTTGCACCCTCACCTCTCATCTGCACCTTTTCTTCAGCCCTATACAAATAAGAACGGTTATACTTCTCTTGGAAGCTCTGGGTCCGATCCCAGGGATTGCGCAGTCACAAGTCCTTCCTGCAAGCGACGCTTGCCGACTCTGGTCTTGGGGGGCGTTCCGGCGACGATCAATCTCCGCACCGCCTTATGTAGGCTCTGGCCTACGATTTCCCACCCACCCGCCTATTTTTCTTCTACCTGCTTTTTTAAGAGATTATATCGTCCAGCTGATATGGCAATTGAGCTAATATTTTATTTGGTTACTCTAGAATCCCTAACAAACTCATTTCTGATCGATCAGTGATCTTGCCGTCCTCTACCAACACCCACCACCGCTGAAAAAACAACTTTCGGCATTTATTACACTTTTCTCTGAATACACATCTCACACCTGTTTTATTTCGATACTTTCCAATCTCCAGATGGAGGTGATCGAGAGCCGAGAGCAGACCTCCGTTGGTCCTCCAACGGGGACGGAGGCTGCCATGATCAATGGCGAGCATAATCCCTTCTTGGATGATTCTCTGATGGACGATGGCCGATCAAGCAGTTTAAGTGAAATCGATGAGCTGTCAGACAACGAACCGTCCGACTTTGAAGATTCGACCAAACCAGAGAGACCATTGGAGAACGACTCTGAGGCCGAAACCGAGCGCATCGAGGACTCCCCCATAATATTCGCAAGCGGGACATTGTTGTCAGTGCTGGGAGTGTAGGCCCGAGTCCGAGTAAACTCCACCAGTCTACAACGCTTGACGACGTTGACGGTGAAGAGCAATTGGTGGACGACTCACCTAGCAAATCGCGCCTAGCATCTTACAACAACGGGCTGACCGAGAACCTGCCTGACATTGGAGAGGAATTTGGCAAGAAGCGAAAGCGCCTTGAGGCCGGTGATGACACCGCAACCGAAATGGGTGATGATGAGCCGCTCAAGAAACGCCGAAGTTCCATCAAGAGTGAACTGAGTGATCCAATTGACGACGATGATACTCCTCTTTCCCCAGAGCCAATTGAAGAACTTACCTCCATTATGGAAGAAGAATTGCCGGTGGACAATATCCCTGAGCCAGATCTCCCTGCTGTGCCGACCAAAGGCAAAAAAGGCAAAAAAGGCAAGGGTAGGAAAAAGAGAGCTCCAGAGGTGGATGGAGAGATTGAAGGTGGCGGTGGTATCGCAGAAAATATTGCTGATGATCACCTTGGAGAAGATGAAGAGCCCAATGAACGCGTCGAGGAAGCCGTTGATGCTCAGACGGCCGCCAAAGCTGAAGAAGAGTGTAGGTCTTCCCATGGCGACGCGAGGTATACAACCCACTAATTGTCTATACAGCTGCGAAGAAAATGTCTGCCATGGAGTCCTTGGCGACACTGGAGAAAGAATTCGCAACGTTACGAGACAAGTAAGCGCTCTATTAGTCCCCACATTTGCGACTTTTACTCACCAAAGTTACAGGATCTATGACGAACAAATTGCAAAGCTTGACCGTGAGCTTGAAATGCTTTCCGGTCCTTTCCCGACACATCCCGAGTTCTTGCGCCAGATCGAATGCGTTGAACGTCAACGGGATGAGAAGCTGAAATACGAGGAAACCCTGTTTCGTTATCGTACCGAGTCTCAGATAAAAAAGAGCCTGGCCGAACGAGCACAAATAAACAGTACATTTTTCCAGAATGTTCGAGACGTGCGAGAACGCCACTCAAGCGCAATTAGCAAGCAGTTCTATGATATCCAGCATGATCGTTTCAAGACTGATGAGCTGAGTCCACATCACATCATACCTTTCCCAACCCGTCGGTCGCAACAAATCGCACATCAAACCGCCTACAACCAAGAAGTGTCGGTCATGGCTGGTGTTGCGAAATATGTAGGTTTCCCAGCTGCGCCGGCTTTGGCAGGTGCCCGACCATCCGAATTGCAGGATGACTTGGAGAAGATGGGGGTAAGTGGAGCGCTTTCCTACTGACTATTTTCATGTTACTAATATCGACTTTGCAGATCGTTGTCGAATCACAATCGCGGGCTTCGGCTCCGAGGCACTCCTCTGTATTACTACCTCCTCGAGGTGCCATGTCGGCCATGTCATCCAATGCTTTCCGAACAGCCGCCGAGGAAGCCTTTTTGGAGCAAACACCTTGGGCCAATCCTCAACATCCGATCCATCAACAGCAGTCACAACATACACAGCTACTCCAGTACTCTCATCAACATCGGCCCCAAGGGCAAGCCTTCAATCCTCAGCAAGCATCATCATATGTAACACCGACAGCTCAAAAGCGCATGGTTGACATCAACGCGCCAAACGGGTCGGCATCCACTATCCCCGAGAATAACTCGATTGCCAATTCTTCAGCCAACAATACCCCCTATGGCACTGAGCAGGGGCCTCAACATCAAAACCGTGAAGCTTTCCTCAAGCCGGACTACGAGATTGAGCACACATCCGGTCTTCGGTCTCAAAGTTCCTCACCACTAGATATGCGAAAACCCCTCCCGCATCTAAGCCATAATCCTGCTCTCGATACTACTTCCCGCATTCCCATCTTCTCCCCTCCCTCTCCCAGAACGAATGTACCATCCCAGGTCGCCCACGAAACTAGAGACTTCTCCCAATCTCACATCCAAGACGGTTGATGCACTGCATTACCACTCTCAAGCTGATTTATCAGCCCCTGGCGCGAACCATATCGCGCGTTAAGTGATACCCAACGACAGAACTTATGGTCGAGAAGAAGATGAGAATACTCTGTCCGACGAAAGACTGAAACATGCATCCAATGAAATTCACACCCCTTCCTCCATCAACATCATAATCAACATCATCATCCTCCTCTTATCCCTGCAGCTTCTTCTCCCTTAGCATTATTATCCCCCTCCTGTTCTACTATTGCCATACAGGCAACTGTATTCTGATCAGCGTTCCGAGCTAGAAAAAGAATATGGCAGCATGCTATGAGCATGTTGCGAGCATGTTCCCCGGAGTATCATGTCGAGTTTTTTTTTTTTTTTGGAAGGATTTGCCAGATTTAAGCTTGTGCAACAATCCGAGGAACCTTGGAAATATGATGTTTATCTGCCCGCCCTCTCTATGGACGGATGGGTTTTTTTTCATATCATTTATCATTTATCATTTGTGATGGTGTAGGTGTATGGGAATGGATGGGAATCGCCTTTTAATCTTTTGTTTCTTCTACATTTCTACGATATGAATACTCTTCTTTTCTCAATTTCTTACACTCGGAGTTATTAGCTGGAGTTTTACGTTTTCCTTCATCTTTGAAGGAAACTGCAATGAGCTGGCCTCTTCTCTTATCTATGTACATACCATTATCGTTGGTTCTGTCTTTATAAAGTCGACCAAGAAGTTTTTTAGGTGTAACAAATATAGTTCAAATGGCAAGTCTATCTTTTCCCATTAGATTTACCTATAACTCATATTATAGATACTACACTAGAGATCTTGAAGAGAATTTGAATGACAATTATGAGGAGACTGCGTTTAGATTTCCCATCATTGTAGCTAAGCATTATCATATTAATCCTTCGCAACTTCAGAGAACGACACCTCGATCATTGGCAGAGACTTACTTAAACCGCTCTGCAACGATGCAGAAATTGAGATGCATGATTCAAGTCCAGGTTTGAATGAGCCTTAGCGGCTCCACCATAGCAAATGGAATCAGGATATGTAGGTGCTCGAAAAGCTCAGGAAGGATACGGATATGTCTGCCTGCAGCCAGGCATTAGATATGAATCTCCATGCCGGTTTGTTTCCATCACCGCAGAATATTAAAGAGCAAGGAAGGTCTTGGACAAGACCTTCGTAGTGTTTCGCCGCGGCAATGATTGATAACAAGCTCGATATCAATCAAGTGGCAGTTTGTATTGAAAATTGGTCAAGGCGATAAATGAGATCCATGAGACAGCAGCACCATAGCCAAATGCAGCCAACTTCTGACGACGCTAGGTAAGTTCTGGTAGGGAGAGGGCTATGGTGGGACGGGTGCAAGCTTTCAGCCCATATCACTGATACCTCACATAATTGCCTGGCTCAGTTTGTATCTTGAACCTTGTTCTACGAGGTACCTAGTTAGCCGACTAAGCAAAATGAAACCACTTGTACCTGGCTTCATCGACCTGCCACCATCACTTTAGAGATGAAGTAGTGGGAAGGAAACATAGATAATATACTGTTTAGACAGTAGGTGGTTGAATCATATAAAGAAATGTAGCTTGGATATTGATATTTAGTGAGTGACCTTGGCCAGGATTATAGTTAGTCACGTGATCTGATATTGCTCGACTCCCAAATTTGAAAAAAGGCAGGCGATTGGTAATTGGACCAATAGAAATAAAGATTGCTAGCCTGCATACGAAGCATCTGCAGAGATTTTTCACTGTTTCTGAGAGAAAAATGAAGTTTACTCCGAGGCCGTGGTAGCAGCTGTAGCCTCCGGTTGTGGAGTACTTGTCGATTCCGCAACCCCATTGGCGACTGATTCATCTTGTTTTGCTTGGGGGCGCCATTTGGCCAGGACCTTGCCAGCTGCCGGGCGAGACTCTTCGTCTAAGATGATACGTTAGATATTTGAAATGGACTGATTGAGGTGGACGACTTACAGGTTTGGTACACGTCCTCAAGTGTATTCAGGCACATCTCGCGCGCAGGGGGACGGAACATGATCAGATACCTGGAGCACAGTATGTTAGGGTATGGAATATTAGATTGAAAAGAATTTAAACTCACATTAGTGCTTGAACGCAGAGATTGACTCGCTCAGGGTCCCTGGCCAGACTGGCCACGCGTTGAGTAATGGCGACGGTGACTTCCGGAATCTCGCTGAGGAAGCGCACCAATACCTTGATATCACGGGAGTCCAGATACGGGATGAATCCGTCAAGGAGTCGAAGTACCCAGATGTCATAGTGAATCGGGACGATAGATCCTTCCTCGTTCTCGTCACGTTGAGAAGCCACAGCCTTCATCTGAATGCGGTCGTTATACCATTCTTCATTCAACCAGGAGATACCGATGGTGACGCGAGCACGGAAGTCCTCCAGAATGTAGCGATATAGTGTTTGGCGAATGGAATCAGATATAGTGGTTGGTTTTCCTTGACCTGCCTCGGCACTACCTTCCAGACCAGCTGGTGCACGGGTGGCCAGTCGAGTGAGAAGGACAACCCAGGCGTCCCGATCGAAAGTACTAGCCGCCAAGCGTGAAAAGCCCAGTTGCTGTTGTTTGCCGGTAGGCGCAGCTGTATCTGCTTCGGCAACATTAATCATGCTGAATACTCGTGCGACAGCACCACGTCCAATTTCTCCTGCCTCTTCCTCATCTAGAGGAGGCGGCGGGGGCAGGACGAAAGGACCCAAGGAGACTAAGTCGGGTTCGGGGTCCGCTATTTGAGCCACATCATCCCCGGCCTCATACGAGTCGTTTTCCGCCACATCCATGGGCGAGTACTCAGGCTCGTAATCATCATCCCCATCAGCTGCCAGGGCTTGTTGTTGTTGCTGTTGGCGCTTCAGATTTTGGTCTTTCGTTATAGTTTGATATCGACCACGAACTGCCTAGATATATGATTTCAATCGCTGTCCAAGAAAATGCGTCATAATAATACGAACCTCAATAGCTTGTGTGAGCATTGCCGGATTTACTTGCGCAAGAAGAGGTACGGCGATCTTCAGGATCAGATCGGGAGGAAGTTGCTTGACGTCGAACGAGGAAAGTCCAACATCTTGGGTCAGTGTGAAAAGTTGGTCGTAACTCGTAGGTCCTGGAGGTAGGGGAGGGACCTTGAGCAATGGGGGAGTGGCATCATCGATACGGGCCCGTTTCGCACTATCCAAGCCATCTGTTGGCTCCGTAGATAATCCACGCTTTCGAGACGCATCATCTACCACCTCCAGTTTGGATTGTATCAGGCGCTCAATGTACACCTGCATTTTCCCTAACATAGGATGATTCGGATTCCTGTGACATAGTTGTGAGCCTTGATCTACTTTGCTGGGGCAATTGGTTCACGATACTTCTTTACGAGATTGATAATCAAAGCTCGAGCTGTACGCTCCATTGACTTGACGCTAATGCGAACGGTTGGAGTAAAAGGAGGGCGGACATGCTTTGCCGGATAGAATTCCAGCACAACATTAATGATCTTACTCGCGATACTTTGGCGTGTCCGGATGAGAGGCGCAAGACAGTTCAATGTCGCATTGACGAGTAGTGGATCACTGTCAATTATTGTTAGTATAATTCTTTGAAATAGTTACTGTCGCGTCTAAATACCTGATATCTTCTTGAAAAACACCAAGTAGGCGATCGAGAAGACCTGATGATTCGGCCTCAAGCTGCGGGATGGAAAGAAGGGAGTGACCCCGAGGGACAATCGCGAGCGAAGTCTCGTTCTGTTCGGGTCTCTATTGCAGATAATATATCAATAGGATGTCAACAAAGATGTGGGGTACTCGTAACACTTACCCTAGGGTCTGAAATCAGACCCGGTGTTTGAACCTGGACCACTCGTTGAAGGAACTTGACACAGCAAACCTTGGCTGAAGCAGGGAAAGAGTCCATTCGTCGGAGGATATCCTGCTTAATCGCATTCATAGTCTCCCATGTTTTGCCATCCTCGGGGTGGTTCACACTGTCATCGAAAGAGTGTTAGCGGCCATGACTACGCCAGCTCCAGAACGCAGTCCCTCAAATAAGTGAGATATAAAGAGAAGAACTTACACATGGCGAAATATCAAAGGATATAAGCTGGCGGCTGTTTGTACTAAGCTCTGTAAAACCGCTGTATCTGTCTCCGGCAGTATGAGAATCTCTTGAATCGACTGGAGAACATTAGGCGCGAGCTGCTCCTTCTGTGGCGCAGGCAGGATTGGACTGGAAAAAGTCTCTGCCAAGAATTCAGCACCCCATCTTCTCAATTCAAATCTCGAGTTGGCGCCGACGATAGGAAGGATGCTGGTCGCGATCTGCGGATAGAATGCGGCGTCCGCTAGAACGAGATTTCGGGCATTATTGAGTTGATTAAGCTGACTAGCGGCCTCATCGGTCGATTGAGCCATCATGGCTCAAGGGAGGGAGTGGTACGCGATAGATGGAGTGGTATGGAGCTGGAATGGTACGGGCTAGCGATAGATGTCTTCTGGTGTCGGAACGCGGATGGAGCTGCAGGGGAAGCGGAGCTGATGCGCGTAAATATTAAGCTCCGAGATTGGAGCTAGACACTTGAATATGGAAAGATGATAGAAAGATGATGAACAGAGGATGGGAAGAAGATAGAAAAGGTGTGATCCGGGTATTATGGAGCTGAAGGACTAAAGGTGCATATTGGAGAGTAAAAAGTGCGCAGGGGCCGAGAAAAGTTGGGGTTTTGAAAGTTATCGATACCGTTTTCTCCGACAAGCTAATTATCTCAATTAATTCTTTTATATAAGATTACGATTCTCAATTTGAGTGAAGTTATATTTAGATTTAATTGAGGGCAAGTTGATTTCATCTGAATTTAAGGCAGTAAAGGACTGCCTGAAATTTGTAGCCTGTAATGCAGTAAATAAGCAGACAAAGACCAAAAAAGCCCAGTCCGGGTTGACTTTCACAACTAAAATATCGAATACTGTACAGAGTATTGTAAGGAGTTTAGAAATAAGCTCCCACTGCAATTTCAATGACTAAAGATTGATATAGAAAGTTGATACTTGAGTATACTAAGTCAAGTCCCGATGCCAAGACTTTGCCTTGACTTTGCGCATCAGACAATCAACTTCACTTACTTCACTTCCTTCACTTTCTGCCACAACTCGCACGTCATGGCTGTCGGAATGTACGTCTACTATACTCCTCTATCTGTTGTATCAGTAAATTGACCCTCCATAGCTTCAACTCTACCTACTACGGCAAGGACTACCGGGCCGGTGCTGCACTCCTACGTGCCCGCCGTCCATATCTGTTCAAGAACGCCATCACAGGGACCATCCTCGTAGCCTTCTCACTTGGCGTCTGTACGTGCTCTATGTGTCATCACCTCGTCTCTTATCCTCATTCTAGCGATCTATGGGATCATGAAGTCATGGAATGGGTCCAATCTCCAATTCATGCGGCAGTCATTGAAAGCCCACTTGGACTCTCAACGCAGGATATAAATCTTATTAGAACCAATACACTGACATGTTATTCCCCCAACAGTCTCCTATACTATCAAAGCTGTCGGTCAAGAAGAATTCTCCGAAGTCAAGGTCCCCGAAGCTCCCGCGCAGAAGAAATGAATATGAGCCTACCCTTTACCCATGCAGCGTATGGGGTTCCAATAAGACGTGAAATCCAACTTTAATGTGGATAGATCACAAATTGGTATTCTGGGTGTATCATATAATCGCACTATTTGGGATGATCCCTCAAGATAACAGAAATGGAGCAAATGGGGGTTATGGAGTCTTTGGAACAGAAGTTCTTTTCTTTCGGCCTACGGTCCAGTGGGTCTGTTTTATTATCATCTACAACTTGTACTGCATAGGGTGTATTGGCTGGGATGTGTATTGTACATAGGTTCCAGCTATGAATGCCAATCTCTTCTCTTACTTACTCGCAGTATACTACCAATTGGAACCATGGTGTTAGATGATAGATACATCATACGTCTAGGAGATTAACCCCCCCCCCCCCCCCCCCCCCAGAAAGGCGGTATATAGGCCTTTTTACAATATCATTGCTTGGCTAGATTATTTTCGCCAGTCAGACAAGAAAACATACAGACGGAGTACGACAATGCTATAATGTGCCATGGAATGTGACAATATATCAGAGACAGCAAAACAAATATTTATAACAAATTGGAAAGTTACTCGGTTCTCAGAACGCGAGGACCCTTCTTTTTGGAAGCACGCTTGCGCTTAACACCCTTGTCAAAGGCAACGGCGTTGTGGTGGTCGCGGCCGAAGTTGTCCAGATCCTTCACCTTGAAGATACGAATGATCCAGTTCTCACTAGTGAAGGCTTCCTCAAGGGTGTCGAGTGTCGGGCTTTCAGTTGGCAATCGCGATCCACGGACTCGGTCCATGGCTTGACCGGCTGGGAACATGGTCTGGAAGTTGTAGTAAGACATTTTGTACCTATAGAGGGTTAGTTATCGCTACAGTAGGATAATACGGATTCAACACTTACATCAAACTATTGCGCATGGCTGGTGTAGCCTCATCATCAACGCGGTACTCGCCCCGGGCAGTAAAGTAGTCGCGTTCCTTCACCTCGTCGGGCCAGATGCCCTCGGCAATACGGACCATCCACAAAAACTTGTTAATGTCGTCGCCAGAGTAGCCAATAAGACCACCGAAAACAACCAGAACGTAGTCGACATCATGCGCACGCAGAATCGGGTAACTGACTTCTTCGCGAGAGCTCATGGCCTTACCCACGGTAGCGATGTGGGTGTTATTCCAGGTATTGTTGTCAACCAGAGTGGGTCGATCAGCCATACCACCGATCTGGTAGCCGTAATCCCACCAAGACATGATTTTGGCATTGTCGGGCGTGTTCTGACGAAGCCAGTAGTATGCCTCACGGTAGTCGTCGATGATGAACTGACTTCCATCGGGCATACGGCTTGCCAGGACAACAGATGGAGAAGAATAGGCGTTTGAGGTAACCCAAGTGCAGTGCGCAACAAACAGAAGAAGGTAAAGAGTCATAGAGCAGGATACAACAGTCTTGGAGAACCAAGAGTGTACACCAACAACTGGCTTCTGAGTTGACTTGAGTGACTTGGAATCATCGATACTCTTGGCTGGAGCCTCCGTGTTGGGCTTGCCAATCACCAGGAAGTTGTCAAGGATGTTTGACAGGGCCAAGGCCGCGGCAACGCAGACAATAGGAGTCAGAGTCAGCATCAGACGAACCATGACACCAGCAAAGTAGCTGGAGAGAACAGCGTAGATTATAACGAACACATGTTCATCTTTGAGACTCTGGAAGCACATGAACACACCGGCGGGGAAGAGCCAGATCAAGAAGTTCAGATCGAAGAAGAAGGCGGGCCAAGCGGTAGGCTGGTGCTCGGACACAGACGCAATGATCGGAATATGAATCTTAGCATAACCAGTATCCCACAAGGAGTAGAAACGACCACTCCACGGGGCGATGACACCAGAAACAGAGAGCAGAATAAGGCCGAGAAGCCCAACACCGACAGTGAGCAGGATCATGGAAGTTAGTAGCTTCTGGAACTGCTTGCCAGGTACGTAGCTCCGTACGAATTCGGCAAATGCCACAAGCTGAATCAATCCAAAGACACCGAGCGCAGACATGTGGTCACTGTTTCGAATGGGCAGGAATCCTACGAAAGGAATTTGCATGCTGCCTAGAGTTCCGAGAGCATACCAGGTGGTGTAGCTGATATACAGGCGATTGCTGTAGCGGCCCATGCAAAGAAGGACGAAGATATGGAGAGGGATGAGGTTGGTGATGAAGACGTAACCACCCCAGGCTGACACCATGTAGCCGTAGAACAAGGCAGTCAAGGCACCCCACATGATGGAGCCATTCTTGACAGCCTTGATCCACAGGAAGAAGGTGAAAACCAACAGGAAAATGGCAATGGCTTCGTTATCGTAACTGCCAGCCACGGAACGAGAGATATAACCAGGAGCAATACCCATAAAGGCTGCAGCAAGTAGACCAGCAGATGGCGAGTGCGACATCTCGCGGGTTAGGAGGTACATAGCAAGAGCCGTGAGGCCTGAAAAGCCCGGGGCAAGCAAAACGCAAACATTTCGAATGTCGACGGGGATAGTGAGGAAGCGGAGAATGTGGTAGATTACACCACTGGTAACCATGAGACCAGGATATAATGTGCCACCAGTGACACGGCCCAGGGGATGCCAAGTTCCTATAAAGAGAAGCAATTCATATGAGCACTATACTGTGATGCTGGACGCGCAAGCCGAGGGGAGGGGAAGAGCATACGGTCATCGAACCAATCCCAGAAACTATAGAAGCCATTCTGGACTAGGTATTTTGTTGCTCGAAAGTTGAACCAGGGGTCGACTGTAGTTCGTAAAAAAGTCAATTTCTCGGATTCTCAAGTTTTGGATGTTGACACGCTGTATACAGCCAGTGCTATGGGGGAAACCGTACATTCGTGAATAATACTTTCAAATCCTAGAGATTGTGTTAGTTATACATTCTGTCAAGAATTGACTTCATACGTACGAATAACACTGAACAGACGACTGCTGACAGCCGCCGCCGCAATTGTTAATAGGATGATGATCCGCAATAGACCGCGCGTAGTTTCGCCGGAGCTGCCTTTCAGCAAAACATTGATTGAAGACTCGGCCATAATGGCCATGAAATATGAGGAGCAAAGTCCAGAATTGACAAATTCAGACAAACATGAAAAAAGGAACGAAGGCGGAGATACCAATGTTGGCCTGAGCTGGTAGTTGTTGAAGGGTGAAGCTGCGCAAGGTGGTCTTTCTAAAGGTCTTGGCAGCCGTCTAGAGTAGTCTTGGCGTCTCCGATTCTCTCCCCGCACCAACTAACCTGACCTTCCTTTTTCCCCAACATCGTAGAGGAATCTTTTTTTAAATACTGAACTCACATTGGAAATCACTAAGGAATCTCGAGGGATTCCAATTTCTAATGCAAAATGGAACTACCCCCGCTATCCAACGACCAGCTTGCCAAGTTGACAGCTTCAAATATACCTCCGACACAGCTCTTCGAAATTTTATCAAAATATGAAACTGAAGTCAGTTTGATATCGGCAGGCACTGGCCAGCCAGAAACTGGCAGTACTGACCCCGAGCTACTAAGCCTCTTTTACTGCTCCTTCTTCTTCGCCCACCTCATCACGGACCAGATGTCAGTACTACTTTAGATCCCTCTTAGAAGTCGCAACAGCTCACGAAATCTATATGAAAACAGACAAGAAGCTCGTGCATTGCTTCAAAGAATACCCGAACCCCTACGACAACAGGATGCCTCTTTAAAGAACTGCCACTCCTTGTTGCAATCAATCTGGCAAACCAAGTACAGCTCAGTATATCGGATCCTGCAGACATTGCCATGGGCTGAGGCCGTACAGCCCTTGGTACTGCGATATGAAAGTATGTGATTCAGATGCTCCCGTGTAATTCATTGCTTCTAATATTCATTCGCACAGGCTCTTTCCAAAACCAGACTTTGATCAAAGTCAGTACTTCCTACCAAGCAATTCGACCTGCCGTGGCAGCAACATATCTGGGCCTCGACGCACAAGCCGCAGAGAACGGGGATACGAGCATCATACAAAAGTTTACTGATTGTGGCTGGAAATGGGACTCGGAAACTCAACTACTACATCCAACCCCGATAAGTGTACCACCCACCGATCAGGTATCCTTTAACAGCATTCGTGAGACAATGTCCATGTTATCAAACTGGACAAGCTGAATATGCAGAGTATGAAGGGCTGTAGTGGGCGGTATGAGCGATTTGATCTTCCCTTGCTTTTGGGATATGTCTACATTTTCCTATTATCGTCTTAAATAGCCCCGTCAGGACAAATTGCGTGAAATGAATATTATGCCGGTCTTAATAGAGGCTTTCAAAGAAACACCGAGATGCTTAACGATCTTTTTGCTCTTTCTTGTGGTCCAAACTGTAGTGTACAGACGCACGGTAGCCCAGGGTATGTACAAGACCAGAAGGATAATGACGTCTAAAACGATGAGTAAAGAGAACGTATCAAATAAAAGATCATTAACATCCGTCGCTCGCGATGTTGAAACTCGGGAATGAATCGTCCCCAAACAATCGTACAAATGGACCCGAGCTAATCACATCAGATACCCTGGGTTGAGGTGCGAGTTCCGCAAAAAGATGCGTATCCTTCCCTCTATATCACTTCATCTCCTTCAAGAATTCTAAACAGCCTTGGCCTGCAAGAATGCCTCCAGGTCGAAGTTGGGATCCGAGATGTCAGTAACGACTATAGGGAAGACCAGTTAGCAAGCGATTTGGGATATACCGTATATCTTTCGAGTTCCGGTATAGGTTTGAGAGAATTGAAGTGTAACGTACGGCTGCTAGTTTGTGTCTGGGTCTGCTGGGGCGTGGTGCGCTTCTTCCACTCGGCCTTGGCCTGCTCGATCAGGCGCTCCTTACGTGCGTATTCATGTTCGATTTCTGCGCGCTTGGTTTGGGAAGTGATGGACGACTGATGGTAGACACCGTATACGAGACCGGCAACGAGGGCCGAGTATCGGAGAACCTGGTGAATTGTATAAGTGGTCAGTCATCCAGATTCGCAATATGGGAGTTAAGCGCCGTCGGGGAAGATGGTACTCACGTTGACACCCTGGCTAGCCATTTTTGCAGGTTCTCGGAGGACTTGGAAGTTATTTGAATAGAAAGAGCGGGAAACCGAAGGACTGTTCAACAGGAGTCGACCGTCAATGGCAGTTAAAGCTCTCGGGGTTTGGCAAGGCGAGGTTGGGTCCTTGTTCTGCGCGAGTTTTTCCGGCGCCGTTCGGACCTTCTGGCTTATGTCATCCCGTACATAAAGCGCAACACGATACATACATCTACAATCACTTGGGGCACCAACAAAGATGGCGTCAATGCAACAGCGCAAGAATGAAATTTTAGCTAAACGTGCGAAGCTTGAAGAGCTGAAAAAACAACGCGAACTTCGCCAGAAAGAGTTCAATAACCAGCGGAACAGTGCCGGCGATGCTTCACAGGTACTGTCCCTCCTCCCAAGAAGCTAACATGTTTCAAGGTCATATTTGAAGTCTAACAAAAGCTATGACTCTAGATTACCTCGCCAGTTCACAGTCGAGCTGATAGTAGAGTTGAGCTTGATGATTTGATCTCTCGTTTAGTGGATCGCCCGGGATCAGCTTCGATCAGCCATGGCGCCGAAGGCCAATCTCGCAAAGGCAGCCGCCCAAATTCCGTCATAAGCGCCAGTCAAATCAGTGGAGATAATGTTGATACATATTCTGCTTCGTCTCGACCGCAACTACAATCAATTGCTGTGCAGACTATTGGAGAGGAGCCATATATTGCCTCCGTAGCTGAAGCCCCGCCGCCCCCTGAACCCAGACCAGAGGTTGTCACGTACAGTAAAGCTGTTCAAACTGAAGCAGATATACAGCCAGAATCTCCTGAAGGGTCTGTCGCTTCGGATGATGAAGACGCCGCCGACCCAACACGGTCAAGCAAGCGTGGCCGACGGGATCGAGAGCGCGATGAAGAAATCAGACAAAAGCTTCGCAAAGAGATCGAGCAAGAATTGGAAGCAACCAAAAAAACCGAAATTGATAAAGCAGCCAATGAATCACGCTACCCGTTACGCACTCTTGACGAGGATGAGTTAAAAGCTGTAACTTCGTCAACAGACTTCTTGGACTTCGTGGAACGATCAGCCAAGGTCATTGAGCGGGCTCTGGACGAAGAATATGACGTTCTTGCTGATTACGAACTTGGTGGCTTTGATGGGGACCTGGAAGATGAGGAAGAGACAGGCAAGAAGCGAAGAGGCATTCGAGAGGTCTGCCAGTTCTATGACGAGCGATGGAGCAAGAAGCGCATGATCAGCGATCTCAGCTTCTCTCCCAAGGTATGGATTTTTTATTTGCCACATAAAATGTTCCCGTCTAACTGATATTTAATTGAAGTTCCCTGAATTGGTTTTGGCATCCTACACCAAGAACCCTTCTGCCCCTCATGAACCCGATGGGCTTGTCCAGGTCTGGAACCAACATCTGCAATCTCGTCCTGAATATGTATTCAATTCTACTTCCGACATCCTCACTGCCAAGTTCTCTCCTTTCCACCCTAACCTCATCGTGGGAGGTTCATATTCTGGGCAAGTTCTCCTGTGGGATACTCGTTCATCTCGCGCCGGTGGAGGCGCTCCAGTTCAAAAGACCCCTCTCACCGGATCTGGACATACCCATCCTGTCTACAGCATCTCTATCATTGGTACTCAGAATGCGCATAACATTTTAACCGTCTCTACAGATGGCGTGGTCTGTGGCTGGACTGTAGATATGCTTTCCCAGCCACAGGAGTACCTTGAGCTAACCACACCCCCTCCTTCCAAAACAGATGATCTCGCGCCTACCACTATGTCATTCCCGCAATCTGATCCAACTTTCTTTGTTGTTGGTACCGAAGAGGGTGGTATCTACCCCTGCCATCGTTACGACCGCGCCGGAGCTAAGGCTGGTACCGATCATCGTTTGGCATACCGCGGACATTCCGCCCCGATCATGTCTACAGCATTCCACCCAGCGCGGGGTCCCGTTGATCTGGGCGATTTGATGCTGAGCTCTAGTCTGGACTGGAGTGTGAAGTTGTGGCATGTGCGGCCGCCGGCTACGACAGCCTCAATCACATCTACCACTGCTACTGCCCAGGTGGTATCTCCTATTTTGGATATCACCCGCGAAGATGTCGTGTATGACGCACGTTGGTCTCCTCATCGGCCTGGCGTGTTCTCCCTGGTCGACGGTGCTGGCAATGTCGAAGTCTGGGATTTGTACACAGACACCGAGGTTCCGGCCGTCAGAACGACACCCTCTCGTGGTCCTGGTAGTGCTCCTACCCGCAGTCTCAACAAGGTTGCATGGGAGGAGCGAGAAGGACGACGTCTGGCAACCGGTGGACTCAATGGAGTCATCACTGTCTTTGAAGTCGGCAAGGGTCTCGGTGGACCCCCGGAGGAGGTACCAGCCGAAGAATGGGCGGGGATGAAGCGGTTAGTGGCTAAGTTGGAGCAGACTGACCGAGTAGCCTGATCAATTTGCTCTTCCTATTCATACAGCCCTTTCACCTCGCCAGTTTCATTGCCATATACCCCTTTTCCCTTCAATAAAATATTTTATGGACATTTTTACTTTTAGGATCTTTGGATTCTTTGTAAACAAACGTCGTCATGAATATCGTTATCAAAAGTACAGGTTCCCGATATTAAATTATAGCGGATCATTTACAGACCTTCAAAGGCTCCTGTATTGTCTCTTCGAAAACTCATCAACCATAGCCACATCGACCACCGTTTCTTATCCGTATCTTTTGCATATGTAGATCTAGTTTTAGAGTTTCGTATACTCCACTGAAGATTATTCCTGAACAATCCCAACTACAGTGTAGACGGATCTCTAAGCTAGTATTACTTTAAAATTCTCTTATTCTTCTGTCCCCCTCCCTCTATTTATCTTAATTTCTGTCAAAGTTCTGCTCATTACCTAGCTATCTAGGACACGGGAAGATAGAATAAGAAAGTAGTACGCCTCCAGAATAGATATAAAAGCAGCAGGGCTGTTGATTCTAAGATCTTTTATTGCTTCAATATTCGCATAATTGAGCTTCTTCATATAGCTTTTAACATTTGCCGCGACTAGGTAGGCATCATACCCGCGAACACCAATCCACGTACGATTCGAACAAGTTATAACGGTCATGGTAACTGGGTGCAATGGCCCCGGGGTGATCGAGGGTAACCTTGAAAACCTCGCTACCGAGGTTTTTTCTTCGATTCTAGTGTATCACGAGCGAATTCTTGCCATTTAAACAAAATGAAGACGCTGAAAGACATTTGACGACTCAAGTGAAGCCATTGAAAAGCCACGATTGATTCATGCAGACTGATCCTGGTTTGATACCTAAGTGCACTCTCACCTCCCGGAATCACACTATCCGTTAATTTCGCCAACTTCAATTTCCAAATCAAAGCAGAGCCGCAGAAGACCTCGGGACCTGCATATATCGTTGAAATGGATGCACAGATCCCTGAGGTCTGGAGCGAGCAGCGTCCAGCTCTTCAATATGCCCATGACTCATGAGTAGCCCTAGTCCAAGTGACCCTTTACATGGGTCAACATAATACACTCCGTGGATTTATCATTACTAGCATTGGGTTATTTGCTATCAAGCGTCTTGGATAATGTTCAGCTACCTCAATCTTTTCCATCGTCGATACTGGATAGGCATCTATAATTCTATGAAGTAGGTGCTGCCCGCTACAGCAGATATCGCATTGCTTACTGGTGGTTAGTACAGGATACTGCACAAAATGCCCTTTCAAGACTTGTGCTGTTTATATCATCTAACCCCTTGCTGGCCCTAAAGCGCTGTCCACTTAATACGGTTCATCCTGCTCGGCTCGGACTTATTCCCTTGGACTCGATTGTATATGTCGCCACCTGTGACACCTGAGAACCCATCCCAATTGAAGTCAAAGTCAACTGCAAATGATAAGGGGGATATTCCCCGAACAAGAAATACGCCGTTGTCCGAAGATCTGAAAACCACGCTTTCTATGGTACTCAACCAGCTTCCTGTAAATGGGATAATCATAGTGATCGGGAAGAAGAGTAGCTCGAGTCTTTCATGGAGCTATATCCATACTTGAAAGAAGTAGTAAAGATACATTTCTAGGTAGCAGCTAGCTCTAATGCACCTTCATTTTCATTTTCAATTTCAATGTTGATGTTATTCCCATTGTTGAATAAATCAAATAATAATCAATATGGAAAATTCACGAAGATTTGATACAGCATCACTTCCTCTTTTAATCCAACAAGACCTTATGGAGAGACGATGATTGAATTATTTTTTTTTCTAATCCATTCTCTTCTTAAATGGTGCTTTTATAGGTCTATGAATAGGAAGTATCAATAATAGATACCGAGATACCGAGGTACCGACCGTACCGTTTTTTCCATGCCAGCTCTTGGCATTCGCCTTCCGTATTAGTGCTCACCCCTTCGCTGCTTTTGCTCCCTGAGTAGAACTGAGCACGCGTCTGAGCATTACATAAGCTCTCAGGAAGCAGTAACGTGTTTCCCGGCTAACCCGTTATCCCTGTTAAGCCGTTACCCCATCAGAATTTCAAAAAACGCATAAATTTCAGTTCCATATTTAAGCACAATAACATAATTAAATTGACTAAATAACACGATTCTGACATTTAGTAATACTATGACCTTTCTTATGACACCTTGAGCAGTTAATTTGACGTCGGACAGGGGGTAAAACTGGCAATTCAGTCTCAAGAGTGTCATTCTGAGCAGCTTCAGCACCAGATACATATTTCTTTCCACCACTATTCTCTTCAATGACAGGCTTCTGAATCTCTAAACCTCTTAAACCACCTAAATAAGCCAACTGCTTTTTTTAGTAGTATTCTTCTTTTTCGTCTGTTTCTTACTATCTTTCTCTAAATGGCCACAGCGATCATGCAGAAAAATATGGTGGTGGACCGTCCAAGTAGTGCGATCGGAGAACGTCTCCCACCTCCTTTTAATAGGAGATGGGATTAAATTAGAGGAGGGCTTTAGAGCAGAATTGAGACGAGATTTAAATTCTTCAAGTCGTTTTAAGCTCCAAATAGTATTGTCGTCGCTGTCAGAGCCAGAAGATATCGGACAATCAGAAGGTAATTCTAGATCTGGCAGACATTCAAGCCGAATATTTTGCTTATTGAGTATTTCTGATGGGCATAAAGGTACTAAACTAGTAGCTTTAAAGCTATCTATTATAGTATCTATCTTAAAAGCTCTTTTGTATGCATCAGGGAAGATCTGAAGGAACTCATCTTTATCAATTCTATACCGCATCAACTCCGCAACAAGACCGCCATAATATTTTTTTAGTAGCCTAAAGTAGCCTATATCTAAAGACTATAAAAGATATGATATATATATATATATATATAGAGGCATATATAAAGTAATAATATCATGCTTCTTATAAATATTGTCGAAAATAGGTGTTAGATGAGAGGATTGCTCATCAAGGATCAGAAGGCAGTTTTACCTCTTCGATTCCTAATATTACGAATAAGATAGATCTTTAGCTAACCAACACTACTCAGATCAATATTCCGACCATTAAAGCTCTTATTTAAGCTCTAATTAGGCTCCTTTTCCTTGAACCAATGCTTCATAAACACCTTTCCTTTAAAGACAATGTAAGGTGGATGAAATCCGCGATCGGAGGATAAGATTGGCCATATTTTGACACATGGCACAGGTAAGGTCTGCTCTTCTAGTTTCCATAGAGAGTAGTCATTCCTCCATCGATCACTCTTCAAATTTAGAGAATATATGTTGAGCTGACCATTTAACAGCTAGTTGTTCAACACCCTCAAGCCGATCGACAAAAGTTGAACGTGGGACGCCAAATGACCGTACAACAGCTGCGATAGTAGGATATTTGCCATCTCTAAAAGCTTTTAGAGCTAATTCAATACAGCCCTCTTGCTCTATCAATTTTTATTCCATTTCAAGGCGAATTGGTGGTATGGTGTGTGTTTGAAAACATAGGGTCACTACGGAGACTATTTATTTAGATGGGGTAACGGGTTAGCCGGGAAACACGTTAGTCTGATTTGCTCACTGAGTGAAATCTGAGCGCCCTAATTAGCTCACTGAGCGAGCTGAATAAGCTCCTCAATAAAATCCAACACGCTAGTCCCGTCCCATGTAGATTGTTTATATTATCCCATTAATCAATTTCGGGTTTCACTAGAATAGTCGTTTATCCTAGGAGCCACACTCCTGTTCAGAGGGTAACCTTACTGCGTATTTCATTTGATTGGTCTATTAATTCTTATCTCGGGATGTAGGCTCCTAGGAAGCACTTCATTTAGCCCAGGCATTAGACGAATTTACACCACGATCTCCAATCTTGTTCCGAGCTAGTTCCGATCGGATGGGCCATTCTTCATAATATGAGGCTCATTTATTTTGGTGAGCTAATTATCTAGGAGTCCTAGGATCCCAGATCGTTTTACAAATCATTGAGATTATTGTTGAATATTTGTCAGAGAAAGTGAGGGGTTTCAGTCTAAATATGATGTATATTTAAACGCTTCCGTTGTCAAAAAACTGTGTTCACATCAAGAATTTGTCTAAGCAATATAGAGAAGAGAAATGATCTCTCTATTCTAAAGTAAGTTCACTTTGATATTCTTTTTTTGAGATATATCAACTAATCTTACGCAAAGCCTTTCGCTCACGATGACCGAACTGGCAAATCCTAATGCTTCTAGTGTATAAACCGCACAAGTAACAGTATTACCATATATACCGCATCTGAAGTATGTACCTCAAGCAATCCTAACAAGTCTCTAGGAATTTCTTTAATAAGGATATCCTTGCGCTTCCTTCCATATCTCAATAAATTTCGCTTGGTGATAGAGGCGAGATCTATGAGTGGAATTCCGGGTAGGCCTATTTTCATTTACTACACATCAAATCCATTTTATCTAATAGTTCTTTCATAGCCAAGCGTTCTGGATTGACGAAGGCCTGAAAAGATTCTACTTGTTTGTAACGGACCAAATATATCTGCTATTTTAACGGACTCCACTACGGATGGTTGCTTCACTGGATAATCTATAGAATTGTTTAAGAATATCGTCTCATCGTAATTAAACAGTTATCTGGGCATCCATACTGCATTCTTAAGGTCAAAGCATGTAGCTGATCACTTGAGAAGATTTCGCAGACTACTCAGTATATTCTAAAGCAATGAGCATGAAAACAGGACGCTGGTACATTGTGCATGACTTCAGAATCATTGGACACTTTCCACCCATTGCTCAACCATCTCATATAAAGAGGTGTTTATGAACCCCTGTCGGCAGTATTGCAATTCAACATGGGCATTGTGCTTCTTGGTCTTTTGATTCTTGATCTGGGTCGGGGGCTGGTCCTCTTCAGCCCGCTTGCGTTTCGAGGGCTCTTGCCCATTGTCATCCTCGCCATCACCATGCCCGCCGTCGCTGGGTGCATCACCGCCATCACCTGGCGATTCAGGGCCTTGCCCCTCTTCTTCCTCAACCAAATTTCTGTAGTACAGAACACGCAGCTCTTGGAGTTGGTCGTGCGTCTTCATGTCGAGCCATGCAGAGGCTCGTGGTGATATGCTCGCCAGAAATGCTTGGTTGAACAGCGCTAAGGGCGCCCCATACCATGGCTTGGGGTTGGTCAAAAAGGCGCAAGCGCCTTTACCAAACTCAATGACTCGAGGTACCAAGTACTCCTTTAAAAATACCGCTCGATAGAGTCCTGCCTTCTCCGCCTCTTCATCGTTATACCTGTTCGAGAACTTGGCATGGCAGTGGGCGGCATATTGCTGGTTCGAGGGGATAATGCGCGGCACCTTTTTGCCTGCCTTGCGGCGGCGTGCCTGGTCCTTTTTTTCAAAGCTGATGAAATACGCGATATCGTAAGGGATTATGGTCAGGCCAGGATCGCTTGAGTCATACTGGCTGTGGCAATTAGGGCACAGTGGGATACTGTTGAGTAACCCACATGGCAGAAAGTCCACGAGCCCAAGCTCACGCCATATTTCGATCTATTTTGGCAAGCCATATTAATAAGAGTTACAAAAACCTGATATCAGTACATACCCTCGAGTCTGCCTTTGCAAATACGTGAGCGATTTCGGGTTCCAACGACCCACACACCCAGCAGTCTTTATTCTCTTTGAGTGCCGCGCTTCGCACTGACTCGGTGAATGAGCCAGATGCTGCCGAAAGGAGGGAAGAGGAACGTGATGCTCCTCCGGTGGACTTCATCTTGGTTCCAGGGCTGAAACGGACTTTTTTTCTGGGGTGACATGATTAGCATAGATCAGTCAAACATGTTCAAGTTTACTTACATGGTAGGGAATTAGCGCAGGAGAGGATTGCTTTGGGGGGGGTTCCTTCCTCAAGAGAACTACTAAGTGGTATTAACGAGGTAACTACATGGATGATTTAACTACATAGATGGTTCACCGCCTTATGGCAAAAAAGCGGGTCCCTTGGCCCACTTACAAGCTAATCTAAGATAGGCGATCTATGGAGCACAGATCAAGATCGACGTATGAAACAGTAATATCGGTTTTCATCTGAGTGTAGAATCTTAGATGAGTTCTCTATCCCAAGTTTGAATAAGGGCAACACCCACGGCATTATTATATATAGATATAAAGACAGCACTATTTCAGGAGGAATTACCGTATCTAATAATATTTTAATATTCATAGATTAGTTTAAAGTAAATCCCATACGAACGGGACACCCGTCCGAATTTACGCGTCAGTCTCGTGTCTCTTATTTTCAACTACCCACCATGCCTCCAAAAATAGCTCCTATCATTCAAGATAAACAGGAACGGGAGAGGAATGTCTTGTTAGCTTTACAAGCTCTAAAAAATGGTCAAATATCGTCAATACGCCAAGCTGCAGCTATATTTAATATACCTAAATCGACTCTCCATCGCCGCCAATCTGGTGTTCAATCTCGGCTTGAAATACGCGCAACAACCATAAATTGACCGAATCTGAAGAAGATTCATTAATTCAATGGGTCGTCTCTCTAGATGATCGCGGATGTGCTCCTAGGGCTAAAGATGTTGGTAGAATGGCCAATATTCTGCTCGCCGACCGCGGAACCACCCCTCTTACGATCGGACGAAACTGGGTCACCAACTTTACTACACGATTACCTGAAATTCAAACTACCTATTCAAAACCATGCGATTGGCAACGTGCACGCCAGGAGGACTATGATGTGATAAATAATTGGTTTAAACTGGTTGAAAACACGATATCTATAATTTTGATGAGACAGGATTCGCGATGGGACGATGTGCGACCGCAAAAGTGGTTGCTAGAGCTGGATATTATGGCAATAGAGCTAAAAAAAATACAGCCGGGAAACCGCGAATAGGTTACTGTTATTGAGTGTTTAGGCGCGTCTGGTTACACGCCTCCACCTTGTATCATCTTTAAAGAAAAGGTGATGATGCAGAGTTGGTTTGCTCCTGACCTTGGTCTACCATCTAATTGGCGAATCGAGATAAGCTCGAATGGCTGGACATCAGATCAAATAGGGCTCCGATGGCTTGAAAAGCTCTTTATACCTGCTACTGCGCGTACTAAAGGACGGTATCGACTCCTAATCCTAGATGGTCATGGTAGCCATTTAATCCCTGATTTCGACCGGATATGCGAAAAACATGATATTATACCACTTTTTATGCCTGCGCATGCTTCAAATCTTGTACAGCCTCTTGATGTTGGGTGTTTTGCGGTGTTGAAACGCTCTTATACTCGGCTGGTTGAGTCTAGAGTAGAGCTTGGCTTCAGCCACATCAATAAGGGAGGTTTCCTAGAGATATACCCTACCGCGCGTGTTGAAGCTCTTCAATCTGCATCTAAAGCGTTCGCCGCGACCGGAATCGTGCCACTTGACCCTAGTAGAGTGCTTAAAAAGCTTACTATGCGTGTCCTAACACCACCACCACCACCTTCTAGGGGGAGTGATTCAAGCCGAAATTGGACACCAAGAACCCTTATAACAAAAAAAGATTTACGGCGTCAACATAAAGCTTTACTCCGGACAGTATCTCGAACACCACCATCGCCATCTAGGAGAGCATTAGACCATATAATAAAGGGTGCAAATACCCTATATCAGGAGAATGCCCTTCTACGCCAGGAAAATAGGGGTTTACGCGCCGCGCATGAGAAAAAAGAAGCAAAAAGCACGTCCAAATCGACAAATGGCAGTAGTAGAAGGGGTTACAATTCAGGATGGAATGGAGCTGGTTGACGCCTTAAATACTGCTCCTAAACCTAGTGATGCCAATTTACCATCAGAGGGCCAGGCGCCCCAACGCTGATGTGGGATATACAGGAATCCTGGTCATAGGAGAGAAATATGTTCTGACCGACCGATTCAATAGTTTTTTTTTTTTTTACTATTATATAGTATTTAATGGAGTTATTGGGATTCAAATATATAAGTGGGTCTGGTTGTCCCGTTCGCATATGTCCCGTTCGTATGGGATTTACTTTAATATGTTTGCTTCGTTCAATACCTTCTACGCCATACCATCAACGTACATTCCAAGGCTGTAAGCTAATATAATCATGGAAAAAGAAGAAAGTAAGGTGTGGGTGAGCTGGTGTCGTGGCAACGCTTGAACAGTATGGAAATATAGTTGACACTTCCAATTGCGAGTTAAACGTTGTCAACTGGTTAGGCTGAGCACATGGGCGAGATTGTATTGTCAGTATTGAGTCACTTTCCTCTTAATTCTACAATTATTCCTTTCTATCATTGATCAAGTGCTATGGAACAAATCAATTGAATTAATTTTTCCTAAAAACCGATATTGTCGATTAAAATGACTAAAGATGTGTTAGTCGGTGCATCTAGAACGGCCACCGCCTTATTAACAAGGACACGCAATCATCAATTTTGGCCCGCTCTTGAACTCCTTTCTTCCCCTCAGCTCTCTTGTTTCTTAGTGCGATGCTCTTTGGTGGCACTGGTGAGTATCACTATCTACTTCCATCGAGTCTTTTCTTTTTCCTCTAGAGGGCTTCTCGACCTGTTACTTACGCTTTCGGAAAGTCTATTTATTTTAGTTGGTATCACGGTCACTCGCTTTATTTCCTTTATTTCCTTTATTTCCTTAATTTCCTTCTTTTTCGCCATGTCATCCCCTTCACCATCTCTGCGCAAGAGAGGTCGAAAGAAGGAGACATACGCGGCTGTTCCTTCGGACGATTCCCTACCAATTGTGTCAGTCCAGGCTCCAAAGTCCGAATGGGATTACTGGCTGGCCATTTCCATTCTCACTGTTTTGGCCTTTGCAACCCGTTTCTACCGCATTGACTACCCTAATGAGGTTGTTTTCGATGAAGTCCACTTTGGCAAGGTATGATCTTTTGCGACTACGACAGAAAGGGGGAAGCTCTTACTCTGACACCAATGCGCTTGCTAGTTCGCCTCATACTACCTTCAACGTATGTACTTCTTCGATGTCCACCCGCCTTTTGGAAAGCTTCTTTTTGCCTTGATGGGCTGGTTCGTGGGATACGATGGCCACTTCCTGTTCGAGAATATCGGTGATTCCTACATCGACAACAATGTGCCTTACTTGGCTCTGCGTGCTATGCCAGCTACCCTTGGTGCCATTACCATCCCCGTTGTTTTCTTGATCATGTGGGAGTCTGGGTACTCGCTTCCGGCCTGCGTTCTTGCAGCTGGACTCATGGTGTTTGACAATGCCCATGTGGGCGAGGACCGTCTGATCCTTATGGATTCCACCTTGGTGTTGACCATGGCACTCAGTATCTTGTGCTATGTCCGATTTTACAAGCTGCGACACCAATCCTTTAGCCGGAAGTGGTGGAAGTGGCTCCTTTTGACTGGATTCTGCATGAGCTGCGTCATCTCGACCAAGTACGTGGGATTCTTCACTTTCGTCACCATTGGTTCTGCTGTCTTGATCGACCTGTGGAACCTCTTGGATATTCACCGAAGTGAGGGAGCTCTGGACATGTTCACTTGGGTCAAGCACTTTGGTGCCCGTCTTGTTGCGTTGGTCATCATTCCCTTCTTTTTCTACCTCTTCTGGTTCCAGGTTCACTTTGCTATCCTCACCCGGTCTGGACCTGGTGACGAGTTCATGTCTCCCGAGTTCCAGGAGACCCTGAGTGACAATGCGATGACTGCTCAATCTATTGGCGTTCAGTACTTCGATAGCATCAGCATTCGCCACAAGGACACCAAGGTTCTACTTCACAGCCACTGGGAGAAGTATCCTCTCCGTTATGACGATGGCCGTATCTCCAGCCAAGGCCAACAGGTTACCGGTTACCCCCACAATGACACCAACAACCTGTGGCAGATTTTGCCCACCAAGCCTCTGCCGGAAACTGACGAGCCCCAGAATGTGCTGAACGGAGACGTTATCCAACTGCTCCACATTGGCACTGACAGCGTTCTCCTCACTCATGACGTTGCCTCACCTTTCTACCCTACCAACCAGGAGTTCACTACCGTCTCGCGCGAGCTGGCTGAGGGTGATCGACGCAACGACACCAAGTTCGAAATCAGCATCGAGAACGGCAAGCCTGGTCAAGAATTCCGCACATTTTCCAGTCTGTTCAAACTCGTCCATGTCCCGACGCGGGTGGCTATGTGGACACACACTACTCCTCTCCCCGAGTGGGGTTTCAAGCAGGCCGAGATCAACGGTAACAAGAACCTCTTGCAGACCAGCAACTTGTGGTTTGCGGAGACCATTGACAACCTGGAGCCTGACAGTCCCCGTCTCGTGCGCGAGGAGCGTAAACCAAAGACGCTGCCTTTCTTCCGCAAGTACTTTGAACTGCAAGGTGCCATGTTCCACCACAACAATGCCCTGACTAGCAGCCACCCCTACGCGACAGAGCCCTTCCAGTGGCCCTTCCTGTTGCGTGGAGTGAGCTTCTGGACCAAGAACGAGACTCGTGGTCAGATCTACTTCTTAGGTAACCCTATCGGCTGGTGGATTGCCAGCAGTCTGCTGGCAGTGTTTGCCGGTATTGTCGGTGCCGATCAACTCTCTCTCCGCCGTGGAATTGATGCACTGGAAGAAAGTAAGTGACAACTTCTCTCTCTCTCTCTCTCTCTCTCTCTCTCTCTCTCTCTCTCTCTCTCTCTCTCTCTCTTTCTTAACACTTATTGGATTCTTACTAACTTTTTTTTTCTTTCTTTTCTAGTTTGGGGACCTGGAACTCGTTCACGTCTGTACAACAGTACTGGGTTCTTGTTCTTGTGTTGGGCGGCCCACTATTTCCCCTTCTGGCTGATGGGCCGACAGCGCTTCCTGCACCACTACCTACCGTCCCACTTGGCATCAACCCTAGTCGCAGGAGCGCTAATTGAGTTTATCTTCAACGTGCAGCCTTTAGATCCCCGCACGGCTCAGCCCCCCGAGGATGATCCGTCGGGCAAGGCCAAGAGCTATGGCAGCATGCGCAGATTTGTGACAGCTAAGGAGCGCATGGGCCGCAATTCGGTCGTTGCGGCATGGATCGCGACGCTCGTCATTCTTGGGGCCACAATCTGGGGCTTTTGCTTCTATGCGCCACTGACTTACGGTACTCCCGGTCTTGACGTTGCTGGCATCCAGGCTCGCCGGTGGTTGAACTACGATCTTCACTTTGCGAAATAAGCCATCAACTCTCTAGTATCGAGGGATTTACTTGAAGGGAGTTGAATTGTGAATTGTGAATATGTAGGAGTATGTACTATGGTGATAAGAGGTGGCGGGATTGGGAATATCCCCGAGGTTCAGCTGTGTATGGAGTACTGGTCGGATGAAATCAAATCAAATCATGTAAAATCCATTCTGGATGTTTATTTCCGTCATTCATTTGCATTTTTCTGGTTCCGTCGAGTTCCCTGTGTGACTTGTCAATAAAGACCGACATCGTCATAGGATCCAAGCGTAAAGCTGTAAACAGGTCATATGAGGATAGAAGAGACATTCCAACTATCGGAAAGAGAAGAAGCTGAAGACTACGAGGACGGAGAGATCGCAATCGAATCAAAACATTCTAGTACGTAAGCAGTTATTTATAGACCCAAAAAACCTTCACTAAACTGTACGCAGTTAAGCAGGTTTCACATATGGGGTCCCCCTGTATTTTGGTTTGGGTATTTTGGTTTATCTATTTTTTTGTATTCCTTAGTTCATTTCATCATTTGTATTTGTTTTCTCTTCGGAAACGGCCAACCCCTTTTATACTCCACACTACCAGCCACTTTCAATAGTACATACAGATTACTTGGTATATCCGCTCTCATCCACATTCTTTCTCTTCAGTACTCATTCCTCTTGGCATCATCTACAGGGTCCGGATTTTCCCTTTTTCACTAAGATCCACCAACTCCCCACCCGCTCGTCTCCATTCCTGATTTGACTCGCCGTCTCAACACAGGTAAATCCAAATCGTGGAGACTGAAGTGAAACGACTACGACAACCTTCGGTTTTGGTCTCACTTGACGCTTTTGGCCTTGGGTTCTTTTCTTTTCTTTTCCTTTTTTTTTTCCCTCTTCTTTCTTCTTTCTACTTTCTGCTTTCTAACTTCTACTTTCAATCTACCTGATTTCTCGTTTCTCGTTTCTCGTTTCTAGTTTCTGCTTCGTTTCTGATTCCTTCTATTTTCATGAACCCTCCAAATTTCGGCACAAGTGGAGTTGAATGAGGAAACATTTCAAACTTCGACCGCTAGTCTTCTCACCATCTTTATGACTTTTTCTTCCCCTTAATTCTTCCACAAATTAATCCTCAACTTTTCATATTACGTGGCGTTCAATTTGGGCTCGCCTCTTGCGCTTCTGACACATCCATTTCCCCCGAAACCAGCTTACCTCTACACCCCTACACCCCTACCTACGCACACTCCAAGCCGAAACTCGTTAATGGGATTGGTCATTTAAAGAAAAAAGCAATTTGTCTTGGAATCATTCACAATGCCGATCAAGCTACCCAAGAGCTTTGCCCGGCGGAAGTCTTCCGGGAACATCATCGAGCAGGAAGACACAGTTCAACAGTCTTCATCATTTCGTGTTTTTGAGCGACCGGATGCCCGAAGATCCATGACAGATGGAGTGGCGCTTACCAACCGCATGAGTGAAGGCCACGCAGTTCCGGCATTGGACGACGAGAATATCTTCGCAGGAACAGAACAACCCCTGAATAAGAATCGGTATGAATGATCGAGACCCGTAATTTCAACGTGAAATCTAACTGACCTTCGTGACAGTGGTATTACTTACGAGAGTTCAACTTCTACTCGACTCAGCTCATCTTCTACTCTCCCTTCTTCCACATCTACACCCCTCGAGGATCCATCCCCGCATGCTAGAATGTCCGATATCCCTGCTCCACCCCCGCTCACCGGAGCATTGCGTGCTGCTGCAGGCAGGACATTCTCCTTTGGTGGAAGATTCGGAAAATCATCTGCGCCCCCTAGTGTTCGCAATGCGACTCCGGATGCAACCTCCAGACATCGGGCCATGACAAATAGTACCGATAACACAGCCACGCCGCCTCGACTAGCGGATCCAGAGTTGCACTTGGAGATGGAAACGGAAGGTGATGCCGACGACTTTGGCAAGATGTTCGATAATTACGGCAAGCGGAACAGTGCTCGGGAGCCTTCCCCTCAGCGACCTCAAAATGTATGATTATCATCCCCGGTAAGCTGTGTGATCTTTTACTGACCGTTGTGTATAGGCCTATACTTCATCAGTATCACATGCCTCGCCCGACTTTGAGATGGATAGGGTGACTAGACCCGCCCCAATCAGCACAGATCGATCAGTCCCCGTGGAGGCTTCCCCTTACTCATGGGGTAGCCGTCCATCGGAAGAGGGCCTCCTCAGCAGCCCGCAGAGTGGTGAATCAACAAGCAACATTCGCTCGCCCGTTCAGTCCTCCACCCCAGAGCTAGTTACCGCATACCGCCGCCAGTCACCAGCTCCCCACCAGATGCTTGGGGCCACCACAACTCACCGTTCGTTAGCCCAGCGCGGGGCACAGGCAGACCCAGGTCTGCGGAGAAGTGGAGTTTATTCTACCGCCGATATCAGCTCCGTTGACGACGAAGACGCGAAAATGGTACGAAAGTCTCTGTTATGGAGCAACCAGGGCATGTCTCCGCCTCTTGAAAAGGGTAAGGTAGCAGCTAGTAGCTCCAGACCATTGAGCATCGACGAAGAGGAGTCCCTTTTCGCATACCACGGCTCTCCCGCCCCTGTTCCGGCTCCCGTCGATTCTGATTCAATCGCCGACAATGCTCGACTTGCTGTCCAATTCGCCGAAAGTATTCCCCAGACTACTTCCCCAGCCAACAAGGTCATGACTCCTTCTCAATTTGAGCATTATCGCCAGCAGCAGGAACTCCGGCGATCAATCAGCAATGCTTCGAAGAGTGAGGATGGGTCTGAGGACGATGATGAACCGGAAGCTGATGAGGATGATCTTGAGAAACAACGACATGCAGAGCAGCAGCGGCGTAGACAAGAGGCACAGTTGTCTGTGTATCGTCAAAGTATGATGAAAGTCACGGGCCAACAAGCCCCCTCGCCGATGCTTCGTCCCATGACTTCTAACAACAGTGCCCCTAATCTTGCTCTTCGTAATCCCGCGGACCGATCTTCCAGCGGCAAGAGTAATGCTGAGGAGGACGAGGAAACTCCCCTTGCCATTCTTCAGGCCCACGGTTTCCCCAACCGTAACCGACCGCCTACTCGTCTGGCCAATGCCACCTCTCACCCGAACCTTCGTGCATCCATGTTGCAGGCTCCTTACAGTCCGTCTGCCAATTCCGTCACGGGAGGTGATGGCAATCGCGGTAGCTTGCCTCCATTTGCTCGAAACTTGCCTCGAGATCCTTACTTTGGTGCCAGCCTGGTCAACCCGACACAAAGAGAGTCATTTGCTTTGGGTGGCGGCATGGGTGGTGTTGGTGGTGGTGGTTCAGTGTATGGAGGTTCTTCCTCGCCACAGCCCGCCTCCGGTGGTGGTCTTATTAACGTGATTGCCCAAGAGGAGCGAAACCGTGCCATGAGAAGAGGAAGCCCAAATACCCAAGCTATTTACGATATGGGAACTATTCCTCGGCCGTTCTCGGGCATGTCCCAACAATTCCTACCGCAGCAACAGCAGCCAATCACTCCATCAGAGCAAGCTCAGGTGCAACTATCGCAGAGTATGGCCAATATGATGCAGGTACAGATGCAATGGATGCAACAGATGATGCAAATGCAGGGCGGCGGACCACCTCCTATGATGACACCCCCTATGATGGGAAATCCTCCCTCTACGATGGGAAACCCTCCCCCGATGATGGGAAATCCTCCCCCGATGATGAATTCTCCAATTATCGGCGCAGCTCCTTTGCCAGGAACCCCCATGGGACCTCCTATGATGGGAGGTCTTCCTCCTTCCGTCATTGTCAACCAGAACAACATGATGAGACCTTCCTCCATGCCCCAGCACCCAGGCTCAGCCCCCAATCTGAATAATTACGAGCAGCGTACCCTCAGCATGCTGGACCCGAACGTCGCCATGCAGAATGCCCACATGATGCCCAACATGTCTGGTGGTTTCCGTCCTAGCACTCCAGGTGGTGGCTACGCAGCATCAATCGCTCCGTCTGAGCGAAGCAATGCCGGCCTTGCATCCCGATATCGACCAGTCTCCGTCATGCACGCCGAGCCCAGCGATGCCGCGCACGGTAAACGCTGGCAAGATGAAAATTACCATCACTCGCCGTTGTCCTCTTCCCAGACTCAACCGAACTTGGCTAAACCGTCTACCCTGGCAACGGTAACTGTGCGACCCGTCTCGCACGCCAGCCACGCACTCCCAGCAACTCACATGACACGCAATGGCTCCGATGACGAAAATGACGACGAGGCCTGGGCCGAAATGATGAAAAAACGAGACAAGAAGAAGAGCAGCTGGAAGATGAAGCGAGGAACATCTTCCATAGGAGACCTCCTAAGCTCAGCCGTCCACTAAACCCTCCATCTTCTCTACTCTTCTCATCCTCCTTCGTGCCTTTCTGTCCACGCCCTTTCCCCTTCCTCTTCGGAGTAAACCAAAACCCCAAAATCTCGATATCGCTTTGCATCCCGGAACGACCAAATTCATTCCCGTCCGCTGTATAGAATTTCTTTTTTTTATCTCCTTTCTTTCTTCCAATCTATCTCCAAACTCCCTTCCTTAATTCCCTCTTCCTGCCCCATGACACGAAAACCACGCACATACATTGATATACGTCCCGTCATTTTCGGCTTTCTATCTTATTTTTATCTTGTTGCTCATTTCATTTTCTATCTCTTGGATATGACTCAAGCACGATGAGTGAACTTTTCCTGCTCCTCAGGTTTCGCTCCAGTTAGTCCAGTCCAATCATACCTATTTGAAAGAGAAATTGGAGAAGATTGCAGACATCATTTTTAACCTCAGCTGAAACACATATGCTCCTTGGTTTTATCTTTTTTTTTTCTGAGTTCTTGCTGTTTGGCATTGGCGCATGGGGCATGGCGTTTTTTTTATATTTTTTTTTTTATCTAATTTATTGAAAATTTGTGAAATCATTTCCCTCTTGCATTTGTTGTTATTTTTGTCGTCGTCTGTGTGTCCACAGGCTCCAGGGCTGGATCTTGAAGATTATTTACTCATCATATAATTTATCTGGGCCTATGGTCTTCACTATCTATATTGTCTCTTGAAAGTATACCCGTAATTTTCTGTATGTATTCAAATTATTGAGTTCAATTTAAATTCAGAAATTGCTCTTCAGACTGCCTTTGAATATGAGAAAGCTCACTAACATTGGAATGGTTCTCTGCTTTATAGTGTGCCCATATACGCCAGAGTCTAGATATCTTAGTCTCTGGCTCGGATATATGGCCAAGTATGTGGACAGAGAGAAAGCTTTGAGTTCGCTGGATTTAAACCGGGAATGGCTTCCATACCCAAAAAATCAAGCAAACTTCCAAGGTTATTCGAAAGTAAACAAGGACATTTCCTGAATCCACGGAACCATGAAGCTCGACCCGTGGAAAGGGCTAGGAATCTGTGCCTGGATAATTAGTCACGTGTCAAGTCGAGCTCACGGCAAGTCATGTGACCTGATATCACGATCTTCACATCCTCACTTTCCCCAGGTATATCTCCTATTAAAGACCTTCCGCCGTCCAGAACTACACCTATAATCAAATTGATTACTTGGATGTGCTATTCTAGACCCGTGCATTAGAGGTGGAGCAATTTGCCGCTATTCGTCGATCTTGAGGCTCTTTCTAGCTCATTCTAAGGCGAAGTCCAGTGACGTCCCGATTCGGAGACCATTGGAAGTAAAGCCGAAGTAAGCATACGAGTTCCCACCTTCTAGGTTGAACCTTTCTCCTTCTTACAACAGCAACCACTGTCGCCTAGGTTTAAGCTTCAATTCTACCTGATACATACTTCACTTACATACCTCGCTTATAACTCATCATGAACGCACCGGACCGGTAAGTTTTGGTTACATTCTCTTTCAGATCACTTTCTTTCAGATCAATTTTTCCCTGCCATCCCTGGTAGTTTTGGCGGAGATTGAAGATTTTCGAGTCCGTCCATCATTTTATATAGATTAAACTGACATCAAATAGTTACGAGGCGATTCTTCTCGGCCCTGGCGAGAGCAAGATCGAAGTCGAGATTGACACTCGTGAGTTACCCATCAATTTTTCATTGCGCAGTTCAAAGCCCTAATTAAGAGACTTAAGGTCTGCCTAACACCGCCATCTTCACTTTCAATAAAGAGGACCACACACTTGGTAACATGCTTCGGGGCCGCCTGGTACGGGTCCCATATATTCTCTTTGCCGGCTACAAGGTTAGTCCAAGTCAACCTTCAATTCATCTAAGGTTCATGATGCTAATCGTTGGACAGGTTGCCCACCCCCTTACTCCCAAATTCCAGCTGCGTATTCAAACCGACGGCTCGATCACTCCCCGTGATGCTCTCGTGGCTTGCTGCCACTCTTTGATCAAGGACTTGGGAATCCTTTCCCGCCGCTTCACCAAGGAGGTCGAACTCCGGAAGATGGCGAATGCAGCTACTGCTGCTACCCAAAGCGTGGAGCAAGGTATTTAAGTCTGGCACTTGATCTCAATCTCTCTCTTTTTTTCTTGCCGCCGGCGCATGGCGAAGTTGGGTTTAGAATTTTTATCTTTGTTTTTATTGATGTCATTTTCCACTGTTTTTCCCAGTTTGTGTAGCTAGTAACTTCTATCACAAAAGTCTACACCTCATCCTTCAGAATTTTAATTCTTCATTTCGAGGCTTTTTGCTCTTACCATTTCCGCTTCCGAGATCTTCACCTCATCACTTTGGTGGGAGTTCTTATTCATAAATATTTGGTAGCCACGATCACTCTTCAGGTATCATTCGCGATACTCGCACAGACTCACTAGGTATGCTTGCGTTTCTGAGATACAAATCCCGTATTTGCAACCTCTTTTGAGTTAGCTTGTAACCACTTGCAACATCCTTATTACTACGCCCGGTAATGCGAAGCTATGAATCTCCTTGATCTAATTTCATAGAATTTTCTTCTTGCACATGCAACGTTGTTCTGTATTGATCATACAAGCATCTTGCCCAGGTGCCTACCTTCAAGATGGCCTACAGCGGTCCTGGTGCTGGCATAGTGGTCGTTCTGGATTCTTCTTTTGGGGGTAACTGTAGCAAGTAATGCCTGTCTACTCGCTTGATTGGAAGGAGATGTCTGTATGTGTAGCTCTACATGGATTCTCTACCTAGGTACTTTTTCTCCAGAACTATTTACATCATACTTAAATACCTACCTACATATGAAGGTATAAATCTAGGTAGATATGTGGAAAATGGTGCTCAGCTATCAAAGTTGATATCCACATATGTATCAACTCATAAATTGATATAAGCTAGAAAGAAACTTGAACATTGGAATGATCAAACACTGATATAAAACCTCCCATGCGACTTAGGGTTTAGAATACTCAACTTGATATTACTTAGGTACCGACGTACAAAACCGAGTCAAAATATCCCAAAGTAAAAACTTGAGACTCTCACCGACACTCATTCTTCACAATCATCTCATCTCATCCTTGCTCGTAAGGATCTATCTATAGAATTAGATAAGTAGCAATTGTGGAACCCGAATCAGGAACTGATGACTCAGCACCTAATCGGGCTAGTGTGCCTCCGCGTACTCCGTACTACAGCGTCATTTATTGCTCCTGACCCTCATCTCCCCTATCCCACATTCATTTTCCTTTTTCCTCACTTTGCGGTTGTCCTGCATATTACTTTGTTCATGAAAGCGCCATATTCATAATGTTTTCTTCGTCGAATTCCTTCCGCGGCGGTGGCGGCGGTGGGCGCCCCGGCCAGGCACCATTCATGCAACAGCAGCAACAGCAGCAGTCACCATACTTGCAATTCCCTCAAGGTCAACAGCAGCACCCGATGCAGCCACAGCCTACAGGACTGGCTCCGCAGCCAACTGGCTTCGCTGGTCAACCCTCGCCGTTTGGTAACTCGCTACAACCTCAACCCACTGGGTTCCCCGCAGGACAGCTCCAGCCCCATTTCACTGGCTTCCCTGGACAGCAACCACAACAGCAGCTACAACCACAGCTTCAGCTGCCGCAGCAAACAGGTTTCCAGCAGCCTCAATATACAGGTTATCCTCCCCAAAACCAGCAATCGGCGCAGCCCCAACCACCCTCGCAATTGCAACTCCCCCAGGCCACCGGGCTTCCTTCTCGAGTAAAGACTTCGAGTGAGATAGCAAACTCCTTTGCCAGTGCCTCTGCTCCTCCTCAGGTCCCACCCAAGACTGGATCCAAAATCCCGAGTATCCGACTCTCATTTATTACAGTCCAGGACCAGGCCAAGTTCGAGCAGCTCTTCAGGTCTGCGGTCGGCGATAGCAAGACAATGGATGGAGAGAAGGTGCGAGACCTTTTGCTGCGATCTAAGCTTTCCGGCGGCGACCTTTCGAAGATCTGGGTCTTGTCGGACTCTACCAAGTCTGGACAACTGTTCTTCCCCGAGTTCGCATTAGCTATGTATCTCTGTAACTTACGCTTGACTGGCCGGGAGATTCCTGCTAGTTTGCCAGAGACTGTCAAAAATGAAGTTTCTAGTATGGTCGATATCATTTCGTTCGACGTTCCAGATACCCAACCAGCTCCGCGAACCAACGCCCCCAGCTTTGATGCACCTCTTATGGAAAGTACGTCTACGCCACCTGTTATGCAACAGCCTCAGCCTCAGCAAGCGAGCAATCAACAGCTCTTATCGCAACTGACAGCGCAGCCTACCGGATTCTTTCCCCAGGCAACCGGCATGCAGCCCCAACAGACTGGTTTCCCCGGTGCAAACCAGTCGCAGTTCCTGCAGCCCCAGCAGACAGGATTCATGGCTAACCCACAGGCTACCGGGTACTCTGGTCCTCGGCCTCCTATGCCACCTATGCCTACAGGATTCGCTTCGAACCTTAGTCCTGCACAGACTGGTGGGTTAATTGCTCAGCCCACTGGCATCCCGGGTCAATGGGGATTTATCAACACTCCTGCCCAAGGATTACCCAACATTGAAGCCATGAAGCAGCAGCTGATGCCCCAGCCTGGCCGTGAGGGTGGTTTTACAATGTCCGCTCTCTCAGGTAATGCAACAGTTGCATGGGCAATCACCAAGGAGGAGAAGAAGATCTACGATGATTTGTTCCGTGCCTGGGATGGACTGAGAAAGGGATTTATCAGCGGCGAGACGGCCATTGAGATCATGGGCCAGAGTGGATTGAACCGTAAGGACCTGGAGCGAATTTGGACTCTTGCAGACCCGCACAACCGCGGCCGCCTGAACATGGACGAATTTGCGGTTGCCATGCATCTGATCTATCGAGCTTTGAACGGGTACCCAGTTCCTAATCGCTTGCCACCTGAGCTCATTCCTCCTTCAACCAGACACTTGAATGACTCCATTGGAACCATCAAGTCACTTTTATCTCAGGATGCTGAGACCCGTAAAGCCACCGGGGCATTCTTGCAACCGCAAAAGACCGGTGTCAGCTACCTCAAAGACCATTCCTTCCGGGGCGGCGGTGGGTCGACACCTGGGGCCAACCGTAAAGATGCGACTATGTTCAAGAACAATGACTCCGCGGGCGGCTATCGCTCGAGTGCGCGTCGTCGTGTCGGAAATGACACTCGCACTCCATCTCCCGCCCCTTCTTCTCAATACTCTGAGGGAGAGGAGCTGACTGTGGAGCAGCTGGCCAAGAAAATCCGCGAGGCTAAGATCATGCTGGATGCCACTGATTTCCAAGATGAAAATAGAGCAGAGGATGATGACGCTCTCGACCGTCAAGATCGCCGCGAGGCTGAGAGTCTGATGGATCGGATTCGGCGTGTGCAGGATGACATTGATACTCATCCCGACGCTTCGTTCCGCAAGTTGGATACTGGCGCCGAACGCCGAGCTCTCCGCCGTCAGCTCCAGTCTTACGAGGACCAGGTCCCGCAGGTTGCTTCTGACGTTCGTCGCATTGAGAGGGAGATCGCGGACGCCAAGCTTGAGTTGTTCCGTCTCAAGGATGCCAAGGCTCATCCTGGTGGCAGCGCGAGCATTGTTGGCACTGGTCCCGGTGGTTCAGTGACCGAGTCAGACCGGATCAAGGCTCGCGCTCGTGCGCGCATGCAGGCACGTGCTGCTGAACTAGCGGGACGTCCCGCTCCCGCAACCGAGGATGATGATGGCCAGGCTGCTCGTCGACTGGAGGCTGAGAGCGCCGACGCGAAGACAGAGAGAGATCGTAATGAGACCATGACTCGCGACGTTGAGGAAAGTGTTCGTGACTTTGCTCGCAGCTTAGAAGACAGTCTGCGCGAAGAAGGAGATAACTCCACCCGTGAGCACGAGAAGCGCCGCTGGGAGGATGCACTGGGCGTGGAAGATACTATCCGTGATTTTATCTACGACTTGAGCCGCAACGGCCGGACCGCTAGCATTCGCAAGGATGAGCGCGAGAGGACTCTCCACCCCGCTCCGGCTGCGGAAGCCCCAGTAGCATCACGCCCTGCTATGCCAGCTTCCACTAACTCATCTTCCTCTATCCCTGGAAACACACACGAAGATCGCGTGGCGGCTGCCAGAGAAAGGGCCCAGAAGCGCATCGCTGAGCGTATGGCCGCTGCTGGTTTGAAGCCTAATGACTCGAGTGAGACTCTCCAGCAACGCCAGGATCGAGAGAGACGAGAGCGTGAAGAGCGTGTCAAGCGCGCAGAGGAGGAAGATGCCAAGCGGGAGCAGGAGAGACAGCAGCGCTTAGCTGAGGAACGTGGTGGCCCAACCGCTGCGGCAGCCGCGGCAGCCCCGAAGGCTGTCGGCAAGAAGCCACCTCCTGCTCCTCCAACCCGTAGAGCCCGGGCTGATAGTGCTGCCAGCCATGCAGACACAAAGAAGACCGATGAGGCTGCCGAGGCTGCCAAGGCCGCTGAACAAGCTGTGCGTGAGCATGCCATTAAAGAGGAGCAAGAAATCCAGGAGGCTGAAACCAAGCGTCTTGAGTAAGTGCACTATGATGACTGATGAACTGCAACTTTTGCTAACCCACAATTTACAGAGAGGAGTCTAAGCAACATGAAGCAGAATTCCAAAGAGAAAAGGATGCCCAAGCAGCCCGTCTTCGTGCTCTAGAGGAACAAGTCCGCCAGGGTAAGGTCAAGAAGCAAGAAGAGAAACGCCGCAAGGAAGAAGCTGCCCGATCAGCCAAGGAACAGCAGGCCAAACTTGAAGCTCAGCGTGCTGAGATCGAGGCTGCTAAGGAGCGTGAAAGACAATTGCAGCGTGAACTGGAGGCTATTGATGACGAAAGCTCATCGGACGACGATGGGCCAGAGAACATCACCCCCCAGTACAGCACTCCGACCCAAAGTCAGGTCCTATCACCACCTCCTCCTCCCGTTCCTCAGGTTTCTACTCCTGAGCCTGAGCCTGAGCCTGAGCATGAGCAGCCAGCTAGCCCTGAAGAGACCAGTCGATCTCTTCCTGCGGCCACCCCTGACTCCGAGTCAAAGAATCCTTACTTCAACTCGTTGCCTCAGCCTACCGAAGCTCCTCAGGTGACCCCTCCAGCTGCCGCCCACTCTACCAACCCATTCTTCCGCCTCGCGCAACAAGAACCTATCAAGCCAGCTTTCACTGGCGCAGCCCCACTCGAGCGCAAGTCCCGTACTCGCCCCGAGGACGATGACGACTGGTCTGCCGCTGGGTCTGACTTCGAGTCATCTGACGACGAAGATGACCGAGTGGGTGGTGGTAGCGCTAAGCAGCTCGCCAGCATCTTGTTCGGTACCATGGCACCCCCACGTCCCTTGAGTGCCATGGATGAAGATAAGTCGGCCACCCCAGTTCAAGAAAGCCCTATTGCTCCTCCTCCCCCGCCTCCTGCGGCCTTCACCCCTCCACCTCCCTCTTTACCGGAGACCGAAGACTCTTCATCCGCACCCCTCGCACCACCCCCTCCTCCCCCACCTCCAGGTGCTGCTCCCATTTCCATCCCCCCTCCCCCTCCCCCTGTCCCGGGCACTGGAGCGCCACTAGCTCCCCCTCCACCTCCACCGGTCCCAGGTTCTGGCGCCCCATCAGCTCCTCCCCCACCTCCACCAGCTCCCGGCGGCATTCCCCACCCCCCTGCTCCTGCCCCAGCAGCAGGTGGTGGCATGTCTGCTCTACTCGCCTCCATTCAAGCCGGCAAGGGTCTCCGAAAAACGCAGACAAACGACCGTAGCACAAGTAGCTCTGCCGGTCGTGTGCTGTGAGGAAACCTAGGGCTTCGGACAGTGTACAGAGTTGGAAGACGCGAGGACCCATATTGATAGGGGTCAAGGAGGTACGCCTTGTTTTATTGCTTTATTAGTTATATTTTGTGTAATGGTGGAAGGTGCCGTGCCCTCTCAGGCTGGTATACGAGGGGAGATGATCGCTGGTAGTTAACTCTTGAAACTTATAGTTTTTTCTTCGCTTATTATCTACCACTGTACAAAGTATCTCCTTAGTCACGTAGCTCCTTTGATGCTCTACTATGGTATCAAACCCCTGAACCTTGGGGTGTTACTTCCTTTTGGTATTGAACATTAGAATATGATACAGTATCTACCTTCTTAGTTGCCCCTTGTTCTACTATAGATTTTTAGAATAAGGTAGATTACAGTAGAAAAGTCGTATCCTGATTATCGGCTTGCCCACCATTGAAGAGTTCGTTGACTTGGGAATACAAAATGGTAGACATGATCGACCAGTAAAGTACATCTTAAACTTGCATTCTTTATTTCCTCCATTTTCTGTCCTCAAACTTCAAGCCTTGAAGGTTGCTCATTTAAATTGGAAGCCATAGACCAAGGACCATCTAGATACAGATATAAGTGCAAAAAAAAGACATCTGGATAAAAGAGAAAAACAAAAGGCACTCAGAACCGACGGCAAATACGAAATAAAATATCACTACCAGAAATGACATTAGACAGATATCTTTAAAATGGTGAAACGTCATGTCACCTCCGCAATGACATTTCCCAGAGTACTAATGCACCAAACAGCAATAAGACCCCAACCGATCCGGCGATCCATGCGCCATTTATTCAACGGAACAACGATCAACAGACTGACGAGCACAAACAGAAGAGTAGCACCACTGATAACAAGAACCTTGGAGATAGCAATTTCATAGACAGGCGTATGTTTATGTTTGAGCGAGTTGATAATTTCATGTCTACGCGTCTTGCCTCCGTTGATAGTCATGTATAGACCGCCTAGACCGATTCCAAGCAGGATATTTAGCATAGGGCCACCGAAACATGCGCTTAAAGCCATGACGGGGTATCCAAGTCTTGCAACAGTGATATCGGCCACGAGATCGCCGAGCGAGTTACCGACTGCGAAGATAGTTAAACCAAGAAGCGAGTCTGAAATGTTGAGGATGACGCCGAGAGTCTTTAGAAGGGATACTACTTCTGTGGCGATTGTTGCAATCCAAGAGATGGCGACTAGGAAGCCGAGGAGGGCCAGGACTGGTCGCCATGAATCTGGGAGGGAGACTGGCTGGAGGATCTCTGGCGAGTTGCGAGGCTGATTGTGGCTGATTTGTCGGTGCCAGGGTCGTCGACGGCTTGTGGAAAGAATGAGGGCTATTAAACACATGAATGAGAATATCAGGGATATTAAGGATGGTATTAGGAGGTTGCTAGGATCGAGGTCTTCGTCGATTGTTGTCCAGGCTATGAGGACGAAGAAGAAAGGTCCCGTGAAGAGTTGGATGATTAGGAGCCAGCGGTTCCAGTTTTTCATCTGAACCATAGGTACGGGTTCCTGGACTGATGGTAAGGGCGGAAGTTCAGAGTCCCAACGTGGGCGAGGAATGGGCTCATGCTGTGTGGGTTTGTGGGAATGTGTCGAGGTGGATTCGTCGAGTTCATGAATGTGCGGGTTATTATGAGGGGTATCATTTTGTAGCTGCATTATTGGGCCGTGACGGCCATCATCATTAAATTGCTCAATGATAACAGATGGTACCGGATCGGGATCTACGGATTCAGGACCCTGAGGTTCGATGACTGGAATGGTGATAGTGAGGAGAAAAACACTTGGCGCGGCAATAACACCCAAAAACCGGCCCATGATACCTTTGGATTTCCAACCAGCCAGGGTTGGGAACAGTGTACAACCTAGCAGTTGGGGAGGAGGCAGAATGGAGTAAGGCCACCAGCGCTTCAGCAGTTTTCCGAAAAACGTATTCTCATTGCTCTCGTCGTCGAAATATTCGTGAATGATGAGTGGGTCAGAGGGACTGAGTGGATTGGGGAGACGTATACTGCGAATACTAGGCGCCCGAGTTGTGGAGGTAGATGGAATATCGGTGAACGCGGGGAATGGTGCCAAAGGGCTTTCTGGACTCATGCTATGACCCAGCGGAGACAGTGCAAGCGGAGAGTGATTTCGAGTTGCCCCAGCTTGATAGTTGGGAGAATTGAAGACATCTGGAGGAGCTAGCAAATCTGGGGTTTGAGGAGTTCCTGGGTCTATAGCACTTATACTCGGGGATGGAAAGGAGGAGGATGCCGGAGAAGCTGTCAATATCGCATTTGTATCTATGCGGAGTAGCTGCGGTGTTTTGGGCTGGCTCTCATCTCTCTCATCTCTCTCATCGGAGGGTGATTCCACAGTGAGACGTGGTGTCTGTGATGACTGGTCTGGACGCTTTAGTACGCTGGTGTCCAGCCTTAACCCTTCCGCATCGTTGGCAGACACGGCGCGAACTCGAGAGGACACTGCTGCACTGGGCGGTAATAGACGGTCATTGCTAGAAGGCTTACTTGCACGAGGGTGTGATGCAATGGAACGGGTATCAAACGGCCGAGAAGACGTGTCACCCTCGTCCGAGTAGCTACTTAGACTGATGTCTGGCCTGTAGCTGCTGTTTCTTGATTTCTGGAGGGATTGCAGTACGGACTGGAATTCCAGGGCACCGACTAGACTTGGCCGAATAGGGTTCATGGTGTTCCGCCTTGATCTGTAAGTCGGGCGATAAATGTGCATGTTTTCCTGAATTTCCGTCAAGTACCGATTGCGAGTCTCATCATCTTCCTCGTCATCTTCTTTCCAAGCAGGAAATCCCTCTGCGCGCTCTAGAAGATCAAGATTGTCAGTCGATGCGCGCAAAAGGTTACGCGAATCTGATGCAACACCCGGGTCATCATCGTCCATGGGCTGTTCGACATCCAGCTCTTGATTGTTCGGAATATGGAAGTGAGTTCGTGCTGCAAGGTCTCTTTCGTATCTACGCCGCCGACGGACGAGATACCAATGCCAGCCCACAACAATCACTACGTAGAACGCATAGAGACCGACCATTGCAGCTGACTCCCACATATAGAGCCGGCCGTCGGCCAACAAATACATGCTGAAGGCGACTGCGACCACAAAGAACCCTACATCGCGAACAAAGCTCCGTCGCGCCACTTTGAAAGGTCGAACCAGGGCCATAGAGCCAGCGACAACTGAAGTAATGAAAGTGGCTGCTCCGATCAATTCTCCAATTGCCAAGCTTCCGCTGTTGGACCGCATAGCGGCGAATGTGGAGAAAACATCTGGACTGCCGTTGCCAAACGCGAGGAATGTAACGCCTGTGAGACTTTCGCTCAAGCCCAAGATGCTCGCCAGTGTGCTAAGATCGATACACAAGAAGTCACTGGCTGCGATTCCAATCGTACTGAATAGTAACGATAGCCAGAGGATTAAAATTATGAAGGCTACGGGCTTCGATTCGGCCAACGTGCAATAATAGAGCTGCAGATATGATAGCAAGCCATCCTGGTGATCAGGACAGTGATCTCGGATGTAAGCGCATTGATCCTTGACATTGCTGACTAGGCGACACTAATTACACATGTTAATTCCATTTTCATATCTACGAACACATCACGCGACAGAATCGGAGCGCGGAGTGGGAGATTTTACCTCTGGTTCGGTTTCACTCCTTGTCAGGAGCACACCTGCTGTGGTACTCTGACGAATCTCTCCGAATCCATTGCCTTGGAAAGCCCAGCTAATGGTTGCGATGACTGAGAACACACATATTGTAGCGTAGAAGGGTCGCACTGAGTACCGAGGGCGTGGGCGCTTTAGGGAAGGAAGAAAGCTCATAATGGCGTCTAAGATTGTTGCATCGTGGAGCGATGCAAATTTAAATATTAGATAACTACTAAGTAGAATGTCTGCCTGCAAGAAACTTGCTAAGTTGGAGATCAGATCTCGATGTGAGTTGGCAGGTAATAATTAGTGATGTCAGCCTAGGGCGGAGCCCGTATTGAGCCAATGGGATATGGTGTTTGTTATCAGATAAGCTTTTAAACAATTCAATCATAAAGTGAGAGGAGAATCTTAGAAAAAGTACTTTATAAACAGGTTTAGACTGTTGGAAGAGTTTTTGAGGGTGAATCTTGTATCAAATAGCCAAATTAGAAAAAATTACAACAGATTACGACTTTAAAGTAGGCTGTTATGTATTGGTCAGTCATAGGATATTGTAATGCCTGAGGCATAACTTATCGTATATTCACGTGATATTTTGCGTATTTGATCACTATGGGCCGCCGTATGTTTGTTGTTGTTGTGCCGCCCCTCCTAACGAGGCAACAACGACCCATCTCGAACCAATATCCCTGTTACTATCCCCTACTGGGGGCAACCGCAACTATGCCTCGTGTTGTGAACAAGGCCCATCGTCGCTCTAACGGCGCGGCCTCTACCCCGCAGAGAAACTCCCCTATCAAGTACGTTTAGCACTTGTGTAAATAAATGTTACCAGGCTAATGGGTTATCAGAATACCTCTTAACGATGATATGGGTGAGAAAGCGGCGCGCATGGAAGCCCGGCAGGCTCTCCATGATCGCCGTATGAGCCAGATTAAAGCCGCAGTCAAGACGCCCATGCCCCCTCGTCGATACCGTGAGCGCGACAATGATGACGATGATGACGATGCAACCCCTCGCCCATCCACTCATCGTGGTCGCATGAGCGATGTCAATGGACGCGCTGTGACGCCGATGAAGCGTGTCCCCATCTTGGCAAACTTTGAAGAATGGATGAAGATGGCGACAGACAACAAGATCAATGCGAACAACTCCTGGAACTTTGCGCTCATCGATTACTTCCACGACATGTCACTCCTGAAGGAAGGCGATAGCGTCAACTTCCAGAAGGCTAGTTGCACTCTCGATGGATGTGTGAAGATCTATACCAGCAGAGTGGACAGTGTTGCCACAGAGACTGGCAAGCTTTTGAGTGGTTTGGCCGACAGTCGCGACAAGAGAGCGCGTGACACTGAAGAGGACGGAGAAGATGGAGATGAAGATGAGGAGGGCGAAGATGGTGCACCGCGCAAGTCGCGCAAGAAGGTAAGAGCTACAGAAGAAAAAAAAAAAAAATTCAAACAGGGAATATTCTTGGCTGACGTGAAAAAAAAATACATAGACTCGCTCACATGAGACAACGTTGGCACCCTCATTCTCATCGCTAAAACTGAAGAAATTTGAACTGGAATTCGCTGTCGACCCACTGTTCAAAAAGGCATCTGCTGATTTTGATGAAGGTGGCGCCAAGGGATTGCTACTCAACCATCTGGCTATTGATGGCGTTGGCAGAATCGTTTTTGACAGCAGTGACGATGCTGTGGATGACAACTCCAAGACAGGAGATGGTGAACGGCAAGACTCCGTGGATCCCGACTTACACCTCGAATCGCAGCTCGAGGCGCAGCTGCAACCTACCCAAGACTTGGCACAAGATACTTTCGAAAATAATATGGAAATTGACATCGCTGGGTTGGCATCTCAATTCTTCCCTGACCTGGACCGTCTTGGAGAACAGGACATTTGTCCTTCACTCAAGAACTTCGATCTAGGCGACCCTACCGGATCACTGGATATTTCTCTCCTCAAGGCGCCCGAGGACTGGCGTCAAGACAAGAATGAAGGGATTGATGGACCATCAGGAATTATGCTCGATGATGACAATGCGGTCGGCTTTGATGACGATGACGCTTCTTTGGCTGGCTTTGATATGAGCGGCGACACAGGCTTCGGTGACGGAGGTGAGGTTTGGGCCAGAGAGGCTGCTTTGGACCCGATGCTCAAAGTTCACCGACTGGACCAAAATGGTGAAAATGTTGATGACGATGATGATATTGACCAAGATTCTTTCTCTATCTCCATGTCGCATCAGCCCAGTAAACAGGATCATGAGAATATCCTGAGTTACTTTGACAATGCCCTCCAAGGGAACTGGGCCGGCCCGGAACATTGGAAAATTCGAAGGATCAAAGAAAGTACAGTGGCCAGTACTACCGGTGCTGCCCCCAAACAAAGAAAGGAAAAAGAACCCTTCGAGATCGACTTCGGCGCCCCGCTAGACTCTGCTATTGCCGAATTAATCTACACCCCCGCCAGCTCTAATTCCGCTATATCATTACCCAAAACTCAGTGGAAGACTAAAGGTCGCAACCTGCTACCAGACGACAAACATTTCAACTCGCGCAACTTGCTTCGTCTGTTCCTCAAGCCTAAGGCACACATGGGCTCCAAGAAATTCCTGGGCAAGCGAACGATGAATCGTCGACAAGACCTTACATCAGGAAATCCTGACATGAACGAGGAATTCTGGGCGAATCACAAGACTGATGGCAATGTTGATGATAACACTGCTGGCACTTATGATGCTAATTTCTTTGACGACGATGATGGCCTTGCCTTCCCCAACGGCATGGACCTTGATGATGATGACGACAATATCCCATTCGCAGATGCACGAGAGATGATGTCTCCCCCTGCTGACGGTGTAGCCAGTGGAGCGAATGGTGACGTTGGTAACCAGACCGGACTTGCTGCACTACTTAACATGGTTGGAGCTACTCCAGCCAAGGGTGGATACGGCTCACAGTTAGTGACCCAAGGTGGACGCCGTGCACGACCCGACTATGTCAATTATGCCCGTGTAGCGAAGAAGGTTGATGTACGCCGCCTCAAGAACGAGATGTGGAAGGGTATGGGTGAGCGCTTAATCGCTGCTACCGAGTTTAGCTCTGCTTCACAACCCGGTGCTGTGTCCAATGAGCAACCTTCTGAGCCCGAAGCTGAAAGTGAAGTTGAAGCTCCTATGCCACCAACACCCCACGAAAACAGCCTGCTGCTACCCACGAACGAGAAAGATGGCCGTTTACGATTCACGCATATTATGAACTCTCTCAAATCTGTCTATCCGAATGAGACATTACGTGATATCAGCACATCGTTTGGCTTCATCTGTCTTCTCCACTTGGCCAACGAGCAAGGTCTTGTTTTGGAAAGCGATGTCACCAAGATCCTTAGTGGCGCTGGCAGCCTGGAAGAGATCTACGTCAGCCGCGATACTCACGCCATCCTCGAAGAGGGAGGAATGTGAGTTGAGACTTGTACGGTTGTTTGAGGGTTACTTCCTCTATCACAGTAGCTAGCACGAATGTATGACCCACTTTCCTTCTTTATTTCGTTGTATCTTGCCTTCTTTCTTGTTTTATGGATTTCGGAATGTACAGGTCCAATCTCTGGAAAGAAGCATGTTAGAACGTGCGGTTTACGAATGATGGACAGATTGAGTTTGAAATGAAGATCCTCGCGGAGTTAGTCGGTTTTGTTTTATGTACAGTGACACTCTTTCGGACTGTGTTTTCATCGCGAGTCTTTTTGTTTCAACAATCTATTAGATATTTTCTCATGAAAAAATGCTTTCTAGAGTAGAATCCAAGGTTATGTACTTGCCACATGGACACTATTTGATACATAGGTAAGCTACCTAGCTAAGAAAAGCGACTATGCCCAGGTGTAGACTGAGATTATGTTATTCCAGAGCTTGATGAATGTATAGATGATGAATGCATATACCAATGTTTGATATACCTAGTCTCTCCTCCGGGCCAAAGTAGGTAAGAGACAAGTGCAAGCAAGATCAAAATTATCCATGGATTTCCATAAGCTAATAATCAATCGGCAGGAGAGAGCGTAAGATAAACTCCAAATAGAAATAGGTATCGAGTATAAGTAAAGAAGAGACAAAAGAAAAGTCCCAACGCCAAAAGCCCCCACTGTAACGATCAGCTTCCAAAGTTCCATTGTCCAAGAGATTAATAGGAAATAGGCTATAGCAAGTAATGTCCAAATTTCCGTGTCGAATCATATAAGTGATGTTTTTGCAACAATTTTCATCTTATCGACTGTTTTTTTTTTTTTTTTTTTTTTTTTTTGGATTTATGTTTGGTTTAATTTTTGTTCCAATTAACAAGGGAAAGCCAAACTTCGAAAAGCGAATCCCCAGAAGCTCAAACAGTTCAATGATGTCCTTCAGGGAATATAGGAATCATAGAACTACCATAAGCAGTCGGGACAGGAACACTACCGTAATCCTGCTCATCAGGAGCCAAAGCCATATGAATCTCAGACGTAGGCAGTGGCGGCGGTGACGGTGTGCGGTGAGCAGCAGGAACAGACTGTACTTCTGCATTTGAAGTCTTAAATTCACCCTGTGCTGAGCGAGGGGTTGCCTGCTGGACGCGGATGGGAGGGGCTTGAAGCTGGAAGGTTGGCTTCGGGCGAGTTGGTGAGCGGGGCGATGCATATTGGGTTGCAGGGGCTTCACCCTTCTCGGCAGCAGAGAGCGGGTCTACTGAGGTCATGGCGAAGAATGGTGATTTTGGCGGGTATGACGAGAAGCCTGGGAAACCGGGGGTATTGGGGGCTGACTGCACGCGTAGCTGGGCGAGATATAGATCTGAACGGGCTTTGTCGCGGGTGTCCATTGATTTCATTAGTCGACGCTTACTCCAGAAGCGCCAGGCTACAATGGCGTAGACTAAGATTGCGACAGCTTCTAGGACGACTTCAATGATGGCGCAGACGAGACCCCAGTCCTGAAGAATCGATTATTAGCTTTGGGCGTGAAATTGTGAAATTCTGGGTTTTAGACTTACCTGGAGACGGCACAGAAGGGCGTAGTCAATGACGTTGGAATACACTTGTTCACGGGTATTCTGCGCGCATGACCAACCCCACATGTCTTTCTTGTCACCAGTTGCCTTTTGGTGCTGGTAGATGCCAGCAGCGACGAGCCACATTATCAAGCTGACGAAGAACCAAACAACGGCGATGATGGTGTAGTAAATGGCGGCCTTTTCAGCACGGTGGTGACCACCTCTGTAGTACCCGTAAAATACGATAATGCAGGCAAAGAGTGAGCAGGCAGAGATGCCCAGCATCATATACTGTGCCCAAGGGTTGGTGCCCTCTGCCCAAGCTGGTAGGCTGTTGCGATGTGGGAGGTGTTTTGTCGTTTCGAATACGGTTAGTGTCACTGCCAGCATAGAGAGAACGATCAGACTGCAACCAAAATTGATGAAACGGAGGAACAGCTTGGCCAGCCGAACTCGAACTTTGATTTTCTAAATGGGGATTAGCAAATTGAATTGTCGATGGCTAGGAGCTTTTATTACCAGATCACGGGCATTCTCCTTCTCGGCATGCTTCTCTTGCTTTTCAAGTATGTATTCCTCACGCAAGGTAGGGCTCATGAGGTTTAGTGATTTTGCTGTGTTAGGAACCTTCAATCCTGTCAGAGGTGACAGCGGGGGTCTTGAGTCGATTGCGTATTGGGTGACATCGTTGGCGGTCACATAGCCAAATCCAACATCAGCAACACCCTTGGGAGGATCAGCAAAAGGAGATCGACTGGTCTGCTCAATAGGAGAGTGGATTGAGGTAGCCTCAGCAAATCGAGCGGTGCGAGGGCTCCTTAATGAGGAAACCCCGCTCTCAGCAGAGACGGCACTTTCTGAGGAGGTACGGGTCTCTTGTGTTGTCTGCTGCTGTGGAGGAACTATCATTGCACTATGATAGGATGCTCTGGTAAGGTCTGCAGGGACAACGGGCTCGTATGTCAAGGGAGAGTGCCCATTATGACTATCTCCAGAGGTCGACATTGTATCGGTCAACGAAATTCTGAGAGAGAATCAAGAGTAAAGACAACTTGGAAGGTTGATCAAGAGAGCCAGCTCTGATCGGCAAAAGTTGAATAAAATATTCAAAAGAGCTGGGCAGATTTCCAAGGTTACCTAGGTACCTGCTTGCAAGACTCCTGCTGAGTGTATAATATCAACTTTGTCAAGTGAATCAATCACCTTGATAGCCGTGTGCGAGACCTGCGTCCACGGATATGTACAAACTTGGCAGACTGGGCGAAGGTAGTCAGGAGAAAAAAAATAATCGAATGTAGGAAAAGGCTGGCGGCTGGCATATGGGTGCCTTGAATATCAATCATGGGCGAGCTGCCGCAGCGATTTTCCATAGCGGGGGCTGCATGCCATGACCTTCTCATCACTCCAGCAAGGGCTAGAGTAAGCGCCGGGGTAAATATGGGAGCACAAAATAAAAGTTTGATTGGAGAAAAGACGTTGGAAAGAGAATTCAGGGTGCATATTCACACTGCGTTGAGAAGAGGGGATAGTGGTGGTGATCGTCTTGTCACAATGGACTTGGCCAGTGAGATGTGATATAAGGCCTCCGCTCCTCACGCAAGTCCCATCACCTCGGCGCTAACCCAGTCGATTGTCCAACCACACTCTCTGCAGAACCGCTTGACTGGTTAATGGGATGTTGCACCAAACTCAAGTGAAATCAGCCAAAAATACCCGCCAACAGATAACAGTCACACATTTTCGTACAAAAGCACCGATTTCACCCCGTGGCAGGTTGGTTATTTTTCGTCAGTGTCATCTCCAGACTCGTATTAATATAGGAAGATGCCGTAAAGGAGAGAATTAGGCATACCCGCGATGATCTTATTGGTTTTCATTTTCAAGCTCTGGGTGACAGCATAAATCTTACCCAGGCAGTCCTTGAGTCCTAACGATGCGCAAATCCCCTTAGTCTTCTAGACCAATGTGAAGACCTGAGTATAAAGCACAGTGGAAAATAACTAGAGGCAGCGGCAAAGTAGATATGTATCACACGCCTAGTTCTCTAGTCTATGCGAACATGCCATCTTCAAGGATTAAACCAGTTTTGCGGACGCAAAGAAGGTACTTTTGCGATCCTTGTATATGCCGCTGTCCTGGTTTTCTGGGCCAATGATTTTCCAACTTGAACTGCCCAATCATAAGATGTTTCAATTGAAGATGACTCATAATGTAATATTGTACTCCATTTGATGTCGTTCTTTTAAGGATTGTGCTGGTAAACTGGGGTTAATAAATTGGGTTAATGTGGTAGTTCAAGAATGGGGGTAACTTGGCCACCTGATGTGTAGATGCCCTAAGTCCAAAAATGCCCTTCAATTTCAGACCTAGCGATTGCACAGGTGCCGGTCCTGGGGTGTACCACCCAAGTAATTAAAGAGTTCATCGCCCTGTTTACTTATGCACTACGTAATCGTATGCGCATATCACATACTTATGACAAGAATTGTTGCGACTGTCAGCTTGCAAATGGCTTTGTCGTATAGATGGTGTGGATATCAAGGAATGCTCGTGTTCCTATCTCACCTACGTTTACTATACATAGATTGAAGGCCGGGCTATTCGAGGCCCTTCCATTGCACTGCCAATATAGGACGGGGTCGGTGTCTATCTCGAATACAGACCATTATGGATATGCATAGTTCAAACTTGGAATGTGACTGGTATATTTTACCCGATCAAGCTCTGGAGTGCGGTGAGGATCATTACAGGATCACTGATTTACCGATCTTAGGTTTAGAAGTCTTCGAAAAAAAGCCTTAGGCCACATCTCAGAACCAGAAGTTTCGGCGGACGCAGGTTGCCTGAGCCAGCATAACGGTACAAACCTTGTATTATTATCTGTGCTCCGTATATCGATTATTGATGTCATTATACAAATATATACACTACAGTGGCGAGGATGAAACTTGATGGGTAGTTATAACTTCAGAACCATGATCATGAATATTACCTAGATAGTTCTGATTCAAGAGAAAAGCCCCATCAGCCGCATTATTTACAAAGTAGAAGCAAAAACCTGCCTCGTGCTGGACCCACGACCAGCCACCATTAGTGGACACAGCCTCAATCTTATTCGTATAGATACTTACATTACCGTACAAACCACCATACAAACAAAAGTACTCGGTACATTCCTCAAAAGCTCGGTTCTTTTTTTAAGAGCCTCGACCGTGTCAGAAATTGAATACCTTGTTATTACCTTCCGTTACCCGCTATTTCCCCACTGATCTAGCAATCAACCCCAGTACTGTACCATCTTCATACCTGATCCTGATCTTCTCATTCTCCCTGCTCCGTACTGCCTGATTGTCATCTTCTTCTTTCCTTTTCTATCACTCTAAGTCAATTCCCACTTTGATCCTGTTCCGGATCTTATGGCCCTGACTTGAATCGTTCCTGCACCTGCGACACCGCCACGGTTCCAAACTTCACTGATGGCCTGGCTCCATTGATTCCCAGCCAATCTTCTATCTCGAGGTCCAAGCCCCCCTCGCCATTTCTGCCGGAGTGGATCTCTCCCGGCCTGACAATTCCAAAGGCTGAAACCAACCTCGTCAGCTTGCGCCACACTCGCTCTGGTAAGGAAACGCCCCACACGCCCTGGACTTCGCCCTCGCAAACCACACGCCCCAACTTTGGCGTATGCCAATCTACTCTGTGATGTCCGTCGATCCCTCTCCCAATCTTCCCCAGTTTGCTCGATCGCGTTTCTAATCATGTCTACGGGAATAGCTATCACTTTTCTTCGTCCACCCCTCGAGGCTGGCGCAAGATCTTCTGTCTCGATGGCGGCTTTGATGCAGTCCAATAACGAGTCTGTCGCCGTATCTGGATCAAACGCTTCCATCTCTAGCCCAGAGCCTATCTCCTTCCTTAAGCCCTCATCAAAACCGGAAACCAATTTAAGTTCTATCGCGAGCGCAGGTCTTCACGTCTCACGATACCAACCGTCTACAATGATGAGTTCGGCATCAGCGCCTGCGGATCGACCGGTAGATCAGGACAGGGAAGCCGAACGACATAGTTCTCATGTTGCTCAGGAGGCATTGGGTGCGAGTACAAAATCACCAGGGCCCTCTGCCACTCACGATTCCCAGATCCATGCATCGCCGGAGCAGATGCAGGTAGATGCGCATGCGAATGACCCATCATCGGACCCCTACGGATCAAACGACCATCATCATCATTCACTCATCAATTCCACCGTTGCTAGCCCAGGTCCAATGGAGGAATCAACGTCTCAGGACGGAGATCGATCTCACCCGCGAGATAATTCGGAGATTGACCAAGATAGCAATAAAGCCTTTTCATATCCTATACCAACTGGGGGTATCAATGACCCCCGTCGCGGTCTGAGTCTGCCCAACGCGGGCTATAATAGAGGCAGTCCGCGCTCCCCATCCGCCAAAAAACACCGCTGCCCCTATTGCGCTACGGAGTTCACTCGACAACATAACTTGAAAAGTCATCTCCTGACACATAGCCAAGAGAAGCCTTTCGTCTGTGAGACCTGCCAGTCTCGGTTCCGTCGATTGCACGACTTGAAGCGACACACCAAACTTCATACTGGCGAGCGACCACATATTTGTCCCAAGTGTGGGCGACGCTTTGCTCGCGGTGACGCGCTTGCAAGACATAACAAAGGTCAAGGTGGATGTGCTGGTCGGCGATCGAGCATGGGCAGTACCTACGCCCCAGACGATGACTATGGTGATGGTCACCCTGCTGATGACGGAATGGACGGATTGGTGTACGCGGAACCAGAGCGTATGGACGAGGAGGACGAGCGACGACTCAACATGCCAAGCGTTCGCAAGCATGAAGAACATCTCCCTCGATCCGACTCTTTCCACTCCCGTCAGTCCAGCACATATCCACCGATCAACACTGCCCGCGGTCTGTACCCTCCTGGTACACAAGTAGGATCAGGATCATCGACCACAGCCTCACAACCTATAAACATGACCTTCCCACCAACAGGTCACTCTTCCAGCTCGTCTTTATTTACCCCCACCAATATTAGTGACAGTCCCAAACCTGTGTCTCCGAATGCGCTCTTACATCATGACCCGGGTGCCTCGCATCGTGCGAACTCTCCCACCATGCCTCAGTCTTTGCCTCACCCACAGTCATCTTTCAACCGATCTGGACAACCATCCTCATTAACTCATTCTTCGGGATTGCCTCTACCCCCTCCACAGCCAGGAGCACCTCAACTGCCTCCACCTGTTATTAGTTCTCCCGACGCCCGGTTTGGTGCCCTTCAAGCTGCCAACAGACATACGTCATCACACAGTCTATCCAGTAATCATGGCTTATCTGGGCCGGCACCGGATCCGACTTCTAATGAACCCACCCAAATCGAAAAACTATGGGCGTACGTTCATACCATGCGTGAGGAGTTGACAGGACTGCGAGCCGAAGTCGCAGCATTGCGCGCACATAAAGCGTCCACAAATTCATCAACGGCACCACCAGTAGAAGTGAATCAAATGAATTCCGGTTCACGGTAGCTAGGTCGTATCGACAAATACCCCCATTCCTTTTTTTATTCTTGGCGTGTACTATATAGCTCGACATTGGCCTTATTGGACTGCCACTTTCATTTTTACTCTCACGCCTGCCTGTTAATATGATTCGTCCCACTTATATCTCGATAAGTGAGGATCAAATGTTTGATGTCCCTCATGATAGTCGCTCTAGCACCTGGGCTCCGGTCGAAGCACTAATTTCTCAACGCTGATTTTTATAGCACTTTGCCACTTTTTCTTGTTAATTATTCTCCCGCCATTGGTATATCCTATCATATACTCTTCTATTTGCCTATGGGACTCTCTAGTCTTCAATATTCATGGTTTGAGAACTATGCATGCAGTATCTGTTTATTGATTGAGCTGGAGGTCGGTTTACAAAACTGGAACAAGTTTCCTGTACAGCCTTAGAAACCCTATGTATGATCGCTCGGAGCTATTTGTACTAGAACCTTCCAAGGTTGGAAACCCGCATTTGAAATCTAGAGATATTTCAGGATTATATTCATGAGTGTATGTTGAATAGCATGTCTGGTGTAAAAATAGACAAGAATATTGTAGCCTCCGCATTGACCGTTCACCGTTCAAATGATTATTTTTATTGCCAGTACCAAGGTAGAGCTGAGAGGTAACTCCGAGGGTTTTCGCCAATGTCAATCAATATTCCAAGGTTGGAAACCCGCATTTGAAATCTAGAGATATTTCAGGATTATATTCATGAGTGTATGTTGAATAGCATGTCTGGTGTAAAAATAGACAAGAATATTGTAGCCTCCGCATTGACCGTTCACCGTTCAAATGATTATTTTTATTGCCAGTACCAAGGTAGAGCTGAGAGGTAACTCCGAGGGTTTTCGCCAATGTCAATCAATATACCAAGCTATGAAAGGGATTCACCAGTGGCATATATAAATTTTGCATCTATATGATAGAAGTTTAGGGTACTGGGCGAAGGCCTTTTGACCAGAGAGGGAGCAAGTCGACCGTCGCATGCGTATACCAGGCTGACAGTTTATCGATGTCTCTTCTCACGAGGCAGCTTGTGTCCCTTAGAGGTGGGCAATAGCGGAAGGTTGAATGGACATGGACTACATTTAAAGTCAGTCCACTAGTGGGTGTAGTTGGTGAAGGGGTGAATCGACGGTTCCGAGTTTCGATATGTGCCAGAAGTAACGACTCATCGAAATGGTGTGATCCCAAACCGCCACGATTGCTCAATATCAATGGATGTTCTAGGATCAGTTGTCTGGCAATTCTTGATAACAGTGAGTATGCGATCTGGATCCCACTACCACGAAAATGCAGTCAAAGGCTATTCTGCGTTTGGCAAATCTGGATAGTTGATTTTTCCGCATTGAGTACAGACTGTCGGTCAATCTATAGTGTGATGAATCAGAGACTTGTTTAGACGGTCTTCAGCCGTGTTAAATTAACGTTGTGACTGATCAGTTTCCTGATACCCGCTAACTCCCTTACCGGATGTTAGAAAATCAGCTCAAGCATGGTAAGGAGAATCTCATAACCTCTGCAAATGACAAGAAGTTCATTGTGACGTGTTAGCAAGGACTATGGTATATTTTTGGCCGTAGGAGGCTCGAGGCCATTTACCATCCCCCAAATACGGTCTCAGAGTCAGGCGATTTTTAATCATCAGGATTAGAAGCTCCATCTTCCACTGGTACGGTCCCTATGAGCCTTTTTGTAAATTCTGCAATCTTTGACGTATCAGTCGAGATTCTTCAATGTTGGTCAATTATCCCCAAAATGATGATGTGACTTAATGCGGTTCTATATTTTTTAGGCGTAGGCGCTTGGTTGCAGGTGTAAAATACTCTCACCGAGGAGACAAATAAGTCCCAGTCGTCTGTAGATTATTTTTTTTCATCGCTAGAGTTATTCAAACGCTGTATTTCACCGAATGAAGCGATGTTCAGCGGGAAACCTTCTCCATGACCCTTGCGCCTCATCATTAGCTGGTTCTGTAGAGCGACGAGCATGTTCTAGGCATCCCGAGGTCATCAGCCTGAAAGCTGACCTTGCAAGTCGAATCATCTCTGGAAATATCAAATTCCAGAAACTGAGTACTGTCTAATCACCAGATATCGGCTGGACATCTGATGTGTCTGGGAGAGGTTGGTGATGAACCTCCCTTTGTGAAGATATGGGAAGGGTGAGAAAGTAATAAATCTTTTCTCAAAAGAAAAACACGGAAGTTCAGGGCCTGGCTGCTCGCTAGAAGGGCAATTTATAGTCTTGATATTCCTGGAGTCAGTTGATAGCAATATTGGACCGGTTCAACGTCGAAGGCTATGCAAATTTTGAATGTTTTGACCATGTCAGGCTTAATGTATGGATGTGCGCATCTCATTAGTCGTTGTCAGCCAAATTGGCTTGAGAAACATGACTTGGCCAAAGTGTAGAGCGGTACTCCCCATATTAATTTGATTTGAAAATTTATATCAGAACATCCTTGCTGATTTGCTGATTGATATTCATGGCCAATGCTAGAAGTAGAATGGTGAAATCCTCCATTTGAAGCCCACTGTTGGACTACCGGGAAGGCCTTCTTGGGGACAAAGCTCTTCTGCTGATTTTTCATAGTTGCAGTCCAACTTTCTGGAACTAGACTTCACTATAAACGGGTGCATCAAGACTTGTGGCTAAACGGTGACCAAAAGGCGATGGCTATTCGTCAGATTGGCTGGCTGGGTTTCAGCCATACCCAGCACTTCAAACTTCAAAATATTCTGGAAGACTTCTCAAGTCCATTCTCAAGGATCTCGTTATGAGGAGATACTCCATCCATATCGATAGACTAGGAAACATGAAAGTACCAGTGCGCGTCTAAGGGCAGGCATGGAATATTCAACTTTGATCCAACCATTCTGTGTGAACTTGAAGATCCATTCATTCATGCAGCCAATCGCATACCTGATTCAAGTTATATAAGTCCTGTTCCAAAGACGTATGTTGCTCTGGTGTCCCACCGCAACTTGGAAAATATCTTCTCTTACAAAGAGCATAGATAAGTATCCAGTAGAATTCGGAGATCTCTTATATGCCTCTAAGTCCCTCACTTGGTATATCAAAAACTTGGGTTGATTTGCGGTTTCTGGCGTAAAGCGAGGATCATTTCGTGTGAAAAAGGTCTCTGCGAAGAATAGGAAAGAGGTCTTTTTGCGATGTTTGAGTTTTTTTCGCAAGACTGCTAAAGATTCCTAAAGTTGAACTTTCCATTCCGAAGTCTGGGGTCGATTCACTCCAACACTTGGGGGACGAAGGTGGTGAGAAAGGAACCTTGGAAGATTTTAAAAGAAAGCCATTTGGTTTATATAACACTGTTAGGTAATGTAGAATTCAATAAAATAGAAGATAGAGATAGAACCTTGGGACTGAAGTAAAAGTGAGAGAGAAGCCATGCCATTATAAGAGAAAATCAAATTTTTATCCAAGCTATTGAAGTAGAAAAATAGAGAAAGGAGGCTTTGTCCTCAGTAAACCACGATTTAAATCCGACAGCTTGGGGTATTGGAGCAATTAGGTAAGCTGAATACCTAGTCTGGGCTCCAGTATGATGGCTGATAACCTTAAAATGCTTGATATCATGAAATTGGTTCCGCATTATTTCTTCCTGTTTCCAGATCTCATAAGATTCACGATTTCATATCCGAATTATGTATTACAAATTGAGGCCACGGCAAGTTTTCTGCTGGCAAATGTTTCGACCGAGACTGGGGAAATGGTGGGGCCAAATTATATTCAAATGTCTGTGTTACCTCGGCTTTTTGTCTTGTTGTTCCTTTTTTTTATTTTTATTTTATTTTTCAATATTAAATACTCAAATTCCCTTAACAATAATCCGAAATAACATACTTTTTAATTTCTCTTCAAAAAATGTAAGTTGGTAACTGATCCATAGTAGAGATGTCTACACCTTCTCGATCACTCCAAGCCTCTGCCCTTAGCTTCTTCTTACTTTCTGTCGGCCACACGGTATGAAACTCTCCAAAGTAACATATATGAATTCCACAAGTTGATTACTTATTCGGCTCTCATGTCTTTGGTAGATCAAAGGTAGACAATGGACTGCTGAAAAGGTCTTTGAGGGTATTTCCGGTTCCAAGCCATGGGCTTGCGGGACTGTCGGATGGTACCAGGTAAGAAAGAATTCACATCATTTCGTCTTATTTTCCTGCTTGGAGTCTATCCTTGACTCGACAAAGTTAGAGTCAACCACTTTAACTGCCTTGGTTGACAATCGTAAGAGTATAACTAACGATGTGACCAATTCACAGGGAAGCGCTCTCTTTCTGGTGACTGGTATGTGCCTTATCTTCAATAAAGTTGGAATCAATCTGTCTAAATACTCTTAGGTCTTCTCCACTACCAATGGGCTCGCAACCCTGCAGCTCTAAATGACCCACTCAACAAGATCATGGCTGGCATCGTTAACGCTGCGCTCTGGGCTAGTTCCGCTTGGTATGCTAAAAACAATATTATGGACACTGCCTGGGTTGTGGGATTGGCGGCTGCACTACAGGCCTATGCAGTACTAATTTGATCCAAGTCCATCTACCTAAATATTTTAAGGCAGAGCTAAAACTGCGCCAGCTTCGTTTGTTAAATGGGAACGTTGCCCAGAAAGCAATTAAATACTTGTTCAATGTGAATTCCCAGCATTCTTTTTTTTTCTGTTTAATCTTTTTCTCCAAGAAAGGCAGACATGTCCTACAAATTTCCTTGTAACCAGGATATTTGGAAATTCTCTGGAAAAAACCCTTATCTACAACCCTGGCAGATTGAAGATTTCCCGTAATAAAGAAGTCAGTGTACGTTGGCTCTCCACCCATAATGAATGGCTTGTTCTCCTTACGAGTAAGTATCAATGCGCGCATTCCGCCGTCTACTGCATTCCAGGTCTGCGCTTCCTTTGCAAGTTCACCTTTAAGTGAGTGGCCAAGGAAGGCCTTGTGCGGTCACAGTACGTTGAAACTTTTATAGTGGATAGTCCTGTTCTTGTTCGACTTGACCAAAAAATCCAGTGCTTTTAACAATACCGATGACCGAGATGCACACCAGAATCAAATCGAGCGTTACAGGATCTAGAAATGGAGAATTGTAAAGCAGAACGCCTGGAGTTCTATGCTCTTGCGGAACGAAGTATTATCCTGGAAAAACCAGTCGCCGGTCTAAGTGGTAGGTCCAAAGCCAGCAACACCGACAGTGAATCTGGACTCTTCATCTCCGAAGAGGTTTGTCTCCCTCATCCTTGAAATCTGGAAGGATGCGGCCTCTGCGGATGATATTCAAGAGTATGGGGGAAGACGTTGAGTAAGGCTGAGAAATATGAAAAGGCTAATGCTTGCCCGACAAAGCTCATGGGATTCATCCTTGGTTAAGAGAGCGCTTTCATTCAGTGTCCATTGTATCTATTCATTATTGCGGACGTTTGACTATGAAGCCAAGAGAAATTTTGGGGCGGCTGGGCCTCACTGGAGAGTGAATAAGTTGACTTGTTAACTACCTCTTTACCACAGCAGTCAGATACTACACCTGTTTCCAGTCCCCTGTACAGCTATTCGAAAACAGATTCCCCCTCGGACAGACACGTTGTTTCTCGGCCCGTACCCGAAACTGCACTAGTCCTAATGAAGTTACCGTATCAATGACTCCTGATTAGCCTATCGAAATGTATTGACTTTCAGTACAGGTTAGGCTGGTGTAAATACCGTAATATCCATAGAATATTCTGGTTGGGTTCTTCAAGAGCAACAGTTTTTGGAAAAAACTCCTGGCCGTTCTCGGGAAGAAATTTTCCTCTAGTAGGGTGGTTAGAGCTAATGACATTACGGTCGTTGTATTAATTAATGATTGTTCCAGGCGTGATCTGAATAAGCACTTTAAGAGGATCGGTATAGTTTGGATGGCCATCGAGAAATAGTTCTAGATATGGTGTAGTCACCCCTGTCGAGGTAAAAGACTCACATTGCGTATCTCCTTTAACTATGTAAAGAATTGCAGTTTTCATCTAGTGGACAGAAAGTAGAGAAGATGGGTATATTTTCGGCCATAAAGAGGATGCTGAATGAACGAGATGCTTAGTAAAGATGTGGAAGAAAATTTATATCGCCAGAAGGCAATCTGGCGTCATGTTTGCCAATTAGGCCCCTACGACCCCTAGTGCTGACTGGACCTAGCAGGAAAAAGCATTATCGACTTCGTACACAAACCCTTCGGCGGTTGTTAACCTACGCCAAAAAGATGGCGCCCTAGAGACGCACAAAAAAGTTCTAGATGAAATTGATGAAGAGGTGTATATGGGGTAATAGCAGAGACTAGAAAAGGAGCAGCGCAAAAGCTGCAGGGCTGATGGGAACAGAACCTCTAATTCCCCAATCGACATCTTAAACATTCTTCCATTGTATTCAACTGGAAAAGATATGACGACTCAGAAAGCAGGTATTGACCTACCGGGAAGGAAATGAGTCCATTGAATATTCTAAGGTTCAAAGATAAAGCTGTTAAAGAATATAGCGAGTGGCTTGCATCAGCTATATTTGATGAGAGGCTTAAAGCTGCATTTCGACAAGCATGTGACGTAACCCTATCAGATGGCTTTGATCCTGAGCATGTCTATAAGGATCAAAACCTAGGTTTCTTTGTCAGCAAGGGGATAAAACCTGGGATTGCTCGCAGCTTTGTTGGAAAAATGTGTGACTGGGTCGTAAAGTACGTGTGATAACCAACCATTTTTATATTGATTTCGGCAATACATGTCAACACCAGGTAGATTCCTTAGCTTTACTTCGGTCGAGTTGTTTATAGCATACTATATAGCAAGAGATACCTTTGATGATCTATGCAATTCAAATTTTTTTCGTATTTGTTCCTACAGAGCTTCTAGTAGTGAGTTCAACTGCTTCTATCACACTAAAATGCCAGCTTCCAGAGCTGCTTAGCTGTCGCTCAAGTATGTTCTAAGACAGACTGCAGGATACGTCGATCAATGTCAAATCTTAAAACTCGACCATTGTCGAATCCAATGGCAACACAATCACCTTGAACATCATAACATGATTGCTGGAAATCGGGCGGTAGCCGAAAGAAATACATTTTTCCAAAGAGTATCCACTGCTTTTTAATATAGAGTCTTTGCAAAGAGGAGTGTCTCACTTCCTGTGTGCCTGTAGTGATATCCTCATTCATGAATAGTCCAATATTTGTGGCAAGGTACCGGTTAACTAGCGAGTATTTGAGGCTATATACTGGCTTCGATGTCTTTATTTCACTCTGCGGTTGCAGTTTAAAGCCGCCAGTGAGATAATAGCCAAGAAATCTTGAGGTCAAATGAGGTAGTGAAATATTCCAAAGCTTGATGGTGTTGTCCTTAGAGCTAGATGCGATCTGCGTGCCATCAGGTGAAAATGCCACAGCGTTGACCCAGTCTGAGTGTCCTTCCAGTGTCTCCTGAAGGTCACTCGTTGCGGTATCCCAAAGCTTGATAGTTTTGTCTTCAGAGCCAGATGCAATCTGCGTGCCATCAGGAGAAAATACCACAGCGTTGACCCATTCTGAGTGTCCTTCCAGTGTCTTCTGAAGGTCACCCGTTGCAGTATCCCAAAGCTTGATTGTTTTATCATTAGAACCAGATACGATCTGTGTACCATCGGGTGAAAAGACAACAGCGTTGACCAAGTCTGAGCGTCCTTCTACTGTCTTCTGAAGATCACCCGTTGCGGTATCCCAAAGCTTGATTGTTTTATCATTAGAACCAGATACGATCTGTGTACCATCGGGTGAAAAGGCAACAGCAATAACTGGAGCTGTGTGGCCTGCTAAGGTCTTAATCAGAGACGCCCAATTATTCTCCATCATAGGCGCTTTTCTTAGATGCATTGGAATTTTTTCCAAGTTTTTCCTCTTCAAAATACTTGATTCTGGGCTAAAAATGAGAGCAGAACTATAAATCTGTAGTAGCCAATTATGTATAGTATAGTAATGTCGTAGCAAAAAACGTATGGTATCCTGCACAAGTGCTGATACTGAAATGTGAGCGTCCTTAATAAAGTGATAAGTAAATCCCTGAAGCTCAAAAAGTATTGAAAACTCACCTTTGTTAGATCCACTAATGCTTTTAACCCTTCAATGGCTTGCGGTAGCCCACCTAGTAGGCTAAGGCATTCCAACCATTCTAACATCCTTCTATAGAGGAACATCCCGACTGCACCCTTCTCACTCAAACCATCCTGCGCCATCATCCTTGGTTCGACGTGCTGAAGATGCTGCACCCAGAAAGTAGCCGCGTAGTCTAGACATGAAAGTTGAGACTTCTTCTCTTTATCGTCTTGTAAATCAAATGATTCCTTGGTTGAGTCAGGTCGCGGTAAATCGAGAAGATTCACCTTAAGTAAATCAGATAAATAAGATAGACAGCCTTGAACAATATCATTATGTCCAAAGTGTTCATGTGAATCAAGTTTAGTCTGTCCATTCTCCCCAGCTAAGTAGTCCCGTGCAGACTGGTGAATAAACTCAATGTTTTGTTCCTGTATTCTGATAAATGAAGCACAGCGAGCAACTAACATCTGAATAGCACCTTCTTCGTTGGTGAGGCCAGTCACGCTTGGAACTCCTGCAATTTTTAATGGTCGGTATGCCAGCATCATGGCCTTTAGTAGTCGCATATACTTATAAACATCATCTGGCTCGCCTTCGCTTATCTGGGTTAATATCCGATCATAGAAAGAGTGTAAGCCCGGCGGCAAGTTTCGAATTATGGTCAAGACCTCATCTCGACTGACACTTTCGAGTGTCTTACAAACCAGGCTCACCCATAGGAAGGTCCCCTCGGCCTTTGAAGTAAGCTCGGCTTCAACTTCTGTTCGCAGAGGCTTTTTATACCTATGAAGATGACTGAGCTCATCCACTTTATGAGAAACATAGGTCTCTACCGCTTGAGAGACATATTCTGAGTTTAGATCGAGACTAACTTGGACCTGATCATGACCAATAAGCAATACCCGCTCTGCACTGTCTAATGGTCGACTCGTCAAAAGCCATTTAATCTTGGCTGGCTGATCTAGTCCATTACGTATAAGGCGTCTAAAGAAGTCAGCCATACCGTTGTCTTGACATTCATCAAGTGCGTCCACTATAATGAATATTTTTGAGCATTGGCAGTGGTCTAACATCTCCATGAGAACATTCCATAGATTCATCCACGAATTCATATCCTCAGTGAACCGGTTGTGGATAGTGTCCCAGCGGCTACGAAGAGATTCCTTTAGGCCAGGTTGCCGATTGATCAACTGTAAGATTAACCCCTTGATGATTGGTTCCAGAGTGTTGAGCGCATTGTCGGCACTTTGGCAAAATGAGTAAGCCACTATAGTAGATTCGTCGCGTGGTCGTGAAAGCTCCTCGATAAGACCGATCGACATCATGCTATCGCGATAGTAAGTAAAAAAAAGAGCGATAGTAAGGCAGGGAATTTAGAGACTTTTTCCCTTTGCCAGCACCACCCTTGATCCATAGCAGACAGGCATCTTCTCCATCTCGCCAACCCCGGTACTCTGGGTCTTGAAGAATCCATTGGAATGATTGAGGGAGTAGCTTGTCTTTGGTCTCTTTCAGCCGGTTTTTGACCGCCAGTGAGTCGGGCAATGTAAATTACGGAGGCAAAGCCGATCGATATCTTCAGTAGTTTGATTTTGAGCTATGGACTTTGTCAGTTTAATCTTTGTCTGTTTTTTCAAATTCATTGGTACATACCATAGAAACGTGCTTCAACGGGACTATAGTTGTTTTCAACCTGAAGTCCATGGTTAACGCCCCCCGTGAAAGTAATCGATGCCATGTGTAGAGTCACTGTGCTTTTAGTAGGAGATTTGTAGGTCATTCAGCTGAGTGAGGGGCAACATCCCTGCGCCTTTATTATCAGGTGACTTGATCATGTCAAACCGCATGATATTAATAATCATCCATAGCCCTTCTTAATTATGAAGATTCAGCTCTAATACATAAAATAGCAGTCCTTTTGAAAGAAAGATATCCTAGTCCAGATAACGATATCGTCGGCGTAGTAGCCCCAATTGCGTCTGATAACGCCTTTCAGCTCAGAAAAAAAAACCCCTCAATTGGTTATGGGTAATCAAGTTTCGTGTAGGATACAAGTCATCCTGGAATTAAAAGGTATTATTTTTTGGAAAAAAAATAATTTACAGCCTAGCTGAATACGATTGGGGTTGTTTCGGGTACGGGCCGAGAAACAACGAGTGTCTGTCAGAGGGGAATCTGCTTTCGAATAGCTGTATCAGAGCTTCAGAAAGAGCGGGGCGATGCTGTTATTGGTTGTGTGTGGCGTGCCTAGCAGTAATACACCGGGGTTCATCGGTACCTACGTTCCTAGGTAACGTCTAATGACCCAAGAAAGAGTATGAAGTAAAGAGACCACTTGAGCTTATCAAGGCCTGGGAAAACCAAGCAGTCGGTTTCGAGGAGCAAGATACCTGGGCATGTCTTGCTTTAAATGAGAGAATGAAGTCATATTGAAATGAGACTGACCTAATTTGACAAGCCTAATGCCATTCACATGGTTTGGGAGCTCTAGATGAGTTTCGATGTTACAACTTGTAAGATCCCAATCAGAGCCAGTTGAAGTTTGGTCACCCTTGAAAATGAAATCCGGTAGCCTCGGAACAACATGGCTTGTTTACGGAGCTCATGCTGTGCATTCCAAGGTTCCACTGAGGTTGAGGGGTTTTACATGCCTGATCCGATCTGCCCACATACAATGTACATTGGCATTTGCCTCATCTATTTAACACTTCAAATCCCTAGTTTCCTCATCCAGCTTCCAAACCTTGGAAATATAACCAATAATTTATCCTCTGAGCACTATAAACTCGTCCAAAGATTGATCTACAGGGCTTGTATTGGTATTCTTTTTGGAAAATGGCAGCAACATCCCATTTACTACCCGGCATAGGCCTGGTTATCGTAAGTCTCATTGCTTAAAAATTTAGCAGAAAGCGCTATGTTTCAACATTTAATTTCTAGGGTTCTGCCACAGGTGAGTCAACAAAAAAGAGATGATATTTTGCGGTTCACGAAATAGTTCTAATTACACTCATTTGAAGGGATTGGAAAGAGTGTTTCTTTCGCATTTGCCCGTGCTGGTGTTTCAGGTCTATTCATGGCAGATATCAACGAGAAGGACATGACAGCAACTGCAAACGATATCCGTCAAGAGATACCCGAGCTGAAAATTGTCACCCACCGAGTAGATATTGGCGATGAAGCATCCTGTATCGATTGCGTGCAAACAGCAGTGAAGACTTTTGGAAGAATAGACTATGTTCTGAACAATGTTGGAATTGGTGCAACCAACACGCCAACCCACGAACAAACTGGAGCTCATCTGGCCACAGTCCTCAACATCAACTTCGTTGGTCTTTGGAACTGTCACAGGGAGCAGATCAAGCAAATGCTGACCCAGGAGATACTCCAACTTCCGTAAGTTCAAATTGTCCCACCTGTGATCCTATCACTGATGGTATGGTCTCAATTACAGGAATGGACGTGGAAATCGCGGAGTTATTACCAACACTGCCTCTATCATGGGATTGGTTGGGGCCCCACCTGGTCATAGCCCCTACAGTGCGAGCAAACATGCGATAATAGGATTGACGAAGACGGTATGACACATATCTATTTAATTACCTTAAGCTGATATATCCAAATTAGGAGGCTGCCACGTATAGCAAAGAGGGAATTCGGATCAATAGTGTTTGCCCAGGGTATGATCTATCTATTTCTCATGAAATACACAATAACAGAACTGACTTTGACTACCTAGTTATTGTTCAACGGCAATTCTTGGGGAGAAGGGTTCACAGTCACGGACCGAGCTTGAAGCGGGTGTAGTTACTCTGGTTCCCATGGGAAGACTTGGAGAAACTGACGAGGTTTTTCTCACTAATCTTTGATTCCCTTGCATTTGGTACTAATCCGTGGCAGATTGCGGACTCGGTAGTTTTTCTCTCATCGCACATGGCAAGCTATATCACTGGATCTTCGCTGGTAGTCGATGGGTATGCTTATCCCCTCTGTTCCATTCCAAATAGACCTTGGGAACATTCTGACTCTCATTTATAGGGGATACACTGCTGTTTAGCTAGTGCTTAGGTTCTTAGAAAACTAGTTGCTTTTATTATGTCAATTCCAAATTCTCAAATGTCTCTTCAGGTTGAAAAAGGGCATTTTATCTTATATTTTCAACATCTAAGGGGTTCATCTTTCAAGTCTGCGTATCTACGTGTGAAATGAGATTAGGTCTCGGTATTTTCAAGATTATCTCTACTCGTTAATATCAACTTTTAAAGGAATCTGGTTCCATTAAATGGATGATTTGTGAAAATGGCCAAGGGAAAGCGAGAAGTTGAGTAGTTGGAAGCCTAGTTATCACGGGATGCAGGATAAATGGACGCAAAATGCTCCCATGAATTACCATATTAGGCTTAGTATATTGCGTCCATTTATCACTGCTCTAGTATGCGGCATAAAGCCAGTCTAGACATATAAATGACTTAGATGCATCAGATAAATCCAGATTGATGTGTTCTATGGCCGTGGAATCTTGATTCTTATTTTTGTTAAGAATTAAAATCAGGGTCTGCACTAAGTTTAGTGTATATATAGATTGAAGTCAAGTTCCAACTAGGCTTTATCGTACAATCGCCTCTCGTGCAGATGTTGGATTGGTTTTGAAATTATGTGGACCTGATCCTTTGCAGATGAATATGAGGTATCCACGGCAGGATTATACCCAGCTAGGCCTTCAAGTTCAAGCGCGGGCAGCATTATGAGGTTGAGTTAATATGGGATAAATTAGTTCAAAATACTAGACAGCTTCACGCCTACGCATTGTCCATCCAATAAAAAGGCCCACATCTGCGACAACAGCACGTGGTACTCCCCCTAGTGTCCAGCTTCTTTGGACCCATTTTGGGATCGACCCACCTGCATCGGACGTAGTTGCCATGGTCCATTCGATGCGAGGGTGAGACTTTCCAGCAGAAGCAGTGTTAGCGGGTGCTGCAGTCGAAGGTTTATCTGGAGAGGGTAATGTGGTGACTCTATCTACGCTGGCGTAATTAGCGAATATAGTTCGCCGAGGTACAAGAGAGAGGATCTTTTCATGCAAGGATGCATTTGATGAGGGGTCTGAGTAGACAGGAACCTGAACGGTGAGGAAACCCCTTGGGCTGGACTCGCTGGTGTATGCAGCTGAGATGGTAAGGGAGATAAAGCTGCGCGGGCTAATAATCACGCTTGGGTGGAAAGTGTGAGTTATAAGATTGACTGAGAGGTTTTTATTAGCTCACGAGGTCATTGCCATAATAGAAAGCTTCAAAAAGAGGGACATTGCTTTTTCTTACCCTCAACATCGATATCTTTGAGCTGGAAACCGTCAACCTCAAGCTCCCCAACTTCATTCCTTGGCCATTCCAGCAGCCGCTCGGAACCAGTTACACTATGTGTATATTCCATTTCGTGCTCAGCATGATTAGATCTTAAACCGCTCTCAAACTCATTCCAGGACGCCGTGCCCTTCGTAGCGGAGTCAACATGCTCGCTTTGGCGACATACCCAGAACTCGGATTTCTCCACGGCACCAACTCCTGGCTCTACAGATTTACGTCGTCGCAGAAGCTTTACAGTTGCTTCTGATGGTGTGGATGAGCGAAGCTTGGGGTCTGCGGTAAAAGACGACGGAATTGAATGGAGAACCCCAAAAGCTTCGTGAATCGCGGTGCTAATAAATGAGTGGAGTTCTGGGCGGGAGTCATTGAAAGCGAGGGATGGATGTGCTGGTAGTGAAGTGAAAGGATGAGGTTGTAATTGGAGGAGTGGCATTCTGGAATACATATAGAAAGTGCAGAGTTGTTTCGGGAAAGGGGAAGCCTAAGCTGAGAGACTGGATGCCAAGAATGCCAAGGGATCGGCGGTGCTTATTTCTGTCGATTATCGAGGTTATCATCGACGTTTGTACTTAATCTTGAGGAAAAGCCCATCTATATTTTCTTTGGACCTTAAAGGTTCGTCGCTGACAGCCCTGGGCTCTACCATATAAGCTCTGGTAAACGTTGAACAGTGAAGCATCTCCCTTGCAGATTACAAGTCCATTGGTAGTTTACTTCGTTGTCAGATATCGTTTCGTTTGCCAGCTGTGTACAGTTTTCATTAGTTTGAAGAGCCTAATTCCGGGGTCAGTGTTATTGATATTAGAAGTCCAATTGTCGTCACTAATATTTGGCGGTTGAACACATGTCTAATGTCAGACTTATAACTATGATTATTAGTATAAAGTAAATCCTATATGAGTGGTTCACACGTATGAGTGGCGCACCCAGAACACCATAGTAAAATCAAAAAAATTTAATGTCATATTTCAGCAACAATGACACTGATAAGATTTAAATATAAATTCAGATATAACGATAAGGCTCCTCATAAAGAATCAACTCACTTGAAGTAAATTAGATAGATTAATTCTAGTGGTATCATATATTACTAAAAATTACAGTATAATTTATCTATTTTAGCTTCACCTACACTTCACTTAATGATTTCCTAATCCTTCTTCACATCTATTTATCTGATCAACTAGAAATAATCCAAATTCAGGATTTGAAATTATTTTAACCGGTGGTTGTTGAGATATGACATTAAATTTTTTCGATTTTACTATGGTGTTCTGGGTGCGCCACTCACATGTGTGAACCACTCATATAGGATCTACTTTATGCTTTGATCCGCTAGTGACACTACAGACAACGAATACCCGGTCCCACACTACCTGTTTCAAATAATTCTACAAGCCCAGCACCAAGTGCTTCTTCTACTATCCAATTGAAGTGCATGCCATATAGGTCCTTCCACTTCTTTGTTTTTCCAGGCAGAATTCCGGCAAACTCTCCTCGCGCCAGCTTTGCCTGATGGTAACTCTTATCAGTCTCTATTGCGCCTTCCCAACGATCCTTGAGCATACTGAGGGGCGCCTCGGCGTGACTGGATCGCCTAAGAAGGGAGATCAAGTGGTCACGGCCTGAGCTAAGTAATCGTAGGTATGTTCCAGTGTTCGGGAGAGACAGAAATAGAGTCGCCGCACGAGCCTGGGCATTTGTCTGCACGGGTCGATCGGTGTTAAAAGGGTTGTTTGGTTCCCTCCTACTGGCCGACGAGAATGCGACGGTGGGTAAACTGGGAAGAGATGCTACATTCAACGACCCCTGCGTGATAACAGAGGATGATACAAGAAATCCAGCACGCATTAGAGCCCTATACTCGTCGATTGTGAATATACTCTGCGAGATAGCGGTACAATTCCCGATACGGTTAAGGATGTCAATAAACTTCTCTGCGGGATATCATATTAGATGGATGTCATTGCAAGAATATGATTTGATAAACTTACCCTTAACATCTATATTTAGTGCCGAGCTATCTCGCACTAGCTTCTCCCAGTCTTCAGCAAGTACTAAGCAATCGCCCAGGTCGGCTGCGTCATTACCACGCCCTGGGACGATTAGGCGCCGAACACGACCTGATTTAACGAGTTCGACAATCTCTCGTTCTACCTGTGTCGGTGCATCCATCAAGGTATGTACATGCGCAACTGAAGCGAGAGGGGGGAGCGATCGGCGCAGATTTAGGACTTCTGCGATTCGGGTACTATTCATTCCCGCTCTTTCGGGGAGCTCGTCGAAAATCTTCGTTCCGACGTATCGGATCGCTTCTTCCACATTCCCAACACGTGCAGAGTGAGTGATGTAATCCGACCTACCTATATCACCGAGGGGCTCATCTAGACCTAGTTCTGCAGCAGCGGGCTTTCTGCCGACTGCGGCAGAGGTAGGCTGTCGGCGCGCATGAGTGGCGAAGGGTGAGGCTCGGGATTTTGAGGTCACAGATCTTTTCTTTTGAATACCTGAGACTGGAGCAGAAGTGAGACGCAGTGTCATACCTGACAATGTTGGGCTTAAACTAACGAGAAGGTGGAAATGACGGTAGATTCCATGAAAGGCATACTACCCGATTATCTCATCGAAAGGTCATGTGACTTGGGTATACAAGTTTCCGCCAATCAAGGCACAAAAGGCATACTTGGTATGTGTAATACCGTATTGAAACTCATCTTTAGCGTGAAAGTTAACGAAGTTGGTACGACGCAGTTAGAATTCGCGATTTACAGATTGTAGAAGCTATGGGTCTAGTCTCCTCTTGCCAAGGTTCTATACCAAAGTGAGTTAGCTACTGATGTCCTGCCACTTTATTCAGTGTGATCAGCAACGGTTTTTACCCGAGACATCGCAATACAAACTTGCTGTTGGCCCAAGCAGCACCTGATCTTTCCCTATATGACGTAGTCGTGAGAAAACTGGAGATCTTCAGTCTTACTTGTCAAAACCCAACCTCAACCCTTCACCTAACTTCACTTGTTACTTCGGTACTCAAGTACCATTCCTCAACCTTACTGAGGCTTCAGTTCCTCAGGGACTTTTCTGTCTCACAAACCTCCGCCTCGACCTCTACTCCTCACAATTTCCCCCACCATGACGGTTTTTATCGCGTCCCTGTAAGTGGAGATAAATATTACATAGAATGCTTGCTAATGTACCAGAATAGTTTTCTCCCATACACAGTCAACTTTAAAGTCGGCACTTCTCGTAGCAGCTCTCGCAGCAGTGGTCGTCCACCAGTTCCTCTTCCCATTCCCTCGGTCGACTCGAAAGCTCCGCTCAACGCAGCTGCGAGTCTCTTTGAAAAGAATAACCCCAATGTTCAACCAGGTCTCACTCCCGGTGCGACTACCGACCATGAGCGCATTTTTGCCAGTAAGTTAGCCAAAGCCGAGACTAGCCACTCTGGCTATCCCTTCCCTCCGGAAGGTGCGGAGAATAACCACCTTCTTACGGAGAGTGAAGCCCATTCTCCAGCTTGGGGTGCGACTACATCTCTGCTCCAGCCAAAACCCCAGTCAGTTCCGTCGCCATCTCCCTCAATTCTCAAGCACGATGAGCACGTTACGCCAAACAAGGTTATTGCTGCCCAAAAGACTCCCGAAAGCGCGCCGGTTCCTTCTTACATCCATGAATTCAAGCGCAACTCACTTCATAACTCACTTCACCGAAAAATATCATTTTCTAAGGCTGATTGGTCCATTCAAAAGGCCGAGCAAGGTAACGGCGGTCTGCGCAATGCTGTGCGTTCCGCAAGTGATGCCGGTCAGTTGGAAAATATGATGTGGGTCGGCACATTGGGCATGCCCACCGATGCCCTTTCCGATTACACTCGCAATGATATCGCAGAGCGTTTGGAGGACCAATACGACTCGTTGACGGTATTTGTGAGTGATGGTGATTTTGATGGCCACTATACCCACTTCTGCAAGACCATCCTCTGGCCAGTCTTCCATTACCAGATCCCGGACAACCCGAAGAGTAAGGCATACGAAGACCATTCTTGGATTTATTATGTCAAAGTCAACCAGGAATTCGCCGAGCGCATTGCTAAGAACTGGAAGCGTGGTGATTCAATTTGGGTTCAGGATTATCATTTGCTGCTTGTGCCGGCCATGTTGCGCAAACTGATTCCAGATGCTCAGATCGGTTTCTTCTTGCACATTGCTTTCCCCTCTTCGGAGGTGTTTAAGTGCATTGCTCCGCGCAAAGAACTTTTAGAGGGTATTCTCGGTGCCAATCTCATCGGGTTCCAGACTAGTGAGTACTGTCGACACTTTTTGCAGACCTGCAGTCGTATCCTGTGCGTGGAGGCTACCCCGGAAGGAATCCAAATGGAAGATCGTTTCATCAACGTGGGGACCTTCCCGATTGGTATTGATCCTACTTCTTGGGATAAACGCCGTAGGTCATCGGACGTGGAAAGATGGGTGGATACTATTTCAGAACGTTACCACGGGAAAAGATTGATTGTCTCTCGTGATAAAACGGATTCAGTTCGTGGCATTCGCCAGAAGCTTCTGAGCTACGAATTGTTTCTCAATACCTATCCTGAGTGGGCGGACCAGGTGGTCTTGATCCAGGTTGCAACTAGCACGACGGAGCAGCCGGAGCTGGAGGCAACTATCTCTGATATCGCTATGCGGATCAACTCTACGCATTCGACCCTGGCTCACCAGCCTCTAGTTTTCTTGAAACAAGATCTAGCATTCCCACAATATCTGGCCCTCATTACTGTGGCAGATGCTCTCATGATCACCAGTCTTCGTGAAGGTATGAACTTGACCAGTCACGAATTCGTTTTTTGCCAGGATGGCAGCTACGGCAACAAGAAATACGGATCTCTCATCCTTAGTGAGTTCACTGGCAGTGCGTCTGTTTTCGGAAGCCATGCGCTCTTGGTGAACCCATGGGACTATCGCCAATGCTCAGAAGCCATATACACAGCTCTGACCCGGGATGAAAAAACGCGAAAGGAGGTATGGGAGAAAATGCTCCGCGCCGTCTTGAAGAACTCAACCGGTAATTGGGTTAAGTCATTTAGCCAAACTTTGAAGCGGGTTTGGAACGAACAGTCATCGCGTGAGATTATGGCTGTGCCTCGACTTTCGATTTCTCGACTTACCGAGCAGTACCGAGGCAGCAAGCGCCGGCTCATAATTGTCGATTATGAAGGCACTATGGCATCGTGGGGATCCCCACACAGTATCATTCTGACAACCCCACAGCGTGCAATCACCGCCCTGACTGACCTCACCGATGATCCAAACAACATTGTATACGTCATGAGCTCCCGCATGCCGGAGGAGATGGAGCGTCTGTTCCGTCGAGTCAATAACCTCGGCCTCATCTCCGAGAACGGGTGCTTTACGCGCGATCCTCAATCCGATGAATGGACCAGTCTCATCAACATGGACCACGTTCATGAATGGAAAGAGTCAATTTCGAAGATTCTGGGCTACTTCAAGGATCGCATCGAGGGTGCCTGGATCGAAAAGCTGCACTGCTCGCTTATTTTTCACTATGGAACGGCTGAAGATTCTATAAGTGCTGGTCGTCTCGCTGCTGAGTGTGCAGACCATCTCAATGACGCTTGCGCGAACCAGCACGTGCACGCCGTCCCTATCGACGGCGCTCTGGTGGTCGAGACTGCAGGTATTAACAAGGCATCAGCAGCCGAGCTGGTCTGGCGCTGGTGCTTAGAGGCCGCGGAAAAGGACGAGAAACCAATTAAGCCTGATTTCTTACTAGTTATCGGTGATAATCGTGATGATGAGCCCGTGTTCCGCTGGGCCAACAAGCTGCAGAGTACCAAGGCAGTTGACTACTCGATGACAGTCACTTTGGGATCACGCAGTACCGAGGCCAAGGCCACATTGACGCAGGGTGTTACAGGTAATTACATCCATTGACATCGTTTATTACCATTCCTCAAAATTAACTCTCCCTACAGGCGTTCTTTCTTGTTTGCAACAATTGGTGGCTCCTTCGGAGCCCCAGTCATTGCCCATTTCGGCATGATTAGCAATTTCTACACCAAAACGAGGGAAATGCTAAGACGAGCTCATGAATTATTTTAATTAGCATTTCGGAGTTACTTTTTCCCTTGGCTCGATAATTCTCAGTTTCTTGAAGTCGGGTTTCTATCACATAGATGCAAAAGTTCCAAGACAAATACCTAGATAGCTTTTACTTCTCTCCTCTATGGGGCGTTTCAGACTCAATACATCAAGGACTGCTTTATTCAAAATCATTCCACTATCTTTTACTTGGATCAGTTGATAACCTAGATGTCTTCTTAATCTTATCTTAGATCTTGATCTCTAAAAGCTTACTCATCCGCGTCGGCTATGAATAACTAAACAACCGAGGTTCGGCCTAGATGTGTAACTACATGTGGTATGGAATCTAATATCTTTGAAACTCATTTCTCTAATTCAGTTTTCAATTAGTGCATGTCCTACAGTAATAATTACCGAGTCAGACATGTCTTCTATCAACGCGACCTTTGAGGATGCTATTCGCGTTATCCCGCAAGGGTCCAACAAATACAGTGCTCATCTCCGCCCAGAGTGGTGCATAGGAACTGGTACAAACTCCACAAATCCGAACTCAGCCTCAAACACACTAACGGAGTGATAGTTCCCCATGGTGGCTACACAGCAGCAGTGATCTACAAACTAGCTCTTACCCACTTCTCATATGCCCATCCAGAGCAATATGACACCCCAGCTACGCCAATATCACTCCAACTCTCCTTCTTACGGCGCACAGCTGCCGGTCCTACGATTCTAGAAGTTGAGGACTTAAAGCTCGGCACTCGGACAAGCACAATCCAGGCCAAGCTATTTCAACCCTCAGAGAAAGACCCAGGCCGACTCGAGCTCAAACTCACAGGCTTCATCACTGTTAGTCCACCAAGTGCGGAGGTAGGTATCAGCGCCTCAACAGGCTGGAAGCCATACCCAGCCACACCGCTAGGCTCCTTAGCAGATGGACGCGTCAATTTATCATCGCTGGCCCAAATAGGCCGCGACGGCGCCTGGATAAAGCTCAACACACCATTTCCTGAGTTTCGGCGTGCGGGTACGCAGGTGGAACTATATGGCCCCAGCAAGAGATTTACGCACCTGGAACAGACCGAGTCAATGGTTGTAGATCAATGGTCACGATTCCGGCCGGGTGGGGATAAGAGTGCGCGGTGGACTGATGCTGCGGTAGTCTATCTGACTGATATGTTTCCGATGGCCATGAATGGGTTTGATAGCGTTTCTACGACGGCTGTGGCGAAAACCCAGGGCACATCTTCAGGGAAGCAGGTAAAATTCTGGTATCCGACTGTCACTTTAAACATTGAAATGAAGAAGCATCTGCCTACTGAGGGGGGTGGAGTGGCTATATAGCCGGATTGTGACGAAGGTTATGAGAGATGGAAGGACAGATTTAGATGTGACTATTTTAGATGCGAATGGGGAGGTCATTGCGATGAGCACGCAAGTTGGGTTGGTTGTAAGTGCGAGTCGTAATATTGGGTCTAGAAAGATGGAGAAGCTATAGATTTGAGATTTGAAGACGGTAAGGTAGATCAATTAATGTTTGTAACGGATTTGGTATGTAAATTCAGCTGCAGATCAATACAGTTGAAAGGTTCTATGTACATTGGCAAGCACAGTTCCATCTATGTCGGTAATAATTTACAACTTTTCAGCTGGCGTGAGAATCCAGAAACCCATAGCATCAGCCTTGACCTTCTCCCGTTTCGTCCACTCTAAATGACCACCAGAGTCATCATCTTCTTGAATAGCTTGCGCTCGCACCCAAAACTTCTTTCCATCACGCGCAACAACCCTTGAACGAATAACCAAGACTCCAGGCGTCGTCACCTGCCCTTTATACCGCACATCTAATTGAACAGTAACCGGATCGCCAGATCTCGGTAGTTGGCTGGTATGCGCCGCAATAGCATTGAACATAGCCTGATCAATCAAGGTGGCCGTAATTCCACCATGAGTCGTCTCCGGACGACCGAGTACTCCATCTTGGAGCGCAAAAATCATGAGAACATCAGGCGGTGTTGCGCTTGGAGTCGGGTTTGCCTTGGCCGCCGCAACATCTTGCTTCGTTGCAGGAAGCCAGGTTGGGACTTTGGATGGTGGTAGAGAAACGTCTCGCCGTTGAAGGGTTAAGACATGTGGAATCGTGTTCTCGGTTTTTGTTGTTCTGGAGAAGAAATTGTCTTCGCCGTTAGGCTTTGGGCTGCGTGCTTCTGTTGAGATCGGTGTGTAGTCCTTTGAAGAAATGAGGGAATTGATCCACGGATCAGGTCTGAAATGAACAATGGCAGCTTCTGTATCTGGATCCATCGTTCCAATTAAATTCAACATTGATGCTCTCTGTTTATGATTTTTTTTAGCCTCGGCTTGAGCGGAGATAAGACGGGATCACGTGTGATACTAAACCTATATCCAACCTCATATTGTCGTTGAGATGTTAGCTAACCTAGTCAATAGCAGTAGAAAGTGTAGATCAGTTTAATGTAATGTCTCGTGTGAACACATAATCAAGCTGAGATATGTGTGATTTGAATCCGTCAACAGCTATATGAATCATGCCCATGAGACTACTACATACACGATTAGTAGACAACGAGTGATGAAAAATAATTATAATTTCCCACTGAAAGACTCATTTATAGATCAGCTTTCCATGTGTCCGAGATTTACCGTCACCTGAGCTTCTAAGCACTGAATTTTCCCTTCTTGGTATGTTATCGGGGGGTGACAGCTGCAAGGGGGTTACCAATGGGGAATCTCAGTCTGGAATGCGCTGTAAAAATCAAGAATTGCCAGTTGCATTCGATTTCAAAAAACGAGGGGAAATAAGGAAGCTCAGAAAGTTGTGTGACTCGAGGAAATTCGAAATCGAAATGAATGTGTTGGCAGAAGGGAATTGGAAGAAGCTGTGCAACAGAGAAAGAAAAGAAATAAAGTGTTTTGACTGTAAGTTAGGTTAGGGAGCATTGGTATGTAGTTTGTTTCCCCTCCCCTGTCCTTTGTCTCTGTAGTTACCCTGGCACTCGCACTTTCCAAAATATTTCCCTTCCCCATAAGCGCTTTCTCTCTTTTATCTCTCCTCCCCTCCCCTTCTCAACTCTCAGCTCTCAACTCTCTCTTTCTCTCCTCACATCTCTCAAATCTCGTATCTTTCACACTCTTACCAAACATTCATCATGCATACCTCTATTCCTATCCTCTTGACTCTTGCAGTCTCTGTTCTCGGTGGCAATTATACCTTCCCCGCTGGATTCAACATCGGCCTGATCGACCCACAGGAGCTGAGTATGTTGACCACCGCCATTTCAAGTACCTTTTTTTTTGCTGACCATCTTAGCTTCCTGGTGTCTTGGAGAGCGCAATGTTTGCCCCTCAGTTTGCCAGGGTTCAACCAAGCAGAATAGCTGTGATCCAGTATGTTCCATGACACTCCATTCCCCCAACGACAGCTGACCTCTCTTCTCCTCAGTCTACCCTGAACTTTGACTGTGTCTGCTCCGATGGTACCGCCCCCGACATGTCCCAGTACATGCAGTCTATCCCATTCTACGTCTGCGAGGCTAGCTTCGGCCAGTGCATCGACTCGCACCCCAACGACGCGATGGGCCAGGAGGCTTGCAAGAAGGCCTCGAGCTGTGGAACTAAGAACGCCAGTGCTACTGAGACCACCTCTTCTTCCACAGCCACAGCCACCCTCTCTACTAGCACCGACACTGACTCCACCAAGCCTTCAGTTTCGTCTTCGTCCTCCGTGGCCGCTGCTAGCTCCACTAGCACCAAGAATGCTGCCCTTCCTCATGGTGGTCTCATTGAGGATTATTCGACTACCTTTATGGCGAGCGTCATGCTTCTGGCCATGCGCCTAGTCCTGTAAAGATGCACGATGACTTATTCATGATCGTACCACATTGAGGTTCGGCTTCTCGAGTCATTTGACTCATTTCACGCTGTATCTTCTTTATCCTGTTATCTCAGCATGATCGCGTCTGATTACTCTTCTTGAGCACCTGTCTTTTTATTCCCCATTCCAGAAAGCTTCGAGCTTGTGCTCATTTTATCCTGTTATCTATGGACACGATGTCCTTCGTCAGTTCTTGGCGAGGTGGACTGTCTCAATGACTATGGCCACGGCGATATATCGTCTTAATAATACTGTCAATCATTGATCAACCTGTTATGGTGTTCTAGTATTCTTGTAGCCCGTAAATTGTATGATTTGGTGTAATTTGTGGAAGAATGGTGTTGGATGTTCAGTGTTGGTGGTTTTGTATGTTCTCGTGTTCCATTTTCGCCAAGACTTTTCTGTCACACACTGAAATTTCTCATTATCGATAGACTCCACCATCAAAGAACCTCTGCTCTTCCCCCCCCTTCTCCTTCCACACACATCCCTCAATATGCCTGCTCCGACCACTACCCTCCTCATTGAGGGTTCTTTCTCCGAGCTCGCCGAGGAGTTTACCCAGTACATCGATGCCGTTCGCAAAGAGGGTAGCCTCCAGTCGGAGATCGCCCCGCTCCTCGAGCCACTCCGCGAGCAAGAAACCGCCAGCCAGGAGCCTGATCTGAAGCAGCGCGATGAGGTCCTTAAGAAGATTGTTGGTGCCGCGACCGCCTTGAATGCTGCTCCCGAAAAAGGTGAGTTTTTCGATTTGCCATGGCAGACTGATATTCTGAATATCAAACACCGCGGCTTTTTTTTTTTTCGTTGCTTTCTGCGATGAAATGTATGCTCACATTGGACACAACGATAGAGATCATTCCTTCATACAACCTGCTTGTGCACCTTGTGCACCAGTCCTCCAACCCTGATATGTTCCTTCCTCGCATCTGCACGTATCTCGCTAAGCCTATCACCACCTCCCCCCAATTCGGCCCTACCCTGGCCATCTCTATCCTCACCACCATCTTCAACACTTTGCCCGCCACTGAATCAAGCCGGTACCACGTTCTCCTCGCCATTGTGGCCGTGATCCGCCAGTCTGCATCTGGATACGCCTTCGAGGCCTTGAGGCCACAACTCGTTTCGCAGCTGCCCACATGGTTGTCCGAGTGGGATCTAGAGAATGAGGAGGCTCAGAAGTTGCACTTGGCAATCGCTGATGCAGCTACTGCCGCTGGCGATGATGACCTGGCTCAGTCGCACGTCATGCAGGCTCTGCAGACCATTTCCGCAGCTGATTCTAGCAAGCCTGCCGCTCGTGATCTGGCTGTGCGCGCTCTCGCTTCTGCGCTGCGTCGCCCCGGTGTCTTCGACTTCAACTCTCTGACCTCATCTGACGCTGTCCAGGGCCTCCGCTCCAGCGATAGCACCCTGTTTGAGCTTTTGGAGATTTTCACCTCGGACACTCTCGATGCCTACGAGGAGTTCATTTCCGCCAACCCTCTCGCTTCTATCTCTGGCGGTGTTCTCGCTGAATCCGCCGATGCCCTCCAGACCAAGTTGCGTCTGTTGACTCTGACTTCGCTTGCAGCCTCTACCCCATCCCGCTCGCTCGCCTATTCCGCTATTTCATCTGCTCTGCGTGTTCCCGCTACCGAAGTTGAGGTGTGGGTTATCAACACCATCCGCGCCGGTCTGGTCGAGGGTAAGCTTTCGCAGCTGCGCCAGGAGTTCCTCATCCACCGCGCCACTTACCGCGTGTTCGGCGAGAAACAGTGGACCGAGGTCCAGGGCCGCCTGATGGTCTGGCGCCGCTCGCTCGAGAATGTTCTGAATGTTATCCGCTCTGAGCGTGAGCGCTTCGTCCGCGATGGCATTCAGGCCGCCGCAGACCAGGAGGCCACTGCAGCTCAAAACAAGAACGGCGACAAGGGCCGCACCATGGAGCGGCGGCGTCTGCCGACACAGTCCTCGCAACCGCGCGAGGTCGAGGTTGTTAGCGAGTAAATGTTCTTTGCTTGGGAATGCATGGATCAGGTGTTTTAATGAGATGGAATAGAGCCAAAAATCTCAATGAACACATTAAAATTTATGTCTTTCCGCTAATAGAGGGGAGATGATGTCCTTATTTTCTTTTTCCCTTTTTCCCCATGCATTCGATACTTTTTTTCTTATTCTTCACTTTTTGTCTGATCAGTTGTTTACTGATCCCCATCGAGATATGGGATCCCCACGAATCATGTCATGTCTTTTTCTTCTCATTTTTGTCTTGTGTCTTGTTTCCTGGAGGAATAAAACCCGTTGAAATGATTTATTTCCTGACCTTAGATCAAGAAAAAGAAAAGCAATTTATTCCATGATACTATATGACTTGAGTAAAATCAATATTTTTCATTTTGTTGCTTCAATGAGAGAACTGCATTCAGGTACATAACTAGAGTGCATCCACAGTCTTTCTCAAGTCGATAAACGCCTTTGGAATCTTGGACAACTCCCAATTCACCTATCGATTGATCCAATCAGTCTGAACGAGAAATATACTCGCTGTACATAGAATTCCAAAATTATCAGATATAACCCTAATTACTCCGTATAATCTAGATTGCTCCAGTAGATGAAGGTATACACGATCAGCAACTAATCCCGTTCCGGCAACCCCAACTCCTTTTTTTTTCCCTTCCCCTTTCACTCTACTATTTAACAGCCTCCATGTCTCTCCCCTCCTGCACCCGTCAATTGCTTACCGGAGCTCTCTCCAAGTCTCGATCCCTACCAGTCCGCCTCTCATCGTCTTCCCGTCTCTACTCAACTGGACCCAAGCCTCCGCCCAAGAAAGACTCAGATTTCAAGATCTTGCCCATCCTAGCCCTGATCGGCATCAGCTCAGGCTCCTACTTGCTCCTCGTCAAATCCCGAACTGGTCAAACTCCTGGTCCTAAATAAGAACGATATCTCCGTCACAATCAGGCCATTCCCAGCGAATCCCCCCTCACCCGAAACAGACACGGAAACCTAAACCGACCCTAAACTAAACCCGGAATAAACACAACTCAACAAAACAAGCTACATCTACCCCCTCAAATCCAACACACACAATGGCCGCTACAACCCCCCGCTTCTCTACAAAAGATGTTACAGTCGTCTTCTTCCTCGGTGGCCCCGGCAGCGGAAAGGGCACCCAATCCGCCAACCTAGTCAAAGACTACGGCTTCGTGCACCTATCAGCCGGCGACCTCCTCCGCGCTGAGCAAGTCCGCCAAGGTAGTGAGTACGGCGAAATGATCAAGACTTACATCCGTGAGGGCAAGATCGTTCCAATGGAGGTGACCGTAGCTCTCTTGTCAAACGCCATGGCCGAGTCCCTGGCCACAGCCCCACCACCCGCTGGCACGAAAGCTCGATTCCTGATCGACGGCTTCCCCCGCAAACTGGACCAAGCCGTCTTCTTTGAGAAGACCGTTTGTGTCTCCGAGCTCGTCCTATTCTTGGATTGCCCCGAGGACGTCATGGAAGCCCGGTTACTGAAGCGGGGTGAGACTAGTGGGCGTGAGGATGACAATGCTGAGTCTATCCGCAAGCGCTTCCGCACTTTTGTCGAGACTTCTATGCCTGTTGTTGAGGACTTTAGGGGAAAGGATAAGGTTGTCGAGGTTGAGGCTACTAAGTCTGTTGATGAAGTGTACGCTAAGGTTAAAGAAGGGATTGAGAAGCGTGGGCTGCATGCTCGTTCTTAGGGTGGGGTTTTGTACACATAAATTTGTTTGGATTATTTCAAGCCCTTTAACTATTGAGAATGAACTGGGTTCTTGGCCAGTGACTGAGCCATCTATAAGACTATATTTACCTAGGTATCGGCACTTTACGAAATCAGGATACTTCCAGATATTTGATTTGAAATATGTGATTGTGATCTAAAAAGTCTGATCGACTATACTCTGGCCAGCGCTGCTAGTCCATCTTCTGGAGTGCAAGCGTCTAGAGTCGGTTCTATAGCATTTTCTTGGTAAATGCATTCAATCATCTAGATAATTGTGATTTGATTATGCCCATCTGCCGGCTCAACCATGTCGTCTAGGGTACATAAATGCTCATATGGGCGCAGTTTAATTTGCCTGTCTTCAATCCAAACATTTTGTGTGCACCCGACTTACCAAATACTTGACTTGGGTCGACGGAAGCTTTGCCAATGCGTCTACATGTTGTCAATGTTGTCGCCAACCGTTGCAAACATCTTCTTCTCCTCCGCCATGAGATCCATTGATAAAGGTGGTAATTCGACGCCATACACCTCCCCCTGCAACTCAGCCTTCTTAATCACATTGGTGTAAATTGCCCAACGAGAAATAGCCCTTCTTGATGGACAAGGGTCCTCAAAGAACGATGTGCGTGGTGGGTGGAACACCGATCTACATAGAAATCTTCGTTAGTGATCCTGGAGGCGTACGCCAGTGCATCTAGCCGAACAAAAAGGTGAACAAGAGAAATTCTAGCAAAATCGCCCTTAGAAGACGTGCACTGCAGCCAGCGCGCACGAAGACCGTTGAGGGTTGTCTCTCCTCGATCAACTTCTTTGTGTCGACGACATCCTCTCATGCGTGAGAAGAAGTATTTCCATGGCACTAGGTACTCTGTGAATATTGGTTGGTTCTGACCAATTGATTTCATTTCTGGATAGTAGCAGGCCACAGTGGCATAAGGACTCAAACCCCATCACAGTCAACATCGCTAGACTTTCTCATGTTCAACTTTTTGCTCGAATGGACGTGATTGAGCCCAGCTCCTGGACCGTCGACGAAGCTTTTGACGAAGACTGAGTTGAGAGGTGGTCGAAGATATTCTGGGATCAGTCAGCATAATACATACAGAAACAACTTACAGGACAATGAAAGCTTCAGTTACTCCAAAGGGAGTGAATTAATTCAACGCTCAAGAGAATGGTAGAAAGCTAAAAGCGAAGCAAGACCTCTCCAGCTGGAGTTGCTGTTCCAAGCACGTCATCTTGAGCAGCTCAATGCCAAATATGAGTGAAAGCCTTCAGCCTATTTCGCTGTCTGGCCGAGAATATCCAAGCTGGAACAAGGTTAATTCAGATTGTGAACTTATCGTCCCTTGACACCCCGTGACATGCGTAGTCATCACTAGCGTATCCAGGACCTACAACTGTATCTCCTCCCACGTCCTGATATAAAATTTTCTTTCTTCTTCAACCATCCCAGTGCATGGGTATTACGTGTATCAGTGAGGAGGAATCCGAGATCATGTTTTTGCTGGTTGAAAACTACCAACCTGACTGCTCCTGGCTCTCGTGGCCAGGGAATCTTTTTTACCAAAATTGTGATTCTATCACTCTCATACCTTTTTTTCATTGCTTGACAGCCCTTGTGGCTGTGGGTAGAGAAGAGAAGTTTGTGAGGCTTTGGAAAATATCACCATATCGCATCTTTGACGTCATTGATGAGGTTGTTTTGATGAGATTCACTGGGCGAATTCAACTTTTCAGACATTTCTAGGAATCCTCCTTCGTAGGGGTATATTATTCACTGAAGGGGTCTATTTTCAAGCCTACCTGACTTAAATGACCTTTGGCACTCTCTTCTTTTACATCGCATTGATACACCATTCAAGGAAGACATGAAACCTTGACCAAGATCCCTTTCATATTAGCTCTAGCTACATTTAATTAGAAATGTTCATCTGGGTTGAGTTTACGTTCGTTCAATTCCATGTCCTATTGTTAATAATGATCTTTATTCATGGGTCGATATCCACTCACTAATACCATACAGATCCCAATCCCCCACTAAACATCAAGATTAAATATACACAGCGATTACAGTCAAAGATGTGAAAGTAATCGTCATTTAATTTGCTATTCCCTTTACCGAGCTCAGCACCTAACTAGTCTGGTACCTGTCCCGATTAGGTTAGATTGGGTTTACTATAAATGACATAAATAGCTACTAACGTCGGCTTCTACTTGCACTTTGCTATTTTGAAGTCCTCCCTTCTAGCTCTCCAAATCCTCGCACTTTCTACTGAATTTTCGGTTTGTCATTATGGATTCCCCAGAAACCTCGCCTTTAAGCTCAATCTCTGAGGGGAATCACCCGCCCATCCAGACTATCAAGTTGTGATGCATGAGCGATGAAGAGGAAGAGGAAGAGCAAGAGGATCCCACATTCTCCCTGAATAATATTACCGCCGCCAAAACGGCCCTTGAGACTTTAGAAAAGCTTAGCAAGCTTGAGACCCAGGAGTTTCTCATCCTTACTGAACTAACATCCACATTCTGCGACTCATTGTGGGACCTCATCGATTCCAAATACCCGGATCTCAGGAAAACATCTATTCCAGACTATGGGATATTGGAGCTCAAAATGCCATCGTAGGCCCATCAGAGTGTTTTGTCATGGCTGATAATATGTCGTGATATATGGTCTGAAGCCAATCTCCTTGAAATACCTGAGAAACGGGATCTCATTTTTCTTGCATCTCCAAAAGTCGACCTACTAAACCCAATCCCTAATCCTTCGCCAGCACACCTAATAAGACACAAGAAGAAGGAACCCGACACTGCCATAATTTGCATTCGCGCTTCACCCTCCGCTCCTGGGAAGTCTGCCGTCCCATCAATACTTGTCGAAGCTGGCTATTCTCAGTCCTACAAAAGCCTCGTGGAAAGCGCTCGCAGAATCCTTATTGGAGGTGCGCCCGCCGTACAGCTCGTCATGATCGTCAAATTCTCTAAGCGCAAACTCGGAGTCGCTGTCCGTTTAGAATTTTGGAGGCGAGATTTAGCTGGGACTCCTTATCTTGCGGAAACACGGCATGTTTTCCCCATTCCTCCTACTCAACAAAGCCCCATCTTCTTCACCCGCGAAGAGCTATTTGGGACGGGCTTCATCTTTCCACGCTGAAACTTGAAAGATCGGTTCCACCTTGACCTCGACGAGCTACGGCGTCTTGCTACCATTTTATTGTCTCATGCCGGGCTTATACAATATCCTTGAGTCGTTGTCCGCTTGCTGTTTCATTATAATATATTTAATGTATGATTAACTGCTGTATAGTTTCTAGGTTATCTCTGCTTGCTACTTCGTCTACTGTATATTCAGCCATTGCTAATTAGTACCAATTCAATAGCGTGGTAATAAAATCACTGGCTTAAAAACTCCTCCGAGCATTTTTATTGATTTTTATTGATTTTGGACGCTTCATCCCTCTCTAATTCTTGTGAACTACGCACGACTGACTCCACGGGGGCTTGCAATCCTGGACGTTGCTCGGGTTCACATATCATGTTGCCATATCTATGGGGCCGCAGAAGATTGGCTAGAATCTACAGTAAGAAAAAAACATGCGCCAATTATTTCGGATAGCGGGCAGAGTGTTCACTTCTCGATCGGCATGTCCATGGCTGCCAATGTCACGGGCAACGTCCAGCCGGAGACGATTGTTGTTATCGTTATTTTGGCCACCACCAGTGATCAATGCAAATTCCCCAGCATAATGAGCATCGTACAGGGTTGGGAAAATTGATAAGGTAATGAACAGCTTTACACTGCGAATCGTTGGAGCAGACATCCATACAATCGGTGAATCCATGTTCAGTCGTCTTGTAGCTAGTGAAGTCCTTGCCACGTTTGAAACAATGAACCTTGTAAGTAATTCCTCCCTGCTTGATAGTCTTGCCGTCATTGTTGGGGCACTGGTTAAGCGCATCCTGATTCTTGCTCCACGCATTATTCTCCGCCTGGCAAACTTCGTTCTGCTCTTGAAAAGCACTTTCTACTCCTAGCAAGCCTCCACACTGCTGGCACAGTCTCCTTCATTATTTCCAGCCTCTTTTGGGAACCTGTCCATTGGCTCGACCACCTCCATCCAAGAACGTTGCCGCAGGCTTGACCATTCTGGCTACCACTAAGAACACATTTGTTCTGAACAGACTGCCAGGAGCTTCCAATGCAACCAGGCTTGTCTTGATAGAGTTGCGCACAAGTTTGGGCAGTGTTGATGTTTGTGAAGGCGTTTCCTCCATGTGGACCGAGTCAGTCACATTTGTACTTCACAGTATATCCAGGGTTGGTTTGCTCGATCTGTCATCCTTTTAATGGCAAATATCAGCTGCCTATTCAAGGGATTAGAAGTCATTCCAGCGAAGTGAGACAAATTGCCTGGGTAGTTTGGTTATCGTGATTCCGGTCCGAGGCATCAACAAAAGAATTTTCCATAGTAACCCACATTTTTGAGCATCAATACAGATAAGTAGACGGCGGGCAATCCTTCACATCTCTGTTGATCAACATTTTGGAAATTCCAAGTTCAAATTATCAACTACCAAGGATTGATTCTCTCCTTTGAATGTGCGCGAGAAATGGCGACTCGGGATTCACGCCTCAGTGGTGATTATAACCCTCTCAGAAAAGCATGGCTACCAAAGTTTATTCAACGAAATCCACGCATCCATTCTTGTATTGGCCGATGCATTGATGTGTCGCGAGTTCATGGAACACATCCAGGGGCTATCTAAGAGTTTTATAGCCTATTTGCAAAGATTAGAGATCAATATGACATAATACTAAACAATACTTGGAATATGGATAAGCATGGTATTGCTCTTGGAGTCTGTACGAGTTCCTTTGTCATTATAGAGTCTTATAAGAAGCATACATTTGTCAAATTGCAAGATAATCGCGAATGGGTGTTAATTATCAAGACAATAAGCCTAACTGGCCGTACGATTCAACCTCTCGTCATCTTTAAAGGCAAAACCCTATAGACATCATGGTATCAGACTGATATCCCAGAATAGTTTTACACTACATCAGAGAATGGTTAAACGTCAAATTCAACAGGAATTAAGTAGCTTGAGACTATTCCTACCTAAAGTGGCTGTATAAGAGCAATTTCGACTATTGATCGTAGATGGTCATGGTAACCATACTAGTAATTATCGATTTACTGTGGATCTGTAAGCAAAATAAGGTGGAATTAGTATTTCTTCCTGCGCATGGTAGCCATGTCCTTCAGCCACTCAATTTGGGCACCTTTTCATCTATAAAAGCTTAGTATCGGAATTAAATCAATGAGCTTTCATATATCGATGATGCTGCACCTATCAAGAAGGTATGATTTATGGAATGCTACTCAAAATCTAGAGAACGATGTTTTAAAGCTATATTTCTTCAAAGTGGATGAAAAGCTGCCGGTTTATTTCCGTGGGATCTAAAAAAGGCCTGAATTCGTCCTAAATCAGAGTCCAGCCCGATTTTATAGCATTAGAACGTAAAATCACACCTTCTATTTCTTAAGACTTTTCCCAAATGGCCTTTAATACACATAAAAGTCATCCATATATTCGAAAGTTTAAAGAAATTCTTGAAAAGCAGCAACAATTAACTCGGAATCGAAGGACTGCTCTCGAAAAAGCAGCCAAGGCTGTTTGACTCTTTGTTGCGAAGCAGGTAACTGATGCAGCTCTAATTTCGAAGCTTATTTCCCAACATGAGACCCTTTAGAATGGGAAGAAGAAGAAAAGTATCATTATAAACCCAAAATACACGGTTTGCAGACATAGAGAAGGTCAAAGCTGCGCAGCTTGAATCAGAGGCTTTAGCTGAACGTCACAGAAAGAGCCTGAAAAAGGGCAACAATAGCATCAGATCAAATAGCTGCTATGGCTTTACAGGATAGGGTATTTGAATTCCAAACCTAATGTATGTGAGGTTAGTAAATTTAGGGCTTTTTCAATTGAATGCATTCTAACACTTGTCCGAAAGCAGCGCTCATCCATTGCTCACCAGGGCGATACACACCTGACTATAGTAGCTTTATAGAGAGTAGTTTTATTGGGGTTGCCTCACAGTGCCTGCAGCCTCACGTGATGTCTACACCGTGTCAGACGGTTACTGTTTGCTTTGTTTGCATGTTATTTGGACTATTTAGTTTCTGTGGATTTCCCACGTAATTAGCCAATCAATCAATCGTTAACATTTCCTTCCGCCCAATTTGCTGACACACCGACATTACTGAGGACCTCCCCTCTCTACGACTGCCTCACGAGAGTCAGTTCTTGCCTCACGAGAGTCATTTGCTTGTCTACACAGGTAGTTCGTCATCTCTTACACAGTCAAGTCTCGTTTTTGTCCCTCCCGCCTCCCCTCTGTATATAGAATCTACTATAATACAGACACATTGCCTCCTACCAGGGAGCGCGAACGGGCCCCCATCTGACGCTACGTTCTACGATCGCAGCGACAGGTGACCCGTTATGGCCAAACTACACTCTTCTTTCTCCATTTAGCCGCGTGAGGTCACCAATAAATATCACTTTTGTAATCATTCTATCACATACGACCACAGGGTGTGGAGAACAGGGCTTCCCGTCCGCTCAGCCGTACTTAAGCCACACGCCGGTCAGTTAGTAGTATGGTGGGTGACCACATGCGAATCCTGACTGTTGTATGTTTTTTTTTTTACTACTCTACACACGGCTAGTCTATGCACCTTTAGCACTCCGGCCTCCACGGCCGAGTCTTGAAGTCTTCTTCAATGATTAATCGCTGTATTATTATCCATATACTGTTGATCCATCTTCTTATATATTCACTCTTTGTATCACGTTTATCTAAATACAATTTCTTTTTGGTTAAGGGACACAAGTAAGCCAGTGACACAGTTAGTCATATCTCTTTAGTAAATACTAAAGGCACTTAGTTATAGATCTTAATTGACGGCGTTAAACTATAAAATGGGCATATAAGCTACATGGAATCAAGAAAATAAATGATCCTGAGAGGAAGGAGTAAGACCAGTACCAGGGTTCAGCAAATGTAAGCGCAAGGTTCGTGAAGTATCAAGGCTGTATATCTATAAAAACTAGACATGTGCATGGGTTGGGTATGGGTCCCATATGGGTATTTTGATGCCTTAATGCCTGATTTTCGCCTCAACCTAAACTAAATTAGGGTAATTAGTGCCTTAGTGCCTAATTTTGCCTTAATCTAGTACTAACTAGGTGACAAATATCACGTGAAATAAAAGTCTTGGCAAAAAGATGGGTTTATGGGCTGGGTATGGGTAAAACCCATACCCAACCCAATGAACATGTCTTATAAAAACCACCTCTTACAACGGGGCTAAAAGACATAACTATAGAAAGATCTTGAAATCTTAATATCATACTGACTATGCTAGAAATATTCTGGAATATTTTTCAAGGCTCTGCCGTAGAGGTCGGGGTGCTAAAGGTGCATAGACTAGCCGCGTGTAGAGTAGTAAAAAAAAAAAAAAACATACAACAGTCAGGATTCGCATGTGGTCACCCACCATACTACTAACTGACCGGCGTGTGGCTTAAGTACGGCTGAGCGGACGGGAAGCCCTGTTCTCCACACCCTGTGGTCGTATGTGATAGAATACTTACAAAAGTAACCTATAACGCTACTATAGTCAGGTGTATCGCCCTGGTGAGCAATGGGTGAGCGCTGCTTTAGCGTCGCGCGACCGGGGGTGAGCAAGGTGAGTACACAATAAAGAGGGTGAGAATCGGGTGAGCCAGGGTGATATTGGGGTGAGAGTAAGCTAATACATGACTACTGTACTGATCCTTGAATATTTAAAGACTATTGGATACAGTAATTTCTCCTGAAACAGTGTTGCCTTATAATCTGTACATAGCCACTTACTTAGGTTAGCCAATGCATGATTACTGCATATTTTTTGGATTCTGAGAGATAGACATAGGATCAGACCTTGCATTAAAGATTGAATTTGAGGGTAAAAATGATGTATAGCAAGCAGAAAGGTCAATCATAAGAACGGTAGAAGAATGGCAATTACCAGAAGGATAGGAGGAAGGTCAATCATCAGAAGAAAAAGGCACTAAGGGATAATCAGAGAACCATCCCAATGAAGGAAACTCTCTATGATAAGATCACCCCAAACATTGGTACCCGGTTTCTGGCCTTGTACCTCAAGAATAGCACGAGGAATTGAACGGTATTGCATGTTTTCGATGCAGCCCTTCTGTCCGAGAATTATACCGGATCGGTGGTTGGGTACGGTTTCTTTCTGAACGACGGTAGCTGAGGTTTCCAAGAATAAAATAGAATTTGAGAATTCCAAGGTAAAACTGACTTGGACCTTAGTTTTTGAGGCGAGACGATAGGGGTCATTGATTGGATCCGTTTGAAGGAAACTGACAAAATTAGATGGGAGAAAATCGGATGTGATGATTGTCTCATGAGCACCAGTGTCCCACAGAAGTTCTGCATGCTCCATTGTCGCTTTAGGCATGCTGTCCTCATGGTCTATAGCGGCAACAGTGACTTGACCGTAGATTGTGGCCAGTCTGTGCTCGGTGATAGAAGCTGTGAGTCGCAAGACGTAAGGCGCTCGGTATGGGGGCTCGTTTTCCCCAAAGAAATGGGCTTTGAAGGCGGCGCGGCGTTCTCTCGACACAGGTTTTGGCGTCGGCTGGGAGCTTAGCTGCCCCGAAGAACGAATTGGAAGTGCATTATTTGATGTCGACGATGAAAGCACGTCGGTGTCCAAAGCAAGTTTCCGTAAAGCCGCGCGCCGGGCTGGGTTAGTGGAAGGAAGGCCAATGTACTTGTGACCATTTGCAGGTAGATTCTGCACAGCGTACACAGTGGATAGCAACGCCTCCTCATAGGTCACGTGGTTGTCTGATAGGTCTACCGACACATCGCCGTAGTGGGTCTTTAAACTTTGATCCACGGCAGTCAAGATAGTACTGGCATTGTAGCGATGACTCGTTGAAGTAGACATTTTTGTGGGCTGGAATGGAGGATGTAAGGAGGGTAACAGAGTAAGGAAGCATAAGAGGAAGGTATATAAAACGGGCCATAACAGATTAGGCTTAGCTCTGTTGGGGATTTGTCAATGGTTATGATACCGCCTACCATTTGTAGCTTAGCTTACTGCATACTGCACATTTATTTTCTACATAGCAAATAATGACAACTCCCAAAATCTTCAAAGAAGGGTTATGGTTAAAATTCTGGTACCATCAGATTCCTGCTGTCCACAGTATTCTAAATCTTCTCTTTTTATTCTTTCACAATGCTTGGTTGGTGAGGTATAACCAAAGAAAGCTGTACTTCCCGATTGGGAGAATAACCGTGATAGCAAGGGTTATGGTTAATATTTTAGTACTATCAGAATTCTGCTGTCCACAGTATTCTAAATCTCCTCTTTTTATTCGTCTACGATGCTTGGTTGGTGAGGTATAACTGAAGGAAGTTGCACTTTGTCAAGGGATAATCATATATATATTCATTATATATATGTTACATACTGCAGTTTGCTCAACGACATTCGCATTTTCTGGCCCTCATATATATATATCTGTCGGTACACCGGTGGTATAGCAAGGTTGGTGAGAGGCTAACGCCCACTTCTGACACCTATCACAGGTAACGCTTTACGCCCCTATGATATCTGTGTGTCCTTTGAAGTGGTTGTAAAGTCTGGTTTTTATTCTTAGTTTGCTATCTATTATGTAGTAACAATTTGATCGCATGACTGTTTTGTTCCATATTCCAACAATATCCTCTCGACCTCACCCCGAGCTCACCCTAAGCTCACCCTGAACACACCCTGACCTCACCCCGAGCCCACCCTACTCACCCGTGCTCACCTATGCTCACCTAAATCACCCACCCTCACCCTAAGGGAGATTCTGTTGCTGCTTTAGGGTGAGTCGGGTGCGAAGGACTCACCCAAGTATTCAGCGCGTAGTACATGTGGCTTAAGTACGGCTGAGCGGACGGGAAGCCCTGTTCTCCACACCCTGTGGTCGTATGTAATATTCTTGGGCTGAGGCACGGAAATTAGAGAATTGGGCTAGCAGTATTTAGTCGATCCTGGTTGGTCCGGAACTGAAGGGTGGAGCGGAAAGTTTAATTCTTAGTTGCGATTTGAGCAGTTAGAAGAACTCAGACCTTACACACTGCATCAATCTTATCATCCCATAAGGTATCGCGATTCGAACTGTGTAGTATGCGTAGGACCCACTCCTATCTCCTACGACAGACGTAAATGATACTAATGGTTTGCACAAAAGGAGTACAGTTTCCAGTTGAGATTGGTCCTAGGAGAAGCTCAACATGCCAGGATTGGCAGAATCCCTAGTTCCTTTGGTTTACTTGTGAATTGCGGCCACCTCGTGACTTGCGGGAGGCTATGAGAATAACGAAGAGAAGCGTCCAGTCCATGAGGCAAGAGCGAGCAGCATGGCAGGAACGGCCATGGGCAGGGCTGCACCTGGTAGACCTCGAGTTCTCAAAATCCATTGTAATTAGATGAATCATACCTCAGCTTCACTTCCAAGTATATTCGAAACACGGATTATACACTATTTTCTTTTTTTTTTCTTAAGACGGGGCACCCTCCACAAAACTACAAACAGTGGAGAAAAAAAGCTGAGGAATTAGGTCTTTTGAGCAAACGCATCGCCGACCTAGATGTGTTGCATTCAGCATCGCAGTTGACAGAGACACAGTTCATTCTTATGAGAGCTCTATGGCCCAGGCGAAAGAAGCTGAATTATTTTCCCCTCCACCCTTCCAACGAAGAAAATGTCGGCCAGTCTGTGAGTGAGAACAGCGACTAAGAACGTCCTGGATAACTTCCCGATCTTCGACCGCTATATTCAAAACGTTCACAAAGGACCAAACAGAGTGTTTGATGTGGAAATGGGATCATTCCAGATGGTTTTGCGGGCACAAGAGATGGTCACAATTCGTTTTGAGAAGCACGACATTGCGCAAGATACAGACAGTGCCACTCTTCGTCGTTCGCCTCGCAACCATGACCAACGCTGTCACGAAAGTCCAGATAGCGATCCTTTGCCAGGTTCAGTCTCAGAGACAACCGTTTTGACTATGATGACCGCTGCCCAAGACTCAGAACTTGCATACAAACCTGCAAAAGATGAGCAGCTGGTCAATGATGCCCTTCTCAAACTCCTGACCGCATTTACAGTTCATATTGACACCATGAAATGTGAATGGACCATTGCTCGGTCGCCGTTCCCAAGCGTTGAATTTGGTGATAATTATATGACGGCACGTACAGATGGATTTCTTCAAGCCATGGATACCGAAGAGGTCTTTGCCATTGTCGGGGTGAAGCCAAAAATCCGCGATTCGGAGCGTTGGCCTCAGCTCATGTGGCAAGAAACGGGTGAAATGGTCGCGTGGATAGTGGACAATGCTAAGAAAAGCAGGAGATGTCCTCCTAAGCAGTAAGTCGATACGAATAACATGAAGAATCTAGTCAGCAGGCTAAAATCAGCATAGCCATTTACTTGTTGCGCAAGACCTCCACGAGATTTACCTTGTGATCGCGACCTTTGACGATCAATATATTGGGTATCTCACTGAACAAGATCAACCAGACGCCCCATTGCTGCCCGTACCGGACGCGAGATTTGCATTTCTTAAGATGCAAGAATATGGTCCCTGGAATACCCAGGCTCCCAGCAATATGAAAAAGTTGGCAGAGATCTTTATAGCTCTGTCTTTTCAAGTCACGGAAGATATTGAAGCCGCTCAGACTCAAACGGGTTGAATTTATAATGGGTCACTGGACATTTTGTCGCGTTCAAATTGAATCTCGAAGGAGCTCACGTGCTGTAACTCTGCGACAAGATTCCGCAATTTATACCGAGCAGCATCGTCATAGTTCTTATGTTCTGGATTTGACCATCTACTCACCAGATCCCGAAACCAGGAGTTTAGCGAGGGTTGAACAAAATCTTCGAGCCGATGAAGAAGGATTTGGTAGGCGGCACTTTCCAGAATAAAGTGTTTCATTTGATCCAAGTTTTGTAAAGATCCCTCATATGGCTCATCCTCGCCAGTTTCCTCTGCCACAGAGTCTTGGTCGCTTTTCTCGTCATCAGAATTAAGCACTTCAATTGATTCACTTATCTCAGGAGCATTGTCACCCCTATACAGACTGTGAAGATAAAATTCCACTTTCCTCTCCTGAACTAGGCGCTTTTCAACTGACGCGATACCATGTTCTGCCTCCAGAACTTGATGTTTGGTATTTTGCTGCTGGTCGATAGGTAGTACCATGATAAAGAGCTCGCGGGTGATCATGGCTGAATATGAGCTTACAAAACTCTAATTCTCGGTGGGATTTGCTGAGGATATCTGTCTCAAGATTATTCGTAAAGTGCTTCAGTAGTCTCCGAAAATTGCTTCGCATCCTTTCAAATCCAATCAGCTCTTTTGATACGCCGAGCAAAAGTAGCGGTAACATGACATCATCTTTATTCAGCAAGTTTACAAACTCTTGAATCAACAGCGAGTTCATTTCTCCTCTTCCAGAGTCTAGCGATCTGGTGCTAGGTATAGAGATAGGAACAGAAAAGACTGAGTCATTCTCAATGGATGAATCAGAATCATCAATATCTCGATGCTCTAGCCCTGGCATCTGCCTGCGAGTTTTCAACCTCTGAACCTCTTGAATACGATTTGGCCCCGAGTGCGACCTCATCCCAGGTGGCTTGGATTGGTCTTTTTGAAGTAATTTGGTTTTTTCAGACTGCTCCTGTAGCTGTACTCGCTGCTCCTCCTCCTCTATCTTTCTTTGTGCTATGAGCGCGTTCTCTTCCTTGAGCTGTGCCTCTCTTCTGAGAACCTCCAGATTGATCCTCAATTTCTCCCGCTCCTCGTTCAATTTCTTGAACTTGGCCTCATATTTCAGTCGCCCTTCGTCGCGAGCTCCTCATCTCGAAGCCGCATGGCCTCTTCCACGTCAGCCTTCTGTTGCGCCGCGAGTTTCTCCCACTTTTTCCTTTAGCTAGCAAGGTCGCTGTCAAGGGTTTTGCCAGCGTTTGTCTGGTTAAGATCTCTCTTCTTGTGAAACGTTTCGTCCTGTATGGTGAGTACAACCTTCTTATCTTTCAGGAGGTTTGAAACAAGCTGCTTTGCAGATTCCTGGTTGTTTAAGTGACGTTCCACTCTCGAAATATTATGCATCATATACCCCCAGAACTCTTGATTGTAGATCAACTCCTTTTCTCTCTCTCTCTTGTCGCCCTTGTTGCCTTTCAATTTATCTGTTGGAACCAATGGAATCTGGTTTACTGCAGTGAATGGACTCGGGAAGTGAATGGACTTGGGAAGTAAATGAAACTAGTGGAATCGGGGCATATCCTATTCCATCGCGGGAACTTAGAATGGACATACATCTCACCGCATAACTTATTACACGTACAACGTAGTAGTAATAGTGCATCGAGATCCCTGTGAACCGACATGATCCCACATGGTAGTCACCAAGATAACATTTTCCAGGCCATCCTGCCCACAGAGCTTTTTAAACATCAAGATATTTTTCATTGCACTGCCTTGCATTCTTGGATCAGAAATCGGGTGAAAGTAAAACATCCCACTAAGCTTGATCTTCTTCATTAATGAATCTGAGAGCCAAAAGGCAATCTCGCGGAGAACATCGCTGTCGTCGCGATTGGTGTCGTCGAAGCCTGGAGTGTCGATCAAATAGACATTGGTATTGTTATCATACTTATATAAGTACGAATAGATGGCTTGAGTGCCTGTCAGCTTTCTTTGAGTTAGTACATGTGCTGATGATCTAGCTGATTAAGAGGGGAGTAATATAATATAGCCTTCCCTTCCATTCCATGCCCAACCATGATACGTTTACCGGGCTCGGCCAACAAAGAGATGAAACTGCTCTTCCCAGAGCCGGTTGTACCCATAACGGCAATGAAAACATCCTTATCTTGGGCTTTTTCACCATTTCGAAAATACGATTTCATTCATATCCGTCTTGAGCTGGAAGGCCCATAATCACTGGTTCAATTTTAGTGCAGCCTTGGAAGTGCAACACGTTCACGGGCTAGAAAGTGAATGTAGCTTACCACCACCGTTTGCCGCCATAGATCTGTAATGGGTTGGTAGAATAAATTGATTGACTTCGTAGTAGAGACGGAAATTTTCCTTCAAAATTCAGCGGATAGTTTGTGTTGGTACAATGGGAGTTGAGGTATCCGTTCTGATTGGACCGGATACTCTCACTCCTAATTGGACCGACCAGCCCCAAGTGGGGCAGAGGAGTCTCTTTTAGTTCAGGAATAGATAGACTGGAATAAGACACACTTTACAACTCCAGCAACACGTACGTACAAGCATACCTACTGTGTTCAACGAGCGAGTGTCGCTCCCGACAGTTTGGTCAGAGAAATGCCAATTATATATTTATTAATCTGTATAGACTTGTTCATGTGAGCGCTTGGCTCAGCACAGCTTACAATTCGATGGGCTAAGTGGTAATGTGGATCTGGCTTAAGTCTTATCTATCCCCGTGGATATTAGAATACTGTGATATCCGGCTTACGTGCATTTTAGCACCCTTGCTACCAACAACGTCATAAACTGTCAAAGGCCCAATTCCATATTTAGTTTAGTTCATTTTAGTCAGCATTGGATCTAGCATTACCGCCAGTTCCAGATCTAGTAGAATTACACACACATTAACATTCCAATAAACCGCTCCTATTTGTCCGTCCAATCTGCTTATTTAGCCCCATTCGACATAAACACTGTCGTCAAAATGACACGGACAAGTAGCAAGGCTTAGTTCATTTGCTAAAATCCAAGCTCCCAGCTTTCTCATCTACCTTTCCAATCTCGCCTTACTGTTAATATGAGAGCCCTTACCATTAATATGAGAGCCAACTTGAATACTCGGACTGATATATGCGCTCCCCTCGAGCGCCTCTACCGACAAATTCGCGATTTTGATTCAGACTTTCCTACGACTGACGATATTCAGAGCTTTGACAGTCAAATCAACATTCGAGTTACTAAGGTAGATATAGCCGAAAACTCGAATGGCACGCTTCAATTTAATCAGTGCTTCTTTCTACCACACCCAGAAAATGTTTTCCGAGAATATCCTATCAATGTCAAAGAACACGAGGAATACGGTGACGTTTTCGAGGAAGATGAATGTAAGCTTGAGGATTTGACTACACATTCCAATGTCGGAATACCTTACGAACTTGAGCCACCGGGCCCATATGAACGCCTTCATGAAGCCGATCATATACTCGAATGTATCGACTGGAATCTCAAATGTTATAGATATCCAAAAGTTGACCCCCCTCCGGGTTATCATGGTTGTTTCAACCTTTTTGAGTTTAGAGGCCTAGAGATTGTATCGTAAGTGGGTATAAATCATTCCAAATTCAATTGTTCAAGGCCCTATATATACATCCAGATTCTATATACTAAAACCCACCATAATTATAGAAGCTTGAACGAAATACCTGTGATGGCTCGACTCCGACCAAAAGATCTCCTTCCATCAAAGCTCCCTAGCAAATGGAGATTTTGCCGTCTCCATGCTTATCGATATCACGATGAAAATGACCCTAAGCCCTGTATCCCGAATATTATTTATCAAGTTGAAGGCATGCCTTGGCCACATGTCATCGTCACATGTACTGCGGAAATTTGCGTGTCTGACGCTGAGAGTGGCCTTACTTCTTATGAGCTAGAGTCTATTCTGAAGGAAATGGCACGAAGGGTACTCTATAAGAACCTTGGGTCTTGGAGCATTTATCCTGTGAGTATTTCCATCGTAATAATCAACATTGGAAACCTACCGATTTGATTAACTCCTTTCAAAGATATTGATGTTGTCTTTTATGGGGCCACAGCAGGGGCGGATTATTCAAGCCTCGTATGATGGGTGGCAACTAAATCTCCAATACTCTCAACTTTGGAGTTTTCGTGATGAAAAAACAGCACCCCTTGAGATGTTCGTTCGGTACTTCATCGCACAACCGGTTTGTGATAGAATATTTCCAATCAATACGGCCAGCACAAAAAGCACAAAAAGCACGAAAAAAACGAAAAAAACGAATAATTGAAGATCACAAAGACTACCTAGTTGGCTCTGAGGCATGGTTTTGCGTCTCACTTTAGTCACGGTCGTATTTGTCTTCTATTGGGCCACTTCTCATCCTTAGCTATATGGACGCAGCTTTGCTTGATTCTTGTGTGATGATACTGAAGTGGGAATTTAGTGTTCCTTTGTTACAACACCCCGCTAAATATTTACTTCATTCTTGTGTGGTGATACTGAAGTGGGAATTTAGTGTTCCTTTGCTACCACACCCCGCTAAATATTTTCTACCCAAATTATAAGATCTGATAATGGTGATCATGGATGTACTTAAGCGTAGAAGCCATTGTACGGAATCATAATAGCTGAACCTGGCGAGGAGGTTTATGATGGATAAATAAGTATGAAAGTCTCCGTTTGGCATATATGCGAGTTGAGTAGAGTCATTCGAGAACGCAATACAGGTGATAAAGCCATTGGATATATTCAGGGCTGAGGGAAGATAGCTGTAGGCGGTGGTATATAACTTTCTCTCGTCTCAAGACTTCTAAAATTTGTTCAAAGTCGGCATCGGATCCTCAAGAATATCTCAAAGGAATATTTGAAGCACAAAGTAAAACAACACTTGATCCTCCATTGCCGAGTACTTGTTTTTTTGGAATTGGACAGCCTTAAGAATTAACGAAAAGGGATTCAGATGGCATTTGACAGGTTATGTGAATGGCCTTGTTTTTAGAATAATGCGAGAAGTGCTCGAGGCTTCATTCCTAATTTAAGGCTTGCAGTGATCTCAGACATAAGTGCTTAGAGGGTTTCTTTTCGGTGAGTTGGGTGGATAGATAAATTGTCTGAATGGAATTTGTCGAATGAGAACTGAATAGTGGATTCGTGCGAGCGAATAGGAACAGAGTAGTCAAAAATATGTGTGTGTCTTTGCAGCAGTAAAATCTTAGTGCAGTAACTAAAAGAGCGTATGGGAGCTGACGAATAATGCACTAAACTAAACTTGGAATCGGTCCTTTGACACACCCCTTCAGCTTTCACCCTCTCATAGGTGCAAGCTGGCCTGTTTTTAGGGCCGATTTAAGCGGTTGAAACGCCTAAATCCCCTCTCAAGTTCAGCCAAATTCAGTTTAAATCCCTGATGTAAGGCAGTTGAAGCCTAAATCTCGCAGTTCTAGGGGGTTATTCCCTAAAACTCTATCATTTCTCCAACATCCTCTAGGTTGAGCAATTTGGTCCAAGACTCAAATCTCTGACGTGGTAGGATCTTGGTGAATCCACCTGCCACCATCTCTGTAGTGGGCACCCATCTGATTTTAATTCGCCCTTCTTGGACTTCCTGGCGTAGCCAGCTGCGATGAATGTCCACATGGCATAATTTGGTTTTAAATGCCCCTTCTTTCGTGAGCAGATCTACCGTCCTCTGGTTGTCGCAGTCCAGAGTAATCTTCTAATATTCCATTTCTAGTCCAATGTGGACTAGAATACTCTTCCACCATACCAATTTTTTCGCCGCGTCGGATAACCCCAAGAGCTCTGCCTCAGTGGTGGAGGTGGTATCCGTCTTCTGTTTCGACGCTTTCCAGTCGATTGGACCACCATAGAGCATGCATATCATGCCAGCTGAGATTTTCTGGTCAACATGGTCGCCAAATGATGCATCACTAGCCATGATGAGAGCCATTGAGCCTGATTTTGGTCCATTTTCAGTGGATTTGGGTGCTCTAGAACCATATCCAATTGCCAAATTCCTGGTATGGAACAGGTAAATGATCGTGCGATCCGCTGCGACATGATGGTTTGGCCCTGGATTCATAAGGAATTGGGCCAGTTTGGTGGCTGTTTTGGCCACCCCAGGCCTGGTAATCGTGGCTACATACTGAGTGGAGCCTACCTTTTCCTGAAATAGCTTGATCGATTCAGGTGTAGCGATGCCTGCATATGGGCCTAATTCGTCGATTGGCATTGGTGTAGCCACTGGTGACCGGCCAGTTAGGCCAAATCGAGCTGCCATGCCTTTAATATAGCTGTCTTGACACAGCCAGAGCCGAGATAGTTGGCGATTCCTGATAATGCGGATATTCAGGAACCACTCTGCATCTCCATGATCGGTCAGTTTCCAGATCTTTTTAAGCTTACGCTCTAATTCCTGGGCGTATTTGGCTACGCTCTTATGGCTTGCGATCAGGAAGTCGTCAACATAGAAGAAGATGATGACTCCTTTGCCAATAAAAACACATAGATCCTCACAGAGTTGTTTTAAACCAAGCCCTGAGAGGACTCGAGACGCCTCTTTCTGCCAAAGCTTGGGTGAGATGCGCAGGCCATATAGAGCCTTATTCAGGCGCCATACCATTCCTTGACTGCTCCTGAATCCGTCAGGTAACTGGGTATAGATCTCCTTATCCTCTAAGGAGCTATTCAGGAACGCCGCCACTGCATCTCTTTGGCGCAATTCTAGGTCAAATGTGCCCACGATCGCAAAGATCATTCGAGCTGTTTTGACAGCCAATGTGGCCGATCGTCTCTCTTCATTCGAGACTCTCTCTAGATCTCCACGGACACAAATCCGAGCCTTATATTTCAGCAGAAAACCATTCTCATTAAATTTGTAGGTTTACACCCACTTCAATGGTAATAACTGCTTTGCGCGATCATTTGGACGATATACCACTGAAAATGTGTGTTTTTCAGTAAGATTATTGATCTCCTTTTACATCGCGGCATTAAATCCATCTTCAAATTCATGCCCTTTAACCTCTCGAAAGCTCTTTGGTGGAGCTGGGAGGTCATCTCTATGCGTGTTTGTCGATCAACTACGTTGAAAGGACAGGGTTCACACGTTGCACTATATACACTGGAAAAGGGTATGGTTCGTCCTAGATTCTTAGTATATACGTTGTGCAAAGTGGTGTGAAATGTGATCGATTCATGTAGCTACGTGAGTTCCTAATATAGTCGTTCCCCCGTGACTCGGGGGTTTGTTCCGTTCCGGGTTTGTGGTATTGCACGATTGCAATATCCATGTTCCGACAATAGGTGAACATGAAACTAAATCCGCCTCAGAGCATTACAGTACATGTGAATGCAGTATATCGATATAATCAAATTTTATCGAGGTACTTTTATAATCTGTAACCATGTTTCCACGTGTGTAAAATTACACCGTAACTAGCCGTTTCTCTATTTCATCAAACTAACAGCCTTCTAAGTTCATGGCTCATAGTTCATCTATTACAATGGTCAGTATCGATTATTTCATTTATCTTCCTGGTACTCGGGTGGTATTTATGTGGTATTTGGTGGGTTTCAGACTTGGGTAAGGTATCAACTTATCTTTCGCCATTTCCAGCGCCTTATTCAATTGATTCATTCCTCCAATCCTTTAGACTACGAACTTGACATTCCGAGATTCGTTCAGCACTGGCCAGGGGGAATCCCCACATCCATCCAACCACGCCCAGAAACGGATTTATCTCAGACCAAATCAAGGAAGAAGTCAAGGGCTGGCTACTATTTGTACAGGTATGTTCTTTAAACCATATCTTGAATTTATGCGCTAACATACATCTAGGAGAATTGTATTTCTGCAGCAAACGCAGGTTTCTCCGATGAGAGATATGAGCTATCACCGCCGGCAATTGGTGGAAAAATGGGCTTCGGCTACACAGGAATTCCGTGATGTAAATTCAAAGACCTCCCCCCTCCCAGACTACTCCGGGTTTTCATTGTCGCCAATCATTGCTGAAGCATCATTCGCTGTTAACTAGTTGATGAGTTGGACCTTAGATTTCCTTTGTTGAAATGAGATGCCTCTACCCCCAAGCTCTGCGCGAAGTTCTTTCGCAGATAGGTGGTGGTACGCATCCGCCGGATCATTCCTAGATAGTTTAAGTGGCGGCGGACCCTCCCGCAGCTGCAGCTGGCGGTCTGGAAGAGTGTCCTCAAGCCTTTTCAGGACCTGCTTCACCAGTTCCAACTGCTTTGTTGTTAACCAATCCATAACATTGCTCACATACGTAGCTAATTTGGATTGTTCTTCTTCCTTGACCAAATAAAATGATTCAAGGAACGACATGCAAAACCTTTGGGTGTCTGGGTTGTAAAAATTGACGTAGGCCACTGCCAATCGTGAAGATAGTGCCAGAGAGAAAACAACCGAATGCGATACTGTGAATTGAGTGTCGGGGCACCCGATTTCCATCAGGTGGAGCATTGAATTGCTACGGTGCGCTCCGGCGACCACCAGCTGACTCTCCGCCTTGTGGATTGTGCCGGAGGTTGCCTCTGATTTTACCTCGATCAAAAAAGATGGGAAAATATTTGACGAAGTTGGCATGCAATAGGGCTTCATCTCGGGACAAAACACAACAGCGAGTTCTTCTATTGTGAAGGCACCACGGGCGAAGCCGTAGTGTGCATCGGTCTTGGGAGTCACAAGTGGGCCCACCCATATTGGATTGGCCGGAATGGGTTCAACACTCCATAAGAGATCACAAGTTGGTTCGATATTCTTTCGACCAACTTGGAAAAGAGGGAGCTTAAGAATGTGAACAACTGATACAGCCTCGGTCTTGTCCCAGTACAGTTCAATGGTCTCGCTGATAGCTACATGATCTTCGTCACTGAGGGGCGCCTTTTCCCAATCCAAAATCTCTTTTAGAAGAGGCTTAATCTCGTCGGGAATCTGTGATCCATTATTGTCGATGATCAGAAGGTGGTTGTATACGAGATCTCGGAGTTCGCCGTTTGTCAAGGACTGTTTGATTTGAGCGATGCCATGCTGGAGTCGCTATAGTCACTCGGGGGGGGGGGGGGGGGGGGCTTAGGGGAGCGCTATAATCACTCGGGGGAACCGGATGGCAATTATCATGTTTTGGAGAATCACATAAATCGCAAGATGTTGAAGGGTCAGGAATCCAAGATTTGATGGAATCTTCTTTGGATGGAATTTCGCGGTTGTGTGTTACCATGTTGATGAGGAAAATAGTTTGAGGGAAGGATGGTGCATCTGATCTGACCCGTAACTAACTAGGTTGACAGTGGGGCAAACTCGGCAGGATTTGACCCACGTAGACCCACAATAGCTTTCTCGTCTCCTGTGGATACTACACTAGTGGTCCTTATGCGGAACCGGGAAGCTCCATAAGAGCTCCCGTCCCATGGATCCCTTTCTAATCCTTAGCTAATTCTTCTTGTGTCGATACCACTAGACCAAAGTGGGGCACAGGACCAATGAGAATGGTTCCGATGCTGTTGGTTCGACATGAAGTGAATCTAGCGAGTTCTGTCTATTTAGTTACAGCGAGGATAAGATTGAATAACACACCTCTTACAACTTCGCATCGACGCACCTAGATCTATTCCATCGAGAATACTAGTTGCATATGCACCGTAAGAACGTCACCGTTCCGACATCTTGAATAACATCGGATCCGTACAGCGTGTTTCTGTATTCATCCCGTAACACTAGACTTCTTATATAACGGGATGATACCCGATGAAATGCCCAGTCTCTGGAGAGACTGCGCTCCTGGCATCTGTGCGGATCCGGACGAGCCATAAGAGCATCCGGTCCCCAGGACCCCTTTCCCTCCCTTAGTTAATTCTTCTTGTTTACCAATCGGATCTTTACAGCGTACAAATTCCTGCATTCATCCCGTAACAGCTGGTGCACTAGTAGAGTACTAATATAGTATAATAAAGATGGACTACTATAACCATGTGTATACTTCTCGAAGAAGTGCGATATAGCAGAAATCAACTATCCTATCTATAATAAGGAAATATTGACCATCGTATAATGCCTGGAGGAGTAGGACATAGAGCTAAGGAGTGTGCCGAACTTTCTGATTCGTATAGACCATAGGAACCTGAGATATTTTATGACGACACAGAAGTTGACAGAACGATATATGCGCTGGTCCCTGATTCTATCCCGCTTCAATTTCACTATCGAGTATATCAAAGGAAAGGACAACATACTTATAGACGCTCTATCTCGCCGAGAATAGGATATTCCGAAGGGGGGAGATACTAGAATCGACTCTCATATGATATAACTCCTGAAACCGAGCACCCTTGTGAACCTCCTAAAGGAAGTCTACATGACACCAGCAGACATCTTGTACGAGGAATCGGATACCACGCTATATAACATAGATAGGGAGAGCGAAACCACTCTGAACGATGATGAAAGCTCTCTAAGTAACAACAAAGACTAAGAAGCCCTAGATATTCGACCCGACCTTGAAACACTATGGGACCATGCTATTACACACGATATGTTATACGAAGAAGTGAAAGAAGTAGTGAAACAAGGGGAACAGAAGCTCCCATCACACCTGAACCTAAAGCTATCTATTATAGAGTACTCTCTCGACGCACGAGGAAGACTATAATTCCGCGGAAAACTATGGGTCCCTAACCAGGAAACACTTCGTATAAGGATGATCTAGGAAACCCATGACTCAAAGATATATGGACACCTAGGACGAGATAACACTAGCTGAATAATAAGCCGATAATACTTCTGGCCCGGAATATATTAGGATATATAATGATTCGTACGAAATTTTGATGTTTATGGAAGGAATACTAACTAGCGCGATAGGAGGCAAGGATTCCTGAAACTATTACTTATCCCTGACCAGATCTGGCAAGAAATTTCGATCGACTTTATAGTCGATCTTCCCGAGAGCCAGGGTTATACGAATATGGTAGTGATCATAGATCGTTTAGGAGAAGGAGTTATGGTTGATGGGTTACCTGATATTACTACGGAGACGCTCGTAAAATAGTTTATAAAAGTATACTACCGCCAACATCACTGTAAGGGTTAGAGTCCAATGCGGTTGGGCTACCGTAAACAAGAGAAGAACTATTATGAGAAGGCTACCAGAGGACGGAGGTGTGGGTGTGGTATCCCATAGGGCTCAATTCCACTAGGGTAAATTGGGGACAAGAACAACTCTTGAACTCCTTCAAGAGTCCAAAGACCTCAGAGAGTTAAATACATCAGGAAGTGGCAAATCTCTAACTAGCTTATCCGGGGAACCCCTGCTTCCCTGACAGCTGGTTCAGCCAGCTTATGTAGAGAGTCCATTGCCTCTCTCAGCCTTCTTGCAACCCACGCCGTTACAATCACCTCCTATATGTAATCGTCTCTGATAGAGGCCCACAATTTATAGGGAAGCTCTGGACAAGTGTATGCTAGTTACTAAGCATTATACGACGCCTGTCCACAGCTTTCCATCCTGAAGCTGATAGGTCTATGGAGCGAATGAACCAGACAATCGAGACCTACCTAAACATGTTTATGGACTACGCACAGGACAAATAGAACGAATTACTGCTCTCGGCCAAGATTGCTATTAACAGTAGAGATGTAACCGCGACTATTGTGAGCCCATTCTTCCTATCCCACGGCTATCATGTACGACCTCTATCACAATCTAACAGAAAACATAGCCACGACTCTCCAATCTCATAGGCAGACGCCATCGTACGATAACTGAAATAAGCTAGAGAGTAGGCCTAAATGTCGATGGTGTCAGCTCAACAGCGGATAGAAGAAACAACGAACCGCCACCGCCAATAGTCTCCAAATTTCCGTGTAGGAGACAAAGTGTGGCTAAACCTCAAGAATATACGCACCGACTGGCCGACAAAGAAACTGGACGCCAGACACGCCAAGTTCACAATAACAAAGGTAATAGGGTGCTATATGTGCATAGACTAGCCGTGTGTAGAGTAGCAAAAAAAACATACAACAGTCAGGATTCGCATGTGGTCACCCACCATACTACTAACTGACCGGCGTGTGGCTTAAGTACGGCTGAGCGGACGGGAAGCCCTGTTCTCCACACCCTGTGGTCGTATGTGATAGATCTGGGAAATAAAGTAATATTATAATTTAGAATAATAAGGGCATGTGAAAAGAAATGGGTAAGGTGAGGTTAGATCTTCTACTATTGAAGCCGTGGAGTTAGTATCAAATCTACATTTTCAGTCAGGCATACTCCTCCTATCTAAGCTCTTATTACTTATGGTATATGTTTGCAGATTCTGTGAAAGAAAAGAATAAATATATAACTACAGAATGGACATTACTCACAGAGATTCTTTCCCAAACTCTATTTCGAGATTGACTAATCTATAATGGAATTTAGTTAACTAAATATCACATTCAGTATGGTGTTACAACTGTTCCGCTCGGTAGTGAAATACGTTATCTCACTAATTAGTTGTCAACTACAAGAGTCCATACTATTTAATATCGTGTGAAGACTGTCCAATTATCCGCTCAGTACCTAACAACCCACGGTCAGACATTTGCCAAACCTGAAAATTCAGACGGCTCCCGTTATATAATAAGGAGAGCATGATAAATCTACTGTGTAATTGCTGAAATATATGCATTTTACTTCGACCAGCCGCCAAAACCTCAAATTCAAATTATATTACCTTTATTGTTGAAAAACGTGTATACTGTCCTATTCTAGGGTTTAAAGGTTCAAGTCCCGCTAGGAAAGGGTCATTCCGCGAGACTCAATTTCAGGTAAGATGCACACTTGAGCATTCAATATGCTTGTTTATGCATACTACACGTCGACATATAAGAATCTATCTTCTTCAGAAAGTTCTGTCCATAAAATATAGGACGATATTTGTTTCAAGAGGACTAATCTTATCCAATGGTTCTTAAATATTAAGGATGAGTGCAATAATCACGCATAAGCTTGGTCTCATCCGATGCTCCTTTCTATAACACACTCAACCTACTCACCTTTCCTCATCTAAGCGGCTGCTTCCCTTCTATATAAAGCCCTTTCTCTGCACTAATAGTACATATGACCACATGGTGTGGAGAACAGGGCCTTCCTGTCCGCTCGGCCGTACTTAAGCCACATATGGAATGCGGAAAATAGTCCAAAAGCCCTTAGCACCTAGCTCACCCTAAAGCAGCGATAGAAATCTCCTTAGGGTGAGAGTGGGTGATATGGGTGAGCTCGGGTGAGGATGTGTGAGAACCGGGTGAGCTTAGCAGGGCGACTCCAAAGCTAAATGACCAAAGTGATAAATACACAAAGAGGAAAGAGGCTAATGTAAAAGCACTGTTTACTGGGGCTCTCTAATCATCAATGCGAACTTCTGGCTTCCCTCTCCACCACACTCCGTGTAATCCAGCTGTATTTCCTCGACGATCTTCCACCCGTGCTTCAAATAAGCTGGCACTCCTTCCATCGTAGCTTCCAGGTATATCCGGGCGTTACTGGCGTCTGCTTTCTCGATACCCCATTTAAGTAACGCACTTCCTATTCCAATTCTTTGGTACTCTGGTAAGACGCATAGTAGTTCAAGGACTAGCATTATTTTTTAGCAGTCAATATCGTATAATTTTCATGTAGAGTGGCAAAATGGGTTGACGAACCAATATCAGTTTCCTTGAGATATATGTTCCTACTACGCTTTATCATTTCCTCGTAGAACGTGTAGGTGCCCTTGTTCAACTTTGGGGCGTACGCCCAAATATTCTTCATTTGCGCTTGCGCATCGTTGCTTAGACTTGTGTCTACGGCTCTTTCAAACTCGTAAATAGCCGGTATATTCCAGCGGCTGTATGCGATGATATCACCGGCTTTAGAGTCGACACCCGCTAGAATATGGCACTCGGGTTTGGCGAAATACTCGAGGGAAGAGACTGTTTTGAATGTGTGAACTGCCAACGGATCACATCCCTTATATGTGCTGCACATATAATTGGATAAGGGAAAAGAGCGAATTTCGACGCCTACGAGCTCACTTAGGTCAGATGCATTGGCGTACTTTATTTCAACGGGTATAGATGAATCTGGTACCATTTTTGGTTGTAACTGCCGTGAGTAGGAAGGTTCAGATCCAGTGCGATGATTTGAATTGTACACTGAATGAGTCGATTCCATGACGCATTACGGTATGATGACTATGACTCACGGAGCGGGGAAACTTATATAGATCAGAGCATCCTGGTTTTTTTTCTCCCTCAGAATCAAGTAGTAAGAGTGTTTTAGGTACCAACCTGCACGATAAAGTCTTCGGAAACGGAAATTGATAGTCCCTTTAAACCCCCCGCCCCCGGCGAGAACGAGAACGCACTAAATAGTTTATTGAATGAGCTCTGTGATGATTGAGGCTTGGAGCTAGATCGGATGATGCAGGACTTCATGGATGCCTAATCTATCAGGTTGTGTAGGGAGTAGATAGTTCTGGATGATGTGCTGTACCTGACTCGATATTGACAACATATTGCCGCCAGATTAATGCTGTCCACCCCGAAGCAATTCCCAGAGAAACGGAAACCACGCGACAGCTCAATTTAATCGTTTTGAACGATGCTACATCTCCATCCTGTATGGCATGAAATGGCAATACGTCGCAGCCACAAAACCCAGAGTCGTTTCCCATAACGGCGGTCTCTAGTATTCAGTAAGCAGACAATTATTTCATGGAATTTTTGGCTGCTCACTTAGAGACCCTGGTCTACTGATATCAATTTTGAAAGAAAAGCTTCACAACAACGCAAAACTTATTTACTATTAGGCGATCGAGGGCCAGCACAGATTTTATCACCGTAAATAAGGATCTAGCCTCCCAAATACAAACCATGAATCCTTGAAGGCGTGCTTATTAAAATTGTGCGACGGGCAAGGAAGACTTCAAGCAGAGCCTGATGCGCGTTCCGAGGGCTCGGGCCCAACAACCATGCCGGAGCACAGAGTCGAGTCTTTGAGACTGAAATGAGGAATATTGAGGTCCGAATCGCAAACCTCTCCCTCAAGCCAAGATCTTTGAAATGGCTTGCAGATTTGGCACAGAAAAATCTCTCGACTTCGCTAAATAGATCTCACGCTCTCGAACAGCCTTCACAATTCTCAGGATTACGCAATTATTGGAAGCCACATTTTGTTCACATGCACTGGAAGAGAGATTCTGGCGGTCAATGACCTACATTAAAAGTACAAACTCTACGGAAAAACGCAGTGAGGAGATTAGCCCTTCGTTGTGCGTTGATTAGTGCTTTTTCAGCCACTGGTACACCCGATCTGCGATCTCAAGGTTGTTCTTCTCCATGAAGAACATGTGTCCATTGCCATGAATACCATCTTGGCCTAGATCCACCCACTCAACATCTACACCAGCTTGCTCCAGATACCTGACGGTGCAGTAATCGTATGGCGCGTGGAACGATGCTTCACCTGTAACAACAAGTTCTGGGATTTTGCCCAGGTTTGTCAACTGCTTCGCTGGGGACTTCTGCATAATGCACTCGTCGTGATCGGCGTCGATGGCCGGCTCGGTGGTTGTCTCAATATGTTCGGCATTTTTGCCTGCAGACGGTTCGTATCCGATTGCGAGGTCGGTGAGACCGAAAGCGAAAGCCGGGTCATTTCCGAACGGCGGGCGGAGCGTGAACGGTGGACCAGACGGCTCAAGCTGGACAATACCCTTGACTAGGTCTGGGCGCATGTCTCCGACCCTCCAGCCTACTCAATCGTTAACCAATTCAGTAGGTCATAGTATTTAGCTGAACTTACCGTAAGCACCCGCCTGCGAGTGACTGATGATATAGCAGTCGCCTACGAGATCGACTAGAGCTGAATATGCCTGCGCATTTTGTTCTTCGCTTATGAGGCGGTCGGTCTGGAATTGAATCTGGCTCCTATAGAAAGCGTCGAAAGTTGAGTCGCCAATGCGACCGGTGCCAGGCCATTGCGTGTGAAGCTTCGCTTGTGGCCATTGGTTGTCGTTGTTTGCTACGTCGGTGAAAATATCAGAGACAGAATTAGGGGAGCCAATGTGCCCAATACTTCCCTGTCCGGGAAACCAGAAGGAGCGACCGCGTGCAGGCTGGTCTGAGAGGTAGACCGTGTGACCTTTAGAGATAAAATAGGATGCCCAACCTGGGCGTCCGTCTGGAGTATGAAGGAAATTAGTGCCGGTCTGAGCCGCGCCTGCAATGAAAATAATGGGAAGTGGTGGGTTCGCCAGGTTTGGCTTAGGGGAAAGCTTTTCGACGTAAATTTGCCCTATCATAGCCATTGATGTAGAATTGGTTGCTTTGTCCTGTTTGGCGATCTTAGATACACATAGAATTCGTGGGAATTAAGACTTGCTGTGATGTTCGTGTATCGTCCGCCAACGTAGAAAACCTCACGCTTAGGAACGATGTCCCCAAGCTGGGAACCATGAGTTTGCACGTTGCCTCCTATAAAAGCGACATGCATTAAATATGTGAGAGAAGTCAAGGTACAAAATCTGAATATGTCAACCCAATTCATTATTCTGCGAAAAATGCAAAGACCCTGAGAAGGATGCGTTTGTAGAGAGAGAAAATGCTCCAGCTGGAATTTATAGAAGAGTAACGGAGGGAGAAAGTATCCGTGCTTTGCGGCTTCCACCCACACCGCTTCTCTTTGGTGCCCCGATAAAGACCCCTGATCTTTTGCGTGGCGCATGATTTAACGCCACAGTACTCCCAAAGAATCGCTCCCCTCTTGGAAAGGCCTGACGGTTACACCGTGCACTTGGGATGAAGTTTGCGAGGACTTTGATGTAGGGACTACTAGAGGTATACATGACATATTAGGATGTTTCGTTAGGAACTTTCTGAGGGACAGCAACGGTAACTATCTGGAGGGGGCACTTTGTGTATATGAATATTTCATCATTGCTGTCACGGCCTGGTTCTATCCCAGTGTCGAGGTAACTTCGACAAACCAAACTTGATCTGGATTTACCAGTTCTTGGCCTTCAAAAGTTCAACTTCTGTATGATTACTCGATCGATATTACTGAATGCAAATTCTTCATCGGCATTGCGGTGTGTGGCCGAATGGGAGAGGTAGAGAGAGCGGTTGGTAAGAAAGAGCTTCACTGAATATTTGCAGACTAGTATCCATAGAAGAATGATGAAAACATCATGAAAATATGTCTAACCATTTCACAGAAGTTAAAGAATCACAGGGCCACTAGATATCTGGATCAGATCCTATAAGTATCTTTATATTGACCTTTCTCTAGATTAGTTTGTCTATTTGACATGCATATTGGTCTTAGAATACTCAATTCAATTGAAAGGTCACTATAAAGATAAAAAATCGATCTACAAATGTCCTCGGGAGTAATGATAGTTATACTTGGCCCCTCGAATCAATAATAATGTCAATATAAAGATGAGCAAGCGACAAACAGCGATAAGGATAGATTAGCCATTTCACCCATTCAATTTCGTTTCTTACCAAAAATATTCCAGCCTCTGCGGAAGAAGTTTTTGACAGTTCCTTCACCGCTAATTTCCTGAGAAGAAATTGGAACAGGGTTCATGACGGGCTTTCCGGTCCAAGAGATCCCAAATGCAGCCTCAAATATGGGGGAAAGATCATGCGAAGCGCATATATCAGTAGAAGAAACCCTCGTCTTCAACGTTTGTAATTCATCATTGATTGTGCCGCTCATGGTTCGGAGTTCGAGAATCTGCTGGACCATCTTCCCCTCAAAATATGGCGGTCCAAGAAAGAATTCATGTCCAGTCTGGGCGAGTCGAGTTTGCGAACCTTGCCTCTCATATGTATGGAGGTCTTGGATAAATTGTATACAATTTTGATTGAAGTTGGGGTATTTTTTGCGGAGCTTTGCGAGCTGCGTCGCCCGGAAACTCGCTGTTCTCAAATACAGAGTCCATATTTCGAGGAACGAGTCCTTCCACGGCCCCCGCACCAGTGACCCTTCCCAAATTTCTCTCGTAAGTTTTGTCTTGACCAACTCTCCATTGGCGAAAGTCTGCAGTTCAATTTCCGTTAAAGGTCTAGCGCTGCTAAATCTTGATCGAATCAATTCTTGAAAATCCAGTGTTAGAAGTATTATATATGGGGAATTGATAGTGGAATACCAAGCATGTATTCCTTATTGAAGGTTCTTCGTTCTCCATCCGCGAGGGTGATTGTCACTAATTCTTCGATGGGCATCTCGGCAATATCCTCCATCATTACAATATCTTGTCCTCTGAGCACAGGAGCAGCGGGTGGTCTAATCCGAATTTCTGGGATGGTTCGTAAACCCGATGTTCTTCTTCTTTCCTTAAGTGATGACTGATGGGATGGAGTATTGGATGTATTGGGCGATGGATCATCCTTGGGTCTCACAATTATGCTAACAGCTGGTTGATCGGTACAGTAGAGTTTCCATGTTGCAAAGATGGCCTCATCCGTGAGCATTTGAACAGCGGCGTACATTGAATTGGCATGGATCCAGAAAGAAAAATCTTCTGGTCGGCCCGGTTGATCTAGCTTCCTCAGGATACAGCCAAATGAGATACCATGTTCTTCAACGTCTTTTAAGGAAATCTGGCCCAGCTTATACTCGGTTGCACTCACAGACTCTATCGTCAGAAACCATATTTGATCTTCATCGACACTGACCATTTTCGTGAGCTTCTGCGATAAGGCGAGACTTCGTCAGTACGAGTATACAGATAGATGGAGGCTCGGAACTATTCTTTACCAAGAGAACGTAATGTGGAATAGAATTGTAGAAAAGCGTAGAGTGTCAAGTCTGTAGACCCGGGGAAATCACTAGTATAGAGTGGGTCTCGTACGAAAACACGTGACCAATGACATCTGTCAATTTTTAGTAAGGTGGAGACGAATGGCAACTAAATTCAACGAATCAAAGACAATTTGTGTGTGTTCTAACTACAGAGGGGCAAAGCCATCTCCACAAAGTACGGAAATGCCGACTAAAAACAGATCAAAAACAGATTAAACTATTTATTGTGACTATAGCTCAGCTGAACCTTTCTGACTATTTAGGCTAGATAGGTTCTGCTGAGTTTTTCACCGCGTTGGAGAAAGGTTTGGCTTGGCATTCTCGGAGAGTTCAGCTGAACTGTAACCTGAAACTATTTGACAAACTTCAAGGGCTTTTCATCCACAGTTTTGCATATAAAACGCATCGGGAGGAAATGGAATTTCCTACATAGATAATGGCAGTGTCACTTGTAAACTTAGTTGGACATCTCTTTGATATTCTCCCGCATTAGTCTGGGGTATACGGTCCAAAAGTAATTCCAAAGTTGGACCATGATACCTCGCAATCTGTACCGTTTTGCTTACCACATTCTCAGATAGATTCCAGAGGCTACATGCAACTTCACAAAGAAGTTTCATGTTTTTATATCGCTTTTGCATTCTCATACTAACATGCAGAAATCCTTCTAGAATCGAAGAAAAGCCCGAACCAAGTCATCTCTGTCAAAGTAAGAAAGAAAGAGTGATAAAAAAGTAAAGAAGATAGGATAACAGCACTATCGCTGCTGGCTAGTGCATTACACACTAGCGAATGTTCCACGCCCTGTGCCATCAGTATTCCAAAATCTTCGCACCACCCATGATTGTTCGTATCTTTTATCGTTATCCCACAAACAACTGACTGTACTGTGCGGGACAAGCCCTGATTCTTCTATAGACTACTTCGTGAGGGTTGGATCGCCTAGCTGTGTCCAGTCTTCTGATTTGATGTAGTCGGCAATACCTGTACACGGGATCTGAGGCACAACCTTCAATCATCAGAATTAGCTACTAGTACATATATTCGGTCAAATCTCGAAAGGGAAAATACTTACATCCCTTGAGTACACCACACTCGGATCTCCACCTTCAAATCCGATGTCTTGCATATAGCCATACATCTCTGCCATTTCTGCGCTGTGATCCGCGGGCTCCAGCTTGCTGTGGTCCTCGACAGTGGTCTTCTCGAATCGAGCCGGAATACCTGTGATACTGGTCCAGAGTTTCACGTAGTCCGCCCATGTCAGGCGATCACCAAATGCAAGCATATTCGTGCCTGCTGGAAGATAAAGTAAGGCGTCCACAAAGTTCCCAGTGTCTTTTGTATGGACCATTGGGATTGGCTCGTCTCCACTCCCTGGGATCCTCAGGAGCATGGTCCCATCGGTTAACTAATGACTATATTAACGCTGATTCAATGCAGGTTGGAATATCATTACAAACCTTCTGCCATGGTACAGAAGTTCTTCCCCACTTCCAGTTTGTCATAAACAAACCCATCTGCAAGATAGACGTCTTTTCTGCCAATTCTGTGTGCATTTCGTGTATATAGTCCACAACATGGGCTTTGCAGTCAAAGTGATAGACACCTGTGTACCTCCCTTTACTCCACTTAGCAGCATCAGAAAGAGAAGACCAAATAAACCTGTCAAGTGTTGGGACGACACTTGCGGCCGCATTTGCAATATTCTTGCCCTGTAGGAGCTCCAAATCATAGCTCATCTCTCTTGCATTCTGGCCCGGCTTCAGGAAGCTTAGATCTGGACTGTTCGAATTCGACATAGCATCGGAGAACACGGTGTTACCAAAGATGATATCCACTCCCTGAAAGGCAGCTTTAAGCGAGTCAACGTCGTTGACATCTCCTTTGATCATCTGGACACCCCGTGCACGCAGAGCTTGGCTTGCAGGGGAGGAAGGGTCTCTTGTTAGGCCCTTGACTTTCCATCCAGGTTTATCAAGAAATACATTTGCCACAGATGACCCCTGGACGATGAATTCAGCACCATAGAAGACAGATATGCACTGTGCAAGGTTACATACCTGATTACCGGTGACGGTCATTACCAATATTGTCTTCGTCATGTTGGACTTTTGCGTCATAATATCCGACATATTGATCTAGGGTGCGAAAATCATGGCTTTTTAAACTTGACCACCTATCCACATTTTGCAATTTCTAATCAATTGGTGATAATGAGCTAACCGTGGGATTCCGATTATTAACTGTCCCGGATTGCATATGTAAAGTCATCGTCAACTACGTAGATGATTAATATTGATTACTGATCAGCAAAGGCGTGTCCTGGCACCAATGAATCTCCTCCAGCCCTCTGGGGCTGTTCAGTTGATTATCCATCATCCCGAATTATAGAGCCTAGCTAGTCTGCAAACCTAGCTAAATCATGGAGTATGGCAGATGCAGTCAGATTCCGTCCTCTAGGAGCCATGTGAGAGAAAGGAAGGAGAACCAAAGGGTATCTCAAGAAGGTAACTAAAGGTGGTCTGATGATCTATTCTGTCAACTGAATGCTTAAATACACAATCTCCACTAATATCAGGTGACCTAGTCCCCACTACACTAGGTAGCCCTGGACTTACCTGGGTGGCTCTACGCTAAAAGCGCTGGCCCGAAAAATCTCTGGATGCGAGCTTCATCCAAGTATATTGAAGAATATGACATTCAAAGGTACTCATAGAAGTGAAGTTAGCTTGTCAGCGACGAGTGACATCTATAATGCAAGCACCATGATCGGGTCATCTTCGTCCCCAAAAAGGTCATCGAATATAGAAAAGTGTCGAGGGTATAGGGCATGAAAGGCCGGGCTGAGCATATGCAGGCCATTGAAAACCTTGACCATCTCCCTGATTCTCAGGGATATCTGAATACCCTGCCACCTGGCTGGAATCCATGGAGATCGAGCCTGGGGTTTTTTCAATTCCCGGGAAGTAGCAACTCTAGGCTTCTTTCCTGCTTGACAGCACCCAAAAAGTAGACCTGCAAAGCCTAAATGAGAAGGTGATTAACTCCTCTCTCATCCCCTTCCTCACAGCAATCTGCTATGAAAAATCTGGAGTGAAGGCTTTCCAGAGTCCCCAGCAAGGTATTAGGTCTTAATCTCATCCACCTTCCATATTCCTACAGCTATATCCTATCAATCCCAACAGGCGCAAAGATCCTTGAAATCATGTCCAAACTACCACAACTCTCGGAGTATTTCTTATCGCACATGCCGAAGCATCGACGAGGCTTATGAGAATGGTTCCATCGCCGCTAGATCTGGCTGTCCTGTTCGTGGCTACTTCGCGAACGGTAAATCCTTTTCTAGATCCCTTTAAATAATCATACATTATTTATTCAAGGTGAGTATTTCTTTGCTGTTTTACCAGAATTTTTGTAAGACATCAGGAAACCCCGATGGCGTGATAGCCTTGCTAGAAAGTGCCCTGAATTAACACACCGGGATTGACCGGAACGGGCAAGGGGTGAAGACGATACGTATCCAACAACAAAGTGAGCGGCAACTGAGATACCGACCACAATGACAGCAAGAACAGATGAACATTATCGAAGGAAGCGAGGAGGTGTCAACGTCAGAGGGGCAGGGGAAGTGACTATAGACATCGGGAAGATGCACAGGAGTGATATCGGGGATATCAAAACGTATATTGCATTGCACACTACATAGCAATTACATTCTGAGTGGGATTTGGTCTTCATTTTGGCTTTATTTTGGGATTTATTTTGGGCTTCATTTTACCTGTACGGGTTCACACCCAATTTCTTTTGTCTAGTCATTCTCTACTGCGTGGGCACAGCGTACGGGCATATTCTTGCTTCGGACGGACGAAGCGCCTGCATTGCCACAGCGACTCTAGCTAGGCAGCATCAGGTTAATAGAATATCATCATCATCATCATCATCAGTAGGATTTTCATTCCCACCCCACCCCTCATGGAAGCTGTATCCCCCAGGTTTTATGCCCAGTCTTGTAGGCCTCCGATTGGAAGCCGACGAACCCTCAGCTGTAGAATCCCCTTTTAAACTGCGTTCGGGTAGAAATGACTTGATGTTTTCTAAACGCTCCTGTGCCCGCCGTTGAAGACGCTGTATACTTTCCTCTGTTAAGGTTTGACCCCCGTTCAGCTGGTCGCTAGCCGCCTGTATGACAGCGGGAGCCCAGAAATCTGCCAGCTTCGTCTCATCGCGACCACGGGCGTAAACCTTTCTAAAACCAGACGGCATGGATGTATCTTTCACCTCTGAAGAAGACCTCCAGACCGAGTGCACAACCTCGTAGTGGCTCTTAGAGAAGGTGATCACGATCTGTGTGATGATCCAAAGTTGTGAGAAGAAGCAAAGCCACCAAACGAAGGAATTATTGCGCAGGTAGTTTATCCAATGCGGAGAATAGATAGTGATGAAGTTATTATGCGTCGATGTTGTAATTTCAACTTGGCCGCGGTAATTAATTGAGCGCAGATACGAACTCAGCTCTGTGACCAGGGGCCCGGTATCAAATCCTTCAAGCGATCGAGTGAAGGTAAACGATTTCGCTTTAGCGGGGTCTTGACAGTATCTTTCGCACCAGGTCATCAGATTAGAATCCACTTCGTCCGAGCTGTCCAGATTCATGTCTAGGATTGTGTGATCCTCCCGATTCTCATTTTCCTCTATATCTATAGCTTCATACCGATTATGTTGACGTAGAGGCTGGCTCCATTCAAGAGACTTACAGCACCCACCACGGAAAACCTCTTTATCATCTCCATCGCAAACAACATGCCGTTCGTACCAAGGATTTGCATTCTCATCAAGGCGTACCAGTGTTGATGTCAAGTCGAGTCTGAAATCGAAATCAATCTCCGTTACAGAGTCTCTGAGCTTGCTTTGTATTCCTTTGATATGGACATACTGCCGTGGTGGTATCTTAAGTTGAGAGGAAATAAACTGATACAGGGCATTCGGGCTACTAGATAGTGATGGAGATAGCGTTTTGGTGCCAAATTTATCCTGCCAAGTGCATTCCCAACCGCCTGGGATCGAGTGATCGACTGCGACTGGGTTGAAGGATGGAAAGGCGATCACATCGTACAGGGGAGGTTGGTCGCCATGGTTGATGGGCTCGAGAGGAATTTCAGAGTTGGACGATTGACACATTTCATGCAATTCACTTGTTTACTTTAGAAAGTTTCAAGTTTACATACTGTATGTCATGTTGTGAAGAAAGCCTTTAAGTGCTTGAACCTATTGTGGCGATTTATAAGCAGCTCCGCGGTTAAGGCTCTTGAAGGAAACATCATCAAAACAGGTCATAACTCGCATCTGAGCTGAGGGTAACGGCCAGAGAATAAGAAAAGCAGGCTGAGCCACGTGTTACATAAATCCCAGCTGCCAAGAGAGGCATATGGCCCAATGATATTCCACTTCTGCTCAGCTGAAAAGGTCAGTGCGGCCACTACTCGTATTCCTTTCCTAGATGTGTACCCTTTTTATTGATTTCTCGGTTTTAACAATCAAAATATATATCTATAAGAAAAAAAACACCCACAATACAGTAGTCATAGTTCACATGTGGTCATGATACTAACACAGCTCATAGAAAATGAGGCAATCTTTTGCACGATGCTATACTGCCAAGCTAAACATTATCAAAATACTACCTACTGAACACCGACGCAGCACGATCAGCTGACACGCAGTACCATGACAAAACCCCTCAGAATGGGCGAGACCTTGCGAAATCCCAATACCTGGCAGGATATACATATTTTCCTTCAGCCTTGACAAGCATAACTCCCGAGAAGCCGAGATTAATGAACCAGCTTTAAATTATGGTGTGCCACTCTCGGTATTGGCACACATTCTACCACACATGATCAGTTGATCTGCTCTGATCCACTGAGTGCCTGGTGGACCCATAACATCGTGCACTTTACAAACACAAGAGAAGTGGGAAACAGGAGATTCTTCACCATCAATCATTTTCATTGATATGGTGCCATCCAATTGTGGGAAGAAGATTGACTCAGCACGTTCTATGTCGAGGATTTTTTGCCTCATGTTCGGAACAAGAGTATTGAAGTATCTCTCAAGATTGCCTTTCTGTCCACATTATTTGGTCTCGGCCATTTCCCGTGGATCAAAGCCTGGTAGTTTGAACATCGTCTTGTAGAAATTAAGTAGCTGCCATCTCTCCCAACTACTACTCAGGTGAAAGCCATAGCAGATGTCAGATTGAAGATCCAGGTGTGTTTCAAAGCCGCTGTGGCATGATCTGCCCTGATTCATTCGAAAGCACATGCAGTATTGACCGGAAAGAGCGTGTTCAACTCCAGCCATGAGACGAAAGACAGTGTCTTCCGATACAGATGGCTTTCTCAGTGTAATACCCTGGGATTTTAAGTCGGTAAGATCGATGTCCTGCGCTGTCATCAAATCCGCCATGGTCCAAGATTTATACGCAGCGACAATATCATCAAAAGAGGCCTTGGAAGAAGCTAGAGCTATGTACTTGTCTGCTAGCTCTTTCCTCTGCCGGTATGTTTTGCAATAACAAAATCCAAATTCCATCCATATGGATGAGTAAACATCGGGCAGCCAGCCGATAAAGGGTTGAATGTTGACAAACAGGTTGAAAACTTGGTTCTGGGCAAAGTCAAGCTTTTCACCTTCCTTCAATCTTGTTTTTAGACCAAGTAAGCTCAGTGAACGGGCGATTGCTGCATCCCAGATCTCATATCCCATGTTCTTCGGGTCTAGTATAGAAAAATTGGGTCTCTTCACGAGGGCTAAAAACCAAAACATGCAGTAAGACTGAGTACCTCGGGCCGTTTTGGAAATATATTCCTCGCAGAAACGACACAAGTAGCCCCTGAGATCTCCAGCTTGCAAAGCTTCCTGCAAATCTTTCATTGGTGTCCGGCAACTTGATATGACACTATGGTAAAGTTGGACGAGAAGTTTTGTCTCAGTTATACTGGAGCAATTGCTAAAACCAAGCGTGCAGCAGAGAAGATCATCGGCGAACAGCTCCGAGATTGACTTGGAAATGGATTCTTCGTCTCCGAAAACCATGGCTTTGTTTATTCTCTTGATTGATAGGCTCAGATAATCAGCCACATGTGGTCTGTTTGGAATTCGGCATATAAAAAGGTGAGTACTCCAATTTTGCCTTTGACAGTTCTTGGAACAATAGAACGTCCAGCACGCGGAACAACTGAAACCTGCTACTTGGTGGCAATGCCGGCAATCCTTGAAATCTATGTATCCTACTTCTGGCATATCACCTATCGATTCTAGCGAGCAGTTCTTCCTATCGTTGTTAATTCTATACATTTCAGCGTCTTCAATTGGAAGAATTTTTGAGACTTGGGGCATGACCGGTGCCAAAAACATGGCATATCCAGGTTCTTGAGGGATAGGCGTAAAGGTGACTTGTTTGTCACATGCCGAAACTGCACCTGGGAACATAAGCTTTCTATAAGGCTGTGAGCTTAAAGAATCGAGTATGGATATGTAACTCACTTCATAATTGATGGCATTTCCGAATGTTGTAATTTTTCAAGTTGAACTGCTTTTGCTGTTGACAGCGCTGCTGAGGACTGTTGTAAGAGGTCTTGATGTTCTGGCGGGAATGGCTCGCTTATCACCCTGCACAGCTTGGCTTTGAGGAATGCAGAGAATTTATTCTTTAGTAGTATGAGCCAAGCCTGATCGTCTGGGAGGGCCAAGTCTTTGGGTAATGCCCATTTAGGAAACACTGTTTCGTGTGTTCCTCGTGCCAAAAGCTTCCCGTGGTGAATGCGGAACGCGTCGCAAAAAAAAGCAGCACTTCTTGCTGCACCCAATATACGAGGTTACATCATTATATCCTCGATTTATATCGGGATTTGTCTCCAAGTAGTATATCATCTGGACCTCCGCATGGACTGTCCGCTTTGTTTCCAAAGACTTTTGATAGTCGTCGACTGTTTTCTTGCGCTGGAAGAAGTCGGTCCACTTTATGCTCTGTGGACGGCAGCCAAGGGCTAACAAGGCTTCAAGAGGGGACTGCTTTCTTGACTCAGACTTGATAATGGTCTCTGCATTTCTCAATGGCACTGCAATGAACTCAATGGAGCGAAAGGTTTTGCACTTTGATGCGAGATCCACCATTGTAGCTGCACAGTGGTAAATACGAATTAGGAAGAGCAGAGCATTCCAGGCCCGCTTGAAAGTTTTTTCATTCCTATTCAAGGCATGCCTGAGCAAGCTCTTGAGAACTGGTCGCTGCCGAGGGTGTCGAATTATGACATACACACTGTTTAGAAGTGACGCATTTGAGGCGGGGACATAGACACTAAACTTCCGAAGAGAGATTTAGCTTCTTGAAAGGTCTCAGTGACAGCCACCTCGTCTTCTTGGTTTGAAAGGGGTTTTTTTGATCCGAAATATGACAGTCATCCAACCTGCCTGGGCGAAGTTTGAAGGAGAGACCATGATTATCTTCCCACTCTCTGGGCTGAACCGAGTCCGGAAAAATCTGCTCAATACTGTCTCTCGTAAGTGTCTTATCAGAACCGGTTATCGCAGTCTGTTTAAATGCATTCTCAAGGATTGCCGAGTAGTAAAGCACTCGAGACTTTTCATGATCGAACATGAGATTAAATACCTCCTTAATTCTTTCGTGCTGGGTAGCTGCTAGAAGCGATTGCATTAGCTTTCTCGTCGAATGTGAACAATTATGACAATAGGCCTAACACACGGTCTTTTGAGATAGCTTCCAACTCTTTCTTCAAACTTGCTAAAAACTTTTGATCGGCAGTGTCAATGCCATTGTTCTTGGAGCAAAATATTATGACCCGTCCGCTAGCATTATCTTCCCGCATAGTCGTACTAGCGACATGTTTTGCATCGTTATTTTTTGGTCCCGCCTTTTTTTGAAGCTTTTGATCTGTTTTAAACCTAGCCAAGACCTCAGCCAACCGGTCCAGGGCATTTCTTTTCAAGAAAGAAAGGGTTGCGTCTGGGTTTGCGGACGGTATCTCGATTTCGAATTCGGTTTCATCCACTGGTTGGACCACTTCGTCATCTTCCGTCGAATTTTTCTCAGGGCATTCGAGTCCAGAGCCAGTATAGTTTTTGGATTCGTTGGATGCATTTAAGTCTTCTTCGGTCCATGACTGTCTCTCCCATATCAGGGATACCAGCGTCGTGAGGTAAGAAATCTCCCTGTTTAGAGAATGACCGTTCATTGTATCTTTCCTGGTGCTCTGCCTGCCCAGATTTTCGCAATATATGTAGTGCCTATCGAGCCTCTAGCTGAATTTGGGGCAGGGAAAGTATGTTAAGTAAAGTTCTAACCCCTGTCATAATGCGGCGACTTCAGAGGAAAATCGCTACTAGGATCTAAACCTAGCGCGTGCAGGTGAACATGGCGAAACATGGCAAAACATGGCAACGCTGGCCCGTATGAAGGGTACCTCGGGCGTTTAAGCCAAAGAAAATATTACAGAGTAGAGTAGAGGAATAGGTGTTAAGGCCAAAAGAAAGCAGGCTTAAACCCCTAGAAAAGCCGGTATTGTTGAAGCGACGAGCTGTTTCCCTTGAAAGTAACTAATAGCTAGATATTTTCTTCGATGCGATATAGAATATGCCTTCAGGCAGATCTAGAGCGACACAGATCGAAACGTCTCATTTTGTTCTGAATAGCCAATATCCGACTAAAGCGATGTAGATTTGAGGACCTGTAACCCAAAAAATAGGACAATCGCGGGCAAAAAAGACAAACTCTGACGTGCTGACACAGCTTGGCGATCCGGTTCAATCGCAAAAATGCCTCAAAGAACAAGGATTAGGAAGGAAACAGAAAGGGAAAACCACAAAAAGTTGGAAGGGAAATGAGGGACTTTTATATAACCACACACGGAGAGCTATAGAGACTCATGACGCCAAGCCTGAAGCAAAAAGATGAAACTTAGTTGTGTGATTTAGGAAAATGGAATCTGATTATGCGTGGCCTTGTTGTAGAAAAATCATGGTGTTTCCGCATATTCGGCATAAGCTAGATTTCAGATCATCAAATAAATCAACCTTTCCTAATTAGATATAGCTACTAGTGCTCCAACTGATAGAGGGGCTCTCCCCACCGTGGGTTACGGGCTGGGCCATGGGCCCGAGGTATCGGTGGGGTTCAGCGCAGTTCTACTATGTACACAGTAGTTTGGGAGCACGTCATGTCGGATAGAATTGCGATGCGGTTCCCCTCATTTTCGCGTGCTGCAACAAGCTCTGGTTTCCAGTTTTCCAATTGCATTTGTCTCAGGTGGCCTCAACCCTCCACGCAAAAATATGGCTAAAATCAAATCGGTTGCTATAGTTGGGGCGGGGGCTTCAGGTAACTATTCACGTTGCTGACTGTTGTGCCGGTCATTTCTGACTTGGGGTTTTGCCAATATAGGTGCGGTGGCAGCATCAACACTCGCCGCAGAGCAAACGTTCGATCGTATCCGAGTATTTGAAAGGAGAGAAACGGCGGGAGGAACATGGTGACTTGTTGCCGTCTGATAACCCAGTCACTTTTGATCTAATTCCGGTGCTAGGATCTATGACCCAGACCCCGGGCGGCCATTCCAGCTCTTTCCTGGCAAACTTCCATTAGATATTGATCCTCCGTTGGATATTCCAAGCTTGCTTCCAGCATCAGTACCACCATCTGAGAGAGAAAGATTTGATAGGACGCCAATATATGAAAATCTCACGTCTGTATCTCCATGACATGATTTTATTCAAGAGGCTCCTACTAGTTCTAATTTGATTGACTTTTCGAGTAGAACAAATGTGCCTGACATCGCCATGTCTTTTTCTGATCTCCCATTCTCATATGGTCCATTCGCTCCGCACTGGGTTCCCAAGCAGTATATCGAGAACTACTTTTCAAGCCATCATACAGACAGCTACCTTATCACAAACACAACTGTTGAGAGTATTACGAAATCAAAGAGCCCAGATCCCAATAGTGAACCAATATGGTCTCTCATCTTAAGGCGGTACAATGCCGTGAATCAACAAGACGAATGGTGGAAGGAAGACTTTGATGCGGTCATCATTGCCAATGGCCATTACTCTGTGCCCTATGTACATGAAAGATACATACTCTACTGGTATGAATACTGAGGCTAACGATCTCATGATAGGTGCCCCAGGTGGCTGGCCTCGAAGAATATATCCGCATCTACCCAGATCGGGTAATGCACTCGAAGCAGTTCCGATCGGCGACTGATTTCACCAATCAGAGGATTATAGTTATCGGAAATTCAGCATCAGGCAAAGATATAACTACAGCCCTTGTTTCTGAAGCTGCTTTTCCTATCTATCAGTCTCGTCGAACGCCTAGCCGATGGGATGGCGATAATCCGCCGCCGGGTGTAGAATGGAAGCCAATCATCACGAGATACGATCCTTCCGGCGAAATAATATTTGCAGACGGCTCAGTGATAGCGGGGGACAAAATTGACAAAATCATTTACTGCACTGGATATAAACCCTCTTTTCCGTTCTGGAACGTCCAGCAAAATGGTCGCCAGCTCTACGACTACCGTGAGGATCGTCTAGTTGGTAGCTATCTTCATACGTTCTTCTCGGATTTACCTACGCTGGCAATAATTGGTATTCCGAGGGTTTTAACATTTCGCTCGATGGAGTATCAAGCTATCGCTGTCGCTCGAGTGTGGTCTGGCCGTCGCTCGTTGCCCCCAACAGAAGAGCAAGAGCGGTGGGAAAGAAGCCGCGCTGACCTGACGAAGAGAGAAAGGCGCAGGTTTCACGACATACCCTGGGATAATGGGGACACTTGTCATTACCTCCAGGCTTTATTTGATATTTCTGGCCTGCCTACTCTAGACGGCGCAGGAAGATACCCACCTGTCCTTGACGCGAAGACGAGATGGGCTATTCAAAATATTAAAAAATACCCCGAGCCGGGAAAAACGCGGGAGAAGGATGGGTTTGTGGTCGTGGAATCTTCCGAGCTCAAAGATAGTCTTCATTTTATCTAATTGCTCAGCGGCAAGGCAATTATTTTTCATTCCTGCTCCATGAGATATCATACGCCCTTCCAAATAAAATAGGAATTCTCACCTAAATAATCTCAGCAATGGATGCCCATCTGGGCAGGTTCTTCCGTGATAAACAATTATATCACTCATAAGACCATCTTTTCTGTTGAATGGAATGTTCAGAGAAAATGGAATCAAATGATTAAAACCAGAGATTTATCACTGTGACTAATACTGTATCAATAGTCAGGTCAATCTCATTATCTTTCTATTCCCCCATATGAATTCTAAAACATACGGCCACGGGGTGTGGAAAAGATGGCTTCCTGTCTACTCATATAAAGAATACATGTAATTAAAGCAGCTACAGAATATCTCTTGGGGCGATGATGGGTGATTTGAGTCAGAAAAATTAAGAATATGGCGAGATAGGTGAACATGGGTGAACTTAGAGTGAGCTTGACGTGATCTTGAAGTGAGGATTAGGACTACGTGTTGAGGTAGTGGCACATGTTGTGTAAAATGGGTGAGAATAATTAGATGATCATTCTAAGCTGCTAGCTATGGGGATATTATAGGGGGCAGGTGCTATAGCCTATTCCTTGTTCCCAAGAGTTTGCCCATCATCGTCGCTCTTCGTTTAAGGCGGCGACTCTCCGTCCCTCCATGTATGGACAGCATCGGAATCAAAGCAATTGGTAGGGCCTGTCATCCTTAGTAATTAATTTCGCAATATCGCGAAGCTTTTCACACGGAATTTCCTCTACAGTCCCAATCTCTTGGTGCCACACGAAGTACTATTTACCTGCCTGGAAAATAAAATTATCACCCCATTGATCGCATAGGACTGAAGGGTGATATCCTTATCTGGCTCAAGGCTGCATTTAGCTTGAGTTTCCTTTCCTCACCACCAAATTAATTTTTTTCTTGATCACTGAGTTCTCCTTTTCTCTCATTAGGTATCTATCTGCTTGTATATCCTGTTTCTTATTTCCACTCATATCCTCTGCCCTGCGCGTTAAGTGTAAAGAGTCTTTGGGAGCTATCTAATAAAAGAGTAATAATATGCTTCATCAAATTAAAGGATGGTACGAATAGTAGTTTTTTTAAAGATCCCCTTCCATAACATCGGTTCAAAGAAAGGAACTTGTCCACGATGAAAGTCTGGATGGACAACACTACTCGCATACTTTAAAAAGTAACCAGGCTCATCACAAAAAGTAATTTCAAGATATTAATCATCACCATTATATCAAGCCATTTTATTACTAAAGCTCTTTAGAGCCTCTAGAAACATATGACGCCACTCATCTGGTGTTATTGCCGATATTATACCATCCATATGTTCACGGGGAGCGTCTAGAGGATAGGACATAGTTCTGACATCGGCTAGTCGATGAATATCCAATAGGTCATCTTTTATATTTGATACAATATTGTAATCTAAAAAAGCCTAAATCTTGTCTCATTCGGTAGGCATGTTTATAGCTTCGATCTCATTCATTCAGTCTTCAATAAAGCGGTGATGATATAAGTCCTTTTTTGTACGTAATTTCTTCACTTGTAGGCTCATGCTTCTATCTATTTCATTAGATGGCCGTATAGTCGCCATAAACAGTATTAGACGAAGAAAAAAGAAAAAGGCAAACAAATTTATCATATTAGAGCTCGATCCCAGGACTTATTGTATCAACGATACATGATAATTCAGGGGTGACAACGCAAAAACTGTGATCTTGGTGTGAAGCCGTGGTCTTTCTAACCAACAAATATGAGGGAATCAATATAGACATAAACCGCATCATCAAACAACTGCAATAGGCAATCAAGGCTTGGAAGGAAGCCTTCCAAAGAACGAGACGTGGAATTTTCGAAATTGGGTAAACGAAAGATCCTTTGAAAGTAGTCTTGGAAATATGGTGAAGTGGGTTGAGAAATCAATCTTCGCAAGGCATTTTGCAAGGCCAGTCTAATCAGGGCACAGTTGAGGATGGTTTTTCTGACAAGACCGGATCCTCAGGAGCATATGCCAAGCTGAATCGGTTCCCAGCCTTGGTCAATGTCACGCTCATGCGTCTAGAAATACGCTTGATCTCGGTAGGTGTTTTTCCCACCTCACCCTCAGCGATATCAGGCAATTCAGTTGTAGGTTCTTCAACCTCCCGTTCAAGACTGAGAACGAACTCGACAGCATTTTCGTCTTCGGTGACTTTAGGATGGCGCCGAGCAAAGTAGCGAGCATATTTGAATAGCGACCAATAACAACTGAGCACATTAATGATTGTGAGGGCCATTTTGTAGAAGGTATAGTAAAGAATGAGAACTGGTAAGGCGATGCGCTCCTTTTTTAATCGGAGGTGGATTTCGTTGAAAATCACCACGTTGATAACATACATACCAATGGTGGCGCCGAGTAATATACCGCAAAATTGTGGGCGTACAACAAATGAAATAGGCAGCATGAATGGGGCGAGTAGGTAGATGAGAGTTTCATAGACCTACATGCGGAGTTTGATTAGAGTTAAGGTTCATTCTAAAACAGAGAGTTAATGTAATTCATACCTCTTGAAACACACACAGTTTGGCTCCAATCTCCCACCAGCCAAGCTTCCAGCTTTTCAAGATATACTTCAAATCAAAGTACATCCCTAAGACGAAGAAAAAGTTCCATCGCTTGAATCGCTGTTGGAAGATTGTCATCTCATCAAAGCCACCGCGGTTCCCACTACCACTGAAAAACACAGATGGCGGAGTCTCAGTCTCTACAAAGACTGAGGAGCACATCTTAATGCGTCCACCGAGACGACGGCAGCTATCTCCAAAAAACCAATCTTCGGAAATTGAGAAGCCAGGGTGATCGTCAAAAGTCATCTTAAGACATTCTGTTTTCCAGATAGAAATAGCACCATGAGGGAATGTTGCACTACCGAGCTTGCCGAAGAAAGCCCGTTGAAGTCCGGACATCTTATATTCCAGGTCTTGTGCTTGTTGGCAGTATGTTCCTTTAGAGGAGTTCGGACCCACGCTCTTAATCGTATATCCAACGCACTCAACCATCCCCTTCAGACGATCACAGACAATAGGGAAGTTGGGGGGGCAATGCACAGTCATCATCAATCAGAAGGACATATTCGAATTCTTTAGCAGCATGGCAGCCGGCAAATTGTGCGACAAGCTTTGATCCAACTGGAACCCAGAGGTGGTTCACTCCGTAAGGAAGGCAGACCTCTTCGGTATTGTCGAGAGGAGTTTCAGAGTTTCCATTAGCAATGACAAAAATACTTTCCTTTGGAAAGACTTTTAACGCAGCTTCCAGGGTGGGTCCAATGATTTGTGCTGCTTTATAGCATGGAATAAGCAACGCAGTAGACTTTGCATTCGTGGAATTGCCTTCCAAATCGTCTTTGGTGGTAGCTGTCGTGTCTGCGGGGGGAGGATCCGGTTCAAACAAAATCAAAAGTGGCAAAAAAGCGTATCTGAAAGTGTAGAATGTGAGTAAGTTTTATGTTAAAAGGGGTATATATAAACCTTACAAGAATGCAAGACCTATAGTGATTGACCAACCACATCGGATCACGAACTTGTGGCTGACAGCCCAGTAGAGCCACCAGACAACACCTTTCCACAAAGGCACACCGATCAACACAAAATATATGAAGAGGACCAGGAGAAGATAAAAGCCATACTCGAACAAGACCCGCAACCAGTATCTTCTCTTGAGAGCAACACCCCTGGATTTAGCATTTTCATATACATCTTGCATACTTTTGTGGCCATAGTAGCTGACATCATTACCAAGAGTGGCAGCGCTACCATTTAAACTCTTATCGGTGGAATGAACAGATTTCCTGCGCATTGGCGTGACTATCTCTTCTTCAAACATCGAGGTATTGAATGTGACGTGTGGACGGGTTGCATGTTCGATTTCTATCATTCAACCCCCTGTATCAGAATGATATAATACTGAAATAAGGGTTTATTTAATAAACTTACCTTGTATATTTGGCTGATCTCTCGGCAGCCAGCTTGGAGCTGGCATCGTGGGAGCACGCAATATCGTCGTTATACTGCCAGATCGGTTGGGAAGACTACCAGATCGATAGGTACCAGTACTAACTGGGACAAGACTAGGCTTTCTATGCGCAAGGCTTTTCGATCGAACATTTTGACTGAGGCCAGCATCATCTTCATCTGCATTCACAAATTGCACACGATCATTTTTTGGGAGATTTTCCTCCCATTTCGTCCTTTCCGAAGACGAACCGAACTTTGCAGTCACCAACAAGGATTTTGGGATGATGATATCTTCCACAATAGATGTAGTGGAACGTCTGGCCTTTCCCTTTTCACTGCTCTTAGACATTGAGAATATATTCAAGTTTATCAAGAATTATTTTCAAAAGAAGTAAAGGAAGAAAGAGTGGAAGTTAAACGGAGAATAGAGTGATTGAGAGGTAGCAAACTTCTAAAGATGAATGAACGGCTCAAGATTTATGAAATGATGGATTGATTGATTGATTCCGATCTGAGATGGCTGGTTTAGATTGGTGGAGATTCACGATGAGATTTAAAAACCTCTCTTGAATGGATATCCATTCTTTGGACACATATTCGCCTCTTTAAGGCGAATATCAAGAACAGAACCTTGGGATTATCGAATGAGTCTTCCAAGATTTGCTTGAAGCATCCTCAGTGGAGAACAAACTAACCACCGTAGAACCTTGGCGGTACAAAGTACCTGCGGACCAGCTTATTTTTACATCATTCTCTTGGGCAGGGGTCGTTTGAGTATGCTCAGGTGGCTAATATAGACACAAACATAGTTCTAAGCTCAATATAGTCCTTGTTTTCAACGTATTCTAATATAAACTACGACGGATAAACGCCTATTATAGGAGACTAGGCATGCGTTAGTAACCTCCACCACTGTCAGCTGTAGGCCGTATCAGACAAGCCCATGATCACTTACCCAGTGTGAGTAGTGGAGAGCACCCGAGATTTGAACCTTAGTATTTAGTCATTAATTCATTACCCGAGGAAGACTAGGCCTGGATTGCCACGATTTTGGGCTCGTAATGATTAATTGATATTGTGGAGCGTTCCAAGATTTTAGGACAGATTGCTGGAAAGATTAAGCTTCTTAAGCATAGGTAAATATTTCTGAAGAGTCTTTCTTCATGTGAAGGACTTTATTAATGACTTATTTATTGGATACGACTTTCTAATCGTTCATTTAACCTATTAGATGTCATATCCAGCTGTACATGGTTACATGATTATTGGCATAAGCTGATGCTAGTAACTAAAACTTCGCTTTAACTAACATGTATATACATATCATTCTATTAAGCCGATAGTTGTCTGATATGGTAATTAAAAGTCAAATGTTCGAAATCACCTCGGGAGAATCTTGAGAAGTAATGATGTAGCTCAGTCCTTTCAAAGATTGGGACCTATCCACATCGAGTTGTGGAACGTTCCACTATTACTTGACAAACGACAGAACCATATTTATGATCCTTAGACAATATCTCAGAACCAAAAACATGTCTCCATAACCACTTTTTAGATTGAAAGGTAATTTTGAACATCTCCGCAATTTTAAACAGCTAGCGCGTTGACTTTCTCGGCTGAGTATACCGACCAATACTTTCATTCAAGGTGGCCCATAAATAGGATACAATTATTTTCTAATATCAGCCTGGCTATCAACATATCAGATTACCTTCCCATTATCGCGTTTGGGAGACGAGAGCGACGGCCTGAGCTCACTTACCTCGTCTATTTTCAAAACTTCTCGTCGAATCATTGAACTAAGTACTATGTAAACAATATGGTATCCACTTTCCCCGTTTTTCTTAACCAAATGAGAGCGCAGCTCAGTCCGAAGCCAATTGGTTGTATGGTTCGGACAGTTAGTCTCCACTTGTTCTGTTCCAATAGAAAGTGAGAAATTTTGACGAAAATGGAGGAAGTTCAAATTTCCGATGTTTTAGTTCTAGGGAAGGTACCTTTTCAAATCACAAGATTTCTCTTACTTGGCCAGACGCAACTAAATTCAATTGTACCCGTAATGGTAAGTCTTCCAAGTCTACCCTTCAGCTCTCCTTTCATAATATCAATCTATGGAGACTAGGGGAAAACTAAAGGCTCAATGGAAAAAGATTCGATTCGTTAAGGAAGAGAAGAACTAAATAGGATTCTGCTCAAGTCTGCCCCGCGAATGCGGTAAGCTACGGCAGTGATATACTGTCGTAGTCTCAACACAATCACTTATCAAAGGTCATCGCGGCCGGGAAAGCTAGATAAAAGACTTTATAGGTGCAGAATGTATTGCTACTCTTGAATATCATATCATAGGGTGCTTGGTATAGGCATATAAGTTGAATGCATCTCCCAAGGTGACTACCAGTAGAGATTTCAGCTCCGAGACTCTTGGAACCACTTGCAACTACAACTGGAGCTACAGACTAAGATAGAGTACTTAGTACCCGCTCGTCCGGAGATCTAAATCTCGAAGCACAGTTAGAGCTTGTCGTTTACATGGGAACCTTTTTCCAAAGTTCCATCTGTACTAAATCGCCTTCCGCTCCTGGCTCACCCATTGCTCACCAGGGCGATACACCTGCCTATAGTAGCGTTATAGCTTACTTTTGTAAGTATTCTATCACATACGACCACAGGGTGTGGAGAACAGGGCTTCCCGTCCGCTCAGCCGTACTTAAGCCACACGCCGGTCAGTTAGTAGTATGGTGGGTGACCACATGCGAATCCTGACTGTTGTATGTTTTTCTTTTTTTTTTGCTACTCTATCTACTATATACTACGCACGGCTAGTCTATGCACCTTTAGCACTCTGGCCTTTACGGCAGAGCCTTGAAAAAGATTCCAGAATCTTTCCAGCATAGTCAGTATGATAGATTTCAAGATCTTTCTACAGTTATGTCTTTTAGCCCCCATTATTAGAGGTGGTTTTTATAGATATATAGCCTTGGCCCTTGATACTTCACGAACGTTGCGTTTACATTTGCTGAACCCTGGTACTGGCCTTACTCCTTCCTCTTAGGATCATGTATTTTCTTGATTGCATGTAGCTTATTTGACCATTATATAGTTTAACGCCGTCAATTAAGATCTATAACTAAGTGCTTTTGGTATTTATTAAAGAGATATGATTAATTGTGTCACTGGCTTACTTGCGTCCCTTAACCAAAAAGAAATTGTATTTGGATAAACGTGATACAAAGAGTGAATATATAAGAAGATGGATCAACAGTATATGGATAATAATACAGCGATTAATCATTGAAGAAGACTTCAAGACTCGGCCGTAGAGGCCAGAGTGCTAAAGGTGCATAGACTAGCCGTGCGTAGTATATAGTCGATAGAGTAGCAAAAAAAAAAAGAAAAACATACAACAGTCAGGATTCGCATGTGGTCACCCACCATACTACTAACTGACCGGCGTGTGGCTTAAACGCGGAAAATAGTCGGGTGGGTGTCGCCAGGGTGAGAAATGGGTGAGCGCCGCCTTAGCGTCGCGCGACCGGGGGTGAGCAAGGTGAGTGCACAATAAACAGGGTGAGAATTGGGTGAGCCAGGGTGAGATTTGGGTGAGACTAAGCTAATGCATGGCTACTGCACTTATCCTTGAATATTAAAGGACTATTGGATAGGGTAATTCCTCCTGAAACAGTGCTGCCTTCGCATCTGCACATAGCCACATATTAAAGTTAGCTAGTGCATGATTACGGCACATTTTGTTGGATTCTGAAAGACCATTGGGTAGTGTTGGAATAGACATGTGCATGGGTTGGGTATGGGTCAAAATTCATACCCATACCCAACCCATCAGGGGTAAGGTAAACCCATACCCATACCCAACCCAACCCACGTGGGTATGGGTTGGGTATGGGTCCCATATGGGTATTTTTGATGCCTTAATGCCTGACTTTCGCCTCAACCTAAACTAAATTAGGGTAATTAGTGCCTTAGTGCCTAATTTTTGCCTCAATCTAGTACTAACTAGGTGACAAATATCACGTGAAATAAAAGTCTTGGCAAAAAGATGGGTTTATGGGCTGGGTGTGGGTTTTACTTCAAACCCATACCCAACCCATATGGGTTTTGGGTAAAATTTCTGACCCATACCCAGCCCATTGTGGGTTGGGTTGGGTTGGGTATGGGTTTACCCAACCCAATGAACATGTCTAGGCAGAATGTCCAGAGATGAAGGTAGATGTAAGCATGATCTTCTAACTATGGGACGAAGTCCCTTCTATATCCTCTCAAAGCCTAGTGCCTGCAGTACTCTGACCGTCATACACACCACCTTCCTAGGTTATCATACTATAGGGGTGACCTCCCCACTATTTACAATAACTAGCTACTTAGTTTAAGGTTATAGTAGAAAGGAGATCAATAAAAGTGAGGAAAGAAACTAAGAGGAGACTGCTCGAAACTATCTATATGGCGCGGTCCGTGCAGCTTGCTAGTCCTAATCCGGCCTAGCCTTGTGGCCTGAGGCCCAGTGTTGGAACTGTTTCAATCACAGCTAGGAACTTGCCATTTAGTAGGTCCGGAAAGACCACCGGGTCTGGAGATACCAACCAGTCTGGAGAGATCGCTTAGTTCGGAAAGGCCACTGAGCCGGAGTGCTCAGCTCAACACGTACTCACTCACTCTCACCTTGAGCTCACCCAAATCAGCCTCACCCTAAGGAGCTCTATTGCTACTTTAGGTTGGGCTGGGTGCTAGGGGCTTTTGGACGATTGGCCGTGTTTCATAGGAGGCTTAAGTACGGCTGAGCGGACGGGAAGCCCATTTCTTCGCACCCTACGGTCGTATGTACTTCTACTCATGAAAATTGAGATGATATGAAAGTAGTTAAATAAGGGAGTGCTGTCAGGGTAAGCAGAATAGGGTGAGATAAGGACAAAACTTACCGCTCAAGTCACTCCCGGCGATCACTCGCCAAAGGAATATGCCTATCTATATGATGTGGAATATCTAAGTGAAGTGTTTTCCCTGTAATTCAACTAAATCGATAGCATCTTATATATAAGCCGTTATTAGTCTAAAAATGGTTCCAAGTTATATGGTCAATATATCTTATTATGGGTTGTATATTATTTAGCAGGTGTTTTTCTCTGATTTTATTGTGATTCACTTCCTCATATATCTCGGGACATGTGATTGGAAGCAGCCAAATCTATATTTGTAGCTGAGAGAAAGGCAGACCAGATCTAAATCTAAAAGAAATACTAACTCGGGTGATATTTACGGGAAAAATTTCCGTTTCAAAGGCTTCAACTGACTTGATTGAATCAAATGATGGCTGGTATCAGAGAGTGAAAAATTTCATGACTGGACGAATTCATTGCTTATCCTGAACAACGATTGGCATTTCCTGGACAGTGGCTTCTCGACGGCCACTCAGGTCATTTACAACAGCACGTAAAAAAGCAAGAATGCCACGCCTGCTCTCCCAAAGCGGCAAAATTGTTATGACAATTGCACCAAAGAATCCCCATATGAAAGTGAAGACAATCCAGCCAGTGAAGAAGCCCTTTGAGAAGATATATCCAGTTCCGTACATAGGAATTGGCCACAAAATTGTCATCGAGATGGCTATGAAGAGGGCAGCCCCAAGTGCAATATCACGTGCCTGGAGAAGATCCTTTTGTTCTGGTTCGACATTAACTAGTGCCTCATTTGTGTTAGACGTTACCACGCTAATACCATTCTCTGTGTGTTGCTTAGACAGAACTTCGTTTTCCTTTACCTGCTGGATCTCCTGAAATCTAGAGAAATCGAAATTCTCTGGGTGGATGTATGTAATTAGCGGAGTGAGAACAATTGGAGCTGTTAGTGCGAGCATATTGCCTGCAACTGTGGGATAAAATCCCGAAAGAGTAGCGACACTGACTACTCCATCTCTTCGATATGCTTCACCAAGCCAGGTACCGATGCTGATAATAGAGCTGAGAATCGGCACAAGTGTCACTGCATATTTGCTCTGCTTTTTCCAGAAAAGGGTGCATGCGCTGGGGATGACCGCACCTAACAAAAAATATAAATCAGTATCTGGTTGAAGAAGGATCAGTTTGATGTAGCTTACCATCAATGATAATTCCAATTGCGGTGACAATGAAGCTGACAGAGAAATCGGCATAGCATAATCCTACTGCGACAGCTGCGACCAGTAAACTAAACACCACAACGGCAATATGAGACACAAATATGAGCTTCTTGCCGGTGGCTGATGGGTTGATATATGCCCTGTAAAAATCATAGGCCACAAGACTTGTGACAGCAACAGTCTCTGCCAATAGGGGTTAATATATATATCAAATTGTTTCTTTGATAATAATTTCTCTTACCGGAGCTCAGTGCACTAGTGATAGCTTGAAACAGCATCAACAAAATTGCAGCAACACCACCTTTTCCAAGGATTGCATATGCCACATATGGCATCGAAAGTGCTTGATTGATCACTGCCGAAGACATCGGCTCAGGATATGTCGGCCTGAAGATATCAGAGTCAGATATTTTTTTCTTTCTTTTTTTTCTCTTATGACTGACCAAGCCGGTGTGTGTTCAAGGGCAGCTGCACCGAGACCATAAGTAGTGGAGATGCAGAAAGGAATCGTGAACTAAAACTTATCATTAGACCACCCTTGTTATTATGCATTCTAATATATACTGACCCAGCAAAGAGATCCCAGTAAATAACCGGCAACGGTCGATTTCGGGTCTGCAGCAATTGCCTTTTGGAAAAATCTGAATCGATGTTAGAGGGCCAAATAATGGATAGAGAAAGCTGCACGTACTGAGAGTCCACTGTGGCAGAGAAGCCGCCACCAAGAAAGATGAGCCCAACAAGTCCACCTTGTACACTCTTCATTGTCAATAGCTGACCATCCTCGTTTCCATCAACAGGACGAATTTTAGATGCATCATTTAAAAGCTCCCACATCTTCCCTGGTGAGCCCACGTGGGAGGAGGTTGTGTACATCACGAACATCGATGTCAACATGATCATGTAAAGAATCACGGTGTGCACTAAGTGAATCATCAGTAGGAGACTATGTGCAAACCACTAGATTATATATACCCCATTCAGTCAAGAAAGTTGCCTTAATACCACCAAAGAAGGTATAAATGCAAACACCTAACGGAAACAAGAAACAGGTGGCAACTTGGTTCATTCCAGTTGTAAGATGAAACACCTCAGCTCCGCCAACAAGCAAATTGACAGCGATGAAGATTTGATAAATTAAGGAGTAAATGGTAAGCACGATGTGACCTGGTGCCCCATAGCGGAATTTGACAAGTTCAAGGAACGTGTGGGCGTTCGGTGCCATTCGTTTGAGCTCGATTGCCAGTACTGCGAACGTGAGAATTGGAATAGAGCAACCAGCACCAAACCAGAAGGTTGCCGAAATTCCATATAGGTATCCAAAATTAGTGGAAGAGAGCAACGTAGCGCTGAGAGTCCATGAAGATACAACAGAAGACGCGATAAGTCCTGCTCGAACAGATCGCTTGGCTGTCAAGTACATCTCTGAGTCTTGAACTTCGGCGAAGTATCGTTTGAGAGCAAATGAAGCCAAGCTCATAAGTGCCGCGAAAAGGATTCCTGGCAGAATTTAGCGTCAGAATCGATTCATTGAGACCATAGTGACTGAGAGGGCAGTCATAGTAATGTACCCACCTATTCCCAACACAATTCCATATCCAACTCCCTGGCTGAATACAGGAAAAATATCGCCAGTCGCCATGCCACAATGATGCTTGGTGCAATCGCTGCTGAGATATAGGACCAAATTGATCTGAGAGAATTATTTTCGTATGGAGCATCTCGAGCATGTGGTCGAACGAAGTATCTATATAAATTTTCTCCACTTATCAATCCATCCAAACTGTAAAACAAATTGCAATAATTGACCCGCTACAAAGGCGATTAGAAAAGGCTTCTGAGTTCCATAGAGCCGAAATCCCATGCCGCCAGGAGCTAGCCTGATGGCAACAGAATCACCAAGATGGCGACACTTCATGCATGCAATTATGCAGATTCCAATAGGTGAATTTAGACTAATATGAAGACCCACATGATTACCTGTTTCAGTTGGCGGCACATTTTGACGCCATCTGGCGCTAGCCACGTCCTGAGAATCCGTGATCGGGATGTCCGCCATGAAGTGGTGGTTCCATTAACTCATCACGTGTAGCTCGTATCACTGGTATATTTAAAGAGTGAAAGGCTCTCATTAAATAGTACCGAATGAACTGATATATTCTCTGGTAATCCTTGTACTTCTTTGATAATACCTAAGTATACATTTGAGATTCCTCTATTATCTTATCAATATGGGAAACTCCAACACAGAGCAAGCTGAACAAGCACGCGCAGCAGCTAGCCTTCAATGGAAATCATCTCCGAAACCTAGTGATCGTGAGAGCTGGATTCAGCGGGCGAAGGAAGTTGCCAATATCCTGAAAATTGACGCGGTCGAACGCGACGCAGCATTGAAGTCTCCCTTTGCGGAGTTGCAGCTACTCAAGGATGCTGGCTTGGTAAACCTCTTGGGGCCTAGGAAGTCTGGAGGAGGAGGGGAAACCTGGCAAACCTCCTACAAAGTGACGACTGAAATTGCCAAAGCCGATGGTAGCATTGCTCATCTACTGGGCAATCATTACTCTTGGTAAGAACTCCTGATTCATTTTCGGTATTAAAGTTCACTTCCTCTTGGAAATGGACATGGGGAATTTGCCGGTTTCTCAGAGTCTCACTAACCACCTAATAGGTTTTGGAGTAGCCAGATCCTGGGTACTCCCGAGCAAGCGGAACGATGGCTGCGCGAGTTCACCGAAGGCAATTACTATCTCGGTGGAGCTGTCAACCCACGAAATGCCGACATGACTGCAGTAGAAGATGGCGAGGACCTCGTCTTCAACGGCGACAAATTCTTCTCCACTGGTATGAAATAAAAACCTGAAATAAGCCAGAAAGTCTTCATCAAAATTATTCACTGACTTTGAGCAGGTGGCGTTATCAGCGATGTGACAGTATTGGAAGGTGTCCTGGAGAACGGCACTCATGTATTTGCTTACGTCCATACCAAGAATCCGGGTATCAGCTTCAAGGGTGACTGGGATGTGATTGGCCAGCGTTTGACGGTCAGTCCAGATTCCATAATGACGTGCCTCATATAACTCACTCATCTACAGGAGTCCGGAGGCTGTGTGATCCGCAATGTCCGAGTTCCATGGTCCGAAGCTGCAGGCTTCAGTGAGAAGCAATTGACACCTCGGGACGCCTACCATGATTTTGTCCTGCCCCCAGTTCAGCTACAATTTGCCGCTGTGCATTTGGGAGTGGCTCAGGGGGCACTGGAAGCCGCAGCTGAGTACGCCAGAACCAAGACCCGAGCCTGGCCATATGGTGGAGATAACAAAGCAAAGGCGACCGAAGAGTGGGTACGTATCTGAGTTCCCAAATTCTATATGAAGCCTGGCTGGCCAAGTTTGCTAATCTCAAATCAGTACATCCTTGAAGGATTTGGTAGACTCCAGGCGAAGGTCTGGGCTGCCGAGGCTCTTATTGATCGTACGGCCGAACGGGTTTCAAAGCATATTCATGCTCCACGTAGTAAGTTGACCAATGCAGTACGTGGCGAGGTTGCTGTCCGTAAGTTTTCTCTTTCCCGAGTGCTTGGATCCGATGTGTGGCTAATGCAGGGACAGAGGTGGCGGCATCCAAGGCCCAGATCATCGAGACGGCTTTGGAAACTACGTCTAAGATCTTTGAGTTGATTGGTGCAAGATCCAGCCTCAGTATATACGGATTTGACCGTTTCTGGAGAAACACCAGAGGTATGTACCCAATATTGGCCAGGCGAGCCCTTGCCTTGATGCTAATTCTCTTCCGCTTTCAGTCCATAGCCTCCACGATCCTGTCGCCTATAAGTTTCGGGAAGTGGGTTCCTGGAGCTTACTTGGAGATGTTCCGGAGCCGAGTTGGTATACTTGAGTGCTATATTCGAGATATGGGGGCTAATGTCTTTCTTTGACCCCACAATGGCGACAGCGCGGTGGGGAACGCCTGAAGTATGCTCAGGTGCTTGGCATATAGACATCATGTATACCTATACACACTGCAGCGCACAATATAATTATACAAAGATATTGAATGGATGTTTTCGGTAGAAAACACCAAATGATAATTTTATTCAAATATATGAGCATTCTAATCAGAGTAATGTGTTCTGATACATCGAAACTACCTTGGTTGAAGATTACGATTAAAGGGGTATACTGTTCAGCCAGCTGACAGTTCTAAAATCTCACGGGGAGACCCAGTGCCGAACTCGGCAGTTTGAGGACCGGCAGTGATAGCAATCATAGCATGCTATTCGGAATTCCCTGAACGAGATCCACTGGGATTATTATCTAGGTTAACTATGTCCTTAGTTCGTACTTATGTCATGCACCCCAAAGTGGAGTCATTCCCTTCCTTACGTTCTCCACGCCTTCTCCACATGTCACACCACACTTTGTATTATGAATTCCTTGCGCAAGAATGGTTTACCATCATCATGCGAGCCATGCCGGAAGTCTAAGCTACGGTGTGATCATCGTGTGCCTGTTTGTGGCCGATGTGTCCGCACAAAAAAGTTAGCCAAATGTATCTATCGTCCTTCGCCATCAACGACAAGGACAACGACAGCGAACCCGGAGCCAATACTCCTGTCAGAATGCGACCCGGCAGATAGAGAGACAGGTGGAGAAGTTAACTTCACAGACCGTAGTGAAGGCCAAGAAGATCGCACAATGAAGAGAAGGCGATTGTCCCAGTCAGAGTACATGGGAATGACTAGTCACTTTGCGCTTTTTAAAGAAAGCACTAGCCACATGGGCATGCAAACTTCAATTCAAGAGAACAGCGGTGATCAGGTTACAAGTTCAAATGCCATTGTCGAAACAAGTGAGATAAAAGAAGGCGCCAAAATTTTACGACTGTTGAGAGATCTACCAGTCTATCAGAGACTCGCGTATAATTGGATCGAAGCGAGCTATGGCTGTGATCTTCTGGGCATGACAGGTGTATATTCCAGTTTTGAGTCCCTGCAAGAATTCTCGGGGGATTTAAGCTTTGCCGTCTTGTCGGCTCGCTCACGAGAGATATTCCTCCTATTCTCGAAACCTGTCCCCATCCATTCTTCACTAACATTCAAGGAATATATGGCGTTCATGTCATGTAGATGGGAGATCATTGGCATGGCCTTCACTTTTGTGGCAGCGGGAACCTTCTTTTCACGTGAATGGGATTCTATATTCCAAGCTCACAGCATGCCGATTATTTCCCGGAAGGATCTTGGAATCTTGGCATTGACAGCAGCTGATACATGCCTCAAATTCTGCAACGAGGCTGGAGTATTGAACGACGCTGTCAGCTGGTTAGTTCAGGAACATGGCTGGCTTACAACCCTCGTTCATGGGGACCGGGGTAAGTGCGTGAACTTCGGGAATAGTAAGAAAAAGATGCTAATTCGACCCAGACTATCGCTCCTGGAGAGCTATAGGAGATGTTTCGACCATAGTTTTCACTCTTGGTCTTAACCAGCCTGCATCAATGGATGAAGCACCCTTCTGGCTCTCTGAAATGCGAAAGCGGCTGATGAGTTTAGCTTATAGCATGGACAAGCAGTTAGCTACCTTCTTGGGAAGACCCCCACGCGTCAGCTGGCGGTTTTGTAACTTCTCATTGCCTCTGGATTTGAGTTTCAATGAACTTATCGCGGAGCCCAGTGTCCGGGATGCTGCAATCAGTAAATTGGATTCCAATGGCTGGAACCGCGCTGGCTCGCATGGGATATACATGCGCGTGGTCTTGCTGATGGGTCCCATACGAGAGAGTATTCTGGAGTTGTCACTAAGCCAACAGGTTGAAGATTTCGAGGGAAAAATTGTGTATAATATTTCTGACCGTTATTCTTCCAACTTACTTACTAACCTATAAAAGAGAGATATTAGAGCAATCTCAATGGGCCTGGGCCCGACTACCTTCGTTTCTTCGCACAAGGTATCACTTTGAGTCATTATCAGAAAAATACGACGTCACTGAAAGTATGTGGCTCCAATTGGAACTAGATTTTATCTATAATGAGTTCCTTCTTCTTCGAATACGCTCAAAAAGACTTAGTGAGTGGTCTCCAGATCTTGTCAGGGTCTCTTGTGACATAATGAGCAAGGTCTTGCTATTTACCAACTGTCGGATTCGGTCTATGAATCTCTCCCCTGAAATTACATGGATTGTAAGTGGTCCTTCGCCCCTCTCCGTTGTATTGGTCGCTCATCTGAATTATCAAGATCTCCTTCTTCGGTCTACCTTCAGCTGGTGTTCTTTCACTCGAACTTCTCCGCTGGGAACAGCTGTCAATGGACGAACTCAACTCTGCTTCGATTGCCATGATGCCATTCCCCCGATCAAAAGTCATCCAGGATCTCAGTATTTTTGCATCTTACCTCCAAACGGTCATCCAACCCTACGACGGTAATTACTCTATATGCCAGCAGGCTCGTGGGACGATTCAGCGCGTGCTAGACCTTGTCCTGTCACCAGAGCACGCTCAATCCGCTGTCCCAGTAATACAAACAAGTACAATTGCGTCGAATTCACAGCCTCCAAATAATACGGATGTCACGGATAACATCCTAGACTTCAACTATTACATCACGCATCTGGACAATTGGCAGTCAGAGCTGCAAAATGGATTGGATATGTTATATTATTAACATTAACGATATGAATTCCAGATTATCAAATATCGCAGCCCAAACAAGAAATAACAAATCGAAGCAGATCATGATATCGATGCTCAAAGAGGAGCATTTAGGTTTCGTTCATAACATCTGAAGCTGAACTCCAGGTCGCTGGAGACTCAAATTCCTTTTGAGTAAGTCAGTTCCGCAAATCAATGGAGCCAGCGAGATGGAAGCCAGCAACATACATATAAATGAAATCATAGGGTGACGAATCACTTTTTTTCCAATATATTCTCCTTTTCAACAACCAGAGTATCGGCTTTGCTCATCATTGACAATGAGTCACTCTCGTAGAATTTATCGGCTTTGACATTTACACGTTGCTCTCTTCGTTCACGGTGGTCGTCGACCTTTTGATTGATGAACTTCCACAAGTCCTTAGCGACCTCCACGTCGTTTTTTCGACGAGGGATGTATTCTGAGGAGCCCGAGGGTGTGAGAGAACCGGTGCCAGTCATTATGTTGATGTGATAGTGGATCGATAGAGGAGTAAAATAGTTATTATCTGAGAATGGATTGATATTGCAGAATGGTAGATGGTTTTATAGATGAGGTTGAGTATGTAGATATCGATGAAGAGTGCTTTGAGAATAGAGTGATAATTCAAACCTTGAGAATAGGAAAAAACCAGGTTTATAACTTCTCAACTGTCTTGCCAATTCGCTCTATATGCTACGAGGGAATTTCTAAGCCTTACTCCGAATGGGCCTCAACAAACACCGTATTTCGATTGGTCTTTAAGGTCTCAACAGCCCACAATCTTAGTATTTAACAGCCTTGTACTTTAGACTGACAAACATGACTCCGAACGCAACTCCGAACGCCTGATAGGGACGCCGATTCGTAGGGCGTAGCTTTTGATTGGATGGCGAGAAGTTAACTAAGCTGTCAAATGAGAACTGAATAGTGGATTCGTGCGAGCAAATAGGAACAGAGTAGTCAAAATATGTGTGTGTGTATTCGCTGCAGTAAAATTTGCTGCAGTAAAGAACGTGTGAGAGCTGACTAATAATGCACTAAACTAAACTTGGAATCAGTCCTTTGACATAAGCACGTGGGTGTTTGTATTGTTTGGATCACGTTGAATCGCATAATTTTAGAAATTCTATAAATATCTATAAAATTACAAATTTCTTAATAATAGGATAGAAGATATCTGCGCCCAGTAAATAGATTTGAATAGGAATGATAAAGGCTTTCCTACTCCGTTGGAACTTTACTAAAAAAAAAAAAAAAGGGGTTAAAGGAAATTAGGAGTGGAGTACGGAGTAGTTAGTCATGTACGGAGTGGAGTGCGTACGGAGTACCCCGATCCAAAGCGGATTCGGGGTCGGAGTGATATATGAAACTTGAAGATGGATTTAAGCCCACTAGCTAGTTAATCGGAGTAGTAAATAGTAGTCTTAGAAAATTTAGAAGATTTTCCTATTTGTGGGAAAATTACAAGCATGTCTTTGACTAGACCTACCTGTTTCGTAGAATGAGGTATCCAAAAATCCATATTCCAGGGTTGGAAAAATCAACTTGATCATGTGACCATGTACCTCAGGTACCTAGGTGTTGTCATTCGATATCTATAGATTAACATAGGCTGAAATCAATAAATGAGCATAGGATATTACATTGAGAGTTTCCTCTTTCAATTTCAATTCTTGAGACGACCACGCATTACATTATCAGATGAATCCTAGGTATTCATCCGATGGTTGTATTCTGACTATTCCTTCAATTGATTTCAAGGCCGTCTATTTATACAGAGATCTAGGTAAAGTCCACACTCAAAGCTAAACATGATTATTCTCCTAACGCCTACCTATTCAGAGATTCCCCATGTGTGAATTTTGGAATTAGTAACCCATCGCGTGGCTTGGAATGTACAAGAAAGCCCCCTGCTGTCCAAAACAATTGCGATCATGAAAACTAGTTGGATAAGCCCTACCTATAATAATCTACAGATTACGGAGCAGTTCTTTTCATGTTCCAAAGCCACCACCCGCTCAGGTGGACAGTAGTTCCAGAAAGAATCTATAACTGTAAACCAGCAGCTTCAACATATACGTATTAGTAGAGTAAGATGTTACTACCTAGACAATCTTAGAAAGCTCTGAAGTCCTTTCCCCTTTTGTGGTCATCATATATAGACAATCTTATATTATCAACTTCATGAACTTATTCGGAACATAGACAGGTAGAAAATGGTAACATCTGCTGATAATGCTCTAGAAAATTTGAGCCAAATCAATTCCAGCCAAAGGCTATATGCGTCCTTCGAAAATACCCAATCGATGCAGCAGCAAACGACTACGATATCCGTCGGGTACATTGTGTCCTCAATTCAGTTAAGCTGGAAATTTAGCGCACAAGACCATAACGAAATTTCACCACTCTCACATACTATTTTCAGTTGTTGCGCAAGTCGATGTGACCATTGCGGAGCCTTACTCTTCATGAGGTGAGAGCTATCATATAACTAGTGCGTCTCATTTGATAAGTACCATAGAATATCGACACTTGAATTGAAGACTAATTAACACTACACCCTGACAGATTTTACTTCTCTCATAAATGGGTTGAAAATAAGGAAGATTAGTCCAAGTGTTATTCAAATACATTGAACATAGATCTAGTATTCGAAAACCTTTAGTTTTCATGTCAAAATCCAGCGCCGGTTGAACTTTATGTGCGCTACAATCTCAGTCAACCTATCGGGCTCAAGAGGTTTCAGTCTATGGGTCTTTCGTTGACTCAAGCTTCTGCCCACCTGCAACATGAGGCATGACTTTGATATATTTGTCGGACCAGGTTTCTTTATGGGCCTTTGTTATGATTGTTCCACCTCCTAGGGCAACAAGATTGGGAGAGCCGCTTACGGAGTGGCTGTGGTAAATTAAAGGGAAAAGATCTTGATCGACTGTCAGAGAAAGACTCTTGTCTTTTGATTTTTCATGGGTCAAGTGGAGACCGATTTGCTAGCTAATAGAGGAAACCTCATGGATTGGATACATCGTCTCGGGCATAGACGGATGATATTAATGGGATAGAAAGACACAGTCACAATCCTGATTGGACCATGAAGGACTTTTCAGCTCAGGGTTGATCTGCATAAAGGAGAACGTATTTTCCTCAGCAAAGAGATGAGAAGTTCAAGTCCAGAGCACCGGCATTCAACCTTGAAAGATGCTCTCTTTTCCGAAGAGTCCGTATCTCTACCTCCAAGCGCAGCATCCGTCTTATTGTAGACAACATCTACACAACCCAGCATCCATTAGAAATTAGCCGAATTTCAAGAACAGCATAGAACGCGCGTGTGGCGTCGATCAGCCTCGCACTAGTCCAGACTCAACGATTTCTTGGAAGTGGAGACTTTATCAAAAGCCGTACGGCACGGGAAGAGCGTGTATTTTCAAAGATCGCATACTCACGCTCCAAAATGAATGCTGAAAACCGGTATTTAAAAGGCTACATACTCTTTCCATGTAGATCTCATCGCCTGAAGATAAGTTTGGTTTATACTCCCTCTAGCGCGCACGCAACCCCCACAATCTATTGCGAGTCTTTTTGGGTCCTAGTGGGTACTAAGGGGTTCTTGGTCTGGTTTCGTGGGATGGGCGAAAACGAATGGGTGGAGATGGTGTGTTTGACACGTAAGCTTGTCTGGAGTTTAGATACACAGGGGGTGCCTAATGGAGATATTGTGCTCCGTATGCATGCTGGACAAAACCGTTCAATGAGTTTAGCAGGACCGATATCTATATAGGTACATTGGATTCTATCGGATCATTAAATAGAAAAATTGTAGAGATAAGCTCAAGAAGAGCGTTAGTAATATTGACAGGAAGTGACAAAAGTAATACGAGATTTGCATCTTAGATCCAACGGGGCCCGAAAGAAGGACTGGGAGAGGAGAAAGAACTCAAAAAACGCCAAGTGGGGTATGATATGCGTGGAACGATCAAAATCTGTTGCATAAGATCCACTCTCGCATCCATTCTAGTTTTGACAGGAATGAATATCAAGAGGTATTGAAATTCAGATGCAATGCGGGCTGAACGGAAAGATGAAACGAAAACCAAGATCAGAATCATATTACTCATGGCTCTGGGGAAGCATGCGGATCTCTTCAGTGGGGATTTCCTCATCTGAGAAAACGTGTTGGTACGAGCGCGTTTTATAGCGATGGATCAAACGTATGATGACGACCACGATACCGCCTAGTGCGCAGAGGCCTAGGAGGGCTATGAGCATGGCGCCTACTGCGTGGATGACGAGGAAGGCTCTGTGGACTTCCTGGGCGATCTCTTTTGCGTTTTCTAGTGATGAAGGTTCGTCTGGTTCGGAAGAGGTGCTATCGTCGATGAAATCCAGGTCGTCCATGTCGTGACTATCTTCAATAGTCGTGTTCGTCGTCGCAGGGTCAATAATTGATGTATTGCTGCTGGCATGGCTTTCGATCAAAGCCTGTTTCGTATTGTAGAGGACGGCTGGATCATCTGGCCTCGGGCTCTGAGCGCTCAAAAATCCAGCGGCATTCCAGTTGTCTGGGATAACAGTCCGTACAATAACAGACTTCATCATAGATGTTCCGTTCTGGTCAATGGCCTCTGCAGTCACCCAGTCCATGTAGCCGTCGATAATGTACATAGTTTCAAAATCTGTCTTATCGGTATGGCCTATGAAAACAGAGTCGCCGTGGTCGTAGGCCTTGGCGTAGAACTTCCATCCAGCGACATCCGTGGCACCATTCCAACTGACGTGGATGACGGTGCTGATGGCCATACTGCTGATACCATAGGCGGAGGCGACAACTACTGGCGGGGTTAGGGGGCGGCCGATGAACTCAGACTTATAAGCGCGGTATGTCGAGTAGCGATCAGAGGCGAATTGGGCAGTCATGAGAAGATCACCGTTTGGGGCGTGTTCACTCTGGTAGCCATGTTCGCTCCAGCTTATAAATGAGTTGCCGTTAGGGAGGGTTTCAGCGCTTCCACGAAGCCTGGTCAAGCCGGCATCTGGACGATTGATGCGCTTGGCCACTCGGGCAGTCATGAACTCAGTATCCAGGTCAACATAGAGAACACTGGACAAACTTTCATCCTGACTATCTTCGTCGGATGCGTTGTTCAGGAAGGAAATCTGATGGTGAGTGCCATTGGAAAAGACAAATTTCGCATCATGTTGCTTAGAGAAAGTGAAGTCCATGTCAAAATCACTCGTGTGTCCACCCAGTCTCCACAAAACACGTCCATCATCACCAGAGATAAAGTAGATGGTGTTGGTGAAACGCATCGAGAGGATGTAGTCACCGTCTGCGTTCTGATCCACCGCGTTCACATGAGCATAGTCCCAGCCCTTCAACGGGTCCGTCGCAGGTGAATCCCACGGGTGGAGCTTGTTCGACTCAAAAAGCGCAACGTGTTCGATACTGTTCCATTGAAGCAGGATCTCATTGGTGGCGATGTTGAACTCGGCAAATCCACCAGAAATCACCCAGGATTGCTCACTCGGACGGCCAAAATCATCCAGATCGATAGACACAGGGTGGTAAATGCAAGTCAAAGCCGTCAGGCCTCCGGGCATAATCTTAAACTCGTGCATGTTGAACTGTTGGATATCCGCAGTGGGGCGCACTTCATTGGTCACATTATAGTGCTTATCCAAGACCATTCCACGGCTTTTCTCAGCGGAGTCCTTAGGAAACTGAACGAGTGGGTCCAGTAAGAAAGACAGGTAGATATCGCCGTTATCATCGATGTTTGTACGGAAATCGTAGGCATTGCGATTATCGGTAAATTCCGATCCAGCCCAGATGAGCATCTATCGGAGTCAGTATGGGGCTATCCATAGGTGGTGACTTGAGGACGGCCATACCCCATCGCTATCATAGATGTAAGGTCCGACCTGAAATTGCGAATATTTTTTAGAGGGCAATTCGGGGACTATCACTCCATACGGCGCAACAAACCAATAACCGGGAGCTTCACGCTCACGATCCAGGTGAGTGATTTCCCATTTCAAGGCTCGTACTTCGGGGAGCTATAAGGGGGAAAAAAGTTAGCTTGAGCCTCAATGGCAGAAATACTGGACTGACCGTAACAAAAGACATGAGGTCTGCATCGTGGCGCTGGCCAGTAACAATCTGCAGAAATAACCCTAACAATGCGACAGTAAAGAACATCATGCGCTATAATGAATGACTGGGAAGTGAGATCTTCCCGAAGAAAGCGTACACTGGAGAGAGAAAAGAGATGAAGCGAATGAAATGAAGGCGCATATGAGCGTCGTAACACCCGCGGTCTTCCAAAGTGGAGATCCGAGCTAGGGAGGGAAACTAGATTGACGAGACTCCACTCAGGAGGCGTGGAATCCATGAAGAGAAGTCTTGGCGTTTCAGCTTCATTGCTTGCTCCTACTGATCTTCTCCTGCTTTCCTCTTTCCTATTGCTCCAAGTGGAGACTCTCTACGATTTTCCGATTCAATCTGATTTATTGACTTAACTTAGGAAACGGGCCTTAACAGGTTTCCTGTTCAGTTAGAAAAGACTTCCCCTGAGAAGATAGCTTGACAAGGATTGGACTTAAACATGGGCCTTTAATACTATCGCGTTATGAGAGTTTAGGCATCAGAATACAAGATGTCCTCTGTACTACACGACTTAAGGTTCTGACTAGCTTTATAGTGAACGGACCATGCATTTTTGAATTTATACTATGTAGGAACAAATCAGCCTTGGGGAGATCGTGGTAGGACAAGCTTGATGAATGCAAGGGGCCAGATCTGATGACGTCGTTTCAGACCCTTGTCAAGTACCATTCTCTCGTAGTAATCAGTAGGTAAAGGATCTCGCGTCTCTGGGGGTCTTCTTTCCGAGTCTCATAGTACTCTGTTTTGTAGAACATGACACGGCGCAAGTCAGCTCAGTCCCATGTTGTATGTGACTGAAGACCCTACGCCATTTCATGTTCTACAAGAAAGAGTATTATCAGACTCGGAAGAATACATACGATTACCTAGGATTACCTGAGAATACCTAGAAATACCTAGGAATACCAATTCGACTGAAATCCAAGTTCGAAAGTGCGCTTTTAAAGAGCGGAGATGAGTAATCGGTAAGCGAGTTCCCACGTGTTTCCTTCTATAAATTTACCCTAGCCTTATTCTCTCTATTAATAGCTACCACTTGGAACTACTGTAGTATTCTTTTGGCCTCTGGATCCTACTTTGAATTTGCCACCAAAGATGATTTGTCTTCCTTGGCCCCGCAATATTAGTCAAAATCCTCCAACTGGGGCCTAGAGCGCTGTCTTGAGATGGATCGTGGATGAATCCATCGTGATAACTGACCAGATCTGCTGACGCAGATGGTAGAATGGAATTGGAATCAAACCATTTTCCAATGCTGTGGAAGGCTTGCAGTGTTCAAAAAAAGTCCTAGAGGATGAAACTATAAGTCGTAACTAGGCCAAGGCTATGCCAATTGAAATATTCCAGTTGAAGTGTTCACTTTCTCTGGAAGGATGTATACCAAGGGGATGGTCCTTTTATTTTTGTGGTACCAGTTTCCAAGGTTGCTTGTGTTTGTTCGTATCAACTCAGCCTTAGAGGGTGCATGTCGTACACGTGGTCACATGGTCAATTATTTACACCGCCTGAAGTACTGCCCAGCTAGCTTAAGATAAAGGAGGTAACCTTAGGTTACCCTCTCTTCTAAGATACTCTGCTGATTACTCAGTTCAGTACCCACCGAATGATCAATTCAGTCTACTCCACATGATGGAGATGCCATACTCATCAAGAGGTCCGAGGATATTGCAAGGGAGACACTTTTGTCGTACGACTTGAACTACCGTACATATCTCGTGGGTTCATGCTGTGACGTGCCTACGAGAACATCCCTCGCAATCTTGCTGATACATAGTCAGGTCAGGAAATATCTAACGATCATGACGTGATTGGTCAGCTATTACGACAGCAATGCGTTGACCGGAGGGATATAAGGAGAATTCATGGAGAATTCATGCAGCAATTGCTGGCTTGCAGCTCCTTGCAGGGACATTTTGCTCCGTTGTCAGGAGAAACTTACTATCAATCATCAAATATCCGAAACATCAAGTTTCTACAACGAAACGTTCCGACCACAACCTTATAAAGTAAAAAGAAGCGTAATAGGGTCTCCACAAGGTTAAGTATTAGCTGGTTCCACATGTAACCGTCCCAGCCAGTTGGGTTCCGCTACCACCGTTGCACTCAAGGGAGTCATTGAGTATGTACCATACCAGATAGTGGAATGTAATAGGACGTTATTACCGGAGAGAGAGGAGATTATCTTGGTTTGAAGATACTGAATATATTAAGATATATGAATATATGAATGCGTGAATATCAACGTTGTAAAGTAAATCATTTCCCGGTATCATCAATACCACCCTACGTTGTGCTGAAGCGAGTGTTCCATGTTGATGTACGGTAACAGTACATCATTAATACCCAAATTACTCGCATTGCGACACCGCAAGGGCCTCAAGTTACAACTCCTAGTGACACGACAAGGAATGGACCAATGTTGATCCATGCTTTGTCCCTTCACTCTATTATCTTGTCTGATACACTTCTCTTTTACTCTGCTACGCTCCCCTCATCTGAATAGAAGTTACCTCAATTTCCTTTCTTCCTTATAACCCTTCATTACCTCTTTCGTCTTATCTCTCCATGATTCCCCGCCATTAGTTTTTTCTCCCCTTTCCCCAGCTCGTGCCGGTCTGAGCTTTCTATTCTCTACCATTACCTCACTTCACAGTTTTGCCATCACCGCCACATTACCTCACACGCCTCCCGACCATGTCGGCCCCCTTGGTTAAAGTCCTGCATCGCCTGCAGGAACTCTTCCAGAATGTGGTGGCCGCCCTAGAAACCATGATTCTGCTCCCATCACTTTTTCGCGGACTCGGTCGCCGAAGGCGCAAGCCATTTCTCGGCACTCACTGGCACCGTCGCTCGCTCGACAGCTTCGTCGAGGAAGTCGACACCCTTTTCTCCGTGCCACTTTCCACAAGCACCATGATCGACATGTCAGAGAAGATTCGCGCGCAGTTTCGCCATTGTCTGCAGAATAGTCCCGTCTGCATGCTCCCATCATACACAACCACTTTGCCCACAGGCTCCGAGAAGGGTACATACTTAGCTTTGGATGTCGGGGGATCGACGTTCCGGGTAGCTTTGATTAAGTTAAACGGGCGCGAGGAGGAAATGGAGATCGTGCGGGTGTCTTCGCGGTACATCGACAACAGCGTGAAATTGCTGGAGGGGACTCAATTCTTTGACTGGATGGCTTCAGGGATTGACACAATGCTCAAGGATGTAGGAGCTGACTACGGACGCGGGGATGTTGCGCTGCCAATAGGATTATCCTGGTCATTCCCTATCGATCAGACATCGATCAGCAGCGGGCTAGTGATCCACATGGGGAAAGGCTTCCACTGCTCAAACGGTACTGTCGGTCAGGAGTTGGGTCAACTCCTGATTGAGTCCTGCCGTAAGCGTAATTTGAACGTCCAGATGGCTGCTATCGTAAACGACAGTTCCGCTGCTCTACTCTCGCGCGCATATGTCGATTCCAAGACGCGCATGTCTCTTATTTTGGGCACGGGTACCAACATGGCCATCCATTTCCCCGTCCACGATATCGGCCGCAGCAAGTTTGGCGTGCGTCCAGATGGGTGGTTCGATTACGCAAAGAACGTCATTATCAACAGCGAGATGAGCATGTTCGGAGGTGGAGTTTTGCCCATGACTCGCTGGGACGACGTGTTGAATCGCACCCACATGCGTCCCGACTACCAACCGCTGGAGTACATGATCACAGGACGGTATTTGGGCGAAATCGTGCGCTTGATTATCGTAGAAGCCGTCGAGACTGCTAGCCTCTTCGGTGGTCAACTGCCCCACTCCATGCGCGAGCCCTATTCCCTCGACACCAGTATTGTCGCTTTTATCGAAGAAGACTCTTCAACCTCCCTATCCAGCTCCGCTGCCTTCCTACAGAAGCAGCATATCTTCCCCGCCACACCCTCTGTTGACGATCTGCGTTTCCTCCGCCGCGTATGCCAAGTTGTTTCCCGCCGTGCTGCGGCCTACCTGGCCACCGGTATCCACAGCATGTGGTGTCTGCTCAACGAGGCCGAATTCCCAGAACAATCATCCATTGCCAATTTACTGATCAAGGAATCGCCCGAGGTCATTGTTACTGAGAGCGATACCGCCAAGAACGTTTCTATAGCTTGCGACGGCACTGTCATTAACAAGTACCCTGGCTTCCGCGATACCTGCCAAGGCTATCTCGATCGACTCTCAGCGCACTCACATCCCAACTCCGGCTCCGCAATCCGTCTAGAATCGGCCCACGAAAGCGCTATCCTAGGAGCAGCCGTTGCAGTGGCCGTCGCCGTGGCCGAAGAATAAAAAGGCACAGTGACCGCCATTTACATGTCACATCTTATTTTCTCTTTCTCTGTGATCTAATTCTTATCATCGGTCATCGGCGTATGATCTTTTTTCTTCTGACTGGGGGGCTTTTGATTTCTCTTCTAGCATGGGCCTTCAGATTGGAATCGAGAGTATTCACTTCTCTATTCTCCCTTATCTTTGACCACGAGCATTTACCAGGTGTTTTTATTCTTCCCTCTGGCGTACTAGTTTATTCTTCTGACCGGTGGCTCTACTTTTTATCATTACAACCTACCCATTCATCGCTAGTATCTCAAGCTCATTGCATTTACCTTTGGGGTTGAAAATAAATACATCAGACTATTTTCATTCTTCGGATGCTATGATATTTCCCTTTAGTTCTTTCTGATCCGGTCTCATGTTCCTGTAGCTTGTACTGTCCAGATTTCCAGGCATCCTCAGTATTTCTTGAGATTGTAAACGTTGACCACCATGTTGAAGACTGAAGGACACTAATAAAGTGGAGAATGATAATAAGTAAATAGTTGTCTTCATTGACCGCTTTTCAACTTTCTTCTCGATATTTAGTAAAGACGTCTGTAACCACGTTTTAGCTACCCTCTACAACCTCGATCCATCAATCTGATCATGGAAAATATTGCAGCTTCCCCTTCATCTTCCCCTTCAGGTCCCCCTCAATATTCCTAAAAGTGTTTCAAGCCGCTCAAAACCCATCCAACGCAAAAAACAACTATCCCAAACCTAACGTGCCGAAATATGCGTTCTAAAGCGCGTAAATAGCTGGGGCGCAATGAAAATCCACAAAGTGTTCCCACACGTCCCTCTCTCAACAGTATCCTACACTCTGAAAATGGAATCAAAGCGCGAAGACCACGCGCACCTGCTTAGCTCTGGTAGGCTGCACAAGCTTACTGGGTAAGAAAAGGCTAGGCTTTATGAAGCTATTGATAACTCTCCTTCTATCTTGATTAAGGACTTGCTTGAAATCATTGATCATAAGCTTACGCGGAATGGACTTTATAAGATGTTGAGGGGGAGGAAAGCTAAGGTGCATATGAATATGATTACTTTACCTTCTAGGCTGGTTGCTGAGTCAGTGGATGAGACTACGCGTCCAAGGCCTGATGGTGCCGCGAGTTGAAGCTAGGGCACCGCCATTTATTCAATTTCAGTAGCGCATCTGCCATATACACACCGCGTGTGCTAATTTCTACCTAGGTAGTTTCAGTTTCCGGTGACCTGATCCGCTTTGATTGATGAGAGTTGGACAATCATTCAACGGATGTGGTAGATACATGCTTTTTTGCCTTTTTTCATCATCACCCATGCCTCGTATCCCTTGACAGTGAGAAAGCCTTCGTTCGATTTGATTCTTGGAGATATTGGATATATTGGAGAGAATTATTGGGTCCGTTACTACCCAATCAACGGTTTCAGCCGCTTCACGCCATAGGGCCTGGGGGCTTTGGTATCGGGTTCGAGCAGCCGATTTTGCCTCAACCATTGCAAGATCCTCTTTGGCACTGCTTTGCTCTTCAAGTATCCAAATTCTAAGGCAGTCAGTCTATTCCTGCGCAGTTGAACAGGTGGGAGTGATTTCTAATGCAATGTCCATCTGCAGGTAACATCATCAATATTAGTAGTCAAAGGTCTTGTTTGACATTGTAGATACAGTGAACTTTCAGAACTGATCTTCATCTCAAGTTGATTGTCCAGAATAGCTGAAATCATCCAAGATACCGATGGTCAAAGCTTTCAGAAACCAGTTGATCGTATCATTAACCAGCCGCCCATCTCTCGTCTTCTGGAAATGCACCTCCCCTTGTGTTGGGTAGTAGTATTAATAAATGCAGAATCAAGCTTCTATTGTGCAGGCTTTCTTGTAATGAGGGGATTTGAAGCTCCTTTGCTCCATTTTGTGACGGTTGCCTGTGATCTTCAAGTAATGAGTATCTATCAGCTCTGAATAATCTGGATACAAATCAAATTTATCATAGTACTCACGTTTCCTCAAGTCGGCGCCATTTTGCCCCGTCATATTCTGCAAGGCTCTGTGAATACCCGTGGACCACCTGGGCAGTTGTACTAGAGCTGGTAAGGCTTGAGGAAGGTGCGAGATGTGTAAATAGAAAAAGGAAAGGTCCCTTGGAATGATGAGAGATTTATATATGCCCAAAGCACCTGGAGAATTTCAACATTCAATGTTTGAAAGGTCAGAAGTGAAGTGAAAAAGAAGGTTCCAAAACAGAAATGGATGAGCACCACGGTATGTAGCAAATTTGCTAGGATTGAGTGTCGTCGATAGAATTCCATTGATAATTTATGTTGGTCTACGTTGCCCAAGTACTCTCCCTTTCTTGATTTTCCAGTCTTAATCTTCTATTTCTTCATTTTCGTTTACAACTCAAAGAAAGCGTGATAGCCCTGAATAGACATATTGCTGCTTATTGTGGATCCATATCACGACTAACGCACAATTGAAACTAAAGCAAATTTATATTTTCAAGCTATGAGATTCGAGCGCATTCTTCCAATGTAGGAATAAACCCACAGTTCTTAAAGAGATAGACCTTCTCATTAGCCCAGATACTCGACGATTATTTAAGACATATGCGTCATGCTAGTGTTTTACTGCCTTTTTGAACTCCAAAGCAGCCTATACAAGGAAAAAAAAGGCAGCGACAGAAATCAAACAGTCCGGCGATGTCTTAGCCAGTGCTCATCAGGCTCATCCCCTTGGCCCAGATTTATGTAAATCTTCGCCTCGAACTTTTGCAATGGTTTATTTGGACAACTCAACCCTTTCGCCGCCTGAATATCCACAGTGAACTTATCACCAAGAGCAGGATGCCCATTGCTATCCAAGAAACTTTTAAATCTTCGTACCCACGAAACGATCTGGGCATTTGAAGCACCTTGCTCTGGTGGTTTTAGATCAGGCCGAGCAATCAAAAGTTTCCGATAGAAATTAAATCTATAATGGTTTTCAACAATCAGGCAGCCTTGCATTATGATAAAACTTGTCTCGATAGACGCTTCCGTGTGCATTTTCACTATTTCCTCGCAGTAGTGAGTAATTGACATTTTGGGCCACTTCGTGAACCGATCAGGATAGCGTTCAGTCTCGAAGATATGTTCCTTTCCTCGAGGTATTTTCCACCTCTGGTTTATTATCATATTGGATAGGAGAAGTCTTTGTCGAAATGTGATTGCTAAACAGGGACATACATCCACAACGCCGGCGGAAGGCATACACCGTGTTTGGGCAAACGATAGTGGTTTCGGTTGTCTGAATCCTAAGTGATCCGTCGATTTGAATCTGTAATTCAATCGCTCAATGGGAAAAGGATATTTGCCAGGCCACAATTTCTTCAAGAGTGGTTTGAAAATAGGCTCATTCCACCCAGATCGGGGGTGTAACTTGGAGCAGTCGGGGCAATATCTCCAACGAGCGTTTTCAAGACTCCGAACGAGCTTTGTTCGAGGATGCAACTCTAGTTCGTTGTGAATAAACGGATGCTCTCTTCGAAGACATACTGGGGGGTATTGGAGCTCTGGGGTGCGGAGTATCGAATCGACACCTCGAACTTGAGTAAGCTCAAATGAGATATAGAAATTCGCACAGGTGAGTGCGAGACTTGCTTTGTCTAGCGGGTTGAGATGCTTGGATATCCTATCTAGGAGCTCGTCTGTAACTGACAGGAAAGGTGGTAGGACCTTTGGGAAATGTTTTCTCCAGAGGATTTTCAGTTGTTTGAGTGGAGATCCCGATAGTCTTGCGTGTGGTGGTCCATAGTACTCCATGGTGCAAGTTCCAACCTTGAAAAGTTCTGAGATTGTGTCAGGTTAAATAAAAATCAGTGATAAATATAATAGAAATTTTGATTGACAATAATGGAACACTGTGGCCAGCATAATTAGGAATAGGACGTAAAATGTATATTTCCTCAATGGGGCAAGTTAAAAATATCCAAAGTTCCATATCGAGCGTCGGCATCCTGCGACACCCAACTAGATCTAGTTCCTGTGATGTTGAAATAGCGCTTTTTAAGGTTTATTGTAGTTCAGTGAAGTACCTAGGTCCTATAACGCATCTAAAATATCCATACATTTCCTATTTATATCATAGCTTTACCTACCCACGTAGGTAAGGACCCACGTAGGTAAGGTATCCTGGTCTCAAAATCTTTTTCAAGGTTCTCATAAATCAAAACTCCAAGGCTCTGTATAAAATAAAGAAAAGGAACAGAAACAGGCAAGTTAATGCGCTTAACTCATAAGCTCAATATTAATTACTTCAAGGTATAGATGGTCCAGACCTCGGACTAAAGCGGGTGATTATAGCAGAGTTTTCCTTCTTTCTCCACATCAAATGGGCTTGTGGTTTAGTGGTATAATACTCCCTTAGCATGGGAGTGGTCCGGGGTTCGATTCCCCGCGAGTCCATTTTTTGGCTATTTTTGTCTATTTTTGTCTATTTTTTTTATACTCTTGCCATGTCTTGAAAGACGTTGTGGTTCCATTTAGTGAGAGGTCAGGGCAAGCAACGCTGAATATATCACTAGACCCACTTGAAAAAAAGCTACATTTAGTCTTGTCGTTTCTATCTCTCCCTTCCGTAAAATATTCCATCTGAAGCCCTAATCCTCGATACAAGACCGAAAGCTTACATTAACGTCGAGATCCACTCGGAGACAATCTAACAATCTTGAACATCTTCCATTCCAAGGTTTCACTCTACTCTCACTTTCTCTTTTACTCTCATTTTCACACTCACTTTCACTTCTCCTATTCTCCGGTGCCTCTCCAGGTTACCGCCTAGATGCTCCTATATAAGGCGGCATCCCACAGGTATATATATATTCTTCTTTTCTTCTACATAATCACCCTCCTCCATCCACTCTACACATATTTCGATGGAGTCGTCAATAGACGTTGAGCTGTCTTGCTCTGCCACTTGACAAGCAGGCTTACAGCACATGATTCCCTGGCTTTACTACTATATGAGATGGTTTTCCACTACGTTTGATGCATCTTCACTCAAATATTCTCGATAAAACAATGGTGGGAAAAACGCACCGAATGCTGCGCCTCAGCAAGCTTGTGGGATCAAAAGCCTAACCTGGAAATGTGTTGAACAGAATATTTTTAGGGATAATAAGCCCTATGACGATATTGATGCTCTTGCAGCCCTTGATTTTTGAGAAGAATAATGAACTGGATGAAGTTCTGGTAGCTTTCCCCTGCAAGAACAAAAGCCGAAGAATTTGAACTCTACGTGGAAATGCAAATTCTTCCCTCCGCATCGCAGAAAACGCATCTTCGCGTCCTGTGAGACCCACCCATGATGAGCCACTAGTAACTACCATTTGAGGAAAACAGGAAAGGAGGGTTGTGCAAAGCAGAACCTCTCTGCAAGCTTGCCCACATCTTGCTGGCTCCACTTGCAAAATTGAGGACCCCAACCGCAAAAATTCTGGGCTTGAAGAGAGAGGAATACCGTATACCTGACTCGCCGAGAAAAAGATCTTGGAGGATCACTTAGGGTTTTCTTCAGCTCCTGTTTCTATACAAATTCGACCGGGGGTGAATAATATCACCTCTGATACTCGAGAGAAAGAACAAGGCTATGGCGTCTGCTTATTAACAGCAGATTGCAGGATCAAGCAAAAATCTACATTTCAGCAATCTATCACAGCAGCAGCAAGGACATAAAAAGCCGCGAATATGCACCCTTTGGAAACTCCATTGACGATGCAGATATGCTACTACATCTGGACTTTAGACTCCTGAAGCTACGATGGCCATTCGTCTTTGCTACATGGCCTCCCAATATGGCATCTATGATAACATAAACTATACCAGGATAACCCGCTCCCATTTTCACTGCGCCGACAAACTCCTCTCAAAGCAGCAATGCTCCATTTTCTCGTCGTCGGACGGTTTCCAATCCACGACGCCAGCCACGGCAGTCGCCTCTAATATCAAACCGCTTCAACTGCTCGCCGCTAATTACTGGGAGTATGTGATTAAAGTAACTGACATTTGGTAGAAGTTGGAGCGCACGTTTGCTTGGGTATAGGTGAGTATATAAGTGACGTTGCTACCTGTAGCAGCATCGAGAATATGAACCTTTCTAGGCAAGTCTCTCCAGGCATAGGATGACATGGTCATTTATGAGACTCATCACACAGCCATAAGGGTATTTATGAGAATAGCTGAGCATATAATCTTACCTCGGTAAGTGCAGTATTTATGATAGAACTAGTTCATATGACTACTCATGTGCTTTTTTCCTTATTTTCGTCAGTATGGATTCCTTTCTTAGAATAGTTAATAATGGTAAATGAAAATGAAGAACTCTCTAGAAGGGCATGAGAGACAAAGAAAATAAGATCCATTCCCATAGTTTCCTTCTGCAATTATCAGATTACATACTGTCATGCTAACTTAACTAATGATTGATACAATTGCCTTTTCTTTGAAAGACGGTGTTTTTTAATGGAAGAATACCTAACCTAGAGGAGTTGAAGAGGGTAATTGGATTGATTCCAAGGCCTAAGATATGTTTCTGGTACTATTGATATTTGAACCAACCCAGAGGATACCTTGTGGAATGGCTGATCCAAGGATGCATTTCTCTTCTGATCAATAAGTTTGCCCAATTTAGTAGATGGTAAATGATCTCCGTAGAGATCCATTTCACTCTTGTTGTCCGCTGCAAAATCAGACAGACATGGCTGCCACAGGCCAATATCAATGCACATAAAATGGCCGTCAAGTCCACAGACCAACTGTCAGAAATTAATAGAAGCCTGTCTGGTTGGAAAAACACGGTAGAGAAAGTCACCAGGAGTGAAGCACTCAAAGTGTGGTGAAACTACTCATTCGTCCTTGCAAAGATCATTAAGAAGGACCAACATGCGGCGCTTGAGGTTTACCAGTTCTGACTTGGACAGCTTTGAGGGAACTCCTTCAACACTCTTAATCTCAGTGGAAGGTTCATCCTGAATCAGATTCGACTTGAGAACGAAAAAGGGAATATTGAATCCGCGCATTTCAGCCTCAAATGCCTTTTCCAAATCAACGCACGCACTGTGAACTTGAAGATCAAATCTTTTGATCTCAGCCTCATCCTCTTTTGTTGTCTGTGATTCGTCAATGCGAAGACTCGAAAATGTTTCAATCACAAGAGGAGAGCATACCGAGGTTGCCTTTGAATCAACTTGCGCCCCGATAGAACGCCTAGGCATGTAAAGTTAGAATCCCTGCAAATACGGCAAGGAAGCGAGATGGGGAGAAATGAATGCTAACAGAACTTGATCTAGCTCTTGTTTCCTCTCGGCACGAGCTTGTTGAGTTTTAAGCAGAGCAGTGCGCTTTTCCCACCATTGCTTTTCTTGAGCGGCGTGACTTCTGCTGATCCCCTTGAGTCGAAGCTGGATCTCCTCATTTGAACCAATAGTGCGCATTACATAGCGCAATGCTGCAGGCCAGGTGGTGATGGTTGTGGGGTCGATGGTGGGCCCACCCGGTGGCTTTGATATCAAATCCGATGGTCGTGGTTGGGGTCGTGGGTTAGAAACCGCCCGACGAAGAGAGGATGGAGTATTGCCGCTAAGGGAGGGATTTTTCGGCGCAGTGAAACTGGCTAAGGATTTAAGAACAGAGTTCAGGTCTGGGGTGTTGTCGTCGGCCATGATGCGACGAGTGTTGAGAAAGAGGAGTTGGAAGTGATGGGGCGACAGTGCAGATAAGATAAATTAGGACGGCTAGTTATGCTGGTAGAAAGATCCAGATTAAAGAGAGAAAAAAAAAAAAAAAAAAAAAAAGCAAGACGTTTAAAATATGGTGGTGTTGTGGAATATATTGCTAGACTGAACGAAGCTGTTAGTCTTGGCGAACCATCCCGGCCGTTGAAAAATTTACCCTTCCAACCTACAAACCCCGGTATCTTCCCACCGCACCCACGAATCCGAGACCCAGATCTCAATATACAAGCGGACATCTAGTCGGCTGAATTGTTTTCTTGCTCTGTCTTAAATCAAAACTGCGAATCCCCTTCGCGACCATGTCCCGATCCGCCGCAGATGCAACGCGGTTCACGGCCACAAGGCCACACGCCACGTCCAAAACCAGCGGAGCACCCTACGAGCTCCCTGAGTTCTTGAAAACCGAAGAAAACAAAAAAAAGAACAAGACACGAACACCACAGACTGGGCCTGATGGCAAGCCGGAGACACCGAAGCAGAAGGTTGAACGTCTGCGGGCGCAGGCACGGGCTAGCCGGATGGCACAGTCGAGTGGTGTTGATCGGTGGATTGAGGCTGGACGGCGGTTCGCCAATAAAGCGCATAAGGGAACGGTTTATTCGCTAATTGTTGCTTCGGGTACGTAAATTTATCTTCCATCTGACCATATCAAATATGGTTCCATTACCCCCGATAAGGCAATTTACCGTGCTAGAGTGGCTACATGGGTTTCATGATCTTATGAGATCATTCCAATACCCATTGACCAGTGCTAATGGATCGCCCTTATAGGCGTCTGTGGTGTCCTGACCGTTTACTCCATGGTCTCGTTGACTCTCTACAACCGCCGCCAACGCACCCTGTGGATCGAGAGGGAGCTCGAGACCCTTAAACAAGCCCGCATCGCACAGGCTAATGGATACGCCACCGAAGAGCAATTGGAACTTGTCAAGAAGGAGGATATTGAGGAGATTTATCAGCGAAAGAAGGCCGAGGAGAAAGCGAAGCGGCCATGGGCTAAGGTGAAGCAATACCTATTCTCAGGTATGAAGGCCGAGGATACGAGTGCCGCCGCGACATCAGCAGTTGCTACTGAGACGCCTGTGATGGACGCTGTTAATGCACAGAACGCCTTCGAGGCTGCTGCTGCGAAAACTGTCAGCCCCGTGCCTGGTCAGTTGGACGTTATTGCCGAGAATGCAGAGCACGCCGTGACGGAAAAGACTAAGAGCTGGACCAGTTGGTTGACTGGACGGTAGAAGAGGTGGATTTGTCTGATTATTGAACGAAAGACAAAAGTAATTTGGGGACTTCTAGATGAACCCTTCAGCATTCCTGTGGGCATCTGCCATCTCAATCGGCTAGGTTCCAGTCTTCATCTCCCTTTTCTTCATCCATGCGAAGTATTGTTGTTTTCTTGCATGGCTTGTTTGTGATAGGCCCTCGCAACTTGCTTCCACATCGTGATAGGGGTTTTTTGGCGTTGCATCGACTTTTAGTTTCTGATTTTCCCCATATCTCTGCTTCATGTTACTACCTGATGTGTAGTCAGTTCGATAGGCGGAGTGTATATTGTGTACAGTACATAGATATCTGAACCTTTCTCCAATCCATCCAGACTCATATACCCAAACTCCGTTTAAAAATCAGCCTCAGCAGGATGTATTCTCCACCAGGCAGGAAGTTGACCATTCAAATAAAATGAATTTAAAATTAATAAAAAGCCTTAAAGCCCCAGTGGAAGAACAATACACCGACTCAGTGTGGGCAGTGTGGTCCCTTTCCGAATTGGGCTGTCCGGCAGAGCGCTTTCCCCTTGCTAAAAATCTCAGCTTCCCAGCACGAATGCCGGCCCCTGCACCAGTGGAGTAAAATATTAAGACCCTGTCAATCTTATGAATATGCTTATTTCTTATCTAAAGAACACGGGGAAGCTTGTCGACTTAAGAAGTGGGTCTGGGGAAGCTATGAATATGAAGCCATAAATTATCGACTTGAAATGTAGGGCTTCCCTCAAATTTCCTCTCCAATTTTTATAGCACACATAAGCTGATTATACTAACGTCGCCAATTTAAAATCAATCCTGAAGAAAATTACAACATGATCATCATCAAAGGGTTTGAATTTTAGATAAGAAAAACGCTAGGAGGTCGAGGTATCTATCATGTAATTTTTTATCTTCTTATTCTGACAGGGGCTCATCATGATACATCACTCAAAGGGACAATTTATTGCGATCCATTAACGCCATTCGACTTGGATTTAAGTGCACGACGGGCGCGAACACCCTCGGCCAAATCTGTCAGCACCTCAACAGTCATCTCCCAGTTGATGCAGGCATCAGTGATACTGACACCCTTGAGAAGGTGAGAGGGTCCTTCGGGAGGGACCTTCTGGTTACCTTCGTAGATGTTGGACTCGATCATAACACCGATGATACCAGACTCACCCTCACGCAGCTGGTCAGAGACGGCCTTGGCAACGATGGGCTGGTTCAGGTGGTTCTTGTTGGAGTTTCCGTGAGAGCAGTCAACCATGAGGACCTCACGCTGCTTCTTGGAAGCCAGAGCCTGGCGCGCAGTGCGGATGTTGTCGCGGTCGTAGTTAGTGCCCTTGTTTCCGCCACGCAGAATGACGAAGCCGTGCTCGTTACCGGCAGTCTTGGTGATAGAGGCCAGACCCTGCTTGGTGACACCGAGGAAGCGGTGGGGGTGGTAGGCGGCGCCGATGGCGTCAATGGCAACGGTCAGGTTACCGTCGGTGCCGTTCTTGAAACCGATGGGGAAGGAGAGACCGGAGGCCAGCTCACGGTGCAGCTGGGACTCGGTGGTGCGGGCACCGATGGCACCAAGGGAAATGAGATCGGCCAAGTACTGGGGGGAGATGGTGTCCAGCATCTCACTGGCAATGGGGAGGCCGGTAGAAGTCAGGTCGACGTAAAGCTTACGGGAGACGCGCAGACCCTTGTTAATATTGAAGGACTCGTCGATATCCGGGTCGTTGATCAGACCCTTCCAGCCGACGGTTGTACGGGGCTTCTCGAGGTAGGCGCGCATGATGATCAAAAGATCTTTAGACAGCTTGCCAGAGAGCTCCTTCAACCGACGGGCGTACTCGAGTGCGGTGTCTGGGTCGTGAATGGAGCAGGGTCCGACAACAACCAGCAAGCGGTCATCGCGCTGATCGATGATTTCGACGGCCTCATTACGGCCATTACGAACAACCTCAATGGCACGGTCGGGCTATAGAAGGTACCAGTCAGATTTTGAAATTGCAGCCTCGCAGGAATGAGGATTGGAATATGAAGTGGGGTGGTGAAAAAACTGTCCGAGAGAAAGAGGGAAAAAAAAAAAGAGCATGACTCACCGCGGGGATCTCAGTCTGGAGGAACTGAGGTGATAGGAGAGGGTCGTATCCAAGGACTAAACAGTAGAACAGATTAGAAAGGTATGAGGAATTGAGTCATAAGAGCAAATACATACCACGAGTGTCCTCGTTGATCTCGGTGGTGTTGACAAGAGGCATTATGTGAAATCTGACCCAATCTGATCAAATTAGAATGATGATTAGATATAAAGGATACAGAACAGAAAGGACCTACCAAAGTAATAAGGAAGGAGAGTAGAGAGTAGGAGGTTGTTTAGACTTAAAAGGCCAAGAGTGTGGATTCAAGTAAAAAAGTGAAAATAGCCTGTGGGTCTCGATGATTCATTTCTGTGGGCTGACTGAGGTTACGGAGTCCATGGATCAAGTGCTTATGATACATCTGTTTATTCCACTCTTCCAAGCCTTTCGGTATTTTTGCTTCTTAAATATCAATATTATACTATACCCTGCATTGCTTGAGTAACTTGTCGGTGTCAATTTTGGAACGTTTAGTCAGATGCAGCCTCTTCTCATCCAATCATCCACTGCACGGGCAGCACGGACTGTGAAGATGACACCGTTGTTTGACCACCTTGACTCCGTGGACATCAGATCTTATTTGTACAGTAAGATCACTGATCAGACTGATAATTCAATTCATTTGCATATATGTATTAAACATCACCGTCAAGTCAGTGCTCAGACCCTTTTACCTGTTCATAGTTTATGGAATGTGTCTACGGAGTAGATCGATGGCATATAATCCGATCTCGGGTACTGGTTATTAGTAATCAATGGAGGTAATTGGCCACAACTTACCGCCTTTTATGCCGCCCTTGACTCCACTATTATGCCGTTTTTCAATATACTTAACTTTGAAGAAGTATCATAATCGCAGGAAGCGGGTGTTTCTCTGTATCAAACTGAGTCGTAGCTATCGTGCTGTAAAAGGGACGGATCTGAGTGGGGATGAAGTGGGTCTATCGAGAGTCACATGACCGCTCCGGTCTCCACAGCAAGTAGACTTCTGTTATGATTCTCCATGGGCAATATCAAAGAATCAAGACCATCTCGGTACATATTATCTGTACCATTCCGATAGATACTAAAATAGAAAATTATCATTTACCTATAGAAGTGACTTAAGTGAGTCTCTTACCGTGACCTAACTGTGCCCCACGACAAGATTATTTGGTCTAAATGATGGTAGTGATGAGGATGCTGATCCTAGTGATCGTATCGAAAAGATACCACTTTTTTCACTCTCCATTATGGAGATGAAAATGAAGATAAAGATGAATCTATTTCTCTAATGACTCACTGAGCTAACATCCAGAACGAAAACCCCTTCTATAGTGGCTAGTCTTTTAGATTCCTCATCTATCATCTCCTCTTCGCCTAAAACAACAAAAACCCCCAAATCAAGACATTTGGAGTCATTTTACTACCCGCTATGTTCCAGAGAAGAAAGGCCTTTACAAGACCGAGAGATCGTATGTATCCATTGTGGAAATTGAAAGACCTTGGATTCCCAGAGAGATACCTCAAAGATGGCGGCAGTGGTAAGTCATTTGTCAGACGCATGGATTACCTAATAAGTTCATTCAGTAACTAGTTAAGACTCTCTCTCTCTCTCTCTCTCTATTATACCATTTTCAAATGATGATTGGTTCTTTCTTAGCGAGATCAAGGGATTATTCACATTAAGTTCATAAGAATTATCCTTCTTGGGTTACCCCTATCTCTAGTTCTAATTCTAGAAGTATGGACCCTCCTTCTCGGTCAGGTATAAGAGCTCATTCTTTTTTTTTTTACAAAAAAGTTGGTCCTCGAGAAGTATCTCAGTGTTCTGATATTGATCGCTAGTTTCATGAACCTCATTCTGCCTACTCCCACCGCCTTATAGTATTTCCCCACATTCCGGCAGTATTTAATTGCCTTCCGATCCGATGATTTAAGCCGAAACTGTTTGCTTGTTTTTTTTTTTTTTCAAATTGAGATACGTTACTTGTTTCATTTAATCAAGGCAAATTGGTGTAAGAATGCAGGTTCTCAGTTTATTTGAAGTTCAGTAGTTAAAATCATATAATTCCCCCCACGGCGGTTGAGCCCTTAGCCGATCCTCATACCCGTGTTCTAGGATCTGATAGCGACAGTACTGATTGCTTCCGACCCCGGAATTTCACCCGGCACTTCCCTCAACTTTTTTTGCCTCGGGTTGCTCGTTTTCACTTCTTCACTTCAATTCTCCTCAATTCTATTTCCTAGTCTTGTGAAAGCTGTATATCTTAAAAACTCCCTTATAAAGGTTATATTTGGGATATACATTTGACGAGGCAAAATATACCGGCGTATTACTGTATATACACTACCAAAAATATGGCTTCTCCAGTTCCCCGAGGTCTTCGCCAGGTGCTCCAGAAGGGCCCTAACGACATTGTCATTCTCTCCTCGCTGCGTACACCCGTCACTCGCGCTAAGAAGGGTGGATTCAAAGACGCATACCCAGAAGAATTGCTCGCCAGCGTGCTCCGCGCCACATTGAAGGCCAACCCTAACCTGGACCCTGCCTTGATCGACGATGTGACCATCGGCTCTGTTTTGCAGGAACTTGGTGGTGCCAAAGCCGGTCGTATGGCCCAGATCCACGCCGGATTCCCTCATTCAGTCCCCTTCAACACTATCAACCGTCAATGCTCGTCCGGCTTGGCAGCCATCACAGCCATCGCGTACGGTATCCGCGCCGGCGCAATTAACGTCGGTATTGGCGGTGGTATGGAGTCCATGACCCGCAACTACGGCTCGCGTGCCATCCCGACAGTACTCTGGCCCGAGCTGAAGGAGTCGCACTCCCAGGACGCTCGCGACTGCATCATGCCTATGGGACTTACCTCCGAGAACGTCGCCAAGCGCTACGGAATCACTCGTGCAGACCAGGATGCGTTTGCCGTTGCATCGCACCACAAGGCGTCTGCCGCCCAAAAGGCGGGCCGTTTCGATAGCGAGATTGTCCCCGTTACTACCAAGTCATACAACGCCGAGAACCCTGATGCTCCCCCCGAGGAGGTCACAATCACCCAGGACGATGGTATTCGCCACACCATCTCCGTTGAGAAGATGTCGACTCTCAAGCCTGCTTTCGCTGCCGACGGTGCCAGTACCGCCGGTAACAGCTCGCAGGTCAGCGACGGTGCCGCCGCCGCGTTGCTGATGCGTCGCTCCACTGCTCAAGAACTCGGTCTCTCCGGCGCCATCAAGGCCCGCTGGGTCGCCACCGCCGTCGCTGGCTGTGCCCCCGATGAGATGGGTGTCGGCCCTGCCTATGCTATCCCCAAGCTGCTGGAAAGCGTTGATATCACTGTTGATGATGTCGGTGTCTGGGAGCTTAACGAGGCTTTCGCCTCCCAGGCTCTCTACAGCATGCGCAAGGTCGGCATTGATGAGTCCAAGGTTAACCCCAACGGTGGTGCTATTGCTATCGGCCACCCTCTCGGTGCTACTGGTGCTCGCCAGCTTGCTGACCTCCTCCCTGAGTTGGAGCGCAGCGGCAAGGACATTGGAGTGATCAGCATGTGCATTGGTACCGGTATGGGTATGGCTGGTATGTTTGTTCGCGAGTAAAAAAAACGTAGATGTGATGATATTTCCTTTTTCTTGATGTTTTATATAGTTTGATACGATATCAGCGACGCATGTATATACATTTCGCAAATCAATAGACGACCTATGATTCTTAGTTGATGTGTGTCTGTATTGCAGATATATTTTCATAGTTTGAAGCCCTAGAAGGTTTAGCTCTAGAGGTATTTTGGTGGTAATATTCTCTGGGACTCTCAATTGATTCAAATCAGATGCTAGAATTTGTATATGAATAATATTCGAGAAGACATACCAGGCTCCGAATGCCAAGACAAAATCACGTGACTATGAGATTTGTTGCGCCGACAAAAGTTGCCGCAAGAACGAAGTGAAAACCGCAATTCAACCCGCAACCATGCGTCCTGCCATGCGTACTCCTCTTCGTGGGGCATTTTATGTCTGCTCTAACTGTAAGCAGGGAGTGGTTCCTACCGGCATTTCACCAGCTGCCCGTCAATTCCGCCGCTATGCATCGTCCGATGATGCCCCGGGTTTCCTCGAACGGACTCGACGAAAACTGTGGAAGGACGGCAAAGCCCCGGGTGGAAAGGATCCCTATACCGGAGAATCACAATTGACCCGCTCACCCGCTCACGATGAAGATCTTGAGCTAGCACCTGGTTCAGACGATGCCTCACGAGATTTGGCACCCGGAGATAACTATAAGCAGGCACAGACCTGGGATGATTTGGAGACCATTGGATTTTCGGGAGAGGAGCCCTTCACTCAGAGGGAAACCCCCCGTAAGACTGATAACTACCAACGGTATGTTCTCAACTCTGGCTTCTTATGCTGGAATCTTTCTTCAAGAGCACATATCTCAGATCCTGAAGACCAACTTTCTAATCAATTGACTCGTGTAGGTACGACGCGAAGGTTTTCCCTCAATCTCATGGGCCTGCTGCCTACCAAGCTGCTGTCGAGATCTGCCTGATGCACATGCTGGGCAAGCCCTTGACTAGCATCAGCGGGGTCACCCGCCACAACAAGGTCGTCCGCAAAATGCTTAAGACCTGCACCCTGGAGGGTCAAAATTGGGAGACCTCCCTCCGGTTCCCCGATCAACAAACTATGGAAGCGCTTGTGTTCGTCTTCAACCAGATTGGTCCGAAGTCAACAAAGACAGTCGAGTGGTCTGAGAGCTGGATTGCCCAGAAAGATTTCGTGGAAGGCCACAAGGGTCTCTCACTGACTGACTCGCAAGTCAAGTTCGCGGTTCGTATCTGCCCCTCCCGTATAATGCTCGCAGTTCATACTAACCCGCCCATCACCAGTTTGCCAAACGGTACTCTCAGCTTATGGGCCGCATTATCCCAGATAAGATCATCAACTCTTCCACCACAGTTGGAGATTTCGTCAGCGCTCTCTCCAACGATCTCAAGGAGAAGCCAGTAAATGTCGCCAATGTGCTGGCCAAGGAGACCCTGCCACACAACATCAAATTCTCCGCAAAGCGCGAAACCCGCGCTGACCGCGACGAGGACCTCGGTCGGAAGAAGGCTATCACTGCCGAGCTGTACGAGAGAGGCCTGATTCTCCCGAAGACGAAGAAGTTCTCTAGCTTCAAAAGAGACCCTAGTGCCCTGAAGAAGACTGGTAAATTGATCGAAGCATGAGCACAGCCGTTCAATCTTGACACTTGTGACTTGTTTCCTTAAAGTCATACTTACAGTCACTGACCGTATAAAAGATTTATATGCAGGTGGTGGTGCTGTGATATAAGAGTCGATTTGACCCGTTGTGAAACCTTGAAAGACATTTTGTCCTTAGCCCTTTTGAATACAGGGCGTCTTTGTGTATACTAGAAACACTTTTTCCTTTTGTTTAATCGATTCTTGGTGCATTGGTTTAAGATTTCGATATGAATTTCGTATATCGTTGTAAAAATTGTACAGTACATTTGAATATAACATCATTCAGTGCGTCATGAATTTCACCCAAACTCCGAGGCAATGAAAACTTCCAGCCAGCCTAGGTATCAACGAAAAAAAAGAAAAAAAAATAGAAACAAATTATCTACGAGCCGAGGCGGGGATGGTGAAGCCCCGAGTCATGAAATCACCATCCTTCTTGCCCTCTGTCTCCTTGGTAAAGAGACTGTCAATATTCTCATTACGACCAGCCATCTTTCGTCGCTTCTTGTTCTGTTCCTCGAGCACACGAGCAGTGATCAGAGAAGTCGCGGCATTTTTGATACCATTCCCCGAAGATGCAGGGGCATTAGTCTGAGTCGCCTCGCTCGGGCCATCCGAGCTCATCAATGCCTTCTTGCGTTTCTTCTTCGAGCCAGGTGCTTTTTTCAGGGAGTGCGTAAGGCCCTGGTCGGCGAGTTTCTGGCCGCGAGCAATGAGACGCTCCTTGTCCTCTTCTTTGGTAGGCAAGATAAGAATGATGTTATCTTCGGTGTAGGGCTCCTCGCACTGAATACACCTGTCTACCTTGAGCAGGCGAAGAGCTTCCTCAGCGAAGACATGGCCGCAGGGTACCAGGTAGACAGACCTCATGTTGGGACCGAGTGGCTTAGAAGTGATGGGACAGACCCAGCCTTCACGACGAATGTGGCGGTGCGCGTTGATAAGATCGGATGGATGTTCCTTGCCATCGGTATCAACCTCGAAATGCAGCTCTACCACATCACGAAGCGACTTGATTCGGCCGCTAGTAATCTCCTCGCAGTCAGACTTCGAGCTGATGCCCTCTTTGTCGTCACCGGGAATCAGGAATTCGAGGATAGAATCTTTATTATAAAGGTTGCCGACGGCGTCTGAGACGATTGGGCGTGCCAGAACTTTGTGGGAGAGGGGGCATGTAGTCCAGGCGTATTCTTGCGCTTCGCGCAGGGTTTCTTTCATCTGAGAGGTATTTGGAGCGCGGGCAGCTTCGCGAACGAGCTCGCGCCGTTTCGGAATACTATAGCATAGATATTGATTAGTTCAAGAGCTTTACATCATGGTTGTAGATGGCTTTGATCTAACCTTCCGCCGTCATTACCCATAGTGGAGGGAGTGATGATGTTGCGACAAGACAGGTTAAAACTGAATTGTCGTCAGCGATGTTAGAGCAGATTAGAATTGCTGAGTCAGCACTGATTAGATCAACAGCTGGCCGGAAGCTCTCTCCACAATCTTCCAGCTCAATGCCTCAAACATGAGACTCCCTCAATCTTTTTTCTTGCTGGCTGTGGCAGGCTCCTCTGCCCGGGCTAGTAGCGAAAAGGTTGCTCGTCCCCGTGGTGTCTCCCCTGAATGTGAGTGTTTACAATCAACCCTGTATATCCCCACGGTGTCCACAGTGGATCATAGATGGAATATGCTATACATCTGTAATCTATGCAATGTACTGAACGAGAGTCTATCTAGTCTCCAAGTTCTACCAGGACTCCGTAACCTTCACCTGTATCTCCCATCCTGCAATTAAGATCCCTTTCTCGGCCGTCAACGATGACTTCTGTGACTGTCCAGACGGTAGTGACGAGCCTGGCACGTCTGCCTGTGCTCACCTCTCGCGCAATTCACCATTGTCCGTGGCAGATCGTCCAGGGCACAGTGATTTTGAGCTCACACTAGCTCTGCCCGGATTCTATTGTAAGAATAAGGGCCACCGACCATCATACGTGCCCTCACAGCGTGTGAACGACGGAATATGTGATTACGAACAGTGCTGTGATGGCAGTGATGAGTGGGCACATGTGGTAGGAACCAAGTGTGAAGACCGTTGCAAGGAGATTGGCAAAAAGTTTCGCAAGCAGGAAGAGCAGCTGGCGAAGTCTATGACTACTGCTCTGCGGAAGAAAAAAGAGCTTCTTGTAGACGCTGGAAGACAGCAGAAGGAGATTGAGAACCAGATTGCCGATCTCGAGGTTCAGATCAAAGCCGCTGAGATTCAGGTAGAGAACCTGGAGACCTCCCTGAAGCATGTTGAGGAGGAGGAACGTAAGATTGTTCGGACTAGTGGCAAGGGTAAGGGCAAGGTTTCTGCTCTAAGTGGTATCGCCAAGGGTCGTATTGGTGAGCTACGGGAGGGTCTGGTGACCCTTCGTCAACAGAGAGATGAAGCCCGTGAGCGGGTGAAGGAGCTTGAAGGCATTCTTTCCACGTTCAAGGTTGAATATAACCCTAATTTCAACGATGAAGGTGTCAAACGAGCAGTGCGTAGCTGGGAAGACTATGCTGTTCGTGGATTGGTTGAGGATGGCAATAGTGCCGAGGATCGTGACTTGAATGAGATTGCCAAACCTGATGGCAAAGACTCTGGTATTGACTGGGAGCACTGGGACAACCAAGAGGATGGTTGCAATGACTCTGATCTGAGTAAGCTGTCTTGAATTATGAGAAGCAGGTATCGAGTCCACTAACACCAATGTACAGTTTACAAGTTTGCAGCTTATCTCCCACCCACCCTGGTTGAATTTATCGAAGATAAGGCCGTTTCTATCAGATCATTTCTAGAAGAGAATGGAGTCCTGGCCAAATCTGAAGATGAATCAACATCCGAATCCAAAGCTGTGACAGAGGCGCGCGATGCCGTCAAGGCTGCCGAAGATTCTTTGAACGATCTCAAGAACAAGATCCGTGATGAACGTGCTGATCTTGAGATGGACTACGGCAAAGCTTCTATTTTCCGGGCTCTTAAGGGTCACTGCGTCTCCAAAGATGCTGGTGAATATACATATGAGCACTGCTTCCTAGACAGCACGAAGCAGAACCAAAAGAAGGGCGGCTCCTCCATGTCTATGGGCAAATTCGTCCGAATTGGATCTACCAGTGTGGAAGAACTCAACGAGGCCGGCGAGATAGTCACTGTGGAAAAGGTCGCACTTGAGTATGAGCGTGGTCAATCTTGCTGGAACGGACCCCAGCGATCCACCAAGGTTGTTTTGGAATGTGGCGAGGAGAACGAGATTCTGAAGATAGCTGAGGATGAGAAGTGTGTGTATTCTATGCTGGTGACTACCCCTGCTGTTTGTGCTGGTGGTGAGGAGTTTGATGATGCTCCCCGCGCGAAAGATGAGCTGTGAGGTTTTCTTTTCCACTAGATTTGTCATTGCATGTTTCTCTATACAGCTTTCGGATTTTTCTGAAGAGAGATATATCATTTACCAATACGTTCCAGCGACTTATGAATATTCTACCGGGGAAGAGAGCGCCTGATCGTGATATCTCACGCATCTCAGCATTGCTACCATTTTGATTGCGCTGTCAATAGAGCCACGCACTCAATCACTCAAGAGCTTGCTTAGACTTGAAGAAACGATGGAAAGCTACTTCGTAGTCATTTAAAGAAAAGATGCTTTGCGAGACTCTACCTAATAGGACTTAGGTATACGATTTCCTCCATATAAGTTGGTATGCAAACACATTCCTAGATAACAATGAATTTGCAGGCTACCTATGGTCTTGTGTTTCATCCATCTCAAATAAAACACTGCGCCTAAAAGCGTAGACCTTAATCGATTCTACCGACTGGCAGGCCCTCACAAGATACACGTCTAACGTGAGAAGAGGCATATATTGCAAGTTGTTACCGGATATTGGTCTTGGATACAATAATATAGTTTAGATCATCGAATTTAGCGACGACGTGCATTGAATAGCATGACTACAAATGCCGTGTCTGTCCCAAAATAGTGAACTGGAAGCGGCGAGAAACATCATGAAACCTGAGCAGGCTACAATTTTACTCGCCAGAGAAGAGTCTAGCATTCCAGTCCCACAAGCTTTTGCTAAATTAGTGGAGATTCACGTATTTTGAATTGGATGATTAGCCTTTACTGCATTTTCTTAGGCCACACTGAATACTATGTGTCCCGCTGTCAAACATACGACTTCAAAAATTTGAGACTATTGTTCACAGAAAAGAAGAAAGCTCGTTTGAAAAAGGCCCTATTTCTGGAATTAGTAGTCCTTTCGAAACAGCCACTAATTCCTTTAGGGCATGGACTTCCAAGGTCGACTTTGGTTTAACAGAAGAAAGACTAGAGAAGCAGCTAACTCGCCCTCACTGGCCGACGAGATATCATCAGCTGCATCAGCCTTCAGGTTATCGGTATTGCATTGATAGAGAATCTGTCTGTCCTGGGCAAGAGCCCCTTATTATTATGTCATGGCGACTTCAGCCATAATAACATAGTTTCCGATAATGACTATAAACTTATTGGTGTTATCAACAAAGAGGCTGCATTCGCAGATCCCTGAGAGATATCCTTTGAATTTGCGTTGCTGTCCATACTTTGAGAACGGATTTCCCTCTACATAAATGACATTGAGACCTTAGCAGAAAGGGAAACTTTTATCGCGGTAGTTGCAGAGAAGAAAAGGGACTTGGGTCTGGATGAGGCATACCAGCTATCGACGGCCTTGAGATATTTGTGTCGACAGAATGTAGCTATGGTGATGAGGCTCTACCAAAGGAGAAACCCCGGTTAGTACTTCAAGGCGATAGGAAGACTTTCTTCTGTTCTGTTCTTTTTCGAACTAGGCTGAGAATGGTGCCCTTGACACAAATTCAAATTGTTTTATATGCCTCCAGAGAAATATGGTGGTATGAGAACTCATGATTGTATAGTCGTATTATATTTCACACCTAAGCATGCAATTTAGGTACTGAGAACATTAATCCAAAAAATGGAGTTGATTGATGTTATATACTAGTGAAATATGCACGGAGAAAAAGCCCTAAATCACTCCCTGGGCAATACGGGCCGAAAACTCCAACCAGACTACCCCATCTATGACAATACACGACACATCTGACTGGAATAATTCTTGCGTTCTGGAACTAGTTTTCCAGCAGTGGAAAACCTGGCCTAGTATGAGGTATCGGAGGACAATCGCCCGCTCACTGGTGGAGACTTATAAGGTTGTGGGGAGATTTAGTGCTAGGAACGACCAGGACGTCAATATAATTCTTGAGGTAAAAGATGGAAGCTGATTGATGATAGTGGACTTACACCACATGAAGAGCAAGAGCAGCCAGAGCAGGCTCCGGAGCAAGAGCAGGTGGTACAGGCACAGCTAGCGGGAGCCATGTTGATGTATGTGTGCAGAAAAGGCTTGAGGTGTATTGAAAGTTGTTTCCGAGGTATTTCTAGTCTGTTAGACCAAAACATCTAGATGAGAGAGGAATTTGAATCCGCTTTATACCTCGCTATGACGAATTTTCCCGCAATACTCCAACTGATAGGTGCTTACGTACAGTGTATATTCATGTCTTCTTCCAGACTCTCAGAATCTACATAGTGCAGATGCCTTGCTGATCTTACCTTACAGGTATGAAACCCCCCATCGAATCTTGTGCTCAGGTGCTCAAATCCACTCAATCCGGTAATGAAAGGATACACAACCCCTCAAACACCCGAAACCATACATGGATGTTTCCACAATACCTTCACGCTCTACCCGCTACATAAATCTGACGCTCACCAATGAGCAAAAGGCTGGACAGTAAAGGTAACCAATAGCCAGCAACAGCCGAGCAATGTATGGGAAATCCACTACTCCGATCTGTTTTCTTGACAAGTCTTACACCAGTCATCATCTCTCGCCCAAATATGCAGATCAAGCTGCGAGCGCTTCCAGAAATGGCTAGATAAGTGCAGATAAATGACATAGGGCCTGACTTGGCAAGCTCTTATTTTCTACGTCGGCTCATGCTTCAACGACTCAGATGAAGTCCAGCCCCGGTTATCGGGGTAGCCTCGTTTTCGCCTCTCGCTTTGTGCTTCATTTAGTGGCACGGGGCATGGACCCCGCCTTATGCGCTGTTTAAATTAATTGGTAGCTCTTTTGGGCTGATGTTTCTATCTTGTTGTGCGTTTAGGTATGGATATCAGATGGTCCTATGACTATGGAGTTACTCCAGGGCAAGGTAGTATACCTTGTGTACACAACACCATACACACATACAGCTCGGTTCCGTAGCATAGAGCTGCAGATGTTTCAAGGCAATGTATCATACTACTATGCAGATGTCAACGTTCCATACTTCTGTATGCACGTCTAGAACACCCGGACTCCAAGCCTGGGAGTCCGGATCCATTCTTACAGGCATAGATGAGAATATAATGGGCGAGGCGGACCTGCACACCACTGCGGGGTCTTTCAGATACAAATTTGGGCGCTAAGCGGCACGGAGCCAGATCATGGTGTGACAGCCTATGAGGCGAGTGCGACTTAGGACATTGTAGATAGCGTTCAGATGGTACTTGTAAGGCAAATTTCTTACCTTTCAATCTTGATTTGTCTACTTGGATATTCCCGGGTCTTGAGTGCATATACTAAATCTACTTCTTGAAGTGGGGACTTCTGCTGTATGTAACCTTGGAAGTAAGAAGGTGACTAGTTAAAAAGACCTGTGGACATATTCGGGTCTCAAGTTTACCAGAGGTTTGTATTCGAATTTGATATAAAATGATTTGGAGATTTTGTAAGGACTTTCGACCTAGTAACAAAACTATCTAGGCACTTACAAAGTAAACTAAAGACTGATATGCTGGCAAGTTGGATATGTACTTTTGGCGCCAGGGAATCAAAGGTAGTATCGCTCGTTATTGGCCCACATAGGCAGCGCAAACCTCTTGGTCGTAACATGAATTTTTAAGCAGGGTAGAAAGTAAGTGATACCCATGTAGTAAGATTACTAGTATCGGAGCATATCAACCCGTCGTTGCCCCACGGGTCATCTGATACGCATGTAGAAAGTATTACAATTGGCCGCGTTTGGGAAGACTTTGACTAGCAGTCCCACTAATAGTCTGGTCATCGCTTCCCGTCCCAAGCGATGACTAGATTTCAAATGTTTGGCGTTTAAATGTGTTCGATGCCCACTGGCTCCATTTCGTTTCAACTATGACAAGTGGTTCCAAGCGTCCTGAATGAAGCTACGTCAATACATGTCGGGTAGTATTTTTAAGTTAGCAAACCTAGTATCCAGTATTTGCCGTGGTATCGTTAGTGATTAGCTTTAATTAAACTCCAGTGAAGCTGGAATCAAACCGCAACATCGTACGCAAGAAGACACAAAGTCTTTACTTGAGAGATTGACTGAGTTGATTGAAATTTAATCGAAAAAGACCATATTCACATTGAACACTTTCTCCACTCTAGCCGAGGCTAGGATCTATTTTCGGGGTCCATTGCATGTTCTGTTGCACACGAATCAAAAGAGAATAACTCAAAAAGAATGTTGATGATTGAAGCCATATTGATAGCTGTCAAAATCGGAAGGGTTGTAGCTTATTTCTATGTGAAAGTGGGGGTCATAGGTCAGCCAATGAACCACAACGATATAAAGAAGAGCATCAACGTACAGGGCACTGGCAGGCGCCGGCAGGGCACTGGCACGAAGCGCCGCAGCTGCAGGTGTGATCGGGACCTTTCATAATAGTTAATATTGCGATTTTTAAAGCGATACAAGGCCAAGAGGGAAAGACGAAAAAATTGCAAGTCCCCCCACCTTGACCCTGCACTGACTCTGCAGACTCCAGTCGAGTTGGAGCATGTTGAAATAAGTGTAAACTCACCCATGGTTGGATATTTGAAAAGTGGTGATTTCTCGGTTTGGGGATTCGAAAGGTGGTGGAAGGGAAAAGCTAAAGAGCCGTAGTGGTTTCTTTTATATACGGATAGACCCCTCTCCCCGGAGCCCCGTGACTTTCCGTTTCCGCAAATAAGTAAGAAAAGCAAAGTCATCAACATTAGTTCTCATACGCTCTAGTAATTCTGAAGACGAGCACAGTTCCGCAGCCCCGCTTGAGCACATATTTTACGTGTTCTGTTCATTATCTGCTATCTCTTATTCACATCTCGTTTACTGTACCTAACTCAGTAAGCAGGTTTTACTTCGGCATTGTTGATGGATCAGATTTAGTTGGTTATTGTTAGATCCCGAGTTCTAACCTCAACTCGACGTCATCCATGGATCAACCCGGGCCCTTTGGAATTGCAATAGGCGTATCCATACCAGCGCGAACCTTCCTTATTCAATATTGGCAGGAATAAAGTACCTAGGTAGTCTGACATGCCGCTGTGAGCCGTTCTGTCTGATAATATTTGCCCATAACACATAAAGACTAAGTATATATCGCTCAAATACTCAAAATTTTCCTCAGAGATCCCGAGGTCTAAGCCCATCTAGTTATGCTTCGGCTTACCATGACGCTTTTCAATATTAAACTCACAATATGGTAGAACTTATAAAGTGAAAATTCTTGGAAACTGGAAGAGCCCGAACTTCAAATAACTGCGACATCGTTCTTGGGCATTAATTTGCAGGTACTCCGACTCCGTAGTGCTAGTCACGCATGCTGTCTGCCCCTCATTTTTCTTTACCGCCCTGACCTCACTTACCGCCTTCCATAACTGTTATCGGGTGCTCAATTTATTTTTTGCCCTTACCCACCTCACTTATTTTTCTTCCCATGCGTTTTTTTTTTTCAACACCATTTAACCATGGAGCCGTATCAATTTCGCGGAAACAATAGTTTTGATAGAAGCAAGGCCCCCCGCCATCCCATGCGCAGTCGCGGGAACCGCACATCCAGAGAAAATTTCACTTTTCGTCATCCACACACTTCCGAGCGCCCACTACTAAGCTTTCAACGCGAGAGAACCCCGGAGCAGCTGGTTTCACAGACAGGGAGCAAACCTGCTTTTAAATTTTTGATGGGTTCTACTACTGGAGACAGCAAGGAGCACCCAGTGGAGCTTTCCGATTCGGACGAAGATTCTCATCCGCGCAAAAAACGCAATATGGGAGGTTCCGATGGTAATTTGGATGCTGAGAGTCAGATTTCGCTGCAGCCAGCACAAGCAACTACCAAGTGGTCTAACCCAGACCCTTACACTGTTCTGCCTCCCCCGGATGAGGGCCGGGCCAAACGAACTGACGTGATTGCGCTGATTCGTAATGCGAGAAATCCTAATGCTGCAGAAAAATCCAAGACACAAGATGCTGTTACTAAGAACGAGGATTTCATTTCACTGGGGCCTGTAGACAACTCGCAACACAATGCACCCGACGATGCCCCCGTGAAAATGCCGAAGCGAACTCGTGACGATGAACCTAAGGGTTTTACAACCAAACTTGGAAAATCACGTGGGCACAATGACGGCGGAACTATTCTAGATCAGTTGCGGGAGCTTCCTGGTCGGGACATGCCGCCTTGGCATACCAGTTCGTCGGAGCAACTTCTTCCCTCGACGCAGCTTCACTACGAGATCCTTGCATTTTTCGATTGGATCAAGCCAGAGCGCCACGAAGAAATTGTTCGAGCTGACCTTGTCACACGACTGGAGAAGACGCTCCAGATCCATTACCCTGGCTCAAAGCTGCGTGCATTTGGATCCTTCGCGTCTGGAGTTTATTTGCCAACTGCTGACATGGATCTCGTCCTTCTGTCCAAGCAATGGCAGAACTTCGACCGCAACACGCCCTTCGATAGCCGAAAATCGATTTACGAGGTTTCGAATCGTCTGAGAAAGTCTGGATTTGCTGTCTCTGGGTCAATTGAAACTATTGCTCACGCAAAAGTGCCGATTGTTAAATTCGTTGACAAGTTGACTGGGCTTCGCATCGACTTGTCCTTCGATAATGAAAGTGGCCTTCTTGCCAATGACACGTTCCAGGATTGGAAGCAAGACTACCCTGTCATGCCGATGATTTTGGCAGTGATCAAACAATTTTTGCTTCTACGTGGTCTGAACGAGGTGCCCACAGGTGGCCTCGGGGGCTTTGCTATTACTTGCCTCGTGACAAGCTTGCTCCAGCACATGGCAGAGCCTGAACGGCAAAATCTAGGTCATATCTTGCTACATTTCTTCAAGTTTTATGGAGACCAGTTTGATTATATTTACACCGGTATCCAGATGGACCCACCTGAATACTTTTACAAGGTAGATCTTTTCTCCTCAATTAAGGATCTTAGCTGACAGAAAATAGACGAGACATGACGGAAAGCCTCGTATCATGATAATGGATCCTAACACCGCTCATAACGACGTCTCTGGCGGAACCAAAGAAATAGCTTTGATCCTGAAAGTTTTCAGTGATGCATATCGCTCGATCACATCTGATATGCATGATGCGACGGAGAACCCTGGAGAACGCTATAGCTTCCTCCAAAACATCCTTGCTGGGAACTTTGAAGCGTATCAGGAACAGCGCGACCAATTGCTTCGTGTTTATGAAACAGCTCCTCAATTCTATCAGCGTCCCGGATCTTCGCGCTATCGTGCACATACCCCTCCTCCTCCCCCTCCTCCTCCCCCTCTTCCCCGTTCCCTCCCTCCACGCCCACCGACTGCTCATTGGTGAATGGCAACTTGACTTCCCTACGACGGATAATAAGTGCCTGGTTTCTTGTCCCCTGTATCTGATACCCATGATTTTTTGTTCCTATCTGTGAGGTGAAACAACTCCGTTGGTAGTTGTACTTTGACTTTCTTAGCATTTTATTCGCTCTTTAATGGACAAGTATTGAACTGCTGACATTCAAAAAGGGTCCAAGTTTCGAACCTTTACCGTGTTTCTCCGAGTCGAAACTATGAACCTCCATTGAATTCTTCAATTGCCTCACTGGCGATGCTCATCAAGCCAGTCTCTCGTACTTGGACCAAACTCGATCGATCTTTTCTCGGACCGCTCCTGAACTTCTTTTTGTCGTACGGGAAGTACCAGAGAAACCCCTATCTTAGTCTAATTGAACCGCCAGCAGCTGGAAACTTGCCAATGGCGCATAGCCCGGCTGCTGTTTTCAGACCCTCTTTCCACTTTCCAATCTTCCTCCCATCTTTTTTCTCATTAAGCAGGCGCTATATGTGGCTGCTTGGAGAGGATCACGAAGAAGGGGATGATTGCGACGTCCAATTTTTTCAATGTCTTGAGGACGAACCTTTGAAAAGAATTATTATCATTTTAGAGTTCATTCCAAATCCATTGACGGCCAAATTGTGGCCTTTAAAAAATCACGAGAACGAGACTTGTATTGGCGGTTGACTATCACTTACAAAAAGCGCTGATTTTTGATATGGTTAGCCATATAGTCACATGACCTTGGAAATCTGTAAAATAGGAAGAGTAAAGTGGAACGAGGTAGTCCTGAATAGCAAATGATATCTGTGTGTGTGTGTGTGTGTGTGCACTGTGTGTATGTGTTTCCTTATTATGGGACTCCGGGCTTTAACTCCAAGCCCTAACTGTATAACTACGAGTCAAACCCGTAAAATGTATTAACCTCGCATACATATGCACCACGCCACTTTCATCTCATCAGTCTGGCAGCCCTAGTCCCTGAAGCCTCGTATACTCGTATAGATGTTTCTACTAGAGTCCTGTAGTTCAAATGTCATCCTAGCCCTCTATTCGTTAATATAAGACTTTGTTGACTTGTTTCGAGGCCACAAGTGGTCTGTTTTTGTGTGCTCCAGGGTATATTCTGGTCTTGAGAGCCGTTATAATTATGGAATTCTCCACAGATCCCAAAGCACATGGATATGCAAGTTTTCCTGTTTGTGGTAGCCAGTATTAGTACTACTGCTGGTGCTATAGTTTACGGTTCCCACCATGCCTATTGTCTGAAAGCCTATGATCTTACAGTCGATGCCCGCTATATGAGTATTACCGCAATTTGACCATGTTTGACCTCGAGAAATGCCCATACCCAGATACAATCGCTCTCCATTGCCAATAAGCATGGCAGAAATGTATAATATCGTTCTTTCTGTCGACCTAGGCATCCTTCCAAGGTTGGGAAAACTTGCTTATTTATAAATTATCCTTATGATCCATGTAAAGATAAATCAGTAATCAAGGAAATTGCTAGGGTTACCCATCTTTTCGGCCACTTGTATATGTAACCAGATATAAACACGGTTTTGGAATGAGGTGATTCAATAGATCTGATATCAACGTAAAATCTTAGAATTCATCTGTCAATTCCACTTGTTTATTTAAGATTTGGAGTTTTTATCCAGGGCTATATATCGCTACATGATAAGGACATCATACCTCCTTCTAACGCACGCTCAAGGTACCAACATTGGAAGACGCTTCTCATTGATCTATGATGTCTTCCTGGACCAAATCGCGGTATTGGTCTTTACGATGTGCCATATAAGCCCACAAATAGCGGAGGTCTTTCCACTTTTGTCCTTCTTCCTTTTTATTCTTCATCTTGGTTTTTTTCGAACATCCATCCATCCCGATCTATCCTGTGAGTTTTTTTTTTCCTTTGCTTTTCCAGACCCTTACTTCCTATATGATGAGATATATTCTTTTCTGTTATGAGCCATGTCATGGACCATACAGATCATGAACAAGGCAGTGACAACATCAATGCTCCAGCTGAAGGCTTTCCTCTTTTGAAACTCAATCAAATTGTGCAGATTTTATGGTCAAGATACTGATTTCGTCCTATTTTCCCAGGTACAGAACTACCCAGTGGACCTATCCATTCATATTTCTTTACCGTCAAAATATTTATTACCCAGGTGATGTCTCCATCCATGTTTGCTCATTAACTCCAAGGCCGGCCACCTACCTATCCATTCTATATTGTGAGTTTCTCCTTTACCTTTCAGATCATTCCTCACTGGATGATGAGAAAGAGTCTTTTTATGAGCCAAAGCTTGGACCATACAAGCTGATGGCTTTCCTTTTTGCAACAACCTAAAATTATATATATCGTGGCCAAAATACTGACATCATCCCATATTTCCAGGCAACACTATCTAGGTAGCCTACGAACTATCTTTGCCAACATCTCCTTGATCCTAAGTTTCCATGGCTGGTGTGAGTTTCTTCCCCCTTTTTCAATCCTATATGCCTAGATACATGATGAGATATTTGGTAACATCAACCATACCGTCGACCGTTTGTGACACATGTATGGCATTGATGACTATTTACAAACACTCTGATAGCTTTGATATTTCAAACTGAACATTACATATTTCATGGTTAACCATTTACTGATATCATTCTCAGATCTCCTGATACCACCCACCAGTCCTGCAAACGATTTTCACTATCACCAGCTCCCACCTGGTTATACTTGCTTATTATATAGGCTTCTGACAATGGATATACCAAGGCTGTATTGCCTAAAGCTGTTTCAGAACTTTCTGGAGATGATACCACTCCAGAGCTGCTGGGTTAGATACCCAAGTATCTCAAAGCCAGCCTCGATACATTTCTAGGGCTTACAATACACGTAGAATTGTCTAGTAGCTTAGCATTGGATTTTTCATAAAATCATATCTTTACCAGGGTCCAAGTGGTCGGATCGAACCTATATGAAATAACCTATGCTCTCATCTGTTTTTTGTTATCTTCTCTAGATGTCTTTCTTATGTATCCCATATGCACGGACCTCATGCTTGGAACAATCATATCTCCGAAGACCTTTTCATTACTGACTATCAATGCTAGTGAACTGCCTAGATGTAGAGAAGACAGTTCCTTAATGGAGAGGTCACTACAATATCACAGATCCATGGATATTTGTTGCATATATATCTTCCACGTCTTGTTTTGTCTGTCTATTATATACAAATTACCAAAGTTCATCTCAAAAGAAATACCCTGGTAGTACAGCCTTCAAAATTCCTGATCAATCGCGTTTGTCTAGTATCATTAGATCACTTTGAAGAACTTGAGTTTCATATATCAAGTAGAGTGCTAGAATACCTTGGGACTTTAGACTTGGGTTGCTAGGAATATAAATATTATTAATTGTTCATGAGTGGCGAAAGAAAATCATGATCAAAGCGCAAATAAACAAAAGGTAATGGCTATGAAAGATGATTCTCTATATCCAGTGGAGGGGTGAGCATCGCATCCTGGACCGAAAATTCAAGGGACGGTCGAGTCTCCATTTCAGCTTCAAGTCTTCTCAAAGTAGCAACATGCTCGTCAGACAATGAGTTTTTAAAGTCTGCCGGCGGACTGGCCCATACGTAATCAACCCAATCACCAATACGCTCCCTAATCTGAGTAGCCAAGAGCATGATATTGGCACTGCGCTCAACAGACCAAGCTCTATCAGTAATGAGTCCCTCAGACGGAGTGATAATTTTCGAGGCATGCGATGCAGTAGAAACGACACCAGAAGGCAGATCATTATCAGCCGATGAAACTCCATCAAGCTCCGACTCGTCGTCGTTGTAGTTCTCTAACCCGTCCAGAATACTATGCCACACGCGCCAAGTCTCGTCCAGCTCTTCGATATTACTCACGCCCATGACACTAACACCCAGTCTAGTTCCGGTGCCAACATTGGCAACAGACAAGAATCCAGGAGCGGCATCAAGAGGCCGAGCAAGCGGTGCACCAAGAGCTCCAACCTTCGCACCGACTCGCATCCACGATTCCAGCGCGAACCGAATAGCCACAACCTCTAATTTCTCACCATGGCTCGTGGCACACTGCGACGCAAGTTGAACAGCAGTTCGCAGATCGTTCGGCGCGGGGTGGAAATCGCCCATAGATCCGATGGGTACACCGTCCCTACGCAACAACCCCATACCCAGCGGCGATGCATTAGGCACAACATCTACACCAGCAGCAAGAAGTCGCGGAAGAGCAATTGAGTGAAGACGCGTATTCTGCAACGTATAATTCGCGTACGACATAACGATATCCAAGGGCTCGCCCGTCTCCCGCAAGACCAATTCTGCCAGGTCACTTAGTACATCAACGGGGTACCCCGATATACCGACATATTGCACAAGTCCATCCTCGTCCCGTAGACGGCGTAGTTCCCGCACAGCAGCGAGGACTTCAGCGGGCGAGACAAACTCCACATCGTGGCAGTACACCACATCCAGATACTCTGTGTGTAGACGGCGTAAGCTGCGGCGAACGCTGTAATTGACCCATGTGGCTGAATAGTCGAAACAGCCCGATGAAATGCGGCCGACTTTGGTGAGGAGGTGGTACGAAGAGCGCGGGAAGTTGGATTGGACGAAATCGGTCGCGAGGGCGCGGCCGAGGAGTTCTTCGGCTGGGCCGTAATATGGAGATGTGTCGAATGCGCGTATTCCGCGTGATAGTGCTCGTTGGACGAGTTCTGTTGTTGGTAGGGCGTATGGGTCTGCGTTGTACTGTGAGTTGAAGGTTGCTGTGCCCATTACGAGTGGGGGCAGGCTCGTTGACAGCGGGGCGGAGGGTCGCATTTTGAGGTTGAATTTGAGTAATTATTGCTTGTTAAAGGAGGTCAATGGCTTGAATACAAAGGATATCAATGGATTCCAAAGTTGTGACAACTCACTGGTTGAGAGAGGGAAACATCTCTTTTATCTGGATTTTACGTCGTCAATCGCTCCGATAGCGCCATAGATGGTGGATACCACTACACCTAGTACTGGATGATCAATCTCCATAGCGATGAGTCGCATTCCATTTCTCAATAAATATTGATTGATATCTGGATATTCCGACCAATTAGCTTCGATAATCAGGCTTTGTGTTCCTGTAGAAATCTCGACCACCGATCGATACGATCTCCAGTGGCAAAAGTACTGAGAATCCGATCTCTACTCATGATCTTCAGTATGCAGATAGTGAACGATGATATTGCACACGTGTGTAAAATACAATTATAATACATGTTTTGTCCTTTCTGATTCAGAGTGGAGAAGGGTGTTTGACAGTCAAAAAATGGTGGTATACATAGACCCAGTGGTCAAAATTGAAGTGGGCAACGCTTTTCATATGCCTCAAAGCATAAGAGAAACACGACCCGAGAGATGAAATCCCCACTCTTAATGAGAGGGAATGTATCTCCAACGATACCCATAACGCCATGCTATGCCAAATCAAATAACACGATCTCGGTAGATGACGAAGATGTCACGAAGAAAAAGAGGATGGTAATAGATAATAGACGCGGGATGCGGCGAGGTCTGCATCGAAGCGTCCAGTTCACCGGTCCTTGTAGACCTTGGGGTTCCAGCCTTCCGACAGTTCCTTGTCCTGCGCGGCCTTGCGCTCTGCCTGACGGACCTCCATTTCTATCCGCTCACGCGCCCGCAGGATTTTGCTCTGCAAGTAGAAGCTGCCACCCTTTTGGGGATCGTTCAGATCGAAAAGCTTCTTGAAGCGGTCCATAACATGTTCGAGGTTGGTTTCGCCTCCGGCAGGAGGCTTAACGTTGAGGATCTTGCAGGCCTCATCGAGGGAGATACCGCCGGATGCAATAGAGACGCCGCTCTTAGCTGCGACCTTTCCGGCCTGGGCTTGCTTGTAAGCCTCAGTGAAGGCGCGGCCGAAGACCCGAGCTCCGGTGACGATGACTTGAGTGACGATGCGGTGAGCCTTGGAGAGGAGTTAGAATTTAGTTGGAATTTATGTTCATTGTGAGATTGATTGAGCAAGTCATTAAAAACTTGTAAGCTTCACATACCATGTCGAGGGACTTAAGGCGATGATGGGAGGTGAAGAATGAAGAAGCTTGGAAGGGGAAAATTTCGGCTCCGCTTGTTTTTAGCGTCGGGAAATCGGAGTTGGGATCTAGTAGTGACAGCAGTATGCATCTGTACAGTGAACATCAAAGACAAACTGGAAATGTAAATGGAAATTCAATATAAATCTACAATGAAAGAGCATGAATATATGTACTCGAAATTCAGCGTCTTTTTCTTTGTATTGTTTTGTATTGTTATTTACCTCGAATCCAGGCCAGTCACATGCCTCAGTCAGCTCCCCCCGCAAGTTAACCTTTAAGATGAACTTCCTCCTTCAAGTACTTATGAGATGATCATCTTTCCAGCTTCATAAGCTGAACATCTCTCTCTCTATGAAGTCCACTTAAGTGGATGGCAGCTCTCGGTATGTACCTTGTACTGCCCTTGCCTTTTAACTGCACCTAGGTACTTACTTCCTACTTTATGCAGAAGATCTTCCGTGGCTAAATTCCATGGCTTCCCCAACCAACCATCAGGAACATGGCTCTCCTGACTCGCAGCCGCCAACTGTTGCTCCATTCTCTCCTTCTACCATCACGGGCTCAGCGCTAAGCTCGCGCCAACGCTCCAGCATCATCGTGCATCGCAAGTCACCACTGCTGGTCGCTACGCCACCACCCATCACTCGGGCTCTAGCCCATTCACACCCGTTTCTCCTACCACTGAATAGGTTGATGGGCCTACTGACATGGACGACCGAGGATCCATGGCAGAGCTTCCTACTGGTAGCTACATTCTGGACAGTGGTTCTCTACAGTGACGCTATTATTCTCTGGGCAGGACCTATTATCGTCGTTATTTCGTTGATCTTGGGAATGTACAGCCGGCGGTTCTCGCCCTTGTCATCAACAACCTCGACAGGCGAGAAGCATCTCAGAAAAGACTCGATAGAAATCACTACCCGGCATCACAAGAGCTTGGATGAGATCTTGGAAACGCTGCGCACATTGACAACCCGATGCAATGTGATGCTTGAACCCTTACTAAAATTCACAGATTTTCTGTCAACCCAACGAACAGCGACATCAGCAACCACACGGCCTGCGCTGACCGTGCTCTTTATCCGCATCCTCTTCGTCACTCCTATATGGATTATCTTGACACTCCCTCCATTCTACCTAATAACTACCCGCCGCGTGGTTATGACAGTTGGAACTATAATTTTGACTTACCACTCTCGACCTGCGCGTGTGTCCCGTGTCATCCTTTGGCGATCACGCCTAGTACGTCAAATCTGCGCAATTGTGACTGGTCTGTCCGTAGCAGACCCTCCACATAGCTCAAATAAGTTTCAAGAGCAAAGCAAGGGCCTAAACATTGCAACACGGCGACGTGGCTCGTCCGGTGTTCGGTTCACCTTCGTCGTCTATGAGAATCAGCGTCGTTGGCTAGGCATCGGTTGGACATATTCTCTACTTCCGGCTGAGCGTAGCGCTTGGACGGACGAGCATTTAAGCTCTGTCCCACCCAAAGATGCCTTTGAACTGCCTGATGTCCGAACAGGAGATGCGGAATGGCGATGGGTCGAAGGGACCGAATGGCGTATCGAGGGTACAGGGGCCAATGGGAAACCGACTAACGGCGAGGGGTGGATCTACTATGATAACAAGGTAGGCCATTGTTTAATTACAGCCGGCACGAATGATTCACTTTCTAACGACTTTCAGTGGAATGATGGTCGTCGCGGACAGGACGGTTGGGACCGATATACACGTCGACGGAAGTGGTACCGCGATGCAGAACTAGTCGAGGTACAGGGGAAAGAGGACACGAAAGGTTCTGAAGACACAGTTCGCAATTACACACAGGTTCCTGAAAAAAACGATAACAAAGATGAAAAGGAAAGAGAAGAACAAACTGATGCCGAGCCCTACAGCGTCTCCACTCTCAAACCTAGGCGTCGGCATTGGTTCAGCAGCGGCAAATACAAAGATAAGGATCGTGCCAGCAGTGCTGGGCCCACTGATGGGGCTGCAGATGCTGGTTGTTCAACAGGCATAAGCTTTTCAGATGGCACTGGGAGTGCAAAAAGTGACTCTCGTCCAGTTAGTACGCAGAGCTCTTCGAAGCGGTCCCGTCGTAGCCGCAGGGAAGGCAGTGTGGCGAAGAGCGATACTTCTAGTATGCGTGAGAGCCTCACAAATACACAAGATCATCATGACAGGTGGGCAACAAGGGCGTCGGGAGGGACAGAGAGGGCGGAGCGGGAGTTTGGATTAAGTGATGAAGTCAATATGGCACTTAGCTGACGTTGAGTACACTTATATCCTGTAAAAAGGGCTGTCTTGCTCTCTTCCTTTTGATTTACACTCTCATTGCTTTAGACAGGTTTCTTTCATTGGTTTTTAATACCCCGGACAAGTTGCATTCATATCGATAATAATATTGCTATTACACTCTAACTTTTTCTATGAAGATATCTCTGTCAATGTACAGACTATGCAAGAATCAAATCCCACTGTAGCTCCTCAACTACATCCAACCAATGCACTTTCGGAATCGGTCCAAATCCAGCTTGTTGAGCCAGCTCATGGGCGTCCCGTCTCGCCCATAGTATGGTAAGGAGTTCCTTAGCGCGTTCAACATTGCCAATTGCAAAGTTATACTGCAACTTGCTCAAGAAATGGACCACAGAATCCCTGTACTCGAGGACATCACTCTCACAGCCACATATAAACAGTGGGAACGTCAGCGCGGAATACTCGCAGTGGTCATCAAGAGGAAATGATTTCACGCGTGAAAGGCAGCTGTGAACAGCGCTAGATGTAGAGATTGAGATGAGAGGAGCCCATTCAGTGGAAAAGAGATCGATCCCGGGCTCCGCGAGAGATTCGGAATGGATGCTCATTCGCTCAAGGATTGAATGCAGATATATGAATGCTGCATCGCGGAAACATTCAGCAACGAGCTGGAGACGTATTAATGATTTTTGTGGAAGACCTTGCGGTATTATGTAGGATTTTGAAGTATGAGACCAATTGAGAAGAGCTTCATTTCTGTAAATTCCATGTTAGCATGTACGCTTGTGTCGATCTCTACTGCCACATACATTGAAACAATCGCCAAACGTAATGATATAGCATCACCTTCTAGGGATGGCAGCTCTGCAATACGCGAGCATAATTCAATAATCTCTTCAGTATACCCGTGATAAATATCCAGTCTGGGTGGACCAAAATCGGTATTGGCAGTAGACATGTCGACTGAGGTGATGCGTTTTCGATTACTGATTCGACCCATATTGTTGGCGTAAATGTACCTAGAAGAAATATCAGTTCTTTGCTCAAAAGATAAAAGGTTGAGCACGACACATACAGTCCCCGTAGAAAAAACCCCGTGTCTCGATCCATAGAAGCCAAGCCACCACGAGAAGCAATCATGCTCTGCAAGGCATTAAGGTGAATGGCCCATTGCTTAACGCTTCCACGAACGATCTCGTATTTGCACAGTAAGCCAACGGCCAACATACTATCTTCTGGAAGGATATCTGTCGGACATTCAGCCAGTGCTATACGGAGACCGCTAAGAGTTCGGCCGTAGAAACTTGCTGCGGCGGCTTTTGCGTCGGTGCCTTGTGTGCGGTTTGCGAAGTGAAGAGCAGAGATTGCACAAAGAGCTTTCATAAGTAACGAGGATGATATCGCCCGTGGAATTAGCAGTGAACGTAGAGGATTATCTTCGCTTTCGAGGTTGGCTAATCGCTGAGAACCATATTCAAAATGGTATTGTAGGTAGTGTGATTCATGAACCGAGAGGTGACTGGTAAAGCTCTTCGAGCGCGGAATCAACGCTAGTTTTTGTGCTTGTAGCTCATTCTTTTCATCTAGTTTTCTAATTTCATTCTTGATATTCCGATCCATGGGCTCTTCAACCGAGCGGTCTGCTGGTGAAGGTAGCAGAAGTAGTGTCGGCATGGTTGACTCAGGAGTTGACGGTGATTCTATCCGCCATTCCGAGGATGGCGATAGTGATGGTGACGTTGTTATAAAGTGTGGTGTCGACGATGCGCTGATGCACTGCCGCTTCAAGTCTTCTCCAGGCTTAAATACCTCCGCCGACGGGCCTAATGGCTCAACCCAAAGTGACCCATAGCCCTCACATATGCGGCCTTGCTTGATACAATTATTGCAGCTAATAAAAAATCAAATTCCTGCATACGACTCGTATAAAATTGGATTAATTACCTTGGTTTGGCCTTATCGCAGCCTTTGCGACGCTTTTTGCAGGTCAAACAGCCAGATCGAGTCCATGCCGTGCCTGATTGTCGACTTCTAGTCTTCTTTTTGGCCACTAAGCCATCTTGGACTGGTGATAAGGTATCAGAGCACCCCATACCAGCCCTAAAGATGTTCATGGTTGGTCATTGGGTAATAGAATTTTAGCACTGTATAGAGACTTTCCCCGCGATTGATAGTAAAACTCCAGAGTGGAGCGACCTTTCCTGATTAGGGCAATCTTGCGCGACACGTGATGGCTATCTACGACGTAAATCGTTATCGATCGTTTTATGTCAAAAGGACCGATATAGGGGGTATGTTTGTACTGTTTGCAGGATCCACAATGTGTGTATTTAAGCGGGTTTTACTCCCCACATAGACAATCCAGTTTCGTCAACCAATGGTGGTTGGACTGTCGAAATTCTATTTGACATTTTATTTAACTGATCTTATTTGATCTAGATGGATTGCGCCAACTGTGATAGCTCTCGAGCATTCTAGCTTGGGTTCTTTTGTTGCGATCTAGTAGCATCATTGTGAAGATGTCAACTAAGAGCGTACCCAACAGTCAGATCTTATTGTTGAGAGAAGCGAGAGATGCATCGTCCCACTTCCCCGTGCAAGATAATAGGATCCTTATCTGACTAAAGTCGAATGCCACTAGACTAGAGAGATTCCCGATTTCTTTGGATCCGATCTAGATCTAGTGATGTTGACTCATACATCACTCATATTAATTGGCACCGACACTATAACCAGAGTCGGCCTAACACTGAACCTTAGATGCGAGTCTGAAATTTTCCAGATACAATCACGGATTCGCTCTCAGCTGACACCTTTAGGACCAGACAATCCCATCTGTCGAGGGATGGCTACGATGTCCAGCTAACAGGCGGGCAATATTTGTGTCGGAACATGGATATTGCAATCATGCAATACCATAAACCCGGAACGGAACAAACAGACCCCCGAGTCACGGGGGAACAACTATATTAGGAACTCAAGTAGCTACATGAATCGAACACATTTCACACCACTTTGCACAACGTATATACTAAGAATCTAGGACGAACCATACCCTTTTCCAGTGTATATAGTGCAACGTGTGAACCCTGTCCTTTCAACGTAGTTGATCGACACTGATCAGTTGACGAGCTGAATCAGACTTGGAGGTTATATCACTAAGTTATTGTGAAAAATCCTCAAAACCACGAAAACTCGTTACGACGATAAGCCAAATTCGATCGAAGAAAATACGATAAAACACCGTTAAGAGCATGAATTGGCACCGGCAAGCCCATTCACTCTTCCAAAAACACAATTTTCAAGTTTGATTTAGAAAACTACACCCTAGTTTCTACCTTTCAACACCTCCTTTACGACTACTTTTCGAAGGACATTCGACTAAAACTTTTCCTTTTCGCATTGGAAAAACTGGGGATACTCAAAAACCCCTAAAAATCTTCCCCTCTTTGAATTGTGGGACACCAGAACCCACTGGTGACTTGTTCAACTTCTCCACTTGTGACTTGTCCGGCTCCTCCACAGATCCACGCTAGAATATAGCCAATCTCCCCCCAGCATCACCTGCAGGAGCTATATGGCACCACCAGCATACCAGACACCACAGTCAATCAAATCTGCACACCGTGAACGAAAGCGTAACAACCGAGGGCAATTCGCACGCCATTCCCCAATCACGGAAGAAGACCTGACCCCACGAGACGACGACGAAAGTTCAGATCCACTCACCATCATTATGGACGGAACACCGTCGTATAGACCACGCACTCGGGGCAGCTATACACGAGCAAGTATGCCCGGATCATACACGGAACACACTAGCCCTACACCCGCTTTTAACCAGAGCAGAGGCCAAGGGTACCCCGATAAACATATAGATAGGGACCAGACCTACCGAGAGGCGCACGAATCATAGGGCAACATGACACAAGAGGAGAAAATCAGATTCTACTATAGAAATGGTTTTGACCCACGGGAATGTAACTGGGATCAGCGTGAGGAATATATAACCACACGATTTACCTACTATATAACCACGGGAGTTATGGACCGCGGACTCTGGGCCGACTTCTAAGCAGACTTCAAGAACTGGACCGAGGAGGACTTTACGAAACTCGAACGAAACACCCTCCGATTAGTGTACCATATACTCATCCAGCGCGGAGTTTATGTGAGATGGACACTAAAACTGGCCGACTCCCTAACGGAATGCCTTATAAGGGAAGAAGAACATGAATGGACGGACGCAGAAATCAAAAACGCCTTCAAAGACATCAATGGCGCTATAAGAACTCTAGCACTCCAGGACAAGTTGAATGACACACTGGATGGTCCAAAGGGAACGACCGCCACCCGACGCCCACAAGATCCGGTCAATCCAGCCAGCCAGCTAAGCCAAATACCGAAGGAAATACCCCCCACCCAGCGCAAGACCCAGAACTAGACCTCGCATGTTTTCTCATCACCTCGGCCGGAACCACACGCGTATATAAACGTCCTAAACAACCGAGAGTATATGCGTAAAAGCCAAATTGGAGGCGTACCACCTGCGACCTACACCGGAAACTCAGGAGACGATCCGGGTGACGATGACGATGATGATGATGAGAGTGATCGTACTCCAAGAGGAAACAACGACCTAGACAATAGTCGTTATTCCCGGACACCTCGATCTACTCCCGACCTTGCCTTAGATAACTACGTAAGGCAAACGACAATAGTCATGAAGTCGATATCCGAGAGCCAAAAATACGATGGAAGCACTAGTCTCGACTTCAAGATCAAGATCTTCACCGATATCTGCCAACGTGTGAGACTCCCGGAACAATCGTATATGGACGCATTTGGCAGTTTCCTTAAAGGACCGGTATTAGAGTTTTACTTCACGAACTCCCTACGGGAGAGAACCTTCGCGGAATCGTGCGAGAAACTTAGGGAATTCTTCGAAGGACCAGAGTTCTATAGAAGGCAGAAACAACTATGGGACAGCCAAAACCTTAGAACAACCATCCGAAAGAACCCTAACAAGAGCCTCCACCAATGCTTCAAGATGCTACTTAATGAGCTCTATAAGCTCCGATATGTAATCAATCCCTTATGGCGAACGGATGAATACTTGTACGAAAAATTGATTTCAGCATATGAAGGAGTTGAAGCATGCCGAATGACCCTGGCACACCTACTACCGAACCTCCTGGGACTCATCAACGGAATGCAGATGTCGATAACTACCTGGGAAAACGAGAGAAAATATAAGGAGCCTGCCACCAACAACCCATCCGTATTCCAGGCGGAGGAACTCCCTACAACAAACTTTGTGGAAAGGAAGTTCATGCGCATAAACCCTATAAAACAACCGCCTGGACGATCAACGAACCCTCCCCGAACGAAATATAGACTAGGAACCGGCAAGAAATGTGGTGTTTGCTATAAACCGGACTATATCTCATATAACCACACCAAGGAAGAAAGAGACGCGGCCCGAGAACGATTCTAAAGCAAATTTCAAAGAAATCAACAAGGAAGCTATAAACCCGCATACCAGCAATTCATCACCGATATGGAAGGACCACTGAACCAGGAGCCGACACCCGATGATGAGAGCGATAAGGAAATGGATATATTCCTGAACAACTACCCAACCACGAAAAGCATAGGACCCGAAGACGACTCGGACTCAGAAAATGAAATCCTTTTCACGACTGGTTACAGAGCCTTAACGCCAGGATTTGCGGAACAACTCACAATAGAGCTCTCCAATAACATTGTGTTAGAAACCCTCGCAAAAACTCCCTATACACAACAGGAGAACTCCATGGCCCAAGGACCAAACACACCCTAGATAGGAACCGAGGAGGAATCGCCGTTCAGTTACAACGCAACCACAACAGCAAAAACCAGGTATACAACGACGACTTTTATGGGAATAATCATTGATACGGGAGCAGCCCGTGTATCAACCGCCGGGCATAACCAATTCTTGGCCCTACAAAATTCGGACCCCTCAGCGACTCTAGATACTTCCACAGCCAACCAGATCAAGGTTCGCTTCGGAATCGGAGAAGCATCGTCGGCTGGTTCGGTCATATTAGAGACCCCGATCGGTACACTCACCTTCCACGTTTTCTACTCGGATACACCATTCCTCCTATCCCTTATAGACATGGATAGACTAGGCATCTACCTGAACAATCTGGAGAACCTCCTTGTCCGAAAAGATGGCCTAAAAGTCCCGATCATACGCCAGTTTGGACATCTGTTTATGGTTTAGGACCAATCACTTAGGGCCTATTTGTCAAACATAACCGGAAATGACACAACAGAGAGCCGATTGACCGATATCGCATGCCACTTAACTAACACGGAGCTGCGAAGACTACACCGCAGATTTGGACACCCGTCCGTCCCTCGCCTACATAGGCTGCTACGCGCCTCAGGACACGAGAACACTAATGTCGCAGCACTCGAACAACTCACAAAAGTATGCGAACATTGCCAGAGATACGGACGTTCCCTAGGCAGGTTTCGGTTTACCATCAAAGATCCAGACACTATTCGCTTTAATTACAACATTATCATCGATGTAATGTATATTGAAAACTCTCTAATCCTCCACGTGATCGATGAAGCAACCTGCTTCTAAGCAGCACGATGGCTACGCGACCTGATAGCGAAACATACTTGGGATATGTTACACTAGTGCTGGATTGACACATACCTTGGTCCACCAGACCTAATTACCACCGACTCAGGCACGAACTTCGCATCCAGGGAATTCAAACAGAATGCGAAGACACTCGGTACCTAAGTCAAAACTGTCCCAGTGGAATCCCATAATTCCATTGGACTCGTCGAAAGATACCATGCTCAGATCCGAAGGGCATACGAAATCATCATGAACGAGATCCCTAGTACTAATAGGGAAATCGCCCTTCAGATGTCTGTAAAAGCCGCGAACGACATATCCGGCCCACATGGTCTAATACCCACCCTTCTCGTCTTTGGAGCATACCCACGTATGACAGAACTGGACGCCCCATCACCCACGATTACCTAACGAGCAACTGCCATTCGAAAGGCGATGGGGGAAATCCAGAAGATGCGCGCCACAAGA